CGCCCAACCTTGGAACACACCTGTGTTAGGTGCTTGGCTCGATTATAAGAGCCTACAATATACAATAATGCTTCGCCGGAGATTAACCCGAAGGTCAATATTAGTCATAAACAGATCATATCAGAAATATGAAAATGTGATGAGAAATTAAGGCACCTGAAGATCGAGGCATACATTCCACATTTCCCATGTGGCCTGTGAGATAGATCTCTAATATTTGTGGAATGTCAATCTAAAAGAGCCCTAAATTTGACATGTCCAAAGAAACAGTCATATGCAGGGAAAAATTTGGCTGCAGAAATTCCCCCGGAACATAAACCCACACCGTTGGACGTTGGACCCTTGGAACCTTTTATTTGATATAATAAACCCCCAATGGCAAGGCTGATAGAAAATCGCCACAATAGGCCCTGTACAAATAGAACTGATTTTCCAGATCTCAAATCCACACCAGACGGTGACCCCTGGAAGCCCCTGAATAACCTCAAAAAGGGTGTAGCCAAGCCTCGACCTAAATGCCACTCCAGACACTCCGAGAGCCCAGATCCGCTATTAATCTTGGCCTTGACTCCATTGGAATTGTCAGTTTGGCCAAGAGTATTTCGGCGGTCTGGGTCGTTGAGTTGTCTTTGGGCAGTTTCTTTGTGTATTACAGCCGTTATTTATACACGAATCTAAAGGAACGTGGGTCAATGGCTGTTCATTATTCGGACTGGGCCTCAATACACAGTTTCATCACAGCCATTTAACCTTCACAGTCAATAATTCAACCAATCCCGGTAATTATCGGCCAACAAACACTATTAGAATAGCGAGAGCGAAACGGGCTTGTAATTCAGGAGCTAGCCTATAATTCCATAAATACATAGCGGCAATCTCCACAAGACACTCCCTCGGCTGTGCCCCAGCATCCGTGATCTACCCCATGGAAGAGTTGTGATCGTCAGTCGAAGAGATCCAGACTTTCGTCCTCATTGTGATCAGCACTGGGTACATGGAATGGTAAAGATCTGTTCGTTGTACTCCGTACACTTGCTTCGATTGCTGTATACTTGCAAATACAGCCCAGTGTAGGTGTCGGCCGTATCGGGTAGTAGGCTACAGTATTTTTTTCTTTGAAACGGCCACAGTAAATGCCGACACTCTGAGGAAAAGGTCTTTCCTATTAGGCGGGATAAACAGTTCAAGCTTCCTGCCCCATCTAATAACTATTTTTGACTTTGTTGAAGCCGGATGATCGGCTTGCGTATGTATTTGGTGGAGATCTTCAGGGGGGAAAACAGCGCATACTTAACAGCAAGCATACGGTGTAGTGATGTGGTGATGTGTTCAAACGTTTCCATAGGGCAGAGCAAGTATGATGTAAATGAAGTTCGATTTGATAACGAACACATGGGGATTCAAAATATTATATCCTTGGCATTAATCCGTAGTAATCCGAGACAGTAATCTTAGGAAAAAGAACAGAAGTGTATATCATCGGTAATCCATAAGATTGAGAGATACGCGTATTATGATTGACTAATAAAGATCGGCAGGGCGGAAATTAGAGGCTGCATCTGAACCAATCAAGATTTGAACTAGACCCCAATCAAGCTGCCACTTTGCCATTTCGAGACTGGCCGAGGACGCTATGATATCTTGCCCCACATGGCGTAGAAAGATAATTTCCCGTTTGGTTTTGTTTTTTGAACTTTTGGCTTTTGGGGGATTTGTTTGTCTCACTCAATGAAACATTGGAGTTAAGCCATTCTCCACAACTTCACTGGATCTTTTTACTTTGGAGACATGATTCTCTAGGAAGGGTAACCAGGAACCGAACGTTGCATTGCCACCAAGTAAGCCACAGAGGGGCGGTGCCTTACATGGTCTGACAGGACATGAAACCTTGGCTTCGTTTAGGTACAATGTGGCTTTTCAAGTTAGGGAGATAGGACCCTCACAGCGGTAAGGAGACTATTCTGGTGAGACACGATCACTATTTTCGACGGGAGAGGAAAGGAGAGATCAGTTGATGATCCGTGCAATGTATTGATAATAATAGTACGGAATACGGAGTAGCCGATAGCAGATACAGAGTAATGTTAAAAATACACATTCTGAAATGACCGTTGAAAATATAATCAGTACCTGCATATAAATCAAATGTGTATAAATGTGTATACCAAATATACCACTCTCCACTACCCGAGCCGTGCGGGCCAACCACAGACAGCCAATATTCGGGTGTTGAATATCAGAACCAATCAGATTGATAATGTCCCTGAAAACACCATCTAGACTCGTCCAGGGGTAACGTTAGGGCCAATTTTAGTGTAAATTGGAAATTCACGATCGGTGGAGTGTATGGCCCTGTTTTATGGGTTTTCTCCTTTTCTCTCTTTTCCCCCCTAACTCCCCCCGGTAACCATTTCTCCAACAAAAGGCCTTGCTTGCCCCCGAACACTCTCCTTTGACCTTCTCAACCCACGTTCCTTCGATTCTATCACCGCTTCACTCGTTCAGCGGGCATTCATTCTTTAGCGTTGATATTATCTTTTCAATATGAAGGGAGCTATTTTCGCCGCCGCTTTGGTCGGCTCTGCCATGGCTGATGGTGTGCACCGTCGTCATGACGCTTTCCACCAGCGTCGTGAGGTTGCTGCTAGCAGCTGGGCCTCCGCCGTCACTTCCACTATCCCTCTGAACCCCGAGGAGACCTGCGGCTGTGTCACCAAGGTTATCACCTACTACGGCGAGGCTACCATTGTCCCCGTTGAGACCATTGCTCCTCCTTCTTCTACTTCTACTCCCACCTCTACCCCTACTCCCACCCCCGAGCCCACCACCACTCTCACCAGCACTGTGCACTCCACCAGCACCAGCACTTTGACCGTGACTGTCTCGGGTTCTTCCTCGGCCCCGGCCACCTCTAGCACCTCCGTGGCTAGCACTCCCGCCGTCGAGTTGCCCACTCCCGGTGTGAGCACCTTCTCCACCACCGGTGTCTACACCATCCCGGCCACCACCATCACCGTCCACGACACCACCACTGTCTGCGGTGCCACCTCCACTGATGTCCCCGCCGGTACCCACACCTACGGTGGTGTCACCACCATTGTCGAGACTGCCACCACTGTCGTCTGCCCCTACGCCACCGTCAAGCCCTCCGGCAGCACCGTGACCAGTGTCATTGAGACTACCACCTACGTCTGCCCCACCGCTGGTACCTACACCATTGTGCCTCCCACCACCACCAGTGTGCCCACCAGCACCGTTCTGGTTTACCCCACCCCTCAGACCGTTGTCCCCGGTACCTACACCCAGGACGAGACCGTTGTCACTGTGACCCGCACTGACTACACCTACGTTTGCCCCGCTCCCACCGATGCCCTGGCCTCGACCACCGCCCCCGCTGTTCCTACCACTGTTGCTGCTACCACCACTGCTGCTCCCGTTGTCACCAGCACCGCCAAGCCCACTACCAGCTCCACCAAGACCAAGACCTCCGCCGTCAGCAAGCCTACCGGTGTCCCCACTGAGCTCGGTGAGGGCCAGTACGGTATGACTTACTCTCCCTACACTTCCGGTGGTGAGTGCAAGACCAAGCAGGAGGTCCTCAAGGATCTCACCGTCATCAAGGGCAAGGGTTTCAACCTGATCCGTGTCTACTCCACCGACTGCAGCGGCCTCGAGTTCATCGGTGACGCCTGCAAGGAGCTCAGCCTCACCATCATCATGGGTGTCTTCATCGACGCTTCCGGTACCGCTGGTGCCCAGGAGCAGGTCACCGAGATCTCCAAGTGGGCCGAGTGGGATATGGTCGAGCTGATTGTCGTCGGTAACGAGGCTATCCAGTCCGGTGCTTGCGATGCCTCCACCCTGGCCTCCTTCATCAAGTCCGCTGGCGAGAGCTTCAAGGCCGCCGGTTACACCGGTCTGATCACCACCACCGAGCCCATCAACGTCTGGCAGCAACACGGTGCCGGTGCCCTCTGCGACGCCGTCGACATCGTCGGTGCCAACATCCACCCCTTCTTCAACGCCGATGTCACCGCCGAGATGGCTGGTGAGTTCACCAAGGGCGAGTTCGAGGAGCTCGAGAAGATCTGTGGTGGAAAGGACGTCCTCAACCTCGAGACTGGCTGGCCCAACGCCGGTTCCGCTAACGGTGCCGCCATTCCCGGTACCGCCCAGCAGGCCGCTGCCATCAAGTCTATCGCCAAGCACGTTGGCTCCAAGTCCATCTTCTTCTCTTACTCCGATGACACCTGGAAGAACCCCGGTGAGTTCGATGTCGAGCAGCACTGGGGTTGCTCTGGCGTCTTCTAAGCGCCATGCCCCTGATGGATTTTTGAAATTTTTTGTTAGTTCTGCAAATGCAAAACTTGTACAGGAGGACTAGGAGTTTTCCCTTTCTCTGGCTTGGTGTGTCTACGGACGACGATCGGCCCTTTCTTCCCTTCTTGGATTCTATTTTAAATTTGACTCCTTGGTAGATACACCTTTTATTTGACGTTGTCTACTGACCTGGTTGCACCCATTTTGATCTCTTTGTTTATGTTTTTAGTGTATATTTGCTCATTTATGCCTTCTCACGAGTTTCATACTGGTAATCTTTCCCTGTAGGATGTAGCCCTGGAGTTAATATTTGCTTAGTCACCTCTCTGTAACTAGGTACCTGCTGCTGTCTATTCTGACTGTATTTTGCCACCAACTTCCTACATCATACGGCCCCCGGATTGTCCACGACTGATATGCAACCTGCGCCCGAGAAATCGGGGCAGTGCATAAGGCCCAAACACTGAGACTCAGCTCAGCACATGAGATAAACCCAGCCTGTTCACTTTTCCATTCAAGAATAAGAATAATCCTCACCGAAGACAAAATTGTCCTAAAGAACAAGCACCACTCTTTCTTTCCTTTTGGGACAAACCAAAACCAAAACAAGACTCGGAACCTAGACCAGATCCGAATCCAAATCCGATTTCAAACGACATCACCGCCCTTAGTCTCCCACCATGCCATTCGAATGCGAGCCATTCTACATGCGCCCGTTCCTGATAATAAAGTTTATCTTCGTCGGCTTCTACACAGTCTTGGTCTTCCTCATCCCAATAGTGGTGGCAATAGCGATCATCTTCATCGTATTTTTCTTCTTCTTCGGTGTACTTGCAGTGGGATTTGGCTGGCAGGGGGATTCTGATGAGGTTAAAGCGAAGAGAGAGAAGGAGAAGAAGGAGCGTGAACATGAGATTCAGGGGAAGTCGGGTGCAGAACTATCTACTTCTACTGCTCCGGTGCCTACGAGTGGATCTTGTGATACATTCGACTCGGAAAAACGTCTTGAGATTGAGATTGAACTTCTTGGGGAAATGGTAGTTGCTAGGAAGGAGAGATTGGCGGCTTTGAAGAAAATGGATTCGGCAGATGGGTCAGATTTGGAGGTTTTGGAGAAGATGGAATAGGACTAGTATCTTTGTACCTTCACAGTGTTGGGTAGCGGAAGTTATACTTCCTAAATAGGAAAGGTACTCATTTGAATTTCAATGGACGTTCTTTTTAACCTTGAACGGACTATAAAATCCAGGGAGACAAAGGTTCTTGCTACGAGTACCATCCATCCTTTCTTCTTCATCCACACTGTGCCTGTTACCAACATACTTCCATCACTTCCATCGAACCGAATCAACCAAATCCTATTTCGAAACTTCTATTCTGATCGTCCACATACCTCGAAATGGAGGACATGGGCGAGCTTTTATTCGGAGCCGAGTTCAACGAATGGCCTAACCATCTACGTCCAGTATGAGCAACTATACGCATGGTCAAAGAAGGTACCAAGATGATGTTATTCTTTGGATTACCTTATTTGATCGCTACCATAATCCTGCTCGGACCTATTATTGCATTATTCATTTTGCTCGTACAATATTCGGCCAAGGTATTTTCCAACTAGCGACGAAGATGGGACATGAGAGGAAGAGATGATGACAACAGGACATCGGGTATCGAACGTCGTCTAGGGGCTGGCGAGTTCAAAACTTGAGATCAGGGTTGATATTGCAAGAGAGATTGGTGCTTTCTATAGTTTTTGCTGGAGGATATGGGTACGAAATATGGATAAGGGACGGATCCCTTTTGCTCTTTTTTTGTTGTCGTCCATCTATGGAATGTTCGTCCCGGGGGTTTGTCGAGTATTTCGTTTAATGTGTCCTTGCGTTAGTGGTCTTCTCGAGTGATCAGCTATCTTCTAGGATCAGGCTGAGCCTTGTGGGAAGAGGAACCTCTTACCAGAGTGTATTTTCTGTAATAGCTGCATCATACCAAAGCTATCACTTGCTGCTTTGTGTTGAATAGGTAGAATGGGAAGTATCACAGGAAATATGAGCAGCGTTTGCCCCATAATAAAAAACGCTTCAAATCAATTTATATCTGCGTTTCACTGCCTCCAACTATCAAGTATCAAGTATCCACGGTTCATGCTTACCACACAGGTTAGGTCGGGAGGGACTAATCAAGTATTTCCACTCGAAAATAGTATCTCAGCAAGTCGAACTGGGAGATCTGGCTCCCATCACATAAGCATATGGCTCTGCCCTTCCCAGTCTAAGCTTGGACCTAGGAGTTCTATGTCGTATCGCCAGAACATCTTGGCCATGATCAGATTTATATCCATTATTGCGAAACTAGATAATCAGAATAGCTACCATTACATCAAAATAACTAGGGTAACGGACTTTTGGCCTAGGCACCCACTGGGACCGACTGAGAATGGCTGCCTGGCCTCTTTCGCGTCCGCCAGCCCTGATCCAGCCACCATTCAGGGTTGAACTTCATTAGCCCCGAAAAGTATTCTTTTGCTGTGGGTGACTATCCACGCGCTGATACGTATTCCCGCCTGTTTCGATATGACATTCTTTGGAGGATAAATGCGAAGTTCTTCTTCGATGACTGCTTGTAAATTTCGAAGCTTTCGTGCCTTAGTCGCATTAATATTCTCATATTTGGCCAAATGCCCTCGAACCTCGTCTTTCAACTTCTCATGATAGGCCTGCGATTGGAGTAGATGATATGTCACAGCGAGGAAGGCAGCAGCCGTTTCTCCATCGAACTAGTTGAATAACTTGAATACCGCTATGTAGGAGTGCCGGATCAAGGGAAGTGATGCTCGGATGTACACTGTAGCAGCCGTCACAGTTATGACCTGGCTTTGTTTTAGTAGTGAACCTTTGGGGTATATAACCTGTCCCCAGGTCTTTCTCTTTTCTTTTCTTGATCATCTCTTTCTATCATTCCAGATTTTCTCTATATCCTTCCTTATCTATAACACCCAGTCTCAGTTGCCTCCAGTTGTGAAATTATGCCCTCCGACGTCCAAAATGTGGGCATCAAGGCCATGGAGATTTATTTCCCTAGTCGGGTATGTATAATGTAGTGTCCACTCTGCACTTCAACCCATTGGGCAACTAACATAGTCCCTCTACAGTACGTGCCACAAAACGAGCTCGAGACCTACCTGGGGGCCAGTGCTGGGAAATTCACAATTGGCCTGGGTCAGCAGAAGATGAGCTTCTGTGATGACCGCGAAGGTATGCATACAACCTTAAAAGCCCATGCTCCATGCTCTGCTAATATAATGTGACCACATTCATAGATCTCTATTCCATGGCACTCACGGCAGTCTCGTCCCTGCTGGAAAAGTACCAGATTGACCCAAACACTATTGGCCGCTTGGAGGTGGGAACGGAGACGTTGCTCGACAAATCCAAGTCCTGCAAGTCTGTGCTCATGCAACTGTTCGGAGAGAACTCGGACATCGAGGGAGTCGACACTTACAACGCCTGCTATGGTGGAACCAGTGCCTTGTTAAATGCAGTTAACTGGATCGAATCGTCCACATGGGATGGTCGCGACGCCATTGTCGTGGCGGGCGATATCGCTCTGTACGACAAGCCCGCTGCCCGTCCGACCGGCGGAGCCGGCTGTGTGGCCATGCTGATTGGCGCTGATGCACCCCTGGTGATGGAGCCCTTCCGCGGAACGTACATGAAGCACGTCTACGACTTCTATAAGGGGGACTTCAAATCAGAGTACCCAATTGTCGATGGACAGTACTCCAACACGTGCTATCTCGAAGCTTTGGACAACTGCTACGAACGGTATCGTACTAAATCCCTAGCTAAAAGTGGTGGGTTGGGGAACGGAGCTGCAAAGGCCCAGAGTAGTTTCTTGGATACGTTTGAGTATTTCATCTTTCACGCGCCTAACTGCAAGCTCGTCTCCAAGGCCTACGGTCGTTTGTTGTTCAACGATCTCCGGACGGAACCTGATCACTTTGATGACATTCCAGCAGCGGTCCGTGACGTTGAGCAAAATGCATCTCTGACGGACAAAGAAGTTGAGAAGATTTGTATCGGGTTGACCAAAGAAAAGTTCTCCGAGCGTGTCCAACCATCCATTACAGCACCCACACAATGTGGGAACATGTACACTGCTAGTGTCTACTCTGGGCTGGTGAGCTTGCTGAGCAATGTTCCTAGTGAGGAACTGCAGAACAAGCGCATCGGCATGTTCAGCTATGGTAGTGGCCTGGCTAGCACTTTATTCAGCTTCCGTGTCAAGGGTGATACTTCTGGGATTGCGCTGCAGGTCCGGCTGAATGAGCGCTTGGAAGCTCGCACGGCAGTTTCGCCAAAGTTTTATAACGAGGTAAGTTTTTCGTTTGTTGGTTGCTTAAGGAGCATATCGTCTAGGGAGTTAGTTTCTAACAGTGTTAGATGTGCAAACTCCGGGAGAAAGCCTACCAGCAGAAGAGCTATACCCCTGTGGGAAGCGTCGATAGCCTGGCTCCCAGTACTTACTACCTTGTTCACGTTGACGAGATGTTTCGACGAAGTTATGAGAAAAAGCCAGTTGACTGAGCAGAAAGACACCATTCAATACAAGATGTATGGTGTCTTCGAAAAAGGATGAGCATTCCTTGTTTGATAGAATTTTGGCATTAGATGAAGATGCAATACACTCAATTGCTAACAGCCATGTACTAAGCTATTTTTGCTTGCGCGTTACTAGTTCTCTATGCATTTGTCTTCGAGTCTTTTTCAAAGAGGACAAAACAAGTCGATAATTATATACCATTAACAAAATAGATAGATACAAGTGAAGGCATTGAGCATAGGGTCAGGAAAATGATTCCCCTGTCTATGTTGCGTCCTCATGCCAACACAAAGGGGCATCGTGCCCACTTTATCATATTATAACTTCAAGGAAAAGAAATCTTATAGTGGCGTGCAAGTCTGTCGTCCTCATTAGCATCTTGAATCAAGCAAATCACGCCTGGCAGATATCGCGTTGGGGTCGCTAGGTACTTACACCATTGGACCCGCAAGTCAGTCCCTCACAGCAGCATCCTTCGACGGCACAGTTAGCAGCCGTGCAAGCCATAGTGTCCTAGTAGCACTGTTAGAATTGTCTCCCCGCATTTTGCAATATTGTAGCTATCGAGCAGACCCACAGATTGGCATGAGATCGCGGCTTTAGGGTATGCTTCAGGAAGAGCAACGGTGAGAGTGGCGAGGAAGCCGAGGATGATGACGGAGGCACGCATTTTGAATTGGTGAGAGCTGGAAAGATTTGAAATGGGGTATCTAGAATTGAGACAAAGACACAATCAGCGACCGAGTCAAGTATAATAATAGAAGATACGGTGAAAACACCACAATATGCGGCTTTAGACTGGATGCAAGGGAAAGAAAACGGTGTAAACCATACCTTGAGAAATAGTCAAAAAGTGAAGATCGAACAACGGGGTATTTCAATATCGAAATCAGAAAAGCAAAGACGACCGCATACCAGGCTCCATCAAAGTCTTATAGCTTGCGCGTGGGCACCACAATGACACAAGTCACGCACCAGCGCGAAGATCTATCATTGTCTTGCCTGAAACAGGACCATTGGAGGATCTACAGGGGCAATTGTGGGATCGATCGGCGCTGATTGGATGATGGCTGGGGCGTCTTGTCGTTCTTGCGGGCGGGTGCGCTATAGCGGGGATTGCTCGCTTCGATGGATGCAACCTTCGAGTACATTACATAGTTCATACGTTGTTTGATCCTGTTTGATTAATGAATATTTAATTTGGGAGGAGGGGGCTGTTTTTGGCCCCTGCTATAGTGGGAATTGGTGTGTAGAACAAAGACATCAACAAAGATACGCACTGACTTCATTAGGAGTATGAAGTCATTGATAGTGGCGGAATAAGAAGAATTGTGCAATTTGATTATGTTGATGTTCTATGGCTGTCGCCATGTTCATGGTTCGAAGGACACAAGCATCGCCCAAGTTGTGACTTGAACGAGGCTGTTAGCAATGCGGCTGGCAATGTCAACCGCTTGGTGTCATAATTGTAAGGGGTTCATCGTGCAGCCGCTGAGGTTGGCGTTCTTGCAGGCTTGGCGGTGACACACAAGGCTTGCGTGGGCTCCCCAGAGGGGAAGGGATATACCGTGGTGGGTCATGGTAGCTAAGGGGCTGGGGCTATGACACTGGTAACTGCGCTGGGAGATTTCGTGAGATATCAGTAATAGATTTGAGGGAGATGGACATGAATTTGATATAATCGAGATAAAATAAGCAACGGTATTTGATATGGTAAATTTGATACATCATCTGGGCATGAAATATAGACACCTTGGGGCTTAGGCAGCAAAGGAGACGTGAGCATTTCACCTCCATAATTTGCCCTATAGCTCCGTGTAGTCTGGAATGATTTTACTGAATTGCAGCCAAAGTGGTGCTGTACTAGCACAAAATGATCTTGTTGTCCGGAGAGAAAGTCCTTTTCAGTATGAGGAGGTGCAAGCGAAGTATCATACCTTTTCAGAAGCCGGGTAATAATACTATGTCGAAGCTCCATTAGGGTGAGTTGTTTTGCAGCACATGGAAATTTCCCTTCATAATTAAACATGTGCTTCTGTCACAGTAGCTTCAACAATACTTACCAGCGTTGAATGAAATGAATACCGAGTGATCCTTTGTCAATTCTAACCGGGTTGTCCATCGTTCGGGAATTAACTCTTCCGGGGATACAAAAACGCAACTGTCTATTACTAGCATTACTATCTGTGTCCGCTGAATATCGCTTTATATATGGCAAGAAAGGTATTGTGATAAAACAGCATGAAGAGGTACCCGAACCTTCACATTACCAGGGATATATCCATCACCAATATAAAGGCCGTTAGAGAGCGTTAGACGCTGACTTCCCGAAAACAGTGGAGATTGTAAACGAAATGCTTCATTTATAGCCCCATCAAGCAGGCCACTTTTTGAAACACTGTCATAACTCAAACCAGGAAGTTCATCTAATCTTTTCTGTAGCAAGCTAGCCGGAAGAGAATATCTACGGCTGATATTACCTTTTCCATTATTCAACTGGGAAGATTGATCTGGGATGAGAAATAGAGAACGGAAAATTCATTATAGTCCTTGATTCGCAAGACCGCGAGGATGAGGGCGATTTGATCGTTGCTAGAGTGGCTTAATTTGTGCTTTTATCGCTGTTAAACATACTACTCGTATTCTACTTCCTCAAGCGGTCACAGGAAAAGAAGACATTCTACATCTGTTAACTATCATTCTTTCGGAGCGGCATTAACCCGACCTGCGGGAGGCGGGTACTAGCGGGAACGAGACTAGGTGGGTCTGGATTTGGTTTGTGATTGGCCTATTATCTGAATATGCTCCATGGCCATAAAGCTTGGCAGAGCCTGGAAATAATGGCATCGTCTTTTATACAACAATACAGCTTCAGAGATCGCACTAACACACATTCCAAGGGGAATTTGGTTCTTGTTCCAGTCCAAATGTCTCCGAGATCCTTCATATCCGATTTCAAATCATCCTGGGAATTTGCTAATCATTATTAATGACCAGTATCAATTTCTCCTTCTCCATTCAACGCTATTGCCATTAGATGCTTAAATAACCATTTCCCAGACCTATTTTGACACCACTGTCGGGTTTCAGGTGATTCTTCCTTTTTTCTTCAAGTCATTGCACCCGCCAGAAGAATCCGTCCTTATACCGAACAACGACGTCGTCTTTTCATCCGTTTCCTCGAATATCCCCATTTGCGCGAGCTTCCCGAGGATCGTGGCACCAAAAAGAAAATCGCAAACTATGATAGCCATGGATAAAGACGACAATCGCTTTAGGATACCTTTATACCAGCTAGTGCTGTCCCAAGATATCATCACCGACGACGTTCTCAACCACGAATGGGAGGGAAATGGCACGGTGGAAGATCCTTACTTGGTCGATTGGCTTCACGAAGATGCTCGCGATCCCCACCAAATGCAAGATTGGCTCAAATGGTCAATCACACTTCTACAAGCGGCTTCATTTTTGTCCATTACTTTTGCTTCGTCTGCTCTTTCAGCAGCCAACCCCCAGATCCAGGAACGCTTCGGCACCAGTACTGAGCTAGTTGTTGCCGACACCTCACTTTTTGTTCTCGCTTTTGCCATCGGGCCAGCTATCTGGGCTCCGCTTTCTGAGTTCTGGGGTCGTCAGGTCATCTACTTCATCACGTACGGGTTGACTACACTATTTGCTGGGGCAACGATTGCAAGTCCGAATATTGCGACATTGCTAGTCCTACGATTCCTCGCAGGCGCATTTGGTTCGTCGGCAATCTCAAATGCTGGTGGTGTGGTTTCAGACATGTATACGGCCCGGGATAGAGGGCTGGCTACCATCGCTTTTATTGGGGCCCCCTTCTTAGGTCCTAGTCTTGGTCCAATCACTTGCGATTTTCTGGCCGTGTCAAAAGGTTGGGAGTGGGTTCAAGGTCTTACAACTATCTTCAACGGAGTGGTGTTCCTGGCTGGGGTCGCTTTTATCCCCGAGACATACACCCCAGTCCTATTGCAGAAGCGTGCTGCCAAGCTCAGTAAATTGACTGGAGCAGTCTACAAGAGTCGTCTGGATGTTGGCAATGCAAATCGGACTGCTGGTCAGGTCTTCACCAAGACCATGGTTCGACCCTGGATATTGCTGTTCATGGAGCCGATTGTGCTGCTTTTGTCGATCTACATGGCTATCAGTAAGTTCCAAGTTCTCTCATTTCCACATTTTATTCTTATCATGAGCCAATAAAATTCTCAACAGTTTACGGAACGATGTATATGGAGTTTGCTGCCTTCCCGATTGTCTTTGAAGAAAATCTCAAATGGCCCCAGAGCACCTCCGGCCTGTCCTTCCTTGGGATGATGATCGGACAAATTCTCGGATGCGCATATTCAGTCCTCGACAACGGCCGATATAAGAAAATCGCCGATCGTACAGCCTACGCTCGTCCGCCTCCCGAAGCTCGGCTTATTCCGGCGATGGTCGGAGCAGTTACCCTTCCTGTGGGATTATTTTGGTTCGCCTGGACCAACTTCCCACACATCCATTGGATTGTCTGCGAGATTGGAACAATACTTTTTGGGTTCTCTCATGTGTCTATCTTCTTAAGTGTGGTGAACTACCTGGTCGATGGGTATACTATTTACGCAGCATCGGCGTTAGCGGGTAATGCTGTTATCCGGGCCCTTTTCGGCGCAGCATTGTATGTCTTCGCCCATTCTGTTCCTGATTCAAGTACTAGGAGTAAGCTAACTTGATATCTGTATAGTCCACTCTTTACAACACCGATGTACCAGAAACTTGGTATTCACTGGGCCTCCTCAATCTCGGCTTTCCTCGCTGTAGCTTGTCTACCGTTCCCGTGGATTTTCTACAAATACGGACCAGCGATTAGACACCACTGTCAGTATGCTGCGGAGTCTGCCCGACAATTGGATGAAATGACCGACCGGATGCGTGCACAAACTGAGCAGAGAGCAGCCAAGCAGAATACCTAGACAGGCAATGGGCTAGCGGGAAGCAAAGTTCAGGCGCATCTTGTATTATGACTATGCTCTATAGTAAATTACTTTGTGTGTATCGTGTGCATATAACCGACTTGAAAAATTTCATTTTAATCGGGTGGCCGATCTAGTCTGCTGTACGTATTATGGGAAAGGAGTAAATGAACACTGATTTAATTTAGCTTGGCAACAGGCTCAGTGAAACCAACCAATAAACAGAATATATTGATGTGCTCCCATGCTAGGTATTTTGTTTAGTATACTCAAAGGCGCTAACAGATGTAGCCTTGTCTGAGTCATTTACTATCCGTTATCTTGCTTTTTGAGTCCGTGTTCCTGGATCGAAATCCGAGCAAATCCGAGAAAAGTTCCATCTCACCATGGATTTCCACCCCAGCGAGCGTCCATCCGAGTGCGATCTCTTCAAATTCGAGCGATTCGATAAGGGCTATGATGCGGAAGATATATGCTGTGTTGTCTGTGGTGCCCCAAGCTTTGTGAGCTCTTCTTCGGTGCCCCTAAGTCAGTAGTCCGCTCATAAAGATCAAGGTGGTGGAAGCAGAAGTGCGAAACAAGAATCTTGAGAGGTACAAGTGGTTTGTACCGCAGGCCATCCGAGCCAAAAATTATCACTACGAGAAAGATTGGGATATTGCGAGCCTGCCAAATCATGATCTACCGCTAGAAGTACTCGGGATAGATGGTGGGTTACTCTTCCAACTCTCATTCTTGTACGAAAACTATAATCTGCCGAAGAGATTTCTGATTCCTTAGAGATCGAGATCGACGGTGTGCATTATGGGGAGCGGTTGTCAAGATTAGAACCAGTGAGTTATTGGGAGCACTCGTCGAAATTAGTCCACGATCTATATACGGAGTACCCGTATGTAACGGTACATTTGGAATGCCTTGACATGATACGACGTCTGGTAGACTATCGCCAGACTCTTCTGAAAGCTGGAGTGTCGGTTGGCCCAAAGCGCCCGACGACTCTCAGCCAGTTCTATGAAGTATTTGAACAACGATTAACTAGGGTGCATTCCGATTATCCCCTTGGACGCAACGGCTCGTTTCACCCCCGACGTATAATTGAGCCACATTTCTATTACTTTCGGGACACCAACCTCTTTCACAATGTCGCGTGGGCTTTTGGAGACCAGAAGGTCTATGTGAGTTCTGCATAAGTATAACTTATGGTGCTTCCATCTCATCACTAACAACCTGCCATTAGGAATACGAAATGGCACTATATCCCATACCAGGACTCACTCAGGAGATCCTTTCATATCTGCGACCTCTTCCACTCTCCTTGCAAGGACAATCTGGTATATCTCGTGAACTGGAGGCACTACCCACTGAGCTCCAAGACATGATTTATAAAAATTTACACCCGTTTATCAACCCGGAGCAGACATGCACTTATTCCTTACCGTCAAGGCTGTGGCGTGACTTGCTTTTCAATCGGCAGATCTTACCATGGCTTTGGGATTTGGACATCTCCGCCCTACAGAGCTGCCCTCTGACATCCGATGCGGTGGACGTTCCGACATTTGAAGCAGAAGAATTCTGGGATTGGGAGAGCCTTGTTCGCAACCTTGCACAAGTGGAGGTGTTCGAACCGGGGCAACCTTTAGAGCATGCTCCCCTCCGCCTGCGTAATCGTCGGCGGATCTGGAGACTACTAGAGGAGGCCGAGGACGAAGATATTGAGGAGTGGCTCGAGATTCATGTGTACAAGAGAAAATGACGTGGATATATGGAGAGGCCCCCATAAGGTACTCATCATAGCCCATTAAGGGCATCTTGGCGCTTATAAACCGGCGTCTTGTAATCACTGTATTCTAAGGTTCTAACCTTCCACTACTACTTTCTAAGTAAACCTCTATAGAGGTTGTAGTGGGGGACCGCGTCCTCCACTACGTATTGATACTGCCTGTTCATTCCTTACTACCTTTGCACGTATTCTCACTTGTAAGCAAACTATACTGCTTCCCTGCCAGACCCCGTAGGAGAAGATCACTGGGCACTGCAGTATTCCACCAGCAATTAGTAGAAATGGGGGTATAATGAGTGGACAGTTGCAGTTATGACGACCCATAGTGCGAGATACTACTGCAGGAATTGAGCTGCGGCTGAGACTAGCCGATACTATGGAAACGTTCGGGTCCAATTCTGGGGCTCCTGGCTGTTTGTAGCCCTACACCCGGACGTTGCGACAGCTGAAAAAGCCCTCGCCCTTGCACCCGCTTTCGGGTTTGCATCTCGTACCCTCAATGCTCCGGATAGGAACCGGGATTCGGAGAATAGCAAGGGTCGCTGGCGCTCCGCAGAGGGTTTCATGACTAGTTCTGGATCGGGTCTAGCCTTTTCAAACACATGTCTTTGCCGCTCTTCGTGTGGCTTATTTTGGGTGCTTGTCTGATTACTGTGACGACTGGTCTGCTGTAATTGTTAGAGGTTATCTCTACATACTAATTTAGACACTTTTACAGCAGCGTCGATATCAAGGAAGAGCTCGAGGTTTGTATACGGTAGAGGCAGCGAAAGGTTTGACTCAAGAAGTGGGGTGCGCTAGTCCTGATTGAGTGTAGTTCCCGCTGTGTCGATTCAATTAAACCTTTTATGCAAAAAGCCTAATATCAAGACAGCGAGGAAAGTAGTTTTGTACGATCAAGATACAAAATGTGAGTATGATATACACTTCTGTCGGTAATTACGCTAATAAGTCTTATGTAAAGAATAATATCCTAGATGCAGCCATTGCAGAGACAACCCAGACAATTTCGACAGTCAGGCACAAAAGTATACATGGAGTGTTGGGCTTGCTGGCGGACCTGCCTATTTGGGAAGGTACCCGCTCCGTTACTGATTAGGAAACTTTCTCCACTTTCGCTCCATCCATGATGAAAAGCCAGATGATATTCACGAACAAAGCTTTTGTAGTCTGTCTAGATAAATACTATAAAAGCTCTTTGATCTTCTTCTCCGTCCTATGTCTTCATTTATTCATTTTTCTGGTTCTTCAAACATTCGGTCGATTCAACAGCAAAGTCATGTCTATTGGAGTGCAAAATAGTCCACAGACCACGATCTATGAAAGTCAAACCCTCCAACATGAAAACCAGCCTTCATCGTCGGCTGAGTCGTCTTACCACATTCCCGACGAGAAATGGAATCACCCCCGATCCAACATAGCAAAGACACTGGCAACATTCTGGAGCTTCCTAATAATGGGAGCAAACGACTCCGCATATGGCGTAAGATCCTCTCTAGATACCCATAGCAGTTGAAATATTATACTAATGAGTATCACCCAGCCGCTCCTCCCATATGTATATCACCCCTAAACCTCAAATCCTAGTCCCCTTCTAACACAATCCCAGCTCGAAACCTACTACAACCTCTCCTACACAATCGTTTCCCTCGTATTCCTCTCTCCACTACTCGGCTATGTCACTGCTGCAATAATAAACGAGCGAGCACACTGTGCCATAGGCCGCCGAGGCGTAGCCTTCGTCTCATCCTTGTGCCACCTGATAGCCTACATCTTGAACTGTGTGCATCCGCCATACCCCGTTCTCGTTGTATCATTCATATTCGCAGGTCTGGGAAATGGCCTCGCGGACTCGGCATGGAATGCCTGGATTGGAAACCTCGATAATGCGAATCAATTACTCGGATTGCTTCATGGGGCTTATGGTATAGGTGCTGTTATCAGCCCTCTAATTGCATCGCTGCTTGTTGCGGATGCTGGTTTGCCGTGGTATTATTTTTATTACATTATGGTACGTGCTATTTTGTCCACTGCCTTTTCTGATATGGGCCTAGCTCATGTTGACTGATTTTCCTAGATTGGAGGCGCCGCAATCGAAGTTCTTGTCTGCGTTTCATGTTTCTGGGATTCTACAGGAGAATCGTTCCAACTCGCTAAGAATCAACAGCCTGGCGATACATCCGAACAAGCAGGCTTGTGGAGTGTCCTATCCACAATGCCATCTGCGCGAATTACTTGGACCTGCGCAATCTTCCTACTTGGATACGTTGGTGTCGAAGTTGCGCTAGGAGGGTGGGTGGTAACATTCATGAAAGAAGTACGGCACGCTGCGCCGTTTTCCAGCAGCATGACGTCTACAGGATTCTGGCTCGGAATAACCCTTGGACGGATTGTCCTTGGATTTGTGACTCCTTTGATTGGCGAGAAGATTGCCATCTCGGTAAGCTCTCCTAGCATATTTTGTGCACTCAAGTCATATCACAAGCTCACCCTTTGGTAGATCTATATCTCGCTCGAGATAGCATTTTGTCTCATCTTGTATCTGGTTCCAAACTTCTACGCTGGTGCAGTGGCGGTATCACTGCAGGGTTTCTTTCTGGGTCCGTTGTTTCCCGCGGTTGTGGTTGTCACCACGAAACTATTGCCAAAGCACTTACATGTCAGCGCAATTGGGTTTGCGGCAGCTTTTGGTGGTGGCGGTGCAGCTGTTCTTCCGTTCATTGTCGGTGTACTTGCGCAAGCTAAGGGTGTTGAGGTTTTGATGCCGTTTATCATAGCGCTTTCGGCGGCGATGTTGCTTCTTTGGAATCTTCTCCCGGGAATTCCTAGAGATAACGCATCGGCTAATAATAACCGCGGGGCTTGCTAGGCATAACATGGCGCATGACATATCAGGAACTGCATGCCCAAATGTGATGTGACCGATGCTAATAAATGAGTTTATAGAGGCCACAACAGGCTGTAAATAATAAAGTTGAGCAACATAAATGGATTAAAGGCAGTATAATCCCAGGACATATACAAAATATAAACCATAAGAATAGTTGACGGCCTATGGGGCCTTCATCTCTTCACTCATCTCTTCACGCCTGTCCACGATGAGACCATGCAAGTCGCGTATTCCGATCGCCCAAGGTGCCGATGTGGAAGACCCGCTGCTCAGAGAATGAAGATGGTAGTCACGTCCGACTCTTGGGTGGAATGTTAGTTGCGGCTGCCGTATTTATCAATGGGAAACGTGAAAGCAAGCGAAGACTAGCGCTTCAGGAAATTTGGGTCTTGAGAGTTGAACGGCATATCAAGCTCCAGAGGTGAGGATTACTTTTGTATGAGACAATGTTCTGGTTGCTAACGCTCTGTCCAGGATGGTAAGAGACAAGCCGTCCCGCTCACCAGATCACACTATAAGCCGCGTATGCTCCAAAAATTCCGAAGTTCTGTACATGTGAAGTCAAGAGTCAAGATCCTCCAGGCGTTAGAATTGAGGTTATATTCATTTCACCCCTTTTTCACCATGTGTAAGAGGTCAGAATAAAGCTCAGCTTTATAAACGCTCCCCAAAATATAGCCAGCATGCTCTTCCTACCCATCCAAACATGGTCCGCCAACCGCTTCGGCCGCAAACCCACCATTCTAGCCGGGTACATCTTCATGATCCTCGGCGTGAGACTCCAATCCGCCTCCCTAAATGCAAATATGTTCATCTACTCCCGCTTGCTGGTTGGTATCGCCGGTGCCTGGTTCCAATGCGCCGTGATACTCGTCACGGAAATCGCCTATCCATCGCATCGCTCGCTCGTCACGGCCATCTACATGTGCCAGTACTATGCCGGGTCCTCGTTGTCCGCTTTGCTTCGCGATGAGGCATGCGCAGAGTAACTGGGCGTGGCGCGTGCCTGTGATTATGCAGATTGCGTTGCCACTTCTTGCCTTGCCTGGCACCTTATGTGTGCCAGAGTCGCCGCGTTGGCTGATTGGCTGCGGGCGGGTTGAGGAGGCGAGGAGGATTCTAGTTAAGTTCCATGCTGGGGGGGGGGATGGAGGTTCACAGTTTGTGGCTTTTGAGATGGAGCAGATTAGCGAAGGTCTGGCGTTGGAGCGGAAAGCTCGACAGGAGACGCGCTGGATTGATTGTGTTAGGACTCCTGGGGATCGGTATCTTGAGTGTTTATTTGGGTGTTTTTGCTCAGTGGAATGGAGGGTATGTGTCAAATTTGGTTTTACTGTTGATGGGGTGGAATGAGTGGAGAGATCCGTCGCTAACTAGATATCTGTTCTAGTGGTGTGGTGTCATACTACCTAACTCTCATCCTCGATACAATCGGAGTAACCTCGTCAACAGATCAGACCCTCATAAACGGCTTCCTCCAGCTCTGGAACCTGATAATGAGCGTGGTAGGCGCGTGTCTTGTCGATCGCGCAGGCCGCCGTGCGCTCTTCATCAGATCGACTGTCATAATGCTGATCAGCTGTGTCTTCATCGCTGCACTATCAGGAAGTTTCGTGACAACGGGTACCAGCGCCGTCGGAACAGCTGTAATCCCATTCTTGTTCATCTACTATGCGGGCTACGATCTCGCTTTCACGCCCTTGCTCCTGGCGTACCCGGCTGAGATTTGGATGACATCGCTGCGTGCCAAGGGCGTTGCTATCTCCATGATGTCGAATTATATAGCGCTGGTGTTTAATCAGCTGATTAACCCTATTGCGTTTGAGAGGATTTTTTGGAAATATTATTTTGTGTTTTTGGTCGTGCTGCTTGTTGTCTTGGTTGTTGTTTGGGAGACCTATCCTGAGACTAGGGGGAGGTCGCTTGAAGAAATTGTATGCATTTTTGATGGGGAGGCGCGTGTTGCTGGTGATGGTGTTAAGGTAAGTGCGGAGGAAAGTTATACTAGGAAAATTGAACATGGAGAGTTGTGATGGGGAATATATAGAAGTTGTAGAACTTGCTTAATGTTCAAGGACATGAATATTTGACGTGACACGTAGAAAAGTTAAGATACATCGGGGAAGACCGTGAAACACATCAATCGTAGAATAGAGGTAATAATTACTACCTTTGTTGAAGCAGCTTACTTCGGGTTATACTTGTCTTTCCAGATCCTATAGTGTTCCATTAGTTTCAAACTCCAAATCCTCAGTCCGCTGAACATACCATGAATTTCCAAGAGTAGGGCACCCATTCGTCTCAGCGAGTCTGTAATACTTGGCCGCTTTGAACTATATCAACATCGAGTCAGAATAGGCACACAATATACATCTAAGCGGAAATCACACGTACCTTGTCTTTCTTACCCCCGAATCCCTCGAGGTAACACCAGCCCACTTCATTCATGGCATCAGTATCACCCAAGTTCGCAGCAGTCTCGTAATACTGTCTAGCAGCAGGAGGATCCTTTTCTATACCCCACCCATTGCGGAAGCAATTTGCCAATTCGAACATGGCCAAAACGAGCTCTCCTTTTGCAGACCCTCCCTTGTTAACACCAGCACGGAGGGCCTCCGCCTCGACCGCGGCCGAATTGGATGCTGCGGCGGAGAGATAGGTCACAGCGCGTGGAGTATCTACAGGGCAGCCCCATCCGTGTCTGCACATGTATTAGCATCTTGAAATTTGAGAAATAGCTTGGCGTGTTATTACCGTAGTGCGAGGCCATAAAGAACCTGACTCAGAGGATTATTTGCGCCATTTGGATCGGCAAGTTGTCCGAACATCTGAGTTGATCGCTCGAGATCTAGATTGAATGTTAATCAACGTACCTTCATCTGGACAAAAAAGCAAAACTCACCACCAGATTCATGCAGCCGAATCGCCTCTTGGATATTAATCTAAAATCCGTTAGTCCCACATTCTAACGACAACCGCAACCACTACGCAAATATATACGTAGTAAGCACTTACATCTTCATTCGGATCCATACCAACTCGACTCTGGCTCGAGCTCCTCGGCCTAGCCTGCTCCAGCCCCAATCCCAGCCCTAGCGACGCTTCCCCCTCACCTTGCCGCGGCAAGGACGACCCGGATTGCGCAAACTGCGGATTCTGCTGTACAAGCACAGTAGCCCTCTTTTCCCACAACGCCTCGCGCTCCTGCTTACTCGCGCTGTGGTCATCATCGATCTGCGGCAAGTCCGCGGGGATGTTAGCGGAGGAGTCACGCGAGTTACTGCGACTGCGGGGGTCGAGATGGAGAAGGTTTGAGAGACGGCGCTCGCGACGGGGCGGGGATTGCGAGGTTGCAGAGGCCAGTTTGGGAGAGCGGTTGAAGAGCTGGAAGCTCCGGCGCGGAGACGTGGGCTCTTCTTGAGTTGGTGAAGATAAGTATTGGGTTTGGTCGTTTGGGTCGGATGGGGCTGTGATTATCTCTTGGGTGTTTGTGTCTGAGCGGATGAGCTTGAACTCAGGTGCTGGGGGTGTTGGTGCATTTTGGGGTGTTGGGGTAATGCTGAGGTCGTCGCGTTTGTGGAGGATGTTGCGTAGTGAGGGCATGTTGCGCATCTACTCATGCGGATGGTGGCGGGGAATGGATATGAGACTTTTTGGTAGTGGCTATGGTATTTAGATATGAGAGATGTGTTAGGATTACTTGTAGGGCTGAGTGTTTTAAAAATAATAAACAGTGGCTGTGTAGCGGCTGTCCACGGGCTGATGACCCGTGGACTGGGGTCCGGAGAGTCTTGGCCAGCGGCTAATAGCCCGTGTGCACACAAATTAAATATATTGAAATACTAACTTGAAATACTTGGGTATCCTAAGGACATATGCAATGACATGGACTTTCCCCAGATGAAACCTTAGTATAGATCGCTTATCGCTTTCTCCACGGGCCCCGGGGTGGCGTGCTGCATTAGACCCTGCATATCCATAGGGCGCGGTGCATGGACTCAGCCTTTACCTCGGAAAATACCATGGTGTTTACTCAGTACAAAGCTCTAGAGTGGTACCAGTTATATACGCTCAAAGGGCACTCTTGAGTATCTCTATCATATTCTGGTCAAAGTGTTCTACGAAGAAACTGGCCAAACAGATTCATATGCCAGACATCAGCTGGGCATTTCCAGGCCCAACGCGCTTGAAAACATGTCTTGAAACCATGCATGTCCGAGTATAGAGTAAGAATCAAAATGGTATTGCAAGGTCTAACTCGGCAGATGCAAATAGCCCTTATAGTTTTGTACACAATGCCGAATGCAGTGAGCTACTGAGCCCATTTACAGGGCCTTGGACGCCATGATGCCTGGGAATCGTTAGTACTCTTCTAGTTAAAGGTCAGTTGGTAGATAACTCACGCTCAACATCAGCAACGCTCTGCTGGAGGATCTGCTGGAGGACCTTGGGGCTCTCAAGCTCCTTCTGGATCTTGGCAATGACGGACTCGGCAAGCTCACGCTGCTGGCGCTGCTTGACCTGGTTCTCGTAACGCACCCAAGAGTCGAGGACCTGCTTGGCCTCGGCAGCGAGGGCAGTGCGCTGCTGGAGCTCGTAGGCCTGGGACTCGAGCTGGGCGGTTTCCTGAAACGGACTGTCAACGAACCGACCCAAGTATCAACCTATGCGACTGGGTATTCCTACCTTGGAAACAGCGAAGAGCTGCTTGGTAACCTCAACAACGCCAGACATCTGGGAGACGTTGTTGATACGCTGCTGGACAGCGTTGGTGTGGTCGGCACGGGCAGCGTTCAGGATGTCCTTGTGCTTCTGGACCTGACCCTCAGCCCACTCGCGGTAGGCGGGACCACCGTACTTGCCAACAGCGGTGAAGACTGACAGCAGACAGAAAGCAGCGACGGTCTCCTCGTTCATGACGTACAGCTCGTTGCTGATGGCGGCGATGGACAGACCGGCGGCGGCAGACAAGGTAGCGGTCTTGGTGACCAGGGAGTTGCCGGGGATGGCGTTCAAGATCGACTGCGCCTTCTTGGCGGGCTCCTCGGCGGGAACGTTGGAGGCCTGACGAGAGGAGGTCAGGTTCGCAGTGACGGCAGGGACACCACGGGCGGGAAGAGCCGGCCGAAGTCGGGATGCGCCTAGGGTGAGTTAGTAACTAAAGGCATCGAGTCGATCAGACGGTCGCGGATCGTAAAAAGCGTACCAATGGCGCTCTTGGCGAGACGTGAAGCCATTGTTGCAGATGGAAGAATCTTGGTCAATGGGGTGGGTGAACGGAATTGAGGAGACTTGAGGTTCGGGATGGCTAGGAGGTGAAGACGCTAGCCGTTTCGGGCGTTGGTTCCGTGCCTCGGAAAAACCAGCTTCCGAGATGGTCCAAACGATAAAAAAAGTTGCAGATAACCCGGTCACGGTACACTACAAGACGTCTGCCCAACATGCCTGCACCTGTTACGGATTCGAGCTCTAAGAAGCGCAAGAGCGGCAAGAATGCCAGCGGCCCATCCTCCAAGCGCCGCGCTGTCGCCGATGACGATTTCGCCGAGAAACTGTCTACAATTCAAGACCTAGAGAATCAAATTGCGGAGTCGCGAAAGGGCTACAACAACATTGCGACTCTACTCTCCATGCTCAATGTCGAGAAGTCAGCTGAGAAACCCGAGATGGCCGTGGCTGTCTCTCTCTGCCGTGTGTTCAGCCGATTGATCGCCGGAGGAAATTTGACCGAGTCAAGCCGCGCCGCTGAGAACGAGAAAATCGTTGTGGCATGGCTGAAGGAGCGTTGCCTTGATTATCAGAATGCTCTTGTGGCTATCATACGCGAGGCAGATACTTCCTCTCAGGTATGTTTGCTCTTCATCTGCCGGGGTTTACTATTACTGACGATCTCCAGATTGCTGCTCTGACGCTGAGCATGCGCATTGTCAAAGAACGCCTCGCCCATATCCCGGGTGCGGAGAATAATGTCTGGTCGACGGGTTTCTTCAAAGATATCTTTGCGGCCATCATTGAGGCCCACAACGGGCAGGATCTGCAGTCCGAAGCCGTTGCCAAGTTCGTGAAGGAGTATGAGGATGTGAGATATTACACTTTCACACAGATGGCGTATGTATAACTCTTTCTCGGTATCGAGTCTTGTGGCTAACTTACATCAGTGATTATGCCTCTACAAAACGATCCCCCGAAGTCCTTGACACCCTGATTAAGATTCTTGAGACCTGTGACGAGGTACCTGGATCGGAACACGAGTTCAAAAACTTCTACGCGAAACGAGATACCAAGAATAAGCGCTTAGTTTCGGCAAACTCCCACAGAAAGCAGGCACAGGAGGCGTGGTTGGCCATTCTACGGAACAATCTCTCGCAATCTCAGCGCAAAAACCTGCTGCGTATGATGGTGCACAACATCGAGCCGTGGTTCAACCGACCGGAACTACTGATGGACTTCTTGACGGACTCATACAATGTTGGTGGTGCGACATCTCTCCTCGCACTGTCTGGTCTCTTCTACCTGATCCAGGAAAAGAACCTGGACTACCCTCAATTCTACGCCAAGCTGTACTCTCTCCTGGATTCCGAGCTGCTGCACTCGAAGCACCGATCACGATTCTTCCGACTGCTGAATACCTTCTTGTCCTCAACCCATCTTCCGTCCACATTGGTCGCCAGCTTCATCAAGCGTCTTGCTCGTCTTGCACTGAACGCCCCTCCCTCCGCCATTGTAGTGATCGTTCCGTTCATGTACAACTTCTTCAAGAACCACCCCACCACTACATTCATGATGCACCGATCTATTCGGGATAAGGATCTCCTCGCACAAGTGGAAAAGGAAGGCATGGACGATCCGTTCGATCCAACCGAGTCCGACCCCAACATGACCAACGCCATTGAGAGTAGTCTTTGGGAGATCGAGACTCTCCAGTCTCACTTCCACCCCAACGTTGCGGCCATTGCACGGATCATCTCCGAGCAGTTCACAAAGCAAGCATACAGTCTGGAAGATTTCCTTGATCACACATATTCGGGCATGGTAACTGCAGACCTTGGACTCGAAGAGAGAAATCTCAAGAAGATTCCTGTCGTCGAGTACCAGATTCCCAAGCGTATCTTCACAGATCGCCTATTAGAGGAAGATGGTGGCGTGGACTCTGGACCAGGGAGTTTCATGCGGGATTTGTGGGAGTTCTGAGGGTTCATATATCAGCGTATACCAATTCAATTTGTTTGACAATGAAGTTTCCTCGTGAGTTTAGACATTGCGGGGTATAATCATAGTTCCCTACCTTGAAGAGAAATGATCATCTACCAACAGATCCCTTGCTGGAGGTCTCACCATGGAAGTTCCGGTGCTGAAAGTAAGCATTAGATATGGGGCTCGCAGCAATGGTCACAATACAAGCCCACTGGTAGATCAAGGAAAGCTACAGCTTATTCGGCCTGTCTTGAGTCTCATTCTTGTTTCATGGCCACCATGGGTAAAGCTAGAGTGGCACTATGTCCAATCTAGCCCCTACTTACGTTGTATAGAGCAACGTCAGAGATATATATTCTTGTCTTGCAGTACTCAGTCATATACATTCTTTCAACTCAATTCAACTCATCACTATTGCTATTGCCAATATTGTTTCCTATCCATATATTCATGGACGTGGCCGTATTGATATGCCCAGACCATTGAGTTATAAGGCTGGGATATTCGGTATTCCTCGTGCCTTATGGATGACGATCAAGCCAACCCAACCTCCAGACGACAATACTAAACCATATGGCACCCCTTGGTATGAGATCGATGGTACATAGAGGGAGGCCCGAGAAATGCTTGATGGGCTGCAAGAAATAATCATGTTGTTCACTATAGCCCTATGTTGTATACATAGACTGATCGCCACCAAAACAAGCCGGAAAGGGATGGCATTCCAGTATGTCCCGGCGAGTCATCTTATTGGACCACTACACTCCACGTCTCATCCATGAGTATGAGCCCTTCTTATATGGCCGAACAATTCTCGTGGGCTTTCAGCCACCACTAGAAAAATGAAGCGATGTCGCAGCCACCGCCGGTGGCCAGTGAGGTCAAAGATACTGAATGACAGTAAAACCTCTCACACCCTTACCATGAAATCTGATAAAGTTCTCCCAGGCAAAGTCTTGCGTTAAATTTGCTCGAGAATTTCCAATACTTGCTAGCAGGCATTCCCCAGCCAAGGTAGACAACATACTGTATTAGGTAACATGTTGATGCTGCACTACACTATCAGGGCCATCGGAATGCAACATTCCCCCAAAACGCTCTTGGGTCTCAGCGTTTGAATACCAACAGGCGGCTTCGAAGATCACTTCTGTGGGGCTGGGAAAGATCCAGACAATTATTGCCGTCAGTTAAGAATCGTGATGCGCCACCAGTTCTTGAAAGTTATATCGCGTTCTCTATCACTAGATCCCCCAATTCACCAATTATACGCACTTTGTCTACCATCACCTCACTTTCTTTGAAACCTAACCGTCTATTGATTTTCTCCTGTCACAATGTATTTCTCAAAGAGTGTTATTGCCGTCATGGCTTCGCTCGTGACTCTTGGTCTCGCCGCCGACCCTTTATCCTTCACTTCCTGGCCTAAGGAGCCCCTCGAGGCTGGCAAGCCAGTCACTCTCACATGGATTGGTGCCGATGCTGATCTGGTAATACACATCTTTTCCGATCTCAAATCATAACAATACTAACCATGTGAAGCCTGTGACCATCCTCCTCCGCCAAGGTTCTTCGGGCGACCTGCAGGACGTGAAGCCGATCACTACTGATGGCAAAGGCGGTACCTTCACCTGGACGCCTGACAATGATGTCAAAAGCGGCAATACCTACGCCTTCCAGATCAGACAGAAAGACGAGACTAACTATACCGCTCTGTTGAAGTCGGCCGGCAAGCCCCTCGCCGATATTCCCGAAGCTAAGGAAGTTCAAAACACAGCCTCCGAAACTGGTACTGTTGCTTCTAATGCTGCAGCCACCGGTACTACCGCCGGTGCTACCGACACTACTGCCGCCCTCAACACCCAAACCATTGGCGGTATTACCCAGGCGACACAAGGAACCCATACCACAATGACTAGTACTGCCAGTAAGCCCCTCATCAGCTCTTCTGCCAACCCGTCTGGCAGTCCTTCTAGCTCTGTCGCTGCTAGCTCATCTGAGAGACTGATGGCCACAGGCACTGAGGTTGTCAATGGCAAGGAAGCATCCTCCACCGGAAGCATGCAAACTGGCGCCGCTTCTATCCCACGGTGCTCCGTACAATTGGCAATGGGTATTGCTGGTCTCCTGGCCTACATTGTTTAGTTCATTCATCTATTGTGGCGTTATCGGTCTGATTTTTGGACTTGTTTTGGTTGGAGTTGGGCAAAACTGATATAGCATCCTGTATATAGAATACCCCTGAAAATCGTTGAGATACAGGTGACCTGAGGCGTTGAGAAAGTAATCAATTACATTTAGCATCAATGACATCAGACATTTACAAACAAAACCAAAACAGAAAGAAAAAGCAAAGAAAGAAAACAAAACCTGTCAGTCCATATTCTCCTGCCGCTAGCGCCGTGGCGTTTCCGATGGACGCGCAGTTGAAACACAAAGAACGATGATCGACTGATCTTCCGCAACTTCCACCTTTCTTACCGCTTCATTGTTTTGGAATATTCTGCAGCGAGTTATAGTTTGTTTTATCTGTGATGATCTTTGTTGCATCAGATAGTACCTTTATTGATCCGCGGCCTCCCTTGCGATGTCTAGATGAATAAGCGAAATCTTAAGACAACGACCTCACGTCTAGCTCAATTGGCTTCTAATACTGGTATGAGCCTTTCCCTTCACAGTTCAAAGGTCCACTGGTTTTTTCTCCCATCTTGCTCTCCCATCCGGTTCCTCATGACAGGCGCGGGCGGTCACCATGGGGGGCTTCAAACGGGTCATGAAGCGTCTCAGCCCTAGCAAAAATCTTATACCGATTGCTGCTGACCCCCCTATCCGTGCAGAAGCGCCACAAGTCAATCTTTCGCATGTGGACACGCAATTGAACATGCACCAGAATAACGGATTCCTCGACGAACCAGCCGAAGGCCAGAATGGTTGGTGATTCCGATCCCACTCCCTCTACACCCCAAGCTTACAATCCCCACATTCCAGGCAATTACAATCCATCCTCGTCCCCTTCGAACCTTCCGAACCCTTCCGCGGCCCCCGCCGACCCGAGCAATGGCGAGATCCCCACATCAGAATGGTCAGCGGTTGGCCATGCAGCAGCGACAGGGAAATCAGGACGTGTTATCCACAATCTCCAGGAGGAAATAGCACGCCTGACGCGCGAATGCACACTCTATAGGTCCCGCGCGGAGGAGTACCAAAGAACCAACGAGGCCTACAAGATCCAGCAACAAAACATGAACGAGCGCCTACGGAACCTCGAGCAAGTCAACGAGACCAATCTCAACTCAATCGCACGGAAAGACCGGAAGCTGGAGGAATTAAGACTGGACCTCCAGCACGAGCGCACCAAGCGGCAGGATGCGGAAATGAACGCAAACCAGACAAACCAGACGATGCGCGAGGAGCGTGAGAACCAAAATCGTGAACAAGCCCGGTTACTAGAGATCGCCAAGCACCACGAGACACAGTACGAGGTGCTATCCAGCGCGACGAAACGCGAAAAGGCGGAGTTTGCAAAACGCATCAATGCCATCTGGGCCGAGTTCACGACTATCGCCAACGCCCAGAAAACACATATACAATCCACCGAACGGTTGGAGGTTCTTGCAGATCAAAAGAACAGGGAATTTGACTCCCTCAAGGAATCTTATGAGAAGCTGCTCGCCAACCATTCCGCCTATAAGGAAATGAAGGATAACGAATTCCGGGACACGATTGACACGGCCAAATCCAATAACGATAACATTGCTGGCGTTCTGGCTCAGCTCAAGGAGACTGAGACAGAAATGAAGTGGGCGATCCGGCTCAATGCAAGTCGACAAGGCAGTGATTAATTTGCGCTTTGTCTTTGTTTATCGGCAGCTCTTGTTTGAGTCAACCTCCAACCTTAGCTCTGCGAATTGTCTATCCCCCCCCGCCTTCTTCTCTCTGCTCTCTGCTTGAATACTTCAAAACCTACCGCCAAACGCCAGACCGCCCTCCAAATACCTTCTTCCGTCCCGATTTCAGCCTTTTCACTCCATCCCATGTCTTGACAACCCACACCCTACCTACAACTCCTGTTCATTTCTCATAGACCATTCTTGACCGGTGCATGGCGTTTCGTTTCCCTTTGCAGCAGATACCCGTCGTGGCAGAGTTCAGTTCGGTCGTGTACCCTTCGATTTTTGTATTCCTGTTTCTATACCTATCTTTCACCTGCATTTGCATTTTCATTCGGTCAACTATGGGCATCACCTTACCTCCTTTCCCTGTTCTACTGTTACCCCCTGTTAGATATGACGTTTGATGACCTGCATATTTTTACCCGGATATGATTACACTGTGATGAACATGACAGTAAGACTTGTCTCTTGCTTGTGTTCAAAAGACCGTTAAAGAGTGGCTACATATTTTCTTTCTGCCTAGATGTCATAGGCCTGTTATTATGCTTAACTCGGAAATTTATACTCCTTTGACTTTTGCTTGACTTGTTTTGCATGTACTTTGAATTTTCCATCGATTGCTGTGATCCAATCTCGTCCTGATACAAGATAGCACCCACGCGGGCTCACACCTGTCGCTTGCTAGTGACTTCCAAAGTTGATAGACGCGCGCGCGTACCCGGTTGTTCCTTCCATTAGTAAAGGTCTGAATATCGCCGTCGGCGCTGCCATAATAGGAATAGTTAGAATCACTTCACCTCTTCCCTATTTATTCGTCTCTCTTTCTTCATCTCTTCCTCACCCTTGCTACTTCATCATTGTCTTCATCTCATACATGCATGCACCCTTAACCACGGTGTGATCGATTTGCCTTCGCCTACCTCTTCCTCAACCGATTGTCTCTTCCAAGGTTTCCCAGGCCAATCAACCTACATCTGGCCAAATTTCTCCTTTCATTAAGGTTTCAAACCAATTCACGTCTCAATCAAATCACGTCCGATTGGCTTGCGACTTCAACCGAGTTGTATCCGTCCCACTCCAATCTATCCAGGCCCGCATCAATTCACGCCTGTCCATAACCCCCAAGCACCATTCAAGATGCCTGGTAGCCGGACGCTTCATTTGACTTCAATGTGGTCACTGGAGGACCGAGGGGTAAGTCTATATAGCTTAGCCTCCTTCATGGACCAGGACTGACCAGACTTGATATAGATTCTAGAACTCCGAGACAAGCTCAAGTACGGAATATTACTATCTATACCTGGCTTGATCAAAACTGACTCTTGAATAGAGCATTGAATCCCGGCGCTTCGATGAAGGTCGAATATCTACGCAATAAACATGTAGGCGTTTGTGTGCTATCTACAATGGCGGCTCTGCTAATACCACCCAGATCTTGGTTATCACTGGCCAGTTCGATGAAGAATTTGATGTAGAAGTCACATCACTGCTTGCAGACTATATCGAAGAGCATCGTCGCAATGATGATCTACTCGATGTATGTCTAGATGCCTTCCTAGCGCCCAAGTTATATGATACTAACGCTTCTCAAGATGCCGAGAGTTCGTCAACTTCCAATCTCGGCCTACTTTGATCCCACTCCCCTTCCCGGCTATGGAAATGATGCGCAGCCAGATGTGGAAACCCTAGTGGAGGATATCATGCCGACACAAACCACTAGCGATGAACGCATTGTCAAGTTCTGGTATCCCTCGCAGGTAGGATTGGGTCCCATCTCTCGTGACTCGGGTCCTCTCCTGTCTCGCATTTCCCAAACGACGGACACGCGAATTACAGTGCAGGGAACCCGAGGGCTTCGCATTTCTGCACAACGCATGGACGACATGAAACATGCAGTTGATATACTCGACGCCGTTGAAGAATGCTTGGTATAGTCCTGAGTCTTCTTTTTCAAGTCCTCTATGCTAATTATTTCTAGGACCTCATTGAGAATCCAAATCGAGGAGTGATCATCTTTACTCCAAAACGGGAGAATGCTACCTTTCGCATCATGCCATATGCACAGATCAGTGCCACTGCCTTGTGGCGTATTTTAATCGACCGAAATGTTCCTCTTCACCTCTCAAAGATAATGACTCTGGTCGTCTGTGAATTTGATGAGCTCGCTAACGAATTCCTTCCACTTCGCAAACTTCGGCAGCCGCCGCAAGTGCCCCTGAAGGAAGCGAGCATTACTCGAGACTGGGAAGGCTATCATTTTCCAGAGATCGGTCCGAAACACGATCCCCTTCTAGGGAAAATTGATCGGCATCTCCCGCCCAAAAGTGAGACCTCCCATGAGAAGAGCGACGCCCAACACCCGTATCTTTCTACCGGGAAGGCAAAAGATGTCGACAAATGGATCTCTCGGGGTGTCACTAAACGGCCTTTGGCAAGTGACGGCCATGTGAAAAGAGACCTGGAAGATCACCCCACCTCCCCCGAGCTTGTTGCGTCCAGCCCGCCACCTGAGCCCGGCGTTTCCACATCATGGCGCCAGAGACAGTCGAGTCCATTTAAGGCGAAGCCAACAGGTATCAAAGGGCGCGTGGTTATGTTACCAGATGGAACAGTAGCACTGCCTAGCCAGTCTCAACAAGAAAAACCAATAGACACACCTTGTGGCCTGAATAGCTCCATATTTAGCAGACTCAGCTATAGGGAGAGAGTCAGGGACCAACAGGTAGCCGGTTCGTCTGCCTCAGTCCCTCAAGAAAAAAGACCCGTTAGTACTCTTCGAGGCGTGACTGACTCCACTGCTCCAAGTGTAGCTTCCAAACAATCGGGCGCAATGTCTGAGGCAACCGATTCTGCGGCTTCTACCTATTCCACCTCTACTCAGGAACCGAAGTCAAATGCCACCCCTCGTCTCCCAATTTTATCCACTCCTTCAGCTACAATCCACAAACAGCCGGGAGACATGTCATATGCCGCTGATTTGGCTATCTCTCCCGCTTCCCAACAAGAAGAGCTGACTAGCACTCTGCGTCGACCAATTCGCTCTAGTTCACCAAGAGTCGACAGGACCCAGCCTTTCGGCATACCCGAGGCAGTGAATTCACAGGTGAATACAAAACCTCAAGGACGAAGTGTTGATTCAGTGATGGGGGAGATAAAGCTAATGCTTGAGACGGCCAAGATCACGAGGGGAACTGGAATAGAAGAAGTGTCCAGCAAGCCAGCGACAACAGATAAAAAGCAGGCAAGCGCCATATCCACTCAGATGGATCTCAGCACAGAGGAAACAGAAAGCCTCAGTCTCCTCATTGATCTTGATTGCGAAGTTAGAAGCTTCAATAATGGTCTTCAACACAATGTTGCGTTTAATCCACTAGCCACAGTCCCATCAATCGTTCCGGAGCAGTCTACAGATGCTCATCATGACCAATTCCACTATGGCGAGGCTCTCACTTTTACGGAAACTGGTGACATTTTTGATATGCCCAATATCGACGACATAACTATGCAACCTGAGCTAACCCAGGATCCGTTGATCCTCCGTGCGACGACTCCAACCCCTATTCCTAGCGAGTTTGCTCAACCAGAGTTCGCTACAGATGTGCCGTTGCCTGATTCAGATGTTGCTGACTCTCATGATGAGAGCGACGTATCGGAAGATGAACAGAAACATGAACCGGTCCCAGAACACCGCAGCAAGGCCGATGAGGTCGCAATGGAATATCTGCTCAGGCAGATCAAGGACAATCCCAGCCAAGAAATTCTCAATATAGAGGAGATTGCGCTACCTCTTGATGCTACCCTTAATGATCCTGCACTTCGAGGTCTGCCTTCTGGCTCGCGTGACCGCACTCCGCATCATGGTGTTCAGCAACTTCATCGCCTTGCTGATCAAAGGAGTGAGAAGGTGCCATTTCTTCATCCAGATCTCATTGATATCTCACCTCGGATGCTTTCTCCTCGCTTGGGGACGTCTAGTCGTGGCTCTTTGCAAAAGCCTGACTCCAAAAATGATGAGCAACATGCAGAACCAGTAGTTGACGAAAAGCTGGCTGTCTCAGAGGAGACTCGGACAAGAGAATTCCGCGAGACAATGTTTCATCAGCGACCTTCTGACAAGGCTTTTCAATGGGTGGATGAAGTAACCAAGGCAGCGAGAAGGGCAAAAATTGAAGTCCACACTTCTAATTCCTTGCAGCGAAGGGAAAACACCGAAACAAATGCAGAGAATAAGGCAAAGGCTGAAGTTCCCATTGCTAAACTCTGGCAGCGAAGAGCAGAATCCAAATCAACAGAAGAACAGCCACGAAAAGACACTGCTTTGCCCATGAAGACGGTTGTGAAATCATCAGAAGAAAAAAAGCTCATTCGTGAATCGACAGAGCGCCTGTATCGCTTCCTAGAACCAATCCTTGATGCAGTTCGCAGCTTTCCTGGAGCTTTGAGCCTCCAAATTCAGTTCGGCCTTATGTTCATGCCCAGTTTGCCAGCTTCAACAAAAGAGAGAGATGAGCTACAAGGCGGTTCACCAGCTGTTCTACTCTGAGAATAACTTGACACCGCCTCCAGCCTCATTCTTCCAGCGCTTGACTTCATCTCCCGCGGATATTGACTACCTCATCGATTTGGAGGTCAACCAATGTCGCCTGTTCGACCAAAATTACAGCCACCGAGGCGTGAAATACGAATTCTGGTGCCGCGTTGGTCCGAACAGGATCATTATTATTTCAGTTAATGAACGTGGAAATGCTATGATTCGCTATCCTGAATTCTCTCTAGGCAGTGTGCACTTGAGCTTCCCTTCCCAAGTGTGGGATGCAGCTGCTAGAGTACAAGGCTTTGTCGAATACATTACGGGGGCTGACCTGGAGCTTGACGAAGCTGCACGAATGATGGCGAAAAGCATCCGGGTAGAACCAAGCAATCAACATCTTCGTATGCTCGTCCGTCTTCCCACCGACTCAAAGATCAGAATTGACCAGGTATTCATGGAACGGTGGAGCCGTCACCCTTACCGCTCGGAACGGAGCAAGGACTTGTTTCTCCAAATCAGCGAAACGCAAGAGCTTTTTGGCATCCCCTCCGTCCTGAGCTCGGAAATCAAGGTTTTTCAGAACGCCCCGCTTGAACAAATGGTCAAGGATGGAAAGCAGTGGTGGCAGGCCTCGATTGTCAGCAGCAAGGTGGATGAAATCATGAAATCGAATTCCTTCGTTGAGCCTGGTGGACGCAACGAGTCCTGGTGCGCGACAGATCTTCTCGGTGCAGACATCATGAATATCATTCCCTCTACTGCGAACGAGGGTCTGAGTACTCTCGGGGCCGAAGTCGGCCATTCGGGAATTGGAGCCATGTTGCAACTTGCCAAAACAGTCGTGCAGAAAGTCGATGCTGTGGGGTACTGGAACAGAGGTCCTGGCAGTATTGAGAAGCGCACTATCACATCGAACGAGCGCAGCCGTGATAGTACAGGTACAGTCAAGGAGTCATCCAGTTACTTGGGAAAAGAGATAATTCCCTGGGTTAGGCCACCTAAGCACAGGTGGTGATGAGATAGGGAGGATGAAAATGGATCTTGGGGGTTGGAGTGGAAATGACACAGATTTATTCTTGTCATTGTCGTTTGATCCTCGGGATCTTTATGGGTCTGCGTACCCTGACGACATGATATTGCATTTCAGACTTAACACAGAAATACAAAAAAACAATGTTTGATATTTTACAAATCGCACTATGGTTAGTTGGTGTATTTGTGTGTGTAGGTTAGCTCTATTTGGTAGATATAGTTGTCTTTAGCTGGATTTACTGCTGACTATTCCAGTGACCAGTCAGTGTGGCCTCCTTTTCCTGTTGCTATAGCAATTCGCAATCGCTCTAAGCTATAAGGTAAATAGGATTAAAAGAATGCTATTATCCTGACCTACGTGGCTCCTACTATAAAATCTTCTATAAAGGTTTATATTCAACTAGGTATGACTTCCGCCTAGGTGTTTAATAAACTCCGAGAGCTCTATAAAGCTAAGACCTTTTCCTTAGTTGTGAATTCTTTATTCCCAGTCCTGTGAAGGAAATATGAATATGATTGGTAGAGATTATGCGGACGTAGTTTTGTCATTCCTTTTCTTCTTTTGATGCAAAGTTTGATTCACTTCTTTGTACTTTTACCACCGCATTCTGCATTAGGATACATTCGAATTACGCACTATAGACTGAGTAATACATCTTCCACTTCCCCCAAAGTACACCGAATAAGACAAAAGACATGAAGACGAATCTTCACTCATCTACTCAAAGGTCCATTTGGACTAGACGGTCGGAGACTGTTCGGCAGTACCCTTAGTTTTCCGTCCTTGGAGTAATAGTTGTTGAGGTAGAATACTACGACAAGAGGCATCGTCAGAATCAAATCGACAGCGAATCGCAGCCCAGGATCAACTCACCTCGTGCAATGATAGCAAATGTATCACAGTTCTTCCATTTCAAGTCTGAGCTTGCCAGGCCTTTACACCCAACATACTCGTACTGCTCGCTGACCCCATCGCTCAGAGATCTTGGGACTAGATCAAAAAGTCAGTATCGTATACTTAATCACCGACAAAGTCGGGTGACACTCACATTGATCGAAACTGCCTGTATGAATGAGCTCGTGCGTGAATGTAGAGCTGATCGTCCTGGACAGAATATCCACACCCTGCTCATGAACATTTCCCTTGTTCAATTGACTGAAAGTTGGCGGCTGGTTGACACCAATGTTATCCTTGTCACAGAGCATAATAACATCCTTGCCGTTGGCTTTGTACGCAGTAGCCTGAACAACGTCGCAGGGTCTTTGCTTTGGTCCCGGTGCAGGGTCGTATCGCACATCTGCATGCCCTCTATCTTGGTCTCGGTACACACCTTGAGAGATAAAATTCAAATGGCTGTCGCCACAAACGATAGTGAGACCATCTGCTGATTCGGAGTAGTCGCCTGGAACTTTTGATGCTGGGTTGAGGGCATCTAGGTGCATTTGTTAGCTTGCAACCACTTAATTTCCGAGCAAATTGGAAGTGGAACCTACTGTGAACTGCCTCATACGCCGTGGCAGTGTGGTCTCCGAGAAAGTCATCCAAGATGTAGCGACGTCCTTTATCTTTGCAAGTTTCGTCCATTGTACCCATTTCCTGCATTCTCTCCCACATTGCGCAAGCTGCTCCTATTGAACTTGACCAACTCAACACGGCTTTTGCTTCTTCCATTGCACTTTTTATATCAGCTCTGTGATTACCACAGTCACAGCTACTGTGAATGTTGTATGCAAGAGATTGCGAGGCAGCCCCTAAAAGGAGAACTGTTGTGAAAGTTTTCATCGTTCTCAGATGACCAAGTCGACTTGGAGATTTAGAAACAGAAGAAAAAAACACAAGGAAATTGCACAAAACGTAGAACAGTCCTCTATCTCTTCCACTATTTCCAAGATTTAATGTGGGCATGTATTTTGGGTATCCCCCTGTGCTTATGCTTTCATGTTTCTATACCCTACGGACCGCACTAATCAATGTGTGCTCTTGCCACTGGAATTTGATATCCCGTGTTTATTGGGGGCCATGTGGCTGACTTTCCTCTACTGGCAGTGTCCACTTCGCTAAGAGTACCCATATCTTAGCGACGCTAAAGATGTCTCTACTTTAATGGGCATTCTCGCAGTATAGGCACCAATACCAGTGAAAACCCAACAATTACAGGGAACAAAGAACGCTATAATTCCTGCAGATACAAGATAGGGGCCAAGATTACTGTAGACTGTCCATTGTCAGGAAGAGAAAGACTACGGACATTCAAAAAACACTGCGACACTTAGACGCTAAGCTACTTCGGGTATGGCCTTCTCTTCAGGAATACGTCCCCTGCCAAGCACGCCTCTTATAGTGGGGCCGCGACGTACAATGAGCGAATCAGATGACACAGAGCATAGTCTAACGGGTATAGGAAATACCTGCCTTTGACATCAAGTAGTGGGGGCTATTAATCGGCGTTGATCAGCGTATCAGACACCTATCACCTCTATTTGAACGCTTCGACCTCTGCGGAATTGAGGTCCAGAACCTAGTTATATGAAACAGTCGTATGTTCATCATGCTGGGGCCAAAAAGCACTGCTGCAATTGGGTGAAATACCCAGGTGGATAGAGGATTTACATCGGTGGAGGCTGTATAGTACCTCGCGGGACAATATATCCCGTGCTTGATGCTTCATGTTGGCAGCTTAGTTCCTAATAAGTTGGGGAAAAGAAGACGGCCCTTCTCTGTTTCAGTCTATCGAGTACCTACTGCGTCTTGAGATCTGCCATGATGCAACTTAGGGCTTTGGTCTTTGGACTGCTTCTACTCAAAGCCGCTGCAATTCCTAAAGGTAGTTCCTCATCAAGGGGCTCAACCTCAACTCCTTGCAGAGGCACTGGTTCCTCCTGTTCGGGAATCTATCTCTCATCCAAGACACCGACTTCAGTTCCAATTCCATTTTCCTCTAAGGTCAAACCAACAGAGTCTGCTGGGCCTTCTACTCATTCCAATGCAAGCTCCCCGAGTCCCGGCTCGTCTACTTACAGTTTAACAAATGTTCCTCGCTCTTCCTCCAAGCCGGTGGCTTCCTCTAAGCCGGCGATATCGACCCCCGTAACTGGCACTGGAAGACATACCACTACACCTTCTGGTACCCCCGGGTCTAAAGCGCCCCCTGGGATTTCTGCGGGAATATCATCGTCAATAGGCTCTAGCTCTAGTACATCTATCTCCGGAACACCTAAATTGGGTTCAACGACATCGACATCATCTACGGCTGGATCCTCTACGGCTGGATCCTCTGCGGCTGGATCCTCTGCGGCTGGATCCTCTGCATCTGGATCCTCTACATATGGATCCTCTACATATGGGTCTCCAACTAGTTGGTCATCTTCCTCCTCTACCTCTGGAGGCTCTACCTCTACAACTCCTCCTGGAAGCAGTGGGTCATCGGAATCCACCACCCTTCCTATCATTATCATTACATCCGTCTCTACATCCTCTGTGAGCACAGTGACCGGTGTAACAAAAAATGAACTCATCGAGACAACGGATAAAGATGGCCACCATACTGCAGTTGCCTTCTTTTGGGATTGCTGGTTCTGTGGGGGGGTGGAATCTTTGCTTGGGGCATTGGTAAGTTCCTTTGAAAGCAATTTCCACCAGCACCATAACTAACTCAGGCGTGAATAGGCCCTAGCCCGGGTATATACCCTCCACCCCCGGATCCCCCGATGATGAACTGGCCAACCATTTCTATTGGTAACGATAAGCTTCCTACCCCTGAGCCGGAATCTTCAGCCTCTCAGCCTTCATCTACCACCACATCTGCTACCACAGATTGCACCACCAGAACAGTGACCAACAGCTGGGTATCTTGCACACTTGTCGCTACAAGTACGCGCTCTGGAACACCACTGTACAGCAATAGCTGCACTACGGATACATCTGTGGCAACAGGTTGTAATGCCACACCATCCATTTCGTCTAATTTACCCACCACGACGCCGGCTGCTTGCACTATTGCGGTGAAGGCTAGCCCATTCGCTACGCTCACAGATCCCATACCTGATTTCCCAGACACAACTTCTTCTACTCTGGGCACAGCCTCTTCTACTCCGGACACAGCCTCTTCTAATCCGGGCACAACCTCTTCTACTCCGGGCACAATCTCTTCTACTCCGGGCCCAACCTCTTCTACTCCGGGCACAACCTCTTCTACTCCGGGCACAATCTCTTCTACTCCGGGAACAACCTCTTCTACTCCGGGCACAACCTCTTCTACTCCGGGCACAACCTCTTCTACTCCGGGAACAACCTCTTCTACTCCGGGCACAGCCTCTTCTACTCTGGGGAGCACTTCTGGGACAACCAGTCTCTCGGCTTCCGAAACGATATCCACCCCAACTCCGCCTGCAGTGACACCCGTGCCTTTCATCGCCACCAACCCAAATGGTGAAATCCTCTCTTATCCGTCGCAGATCGTTGCAAATCTTGCCACGCAAGGTGCAGGCGCACCCAGGACACTGCAAACTGCGTCACCAAGTCAGACCAGCGGTAACAACAAGGGCTCGATCCAATGCCGCAGTGTCGACGATGCCTGCGACAGAGCGTACAAGCAGTATGTAGACGACACGGTCTACACATCCTACACATCCTACACAGCGAATATCAAAAGTGGCATGATCCTAGTCGGAGCGCTAGGCCAAGCCGGTTGTGCGGCTATGTATACATGTGATAACGATGACTATGGGTTTGGAATGACTGGACGGCAGATTAAGGCGGCGTAAGTCAATACCCCTATGAATTTCTCTGAGCTCGCTTAACAATTTTCCTAGTGTTGAGTACCTGAAGGTGAATGACAAGGTCAACAAATGCGGAACCGCATATCTGTCAAATTCCTGTCATGTCACTCTCAATTACTGCACCAGCTGCAAGGGCACGCAGTAATTGCGCGCATACATGGAACAGGGTCAATTTTCATCTTCCCTTCTCAACATCGTGTTCAAGCTTAGCCGCGTAACTGCCTAGCTCGACGCCATATTATTATTACAAAATCTTTTGAAACGCCGAGACTTTGGAAAAATCAAACCGATGTGAAGCATTATAAACCAGAATGTGAAAAGCGCCTAGTGGATCAAAATAATGATATCTTCGAATTGTATAGGCCGTTGCGAGATGAAAACTGTGATGTCGACATCAATTTCCAGTTCCGCACAATGATTTTTTAGGATGCCTAGAGGTATTCGCGGCTTTTTCTGACCTTGAGGAGTACCGTCGCCTCCAATATCAAAGCCAAGCCGCGGCGTCCAACCCAACCCTGGAAAATAGAGCCCTTCAGAAACTTGATACGGCTTCGAGAAGCCGAACTGCTTGCTTCTTTGGATCCCCTTCCCTGTTGCAAGTAAGGAAGGAGGAAAGGGTCTTTCATGGAGAACATCCCATCTAAGTCCAAGCCCTTCTCTGCTGCAGGATTCGAGGGTCGATGGTCTCAAGAACACAATCATCAACCTTAGGAATGCGGCTGGAAGAAGTACCCTGTGGTACAGCGTGTAAAAGGGGTCATGTTCTATCGTGAAGTCATATCGAAATCGATCTTTTGGATTACCAGGGACAAACTGCGCTCTAGTTTGCCATCTTTCAAAATAAACAAAGAATTAGAGCGCTTGCTGCTCTCAAAAGGCGCTAATTCCCACACTATGGATCGAGACGGTTTTTCGCTATGGATGGCAGCCTTTAGTGGGGTGTCCAGCTCGCTTGTGAAATACGTTATATCCTATATCTAGAACTTGGTGATGAGATAGGGAGGATGAAAATGGATCTTGGGGGTTGGAGTGGAAACGACACAGATTTATTCTTGTCATTGTCGTTTGATCCTCGGGATCTTTATGGGTCTGCGTACCCTGACGACATGATATTGCATTTCAGACTTAACACAGAAATACCAAAAACAATGTTTAATATCTTGCAAATCGCACTGTGGCTAGTTGGTGTATTTGTGTGTGTAGGTTAGCTCTATTTGGTAGATAGAGTTGTCTTTAGCTGGATTTATTGCTGACTATTCCAGTCAGTGTGGCCTCCTCTTCCTGTTGCATCGAGGGCTCTTTGATGAGTAGCTTTAGCGTCAATATCTGTCGCTGCTAGCAGTGTCTGCACCACTTCAACTGTTGCTATTTCTAGTATCGAGATTTGTTCATGAGTACTAAGTTCTATAAGGTTTCTATAAGTTAAGTTTACTACTCGACTTATTCGAGCAACTTGGGATTTCGTCGTGGATGAATTGGATATCAGCTTCGAAAGACCTCGTCAATCTAACATCATGGTCATTCCCGTTTATTTCGAGTTTTTCTATGCAAGCTTCGCACATATACTCCACAAGCTGGAATCTTTGCCTTTCGAATACCGTTATCGGTACCAGTATTTGAAAGGCGCAGCGCAGAAGATTGCCTAGCACGCTACCTCTGCTAGGCCAGAATCATCCTGATAACGATGAGGAAGCTCGTTGTCTCTTAGGTGGAAAGAAGATTGTTTACCAGGGACACAGCCGGGGACTGGATATCGCTTCTCAGAACAACCAAAATAAGAAACAAATGTGGAGAGAAATACAGCAAGCCTGGAGAAAGGAAAAATTATTCTCCCTTTCATCGATTCTTTCTCGGTTTAAGAAAAAAAGGCCCTATAATACTTTCTGTCCAAGAAGTGTGCTATACAACATCTATAAACACCTTCGCCTAGCCGACAAAGCATGTCTATCGCTTAGCTGCAAACGACTTTTCGGTCTTTTGGCATGATCTTGGAAGAGACTCAATTTCGACTCCCACGACTCCATTATATCCCTATACGATGTGTGGCTAGTCATAAGGCGGCAAGAATCCAACTACTTATTCGACTTCAGAATCACTCCTGGGCATATTGTGGAAGGTGTTTAAAGCTTCATTCACATGCGAATCCAGCTTTACGAAAGCCTTGCGTAGGTTATAAGGGATTTATATGTCCGTGTGCTTCCTTGACGACCCAAGAACTCGGACATATTGTGAAACTTCTGAAATCGCCTACTCCGCCGTCCCAAACTCAAGTGTTTTCTATTTAACCATACTAGTGGAACTCAACCAAGTGGCTATATTTCAGCTGGGTTTCACTTAACTGGGGGTCCTTTTAGCCACTATTGCTCTTTACCTAATATATCCAACTACGAGGTCCGAATCGAGATGATCCGTATATCTATCGACTCATCTGATAATGTGGGTATATTTGCTCGATATACAGCAAATAACACTTTCCACTATATATTGCAAAGATTTTCCCATATTACACCGCCCTCCTCGCTAGGATCTTACTTGTTGACTGGAGCGCAAGGACGATGTCCAACTGTGTGAGACGTCCGAAAGCATTATAAAGGGGATGCAATATGTTTACTATAGATGAGCATTTGCATATCGGGTAGACCAGTTGCTTCAACAAATTCAAATCAACGCGGCTTTTCTACGGCCCCTTGGCTGTTGTATCCGTCAGGTTTCTCATCTTCTCCATATCATACCTCCTAATAGGCTATGACCCTAGTGTAGCTCCGCTTTAGCCATCGTCTTCCCATCTTCGGGTTTATCTTCTAGTCTCATCTCAGTTCAGCCACTATTTCTCGCTGCCTACTACATCTGACTATGAGGTCCGAGTCGAGATGATCATGACATGAGCGGGCTAAGACTTCGTGTCAAAGGAAGACTACGTAGAAGTGCATGGTACAATGTGAGATATGCATTGAGTGGCTGTTGAAGCTAAGCTCTAGACTATGAAATCTAATACTTTGTTTCCGACTGGGTGCCTTACTGATCGGATCCAGAGCCGGAGGATTCTGTATGTGCTTCTTGATTACTACTGGTTTGGTCATCCTATCTAGCAGGGGCCTTGCCATATGTTTTTGCTGCTCTCAATGCCTGCACCACCTCAGTGTGACCTCCCGCCATTGCTGCTTTAAGGGCTGTTTGACCAGAAGCTTTAGCTGGAAGTGCGTCAACATCTGCTTTTGCTGCTAGCAGTGTCTTCACCACTTCAATATGACCTCCTCCTGCTGCCGCTTGAAGAGCTGTTTGGCCTTTATAGTTAGTAGGAGGTGCGTTGACGTCTGCTTTTCCTGCTAGTAGTGCCTTCACCACTTCAAGGTGGCCTCCTCCTGCCGCTGCTTGAAGAGATGTTCGACCAGAACGTCTAGCTGGAAGCGCGTTGACATCTGCATTTGCTGCTAGTAGTGCCTGCACCACTTTAAGATGACCTCCTCCTGCTGCTGCCTGGAGGGCTGTTCGGTTATTAAACCCCGCAGGTGCGTTGACATCTGCTTCTGCGGCTAGAAGTGTCTGCACCACTTTGATGTGACCGCCTCCTGCTGCCGCTTGAAGAGCTGTTTGGCCACCATTTTCAGCAGCGGATGCGTTGACATCTGCTTTTGCTGCTAACAGTGTCTTCATCACCTCGAGGTGGCCTCCCCCTGCTGCGGCTTGAAGAGCTGTTTGGCCATTATGTTTAGCTGGAGATGCATTGACGTAAGCGTGTGCTGCTAGAAGCACCCGTACCACTTCAAGGCGACCTTCTCCTGCTGCGGCTTGAAGAGCTGTTTGGCCATTATGTTCAGCAGGAGATGCGTTCACGTCTGCCTTTTTTGCTAGCAATGCTTGTACAACTTCAAGATGACCTCTTCCTGATGCTGCTTGCAGGGGTGTTCTGCCATTTACTTGAGCATCGATGTCAGCCCCTGCTTGGAGCAACACTGCTATTGAACGAATGCATCCATCTAGCACAGCATATGACAACCCATGATTCAAGGTGATGCTGGTATTGCTAAGGCGGACTAGAACTTCAGTGTATCGATAACGATTGCGAATGTCGGCGCTGCGAAGAATTTTATCTTTCATCTTTTCGGACAAGACGTGAGACTGATGTCTTGAGTAGTATGAAAGTAATGCGTAATGTCCATGGAAAAACAACCATTGTATAGCCTCCGGTATATCGTTCCTCTTGTTCTGGGTCTCCCCCTCCGACTCCCAAGGTCTGCATTCAGGAACATCATCTCCTTCTATGCACCGGCAAAACAATCGCCACATACTACTATTCGTATCCGGAGTGAAATTAGTCAGATGATTGAGCCAGTAAGCCCTGGCGTAATTGAGAAACTGGAACCCTGGCTCCAGCTGGGAGGAATTTTTATCTCCAATTATTTCTTGCGCCGTCCTCTCCACTTCTCGGGTGCTGAAGTGCTGCAGTTTTCCACTATGGGAAAGAAGCCTCCGGGCCATCTGACTGGTAACTCTGCTGGAAGAGTAGGTGGGCAGAATGCTAGTACCGATCTGAATTGGCTTGATAGGAGTACTGGAGCCATTCTTAACTTTCGTTAACTGACGCTTGAAGTTCGTGAAATCCAGATATGTCATGGAAAGAAACCCAAAATGCCGGTCGATGCTCGCCATATCGAATTGCGCTATGTGTTGACCATTCGTTATAAAAAGACGTTCTTTCACACTACGATGAACATAGTGTATGGTGTCTTCCTCTTCATCGGCGAATGTTAATCCGCAACAACCATTGATAATCCTATCCATGTTGTTAGGGACCTTTCGGTGGTCAAAAGACCTCTGCTCGAGGGAAAGGCTAAGGGCTTCTCGATATTCCGTAACTGTTAATGGCCGCTTCACTACGCCGCAATATTGTAGGATTTTCATTGCCTGCCCGGCCGCCTTTCCCTCTTGGACACGACGGAGCTTTCGATCATAGAGCTCAGCCAAGCCGTGTGGAAGATGTTTCAGTGCTTCTAGGATGTCGTGGTCACAATTCTGTGCGCAAATCTCTTCAATGCAAAGACCAGCCCAAAGGAACCTATATTTTTACAATCTGTCAGCGATACAATAAAAAATATGTAGTCATATAGCCTTATCACGAGATATGTCTTCGATCAGACGGCGTGACCAAGTACTTACATTCCATCGGCTTTTTCCCTTAGGGTAGCGTGTATCTCTGTGATGATTGCTGAATCCCCAAGAGTCAAAAGCTCTTCTTCCAGACACTGGTCCAAAATCTTGGTGATGAAGCGATCCATGTCCGACCTGACCTTTTTCTCATTCACCATAATCCGATACTGCAGTGTGGTTGACTTGAACCGTTTTTCAAGACCAGGTCGACCCGCGCAGAGAACTTTGAAACCAGTATTATTGTTACAGAGCTCAACAATAGCCTTTGCCGCAGCTTGAACCTGACTGCCATCGCATTCGTCCAGTCCGTCCAGGATAATATAGTATTTCTTACTTTCACCGTCCTCCAGATGAGATAACAAGAACTGAGCGACCTCAGGCGTGCTAAGATCCCGGGTGGTCTCCTGTAAGGAGAGTAAAGTTCCATATTTGCTTTGCTCAATCTGCGTATCGAGGATTTGACGAGCAATACTTCCAAGAATGTTCCTCGCAGATAAGGATGCTTCATTGTCGACGCGGCAGAAGTAGTAGGATACGATCTCATTGCTCTTGCGGGCCGCATGTAACTGCAATTGAGCCACCACATAAGACATAAGCACTGTCTTGCCCATGCCTATGGTGCCTAAACACCAGAGTATCGCGGTTTGCGGATCATCTTTCCACATATCAAAGACCGTCTCTTTCTGAATCCACTCAGCGGTGGTTGGAACCCGTTGCTTCATGGTCTGCCTCCAAGGACAGACATGGTTGATAGGAGAAAGGTTGTTTCGGATGCTTGTCTTCAATTTTGCTATTTCTCTTTTTTTCATATCCATCCGCGACTGGTTTGCATCGGCTTGTTGTTTCAGTGATGTTCTGTAGAAATCTAGGGCCAAAGGTCGGAATGTTGAATTCTCTCGGCTCTCATATTCTAGCAGCTTCTTCGCTTCCTGGTCTGCTTGTTTTGATGCGAGCGATACCTCTAGGTTTATCTTATCTGTAGCTCCTTCTAGCAGATCTAGGAATGGCTTAAACTCAGATTCAAAGGGGCTTATCATCGACGAAACGGTTTGCTGAAAGGCGGTTCGACGGGAGACTTCGATGATCTTAACACTCAGATTAATGATGATGGCGTAGAAATCACAAAGGGCATATTGGAGGCCAATACAGCTGGGATAGAGTAGGCCAAATTGTTGATATGTTGGAGAAGATTTGCCGATGCGCATGATCATGCTTGTGACTTTGTCAAAGTAAGAGGCCACATTATTTGCTAACAATATAGCAGTCTTTATGCCTCCCCAGACAAGAGCAGCGATTGTCGGGTTAGAGCTAACAAATGAGTCCACAACACCGGTGAACTGTTGCGTAGCCTCTAAGAAGGTACATAGCCGTGGAGCCACACATCGCCTCGTCGTGCTACTATTTCTAGCATCGATTTCTGCGACAAACTCTATGACACTCGCAATATCTGGTCTTGCGGTGCTTTTTTCAAATTCTCGCTTTTGTTCCTTTGTCAAGGTATTCTGAAAATTCTCCAATGCTGTACTGAGGGATTGTGTGGGGTCTGCCCCCTGCGCTCCTACTCTCGAGGCGAGTTGAAAGGCCATTGGGGAGAATATTTCTGATACACAAGGTAATTAGAGTTTTGCAAAGTATTTAAGTATTGTACAGAGTCTCAGTGAAATGGGCGGGGTTAAGGTACTTTTGACAAAGGCTGCTAATAGTACGGAGTACGGAGTAGTTATGGGCCAATTAGGGTTCGATCAATGAACACATCACGTGTCTAGCGCACTTATTCTATACGAGAATTGGCCTTTCCGGTGGTCTTCTCAGATATTCTGTTTAGATGTCTTTGTATTTTCTCCCCCTTCTAGTTTTATAGGTAGGTAGACGGCAGAGAAAAAGCGTGTGAAAACGACTTTTGTATGTATAACCTTTGACTGATCCTGAAGTTATCCTCAATCTAGAAATATCACTTAGAGTGCACGCTAGAGAATTTATAATCTATGCTCAATGTATGATACTAAACAGCCTCTAAGCTTAATGCGAGTATAATCTTCCCTTTAACCCAAGAATAATCATTCTTCCTCTTCCGGCGCATCATCCACACCACGCAGCCAAGCAGCTCTAGCATCAACAGCTGCCTTCCGCACATCACGCTTGGGATCATCAAGGACAGCCCGCAAAGACCTCAGAACCTGATTCTTGACAGGCAATAGAGGCGAGATACCCGGCGGCGCACGCGCGTTAGCTGCAGCACCGGGCACCTGGTGCGTAGCGAGGAGATTGAGACATTTCAAAGCATCCGCGCGGAGACGGGGGCTATTGACCGCGCCAGGGCCGACATTCGTAGCTGTTGTTTTGAGGAGTCTGGTGACAAGACTCTGGACGTGACCACATTGGTCGATGACGACGACACCGTTATCACGGATAATGACGGCGAGGGTATCGAGGGTTGCTGTGCGGACTGCCACGGAGTCGGCCGTCTGGAGGTCGAGGGATTGCAGGAGGAGGGGCAGCAGGGTGGGGAGTTCTGGCATGACCAAGGCCGTGGGGATTGTGGAGAGGATACCCGCGAGGGCGGTTAGATGGGCTGGTTTTATGTGGTCGGGCGCTTTGGGGGCGGCGGCGGAGTCTTCTGTGCCAGCGATGTTCACTTCGCGGATGCGAGATGAAATCAGGGGGATGACTGTTGTGAAAAGGCGCTGTCTGCAGAGGAGGCGAATGTTGGCGCCGTTGGTTGCAGAGAGGATGTCGTCTTCGCCGAGGATTATGGAGAAGCATTGTGCTGCTGTCGCGCTGGTTTGCTGGTCTGGGGATGAGAGGAGGGCGAGGAGGGAGGTTATGATGTGAGTGGTTGTGGGGGCTATGCGAAGGATCAAGGCTTTGGATAGCCAGAAGATGGTGCGAATGGTTGCAGGGTTGAGGCTCTGTGATTCTGTGTCCTGACCTTGGAGGAGTGAATCGAAGAGTTTCTCGGCGATTGTCACATCCTGCTTCGATAAGAACTTGTTGACGAGCAAGGCCAAGTGACGCAGATAAGCTTGGTGTGTTGCTGGTTCGGTGCTTGAGATTGAACGATGGACCAGATCCAACAGCAAAGCCGACATGTCTGGGTTGGTATGCGGGATTTTGCTGCTGCAGTCCTTGGATAATCCCGCGAGCAGGTATGTCGAGATAATGATCGTACGTTCTTGATCCGCATTTGTAGTCTGGGTGAACGGAATTGGGACGAACTCGTCAGAAAAAAGGCTGTAGACATTTTCGGCAACTTGTTCCTGCTTTTGAATGGAAACAGACCGCACAAGGAGATTGCAAAGTCGACCCAAAGTGTCAAGCACGGTAGGATCCTTGAGAATCCGGTTGTTTGCCTTGCCAGAGGCCGCTGCTGCGACTTCACGACAAAGTCCAATCACAACTCTGTCAAAGTACAAATCCACACTCTGGTCTTGTTCCATGTTTCTCTGTTGCATAACATAAAGCAAAGTGACGAGGATCGCGCGTGGGTAAGCAACTGACCCGGGTTGCTCCTTTTGCAATAGAATAGACAGCTTGCTAAACAAACGACGGAAAAGTGTCTCGAAAATGTCCCTCTCGACGCTGATCTGAGCAAGGGTCTCGAGCGTCGGCAGATACAGGGCATCCGAACCGTCATCTTCCTCTGGCAGAGTTGCCACAAACGCAGGGAAAGTGATATCCACAATCAGGCGGGGCTTGTGCTTGGAAATCTCAGCAAGAGCAGCGATTGCTTCTTTCTTGAGATCATTCCGGCCCACAGATTCCTCCTTGAGAAGAATTTCGTCAAGGTATTGCACGAAAAGCCCAATCTCATTCTCCTGGAAGAAATTACGCAAAGTCGACAGACGCAAGAAGCCCTTCAAGGCAGTCACGCGGAAGGAAACCTCTTCCTTGGCCGCACCCATCAATGCCTGGCCAAAGAGGTCCGAGAATTGGTCTTTGAATTCGAGTAGTGGGTTTTCGATAGCGGCCTCACCACCTCGGGTGGTCCACTGTCCAAATACTGTTGTAGCAGCTTCGAACAAGACATTCAGAGTTTCGAGAAGTGCCCTTTGTTTGATAATTCCGTCCGCTTCTTGGTAAAGTGTGAAAATCGGGGCTACAACAGTTTGTACAACAAGAATAAAGGAAACGGGCGAAGCAGCAGCCACACAGCTGAGAATCGACTGGGCCGGCTTGGCCTGCTTGTTTTGAGGTTCCTGAAGTTGCTCATTGCACTCCTTAGTGATTGGCTGAAGGAACTTTGCAAGAGGCAATTCTTGTGACACTTCAGTAACTCCTTCAGATAGCCGTTGGGCGATTGCCTGTAGAGCCTCCAGGGAGCTTTCAGATAAAAACTCCTCTTGGGCATTGAGAATCTCAAACTTGAGGACTTCCCATATGGTAATAGAATACTTGGACACTGTGTCTGGGTCGTATGAATGGATACACGCGATCAATGTGCTAAGTGCATCTTTCTATATATCTGTTAGATGACTTCAAGATCACAGGGCGTTGAGCAGTCTTACCTTTACATTTGGAGAAGTAGAGTCAAGCTTGTCCAATAAGGCGGGGAAAGCGTGGGGTGCAAAATGCCTTGTCGAAGAGATACATTCTTGAAGACGGCCCTTCAGATCCTGTGCGGTGATTCCATAGGGGTCGTTGGGCGGGGGTCGGAATGTAATTGGGAAATAGTTATATACCGAGTCGAATAGAGTCTGCCTAATGTTAGCGTAATCCACGACCTTCGAAAAATTATACATACTTCAACGTGGTTCGAGATGTCCCATTCCACCATAATCACTTTCAAGATCGAGAAAACAATCATCAGATTTCTCGGGTCTTTCTCTCCCGTCATGATATCAACAACACCCAGAAGCGAGATCTCTCCCATGTCACGCATGGCTCCGCGGTGGTTCGACATCAAATCATTGAGCAATTGATAGACGTGGAAGCGTTGTGTTTGAGACCGAGATTGGAGATCTTGGAAGTTGGAAAATAGTCTATATCAATAAATCAGCACTGGGTCATCATTGAGTTAAGCTTTATCCCCGGCGAACACAGGGATGTCGCATGCAACCAAAAGTATGGCACGTACGCTTGTGCTACTTGGGTAGCCAAAAACTTGTTAAACCGGTCCAGACCCTGCAGGACCTGCAACCCATCAACAGCACCTCCATCCTCAATTCTATCACAGAAGAATGTAGTCAGGACTTGGATCTGTTGTCTCGAGAGATATTTCGGTGAGAGGGCTTGGATAATGGCCGTAAGGTATGAAATCGCTTTTCCACGTAAGATCGGATCTTCGTCGTTAATGTATTCGCCAAGAGATTGGACGGTATCAATTAGAGTCGCCTTTTTAGTCTCAAGATCTATAACCACCTCCGTTAGTAACGCAACGGTTTGAAGTGGTCTCGAGTGCGGGGCCAATTGGCATACCTTGCGCGATTCCCTCAGCAATGCGCTTGGCTGCTTCTTTGTCGTGGTCCACGACCAGCATAAAGCTCTGCAGAGCCGACATGATACCAATCGATTAATTAGGACAGCCAGACGTGTAGATTGCGGGGGCAAGATCGAGCTCGCATCGGCCAATTTCTTGTGGCCGGATGCCCTTATCGATAAGGGTCAGGTGATTCTGTTATCTCTCTGTATCACGTGCCAAGGCATGTTGCGTCATGGCTGTACGAGACCTGCTTCTCTGTCCGGCGTCATTGGCAGCAAGATGGCTCCAACCCGCAGCATGGGATCGAACCGACTAACAACATCCATTCTATTTACATTTATTCTCGCTAGCTCAGCATCTGCACTTTGGGGCTTATCATCTCCCTTCCCTTCACGTCAACAGCCACTAGCTCTCGAGCACAAAGAACATCAATCAATAATGGATAAGATTCTACCTGGTATTGTCCAGCCACAAAAGACGGCTCCGGACGAGGATGTGAACTCAAAAGACAGCGGTAGCCCTATCATCTCAGATGTCCTGCCCAAAACCAAGGGCATCAATATCTTTGCACGTTTAACCCGTGACTTTGAGCCAATCGCCAATCGCCTTAACAATGCATCCAAGAACATTACAGTTCTAGCACCACGCAACAGTGCAATCCAGGCTCTTCCGCGGAAGCCTTGGGAGAATCCAGAGGACTACAAGAAGTTCGGAGAGGTAAATGCATATGAGGGCCAGGATGGTCAAGACCGGGCAAAGCGAAATCTACAGCGATTTGTGGAGGCCCATCTCATACCTGCCAGTCCCTGGAGGGTTGGGGAAGAGGTCGAGACACTTGCAGGGGAGAAGCTGAAATGGACAAAGGAGGGTGATAAGATCTTTGTAGGTTTTGACGTCTGCGGGTCGTTGGTATGGTAACTAACTGTCTATAGATCCAACCTGGCAATATTGAAGTTGATTCAGTTGCGGAAAAGGTCCATAATGGGGAAGTCTGGATTTTGAATGAGGTTATTAATTACCGTCAGGAGTGATTGTATATGAGTTATGAAATACGAGTTACGGAAATTGTGCAATATGCGTCATTCAGGAACATTCGAGTAAATTATGTAGATCCACAAGATTGCGGCTTATTTAAAAACATGGCACATTCTATTCTTTATGCTGTCCAAAGCCAGCGATGACCTCAAGACAGGTATATACACCAACACTAGACATCACATGCACCGGCAAAGGAAGATTAGATCCCTGCAGGAGCAAAGTTTTGCAAGATTCTCTCTTCCACTCCATCGAGAATGCAGAAGTGCTCCATCACTTCCAAGTTCTCTGCTTCGTTCAGATACAGCTTATCGGGGTCTTGGCCGGGCTGGAGCGGGTTGACCATAGCGGCAGGGTTAGCCATACCCATCTGTTGGGCCATCTGGTTGGCAGCTATAGACTATTAGTCACAGTTCTTATTGGTAAGGATCAGATAGATGCATACAGTTATCACTGCCGAGGATGAATCCAAAAACGGACTGAAGGCCCATCAAGTTGAGGAAGTACCACGAAAGACTGGAGACCCATTGCACATCAAGGTCGCGAGTCATGACACCAGACTGCAGCATCGACTTGAACCGAATGGTAAGCGGGAAGGGCAATTTCACTGCGGAATTTGTAAGCTCGTTGTTCATGTCCATTTATACCAAAGTGCAACATACAGATGACAAAGCCAGAGAAGAAGGCATTGATCCAGCTCATGATCAAGGTTTGCGGGATCATCATCATCATATTTCCCTTAAGCATTCCCATCATAGCTTCCATACCGGCAGGGTCGGTCATGGGGTTGGCGGGCGGTTGGCCACGATTGTTGGGGTCCTTCAGAAATGCGCCGCTGCGGAATCCAGTAACCATGTAGTTCTTGCGAATCTCGAAAGACTCGCGGTCGAGCACAGAGCAGGCATTGTTGCGGAGATTCACACCGCGGAGAAGAGCAAGGCGCTCGCGAGACTCGGCAAGAGTAGATGGCGATTTGGGGGCCGAGTTCATCAGGACCGTGGCGTAATGGCGAAGGATTCCGGTCAGGATCTATTCAAGAAGAGGGGTTAGTTTCAGTCTCGGAGGCATCGCAAATATTCAGGCTCCAAGCGCCGGGTTTAGATCATACCATAACAATTGAAATGGGAAAGAGAATCCAATAGCTATAAGCAAATGGTCAGTCCAACTTCCACTCGATCAAATCATGTTCTCTCACAATAGTGCCGGATCCCTAAGGATGGTCTGCTCATCCCCCTGAATTGCCATATTGAGGCAGAATAAGAATCAAAGAAGTGACTCCTTTGAACCAAACAATAAATCAGTGGTGGCTGCAGGTGGGGGATGGGAAGTTGAAGGGGCCGTGAAGGAGAGGTTGCCAGGCGGAGAGGGATGTCATTGGCCCGCGTTAGCTCCAGCTTTCTTCAAAGGGCCACGCCGCATCTTTGTCCTGCGATAAACAACAGTCTTGTCTTGACCACTGAATGCTAAACCACACTCGATTTTTTGGTTTTTAGAAAGATCTCTATTCATATCTATTCTCAAATCTGCCATGGCTTCCAATAAGGTGCCGGTCTACTCGACCAATGGTCCGTAATCCTGATCTACTCTATACAGCAACAACACTAACAGTGAGCAACAGATCTCAAGTCTACCAGCGACGATGCTCTCCTTCCTTACCTCACAAACCTTCCCGCGCCATATGCTTTCACACCGGACTACTCGAAGTCAAACATTCGCTTCCTGCTTGGATATAGCGCTGTCGCAATTGCAGGGTTTACTTTCTACGCAGACCGCACGCTTGGCTGGGAAGCAACTACCTCGCCCTGGATCATCGCAGCAGTGGGAACATACTTTGTCTTGAATAGCATTCTGACATACTGGATTTGGGCTGTCGAGGCTGGCGAGGTATACGCCGGAAAGAGAAAGACTGGGGAGACGGTATGTTTATCGATCTTGGGCTCTTTGAGGTGTCTTTTTTTTGGCAGATTACTAACAGAATTATTCATAGATATCTGTCTCGTCATCAGCCAAAAAGTTCTCCAAGCTTTACAGGCTGCATGTCACTTATAAATCTGCCTCAGGCAAGGTCCTCCAGGACAAGTGGTGCGAGGCGCCCTTCACAACTTGGTTCTCAGCAGATGGTGTATTCCACCCTGAGCCTTTCCGTCGCTGGGTAGCCAGCGAGATTGATGTTTTGAGGTTGGCGGCGAAGCAGATTGAAAAGAAGTCTGGCTAAAATGGAAGGTTACGTATCAATTACGAACAGAGGTTATGTTTTCGGGGCTATTACAAGGCACAAAGCTACATGGTTCATTCTTTAAAAGAGATAAAGAAGAGTGCATTGGAATAACATGTTCAAACGAGCAAGGAGAGATCGGTTTTCAATGTTTTGCTTTTCATTGGACATAGTAAAACAGACGCATCCCAACAGTATACGTGCCTTTTTTAAGTATTAACCGGCAGTGAAAGCAATCCTGTATGGGACACCTCCAACCCACTCGATGTATGAGTAGACTTACTCTAAGGTGCGCGTCTGAGCTTGATCTGTTAGAATATGATGTCCTTTCTAGGGCTATTGAATTCACGTGGATCTCTACTTTCCTGGAAGGAGCCCTGTTCAACTGCGCTTTCCAAACTTGAGGTTTTGGGTTGACTCGGACCTTCCAATTCAGAGTCCCAGAGCTCAACACTTGAACTTGGGACAACTTTGCTTATAATATACTTCCATCACATATCACCTTACAACTCAACTACTCTTAAACTACATGGTTTTACTCTCACTCAAGTTTGAATGATCAAGATCCCTTCCCAGCTACTTCCCGCAGTCTTGAAGGCCTCCAATATGGGGTGTATAGTATCTGTTCTCTGTCGACCTCGTGGTAAGCTCTTATCCCTCAGAAACCCGTTGTATGCGTGAGTAGCTGAACTAAACAATTCGGTCATTTCACAGTTCTCCCACAGATCACAGTAATCCTTACCTGGATCTCTCCCAAAGACATCATCGCCCTTGTGGGGACCACTGAGACCCTTGAAATCAAACAACTGGACTCGACCGATACAGTCACTGCGAAGGGCGTGATCAACGCAGTAACCGCGCCGTCCGTTGCTCAGTCTGAAGATGAAGACAAGGAAGTAAGGCTTATCGCCGAGCAATTTTCACAGGGTCATGTCTACTATGTTCAAACCAAGGCACTCGACCGGCCGATTCAATATGTCAGTCATGTACGCCTCATCGTCCTCGGACCCGGGCAGGAGATCATATATTCCGGGATCCGCTCTCGGCCTATCATCAACCACAAGTATCTTGCGTCCGTGCTTCCTCCAAGACTTCTCGGGAAGGTCACAATGTCTGATGACGCCCCAATGCTAGCAACTGAGTCACTGGCATATCTACTGGCTGGGGTAGACCAGTTTGCTGATTGGGAGAGTACCAGGGGGGAGCTCGTCCGCTGGTGGCTTATGTTATTGAGGCCGTTTTGGCTTTTTATTGTGCTTATTCCGATTTTTCTCGTCTTGCTTGTCCTAACGATTGTCACTGCTTAGCAGGTCCTGACTCGTTGGCTGGCTAGCTTTGAATGTCTGATGTGTCGCTTTGAAACTACCAGGATGATACGTCTGGTTTGTCTGTACAGCGTTATATTATATAGGTCAAGGTGGACTCAGGGCTTCTTGTACGTTATCCGGTTTGACTGTTCTGAATCCCAACTGTTCTTGGGAAAATTGGTTACTACATTTATTAATATCATCCTTTGAGCCCTGCTAGAAAGCTTTCTATTAAAGTATTATGCAAGCTCAGAGTAAGTAAATAACAAGCTATGATGGTAACAAGAAACAGTCTTTGTTTATGGAAGAATAGACAAGTCAACCGAGACAATCTCTATAGAATGCGAATGGGAGATATCTAAGCACAGGAAACAAAAGAAGAAACATGGAGTTTCAGAGTATAATCGAAATGGCTAATAGCAAACAGAATATCTATAAAAGTTTTACGGAATAGCCAGCTCAGGGCATGGCCATGAAGATTGGAATGACAATCGGTGGTGAGCAACCTAAGATGAGGCCTCAAGGGTGCCAGGACGTTCTGTGGCCTCGGCGGGCTTGACATCGTCCATTCGCTTGTTCTGGATGAGTCTCTGTAATTGGTAAGTTAGATGATGTTGCAAAGAAACACTGAGCATATGAATGAAGTATAAAGATGGAACATACCAGCAGGTTCCGCAACAGGACGACAATGGTGACCTTTCCAATAGAGGGAACGAAGAGCGAGGCCTTGTCTCGGACCTCGTAGGGGAAGTTCTATATCAGCACAGTCAGCAACAACCTCTTAACCAACCCAAAAGCTTGAGAGAGAACATACCTTCTCACTAGAGAAGTTGACACAAACAGCACCCTCACGCAGAAGGCTGGTATCGAACTTGTACTTGTCACTGGGAACACCAGTAATGACCACATCACAAAGCGGCACAACATCCTTCAAGGTCTTTCCCTCGAGATCAACAACCTCGTGCGTGTTCTTCTGCAATCCCTCACCACGAGTGAACTTCTGCACACCGGTAATATCAACGGAGTAAACACAAGCACCATCATTAGCCAGCAGGGCAGCAAGCGGACGACCCACGACCTCAGAGCGGTTCACAACGCAGATCGTGTGTCCGTGGAGACGGTTGCCGTAGGGCAGGATAGTGTTGTAGATGTTGAGGTACTCGAGGATCTTGATGTTGGCCAGCGGGGTGCAGGGCAGGATAGACTTCTGGCGCTTAGCGTCGTCCAGGAAGCGGATGTTCTGGTACATGTTGAAGATGTAGCGGTGGCTCAGGCCCTCGACGTCCTTGGTCATGTCGACGATCTGCTGCAGGTACTGGTCCTGACGGGTACCGAAGATTGGGTAGTAGACGATAATGCCGTCGACGTTGTTGTCGGTGTTTGCGTTCAGGATGGCTTGTTCGATGTCGTCGCGGGACACTTCGCGCATGGTGTACTTGAAACCACTGGGAAAGGCATTGCGTTAGTTGGTTGTTTCAATTGGACTGTTGGCTATGATTTTGGGCATGTTTGGTTGTTTTTTTTTGGCCGAGGGGTATGTATGAATCATACTTGTCACCCCCACCATACAGCCCACCAAAGAAGCCATTGAAGCCATTGAAGCCGGATAGTATAAAAATAGGGTAGAGACTCACTTCTCCTCGCAGGTCTTCTGAGTCATCTGCGCGTACATCAGCGCGGCGGGGTCATTATTGGCCAGCAAGCCGACCAAGTGAGGCGGCTTCTCGAGAGTCTTGAGGCCCTCGTGGACTTCGCTGAGGAGGTGGTTGGCAACATGCTTGCTCAACATCACCTTGCAGGAGGAGGCAGGTTTATCTGTAGGGGTAGACATGACGGCAATGGGACGATAATAGCAATATAATCAGTAACAGAGAGAAAAGTTACGTTCCTCGCACGCGGGGGACTTGGCCATCTCCGGGAAAATCTTGATCGCTTATCGATAAGAGATCGGATGCCGGTTTCGGCCTCAACTGCCGGGTGGCATTTTGCGTATGATATGTCGAGGGGTATAGAATACCAAGCACAATCTGGATGGAACTAAGGCTTATAGTCATTGCCGTCAGTCGATTGGGGTGTATACAAATTTAAGTTGTTCGGTCTAGGCATATCTCCAACCCGTCATCGTCCAAACATGCGATACGTCCCATACAGTCTAGCAAAATAGAGCTACAGTTTACAATTACAGTATAAAAAATTGAACAAATGAAAATAATTGCGGTCCAACATGGAGAGCATAAGGAGACCAGACGGAATTAGAACGGTCGTCCACCCATCTCGCGCCCCCGATGCGCGGATAAAATCTAAACGTACAGGATATAATCACATTTTGGCAGACCAAAGTCATTTGAGTTCTCACTCGAACAGCACTACGGGAAATCCCTGGTCCGCCCCCCGGGATCATGCAGATAATTACATCGCTACATCCAGAGGCAGACCTAGGATCTCCTACCAAGCACCGGCACCAAGAAGAACAGAAAAACAATGGGCTCAAAATTGTACAGGCTATCTTGTCTATACACATAGAGTCAAGAAAACAAAGCCGACCACGAAGGATCATCCGAGTTATTTCTTCACTTATGCGTTGAAGGTGGAGTTGAAGGTGGAGATGACCTTCTTGAGGGTAGCCTCGGACTCCTTGGAGACCTGGCCCTCCTTCTCGATGGTGGCCTGGATCTCGGGGTGGGAGCTCTTAAGGTGAGCAAGGAGGTCGGACTCCCAGGTGAGGATCTTGTCGACGGGGATGTTATCGATGAGACCGTTAACACCAGCGAAGATCAGAGGAACCATGTCGGTAACAGCCATGGGGGAGTACTGCTTCTGCTTGAGGAGCTCGGTCAGACGCTCACCACGGGCAAGGGTCTGCTTGGTGGAGGCATCAAGATCGGAACCGAACTGGGCGAAGGCAGCGACCTCACGGTACTGAGCCAAGAACAGCTTGAGGGAACCGGCGACCTGCTTCATGGCCTTGACCTGGGCGGCGGAACCGACACGGGACACAGACAGACCGACGTTAATGGCGGGACGGATACCCTTGTAGAACAGCTCGGACTCCAAGAAGATCTGACCGTCAGTGATGGAAATGACGTTGGTGGGAATGTAAGCGGACACATCACCACCCTGGGTCTCAATGATGGGGAGGGCAGTCAAGGAACCAGCACCGTGGGTCTTGTTCATCTTGGCGGCACGCTCGAGGAGACGAGAGTGCAAGTAGAAGACATCACCGGGGTAGGCCTCACGTCCGGGGGGACGACGGAGGAGCAGAGACATCTGACGGTAGGCAACGGCCTGCTTGGACAGATCATCGTAGATGATGACGGCGTGGCGGGCGTTGTCACGGAACCACTCACCCATGGCGCAGCCAGTGAAAGGAGCAATGTACTGCAGGGGAGCGGCCTCGGAGGCGGTGGCAGCGACGATGACAGAGTACTTCATGGCATCCTGCTCCTCAAGGGTCTTGACGAGCTGAGCGACGGTGGAACGCTTCTGACCAACGGCGACGTAGATACAGTAGAGCTTCTCCTCCTCGGTGGCGTTCTTGTTGTTGTTCCAACGCTTCTGGTTGAGCATGGTGTCGAGAGCGACAGCGGTCTTACCGGTCTGACGATCACCAATGATCAACTCACGCTGACCACGGCCAATGGGCACCATGGAGTCGACACACTTCATACCAGTCTGCACTGGCTGGTTGACGGACTGACGGGGCAGAATACCGGGAGCCTTGAGCTGGGCACGGCGCTTCTCCTTGGTGTTAAGGGGACCCTTGCCATCAATGGGGTTACCGAGAGCATCGACGACACGGCCGAGCAGCTCGGGGCCGACGGGGACCTCGACCTAGATGTGGTGTTAGAGATGGTGCCAAGGGGCTGATGTATTCAGGGTCCAATATCAGAATGAACCCAGGGGTTGGGTTAAGGTGCTTACAATCTCGCCGGTACGCTTGACGGTCTCACCCTCCTTGACGAGACGATCGGAACCGAAAAGCACGACACCGACCTGGCCGGCCTCGAGGTTCATGCACATACCCTTAACGCCGGAGGCGAACCTGAAGACATGTTAGTTTTCCGCTCTAGGTAATGCCAAGACTTTGGGGGTTCACATACTCGACCAGCTCCTCAGCCTGGACGTTGGTCATGCCGTGGACACGGGCGATACCATCACTATTTAAAGCTCAATCAGTTTCTGGGTCGATATTTTGTCGAATGTTGATAGATAATGGCGGATTCGATGGGATTGTAGCCGGGGACCGAATTTTTTTCGCGCCCCCAGCCGCCCTGGGAGAATTGACGTACCCGACCGACAGAACACGACCGGTCTCAGCGAGACCAGCCTCCTCAGAGACACCACGGATGCGCTGCTCAAGGATGGAGGAGACCTCGGTAGGGCTAGCCTTGGCCTCGGAAGCGTACGAGCGAACGCCGTTGAGAGGACCGGCAGCAGCCGCGCGGACCTGTAATGGACGAAAAAACCTGTTAGAGACCGTCCCAGAGAAGGACAATGTGTCCGAGCCATCGTTGAAGTATCGTAGTCGAGGTATGATGAGGTATGAACATCGATCGAGCTCAAGATTGAGATGAAGGATGTTGAACTGGCGATGGACGAAGGCGGCTGGGATGGGATGGACTCACCGAGGCGATGCGGCCAGTGGCCGAAACAGCCGCAACGGAGCGGCTGGACGACCGCAGAGCGTTTCTGAACATTGTGAAAGGGGGTTCAGAGGATGGGAGGATGAATTCTCTGAGGGAGAGATGTAATTGGGGAGAGAGAACGGGAGAGGAGAGAGGATTGTGGACGGGAGGGAGAGCTTTGTCGTCGGGGGGAGGATTGGATTCTCAGGACTTGCGCTAAACCCTTTCGGACGCTGGGCTCTCCGAGGTGGCCCTAGTGTGAGGCCACGGTGTATCTCGTCCGCTTTTCCTTACTACAATGTTATATGTTTATTTTTTTGTCTTCTATATTTTATTTCTATAAATTCTCCAAATTTTTCAAAATATTATACAAGGCCAGAATGAGTTACTTTCGATTTGTATTGCCGACCGGAAAAGTGTGCCACGGGCCACTCTCCTTCCGTTTTTTTCTCTTCTCGGATCGGCGGAATCCCTAGTCAGGTGAATCGCTTATGTCATGGTTTTCGTCACGGCAACCGAAGGGTCCGTATATACTATGTGTATACTTTTTTGTATGCTTTGGATAAGTCCTTATTTCCCAAGTCTATATACTTGGAGCTATGATCCCATAAAGTCACTCGGCCAAAGCAGCAACTTCACTCCATGGGAAAGGGATAAGTACATCCCAAATTGGCCAAATACAATGCGGAATAACAATCGCAAAATAATTGAAAAACAAAATGACACAAGCAATCGCTCTGCTAATAACATACATATGAATATGAATCAACGCACCCATGAAATTACTGAAGCGTTCACCATCAACCAAGACAACCCGAGATCATATAGCCTCGGTCTTGGCGAGCAATATCTCCCCTTACTGCATGCTGTACAACAACGCACCAGTATCTACTGCTCTGCCTTTCCCTTGCCCTTACCATTCTCGTTCTTCTGCTTCCGGAACTTCAGGATCTCCACCTCAACACCCTTCTCAAATCGCTCCTTCAGCTCCGGGCGATATCCGAAGAAGAACAGAACTTCCATCCAGACAAACAACGGCGCAAGCAGGAAAGCCTGAACAAGATTATCCAGCAAGGCAGGGGCGCGCTTCTCAAACACCCCGTGTCCGATAAACTGCGCCAGCCATGAGACGACTTGAATGCCACCGGCCCAATAGTTCACGATGTTACCGTGCGTGCTGAGGAAGTAGTTTCCGTAGTATGCAGCTGCGATCAATGGTGCAGCGAGTAGGCCGCCGGCTATAGGCTCTAGGAGGACATAGAATGTGGCGTAGATAACAGCACCGATTGTGCCGGCGTTTACGGGCAGATAATCGATTTGGAGGGCGTCCGGGAGGGGGACGAGGGGCGGGCAGTTGCAGGCCTTGAGAGTCACTGTTAGTACTTTTGTACACTGGGGATATCTTGTTTGGTTGAGAAATGCCGAGGTGCGCGTACGAGGATAATGCCGGTAAACAGTATGGCTGGGACGCAGGTGATGTGGATTGCGACGTTGATCTGCGCTGTCAGTGAACGTTGTTCGTTATTGGTGATGGGAGTAGGGCCGATGTACGGGGTTGCTATGGTAGGCTCCGTACTAGGTGACAGTCAGTTATAGTCGTTCTGGTTGGATGTGGATGCTTACGAAGAGCAACTGTTTCTCAAGATTAAGCGCCATCTTGCCGGGTTGGAAACAAAAGATGGGGAATTCTGGGGGAAGAGTTTTGCGGGGCGATGGGATCAGGCAAGCATCGTCTTTATCGGAAAGCGTTGAGTGGTGCAATTGATATTGAAGGTCCTGGCGTCATGTGGCTCAGGCCGAGGAAGTCGTTGGGTCTTGGCGTCACGGTATACATGGGCTCCCAGGTATGACAACCCCCGATGCACAGGCCTATCAGACCATCTATATTATACTTTGACTAGGATATCCTGCATTGCAGTTAATGGATTATATGGTTATGATTGGGCTTCTCTTCCGTCTCTCATTAAACTGGCTGTCAACTAACTATATAATACTGTAATGTCTAGTACGGAATGTTCCGGTGTGGCTTTACATAGACTATACATATTTTCCTACAAGTTTAGGTGTCTTTCTTTTGAGATCTTTATAACTATGGTATGAAGAACTAGCTTGGACTTTCAAATTGCTAATTTATAGGTTGGTGACAAAATGATCATCGAAATTGAAGAAACCAGTTGGTGGATATATATAGCTTCACAGTATACATTCAAGCCGATAATGAAACACCATAACCAGCCAAAGCCGCTCAAGTAAGGCTATATATAGATAAAAATGATGTATAAGTTGAACCGGAGTCGCAGAGGCAGAAAATTTCGTTATTTACTTCCGTACATGTTGTCAAACATCTATGGGCTGTTATAGATCATCCAATCATTCTTCATATAAGAAGCAATCCTCCACTCGGTCATGACTAAATCATCACCAAGCGTACTGTTGACTATTAATTTCAGTAAGTAGCTAACCAAATGAAAAATGAAGATTCAATGACTTTAAACGTCCAAATATCGAGTCAACAAGTCCACTTCCACCAGTGAAGAATCGTACCACGTGACTCCACCACCCAAACTTGGCCCACCAGACCGGAGATGCTCTTAGGAAGGGAAAGCTTGCGCCTGCAGCAACTGTATCTGCCTCCTCGCTCAAGATCCAAGGCAGATACAATTTCTGCCACTCCCACGGTTACTCGGATCTCATTTCGCTCATTTCTGGCAGCCACATTTTGTTTGTGCTTCACCCGTTGCAGGTCATGAGCTCGTGGTCGAAAACGCCGTCCCTCGATCTCGATTGACAGCATCACTGTCCCGAACGCGACTTGAATATTTCCACTTTGCACGGCATTAGCGCATTTTCATCCAACCATAACCGCAACGATGTTCTTCCTAAAAGAAGAGACCAAGGTGATCTCCATGCACCCGTCCTATTTCGGACCCAACATGCGAGAGTACCTCATCGGTCGACTCAACGAGGAGGAAGAGGGACGGTGCACAGGTGATCACTTTGTGATCTGTGTCATGGACATGGTTGATATTGGCGAGGGGCGGGTGATGCCTGGAATTGGAATGGCGGAATACACCATCAGATATCGTGCGATCATCTGGAAGCCATTCCGTGGCGAGACGGTATGCACTTGGGATCCGAGGTTATCTATAGCATTTGAATTCCTGCTGACTGAGCTTAGGTCGATGCCATTGTTACTTCCGTTAAGCCCACGGGTATCTTCACCCTGGCGGGCCCATTGTCTGTCTTCATTGCGCGAAAGGTATGTTTTTGTTTCCTCCGACCATGGCTCTCTTGGGTTTCACTGCTGACAAGCCCATCAGAACATCCCTTCCGATATCAAGTGGGAGCCCAACACCGTGCCGCCGCAATACACCGATCATGCCGATCAAGTGATCGAGAAAGGAACCAGTTTGCGGTTGAAGATCCTTGGTGTCAAGCCCGACGTGGCTGCCATCAATGCTATTGGCACCATCAAGGAGGATTATCTTGGGTAAGTCGTTCAAACTTGACACAGCGCATATGGCCTTTCTAACGCGATTTTCTTCAACAGACCTTTGTAATGAGACACGATTGCAACACATACCCACCTTTTTCACCAATACGATAATCTACCATACTCTCCATCGTTCCCCGAAGATACGGCAGGTGCTTGGAAGGGCTTTACTGCCTAACAGAGAAATAAAAAAGACCTGGCGGGTCAGGAGCTGGAGTTTGACAAGTCCCTGCTCAATACACATGCCATACTTTTGATTTGAATGGCCATATTCCAATGAAAGACCGATCATGTCTTCTACCTGAGAGTGATTTGAACGGCATTGCAGCTGAAATGACTTCCGTCTCATCAGAGATCGTGTCAACCGCTGAGGGCCTTCTCGATACAGTCTGAAATGTCCAATGTACATTATGTTACATCCATGGATGTCTAACCCTGTGCAATCCATGCCCCCTGTAGAGGCTGAGGCCTTTAAAGTGTATCCAGTTGCCGGAGGGACGCGGGCCCTAAGCCAAGCCCCCCAAGCCTAGGCCCCCTATGGTGAAACACTGGCGTGTTTTCAGGTGTTTTTAGAGGATTTCGGGGATTTAGGCGCGTTTTCTATTTGCATTTCCCCTTATAATATTTTCATTGAATGTTTGCATATATGCAAGGTACCGAGTACTAACTGGTTCTAGCGCGCCCCTGTATATTATTTTGTACCGAGTACGGAGAGTACAACGTACTCCGTGGCCTCGTAGACGGCTTCCTTCTTCTCTCATTCTCTCTCTTAAAATAGTTTTCTTGTAACTTCAATCCGTTCCTGTTTCTAGATTCTAGAGTAGCTACCCTCTCTGGAATATCTTCCTTTTTTCAACCCCCTGTCCCTATACGGTTGACAATGTCCTACTTCAAGACTGAATACCAGCGGTTCCTGGATAACCCCAGGTCTGCTAAGTTGGCCGACGATGTCTCCTTGATCTACGTTCCTACCACGACCAAGTTCGAGAAGGCTGACAATGTCATCACTCATGCGTTGAAGAACGCGAGTATTGTCAAGACGACATCGAACCAGATCATCAGCGCCATTGAAGGATCAGACTCGCTATGTCTAGACATGGAAACAAGCCTCGAATTCACCGAGGGTGGTGGGGTTTATCTCCCCTCGCTCGACGATAATTTCCTGGCCGACCGTGTTGCGACTTTCCCCACGGTAAATTCCCCGACGCGCGTCGCGTTATCGAAAACTAATGCATCATCTTGCAGATTCACATCGTCCACTTCGACGCCAATAAATTGATCAAGCAGATCCGTATTTACTGGGACCAGGCCTCATTGCTGAAGCAGATTGAGGTTATCGGAGCGCGCGGACGCCAATGGCCCATTCGTGATGGAAAAGATCAAGTTCGTCTCCTCAGAAACGCTGAGACGGCGCGTGTGGCACCCTCGCAGCCTCCTTCTTCCTCTCAGAAGTTAGAGACCAAACTCCCCGACCGCTCCTCATCCCCGGGCAAGCGCCGCTTCAAGGATCCCTACTCAGCCAACTCCCTGACTGAGCTCCTCTCGCCGAACAAGGAGGCCACTGAACGCGAAAGCCGCCCGGAAACCACCAGACCCGCTGCCAGCAAGAGATATACTAAAGACCCCTATGGAGCCGGTTCCTTGACCGAGCTTCTGTCCCCCAGCAAGCAGGCTCCTGCCTATGTGGCTCCCTTTGCGCCTTCGGCTGGGCGACCTGCCCCTCGCAATTTCAGCGATATCTTTGTGAAAGATGACGGTACACCTGACGAGGCCAGGAAAGGGCCTGTCGACGAAGATCGTCATTTCTACAAATCTGCCCCTGGAAAATACAACCACTTCGAGATCGGCGGTGACAACACGGAGCGCGAGACCAAGGCAGAAGTCAAGCAAGCCAAGACCCCCACTCAACCCACTGGGAATTCGACGACTTTGAGACCCCCGTGAAGGGCTCGCGTGCCGCACGTGGAGAAGAAGTGCGCCACTTTGGCTTCGGCGATAACCAAGAAGGCGCCGGATCCCCCCAATCCAAGCTAAATGTGATCAAGCCCCGCCGTGACGCGGATCGCCACTTCGACATGACCGATGAGGAGACCGAGGAGGACGGACGGATCATCAGCTCATTCGGGGGCCGCGGCAAGCGCCTCTATGAGAACCGCCTCTTTGACGGCGACGGCAACGCCGAGCTCTCCGAGCGCGAGCAGAAGAACGAGCCCCTGGCAACAGGCGCCAACACCGCCAACCGCAACAAGAACTTTGCTTCGCAATTCGCGCTGGGGGACGAATCGCCTGTCGCTAAGGAGAACACGCCTATCCAAAAGCACGACGCGCACAATAAGATGATGGAGTCTCACTGGGATAACTACGACGAGGAGTCCCCCAAGGTTCCTACCCAAAAGCACACCGCGCACAATAAAGCGATGGAGTCAAACTGGGGTAACTACGACGAGGCGTCCCCCAAGGTCCCCACCGAAAAGCACGAGGCGCACAATAAGATGATGGAGTCTCACTGGGATAACTACGACGAGGAGTCCCCCAAAATCCCTACCCAAAAGCACACCGCGCACAATAAGGCGATGGAGTCAAACTGGGGTAACTACGACGAGGCGTCCCCCAAGGTCCCCACTGAAAAGCACGAGGCGCACAATAAGATGATGGAGTCTCACTGGGATAACTACGACGAGGAGTCCCCCAAAATCCCTACTCAGAAGCACGACGCGCACAATAATATGATGAAGTCTCACTGGGATAACTATGAAGACCCGTCCCCCGAGCCGGTTAGAAGAAATGCCACCTCGCAGCGCAACCCTCTCGGCCACAACCAGCCCAGTTGGGGCCATGGAGACGGCAACTAAGTGAGCCAGTGCCGGTCTATGGCTTAGCTTGATACATTTGATACCACGTATGTATTCCTTGTCAGTGGAGAAGTCAGCTCAGCTCCGTCTTCCTGTTGACAAGCACGGCTGACTCTGTCTGATCACGAGCAATGTATCGATACCCGCATGAATTTTGGACATTTGTCCTTGAAACTGCAAAATAAGCAAAAAAAGAGGCCGAAGGCTTCCCCTTTCGCGCTTGGAACTTTGCAGTTGGAGTCGAGTGTGAAATGCCTGGCCTGCGTGTATTACCCTCAACCCTTGTCTTCTTGTCTATTTCCCTTTTGCTTTTTCTTTTTACCTTTCTGTACCTTGCTCCACAAATGTTATTAGTGTACAAGTTTATTTCCACGAGAGCGGACTGTTTGATTTTTTAATTTAATTGGGTTATACTTCGATTTCTCCCGATTTGTAAAACCTCTAGGAGAATAACATGGTACATGCCTACTAATGGATCATAAAGATGTTATCGTTTGAATATTAAATTGAGTCTCACAGCTAAGTTGTTGTCCAAAATAGTAAGTAGATGTCAATCTTGTTCGTCTCCGATGTCCAAGTATCGAAGCTGACCGAATATCCCAAACGATATTATTCAAAGACCAAGGATGAGCGAGCGAATGTAAGTAGGTTTTCCAGGTCCAAAATATGATATTCTTTCCTCCAGCAAATTGTTCCAATTCCTCCAATTCCACGACATATTAATTCAAGTCAAGTCATGTAGATTCCAAAAGATACGCAGATATGTATCATAGATATCCAATAGATGGCAAAACACAAACTCAACCAATTCAACCTAGATGTAGAACATAGTCTCGGCAATATTAGGATGAATCTTGACATCCGCCGTGCGGCTCATATCCGCCGTTCCCTCGGTGCCACTGATAGAACCACCAGAGCCATCGCGAGGCATAGGATCGAACAGATCACTCAAGAAGCAGCGAGCACGGGTACAAACCAGATCGGCATAGTACGCTGGCGGACAGACACTAACCGCCTTCGTAGCACGACCGAACATGTAGCACATTTTGTGGGTGAGGTCCTGGAGGACATCAGCCGCGCCGGGGCCGGTGCTGTTAGCCGGATAACGGGGGTAGAAGATCTCATCCCAGACGGTGAAGTAGTGAGCAGGACGGGCAGTGCCCTGGAGGGCGGAGTGAGCCTGCAAGAAGAAGTCCCAGTCACGGCCCTCGGAGACGCCGCGGTCGACGACTGTTCCGGGGATGGGATTCTCGCGGTTCGAGTCCTGCTCTGTTGTTGGGTAGAAGCGGGTGTTGTGGCGTTTTCCGACCACAATGATAGCCAGACGCGGGAGACCTTTCTTTGTCTGGTCTGCTGGATAGGTCTTTTTGCAAGCTTTTTGGAGGAGGGGGAGTTCCTCGTCAATGACTTTGTTGTATTGGCCTTCTGAGACGCCGTCGCGGTAGACGATGATGTTCTCCGGGAGGGCCTTGTTCAGTTTGCGCCAATGCTGGAGACGCGAGGCGAGGAGGGTTTCTAGGTCGGCGACCATTTCTTGACGGGCTCCTTGGACGCGGATCTCGGCGGGCCATTGGGCGAGGGTTGCGTCGACGGAGGCGACGATGCCTGCCACGCTGGGCGCTGTGCTGGCGGAGCCTGGCGACGGGTGGGTCACGTCGATGCCGACTAGCATTGTCTTGCCTTCGGAGATGATTCCGAGATCGGCGGTGCGGAGGGCTTGGTTGGCACCGCCTAGTTTTAGGTTGATTTTCAGGCCTACATTGGCATTGTACTGGTCGTTGGAGTTGATGAGCTTCTCTGCGAGAACGTTCACGTTGCGGATTCCGAAACGGACGTCGCAGACTTGCTTGACGCAGTTGTATATGCCAGTGTCTTTAGTGTATAATATACCCAGGATGAAGATTGGGTTGTGCTGCTTTTTCAGATCATCGACAGCTTGCTCGATATCAACAGCGTCGTTCTTGCCGGTCAGAACGACTCGTTTGCCTTGCTTGTGGGGGTCCACAGGCATTCCCATATCCCCGAGCGTCTTTCTGAAGGCTTGCAGAGACGCGTTGAGCTGATCTGGGGTTTGGAAAACTGGCCGGGCGCCCTCCTGATCAATGTAGAGATAAGTCCAGGATTTCATGGGTGCAGGCTTCGAGAACTGGATTTGGCGCATGTTCCAGCTGCCAAATTGAATCCTGACTTCCTTGGTCCTGTTTCCGTCTTTGTAATAGACAATTGGGGCGGGGAGAATGCGTCCAGGAACCGTGATCAGCTCAGTGGAAGAGTTAACACCGAAAGCAGACTGTAAAAGGTTAGATATCTTGACAAGAGCATTGGTGCGAGGGAAATTTACTAGGGTGGCATTCAGGGGCTCGCCTAGTCCCAGGACACCCACGCCCTTGGTGACAATCGACTGGGCGTTCTGGCCCGGCTTCCGACCCATAACAGCGAAGCGGAGCATACTAGCTGTCTGATTGCCAGTAAGCTTGGACTTGGCTGGCTGGCCAGGCTCGACTTCGCAGACCTCAACGGGGAGATAGACAGGTCTGTCACGAGACCCGACATTCACCACTGGGAGGTTTGCATTCAAAGCCATGTTGTACTCTGAGAGGAAGAGGCAAGTCAGCACAACACGAGGAGAAGGTGAGTCTAAGGAAAAGTAAAAGAAAAGTGAAGATCGACGGACCTTTTTTGAAGAAGTCCGCAACGGTGATGTAGCGACCGGCTTCCGCAGGACCAGCCCTGGGCGCTTTCTTCCCCTTCTTCCCCTTGGGCTCGGGCGCACCAGCCACGGCGACGGGCCGAGGGCTAGACTCAGCTAGGAAGAATTGCACATCCTGGGGACCAGCACCGTGGCGGGGAACCTTGGGTGGGTTGGGCGACGAGCCACCATCACCGCGGTTGGCCAGGCCATAAATAGGCCTGATGCGAGGCCGGGGCTGACCGCGACTTTTTTTGCGGGTAATGTGGGTGATGCGAACGCGCAGAGTCTTGAGGAACTTTTCCAAACGATAAGTGTTCCTGTTGCCGTAGCCTTGTATCACGTTGATCAAAGGTCCCTCATTGTAACAGGCCAAATACTTGACCTGGACATTCAAGAGCACACGAGCAGTCGCGGCACGCACACTGACAAAGAATCCGCGCAGGACGGATAGACCACCGCCCAGGTTGAACGATTCCATTGTGTCCTGACGCAGACTGTAGTGTCTGTTGGCACCAACAGAGACGACCTGGTCATCGGTCTTGGGGTGGTGTCCCATGATCATGTTGAGAGCAGCCACAATCTCAGACTTGGATTCAAGCAGGGCACCAGCGTTGGTGGAGGTCAGGTAGTTGACCAAGTCAGCAGGATTGACCTCACCAGTATACTGGCAGGTAACCTGGTGCACCCGGGGTGGATCCAGGTAGTCATCATCCATGTGCTCCTTGTATCGCACATCGAATTTACCTTCGGTCAATTTGACACATGAGACTAGGGTAGACCGGAAGTCTGAGGCAATGCTGTTCTTCTGCTGTGGGAAATGCTCCTCCAACAGCAGACGCACAATGTGTCGGGCCTTTTTGCCCACAGGGGCAGCTCGGCCTGCAGAGTCGGCTGCAATGGCAATATGGTAGCGGAACAACTGCTTTTTAGGCAGGGTCAAGGGCAAGTAGTTCGCATACAAAGTCACCGGCCTGCCAGCTGTGCCGTAACCAGGACGTTCGGGATATTTTGCCTGTCTCGGGGCCTTCTGGCCGCTCACAGCGAGAGCTTTGGCAAGGTCATTTTCGGTCTTGGTGACGGTGGTGTTAGGTGGTGGGATAGGCTCGCCTTGTCTGTAGGCAAATGATTATTTTTGTTCAATGAGCAGCAAATAGTGTGAGCTATACCTGAAGATAGGTGGGCCGGAGTTGGTGGAACCACCACGTGCTCCACCACGTCCGCCGCGGAAATCACCCCTACCGCGGAAATCACCACGACCCCGGAAGTCAGCTCTGCCACGACCTCCTCGATCACCCCCACCTCTAAAGTCGCCTTGACCCCTGTCATCACCTCGGCCTCGGAAGTTACCTCGGAAATCACCTCTAAAATCTCCACGATTTCCATCGCCTCTACCAGCTGGGCGGAAGGCTAAATCGCCGCGACTTTCCCCACGACCGCGACCTCGATCGGCACCTCGACCTCGATCACCACGGCCACGATCACCTCCACGATCGCCTCTTCCACGACCCCGATTGTCACTCATGATAAGATAGACTCAATACAGATGGGTTATATGGGTTGGAATATGGAAAATAAGAGAGGAAGATAGTGGGGAATGGGGGAGTGGGAGATGGACGGCCTATTAAGTATTTGAAGTGATGTACCGTTTGTTCATCACCAGGTTTCTTTGTTTGCCTACAGGGGTATAGTGTAATGGAGGTGACATTTGGGTACTTTTATATACATTAAAGGCACTTGGGTAGTTGTACAGATCTAGCTATATGATGTGACTATGACGTGGACGCTCCATCGTCTTACATTACGCTTGCTCCACAACTTTGATATCAATGTGCCATATAGTTAGTGAGGTAGGAATATAATCATTTTTCACATCTTTTTCTACTAGCGTTCTTTTTTTTTTTTTTTTCAAAAAGAAAAAAAAATAGGTCATCACTATGTTCTCGTTTGTAGTCCTGCAGTTGACCAGTAGATTCATGTAGACATTGGATAGCGGCATACTCCTAGTCTACATTTTGTGATAGTAAGAATATGTTTCACTTATGATTCGGTGTTGCCTGCTGTCACTCTACATGCCCACGGATTCGAGTATATGTGAACGCACTATGAGTTTGAGGATCTCGGGTGCATGGACATCCAATGATTTCATCCCGCAGGATGGTGTTGGTTGGTGTTGGTATTGGACGTGTATTTCCTCTTCTTCCTTACTTTTGAATTCGATATTTCATGATATTTCATGATATTAGGCAATATCAATGTAATAACCAGTGCCTCGTCGCCACTAACCTGTCAATACCAGAGGCGGAATACTCCGCCTAGAGCCACAACTAAGAAAATGCAAGCCATAAGATATATGTGACACGTTAAATAACCCTCAAACAGTCCTACAGGTCGGCTAGACAAAAATGCAAAAACCAGGTAAGTCTGAAGACTAGACCTTCGCAGGCTTCCTTTCTTCAATCCAGCACTTGTACGATGACCAGGTGAACCAACCTACGTCAAGACCCCACGGCTGACCAGGTCTTTCGAAGCGAATATCAAAATGACGCACCACCTCAGGGATGACTTTGCCCAACTCAAGCAGACTGATATTCCTGCCAAGGCAGACACGCGAGCCACCGCCGAACTAGGACCGCAATTAGTAACTATGCAAAGCAATGGGTCTATCGAGCTATTCACGAACCGAAAAATTCAAGGCCGAGCTTGGCGGCTGGTTTCCATCCTCCTCGAGCCATCTTTCAGGACGGAAAACTCGTGGGGAATCAATCAGGTCCGGGTTATAGTGCAGTGCCCACGCACTGATGCCGACCTGTGTCTGAACGAAAGTGTTAATAGAGGACAGGACCGGTAATGCTAATGTATGGTAAGCTTTGCACACACCTTTGCTGGGAAATTATATCCACTGAGGAGGGCACCATCTTGCGGAACCTCTCGTGGTAGCATTTGGGCCACCGCCGGGTGCATTCTAAGTGTTTCCTTGATTATTCCCTGTAGATATGGCATCTGCTGCGCTTCCTTGAATCCAGCGGGACTCGACAGCAGTCCTGCACGTTCGTGTGCCTCAATCTCATCCCGGAGCTTCTTCAGAATCATTGGGTCTCGATATATGTAATAGAAAGCAGCACTTAAAGTGATGGCCGTAGTATCAGACCCAGCAATGACATTCGAACCACAGGAACTGAAAATCGATCCTTGATCAATTTTCCCTTTCAGTTCTAGATCCAAAAGTTTGGCGAGGAACGGTTCAGACTTTGGATTGTCATTGGGCTCAGAGCCGACCCGACGAAATCGTTGAATGGAGTCTCCGATGAACTGGAACAATTCATTCTGCGGATTTTTCAGTTTAAGCAAGGCAGCAATCCTGGTGAGTAGAACGTGTGCAAAAGGAAAGGAACCAAAGGACATCTGATGTTCCGTGGCCACTTTGATTTTGTGCAGGAAACCAGTGCGATCCCTTTCTGTCTCCATCATGTCGAAAGTTCTATCCATCTGTTGCGTTGTTAGTGACAGATTTTTCGCATTCGAAAGCTCCATGAAGACAAACCGTGATATAACCAATGACATCAAAGGCGTAATATTGTAGGAAAACAGGGAGCTGAATGAGCCTTTTCGTCTCGGCGAATTCACGGAATTTGCGCATTAGGACAGTATTCATCTTCTCAACAGCGCCTTCGTAGTTGACCATGGTCGACATGGTGTACAAGCTAACAATCTTCCTCTTGTTCTCGGAATGAAGCCGCGAATCTTGCATGTTCAACATATTCGGGCGATCTGGATGACCAGCCGCTGCATACCAGTCCGACTTGGCGAATCCACCCCCGGTGGATGAGTATATGGTCTTCAAAGCTTCTAGGGTGTTGAAACTATAGCGGTTCGGTGCGACGCGTACGACAGGTCCTAATGTGTGCAGTCTCCAGTCAGCCCGGGTTGCAAAAGCCGACAAAAGGGGGCTTCGAACCATATTTCTCATGGAGTCGTATGTAGGTCTCGTTAAGACCATTCCTCCGGATGGCGTGTATTTCCCAGAAACTCGAAAAACGAGCGAATAAAGGACCCGGAACATTTCTTAATGGAGAAAAGACGAGGCTATAGATGGCATGCCATACGTTCCAGAGTCCAAACGCAATGGCAAGCCCAATGGCAACATGGGATATGCTAAATAGCATATTGATAAGACGCTTGACTTTCGCGTGTGAATGTCTTGTATAGAACGGCTCTCTGTGAAGAGTGAACACTACGAGGCGAATGAACTTACTTCAGCATTATGCACACATAAGCACATTCGGATAGATCCTATCATTTGAATTGCCGACTAGCTCGAGTAACTAACTACCTAGTCTGTCTATCAATGTATGTGTACGTAGGGGGTATGTGCACCTATCTATAGCGGACTCCGCACTTTTACCCCACGATATATAACCTCTACTTCCCAATTTGTGCAACCGAAGCAGCCCTTTTAGTGGTGGAAGTATGATGCCGATCCTTTGCCTGCTGTATTCTTCGCTTCTTTTTGGACTTGTCTCTTACTTTTATAGCATAGCGTGGTTGAGAATAGCCTGTGGATAGTCTGCGGATACCGCTCACCTGTATGCCGATCACTCTGATGGTTCCAAACCATCGGCACCAACGATTTCGTATTTGCCGATTAAGTAGACAAGTTATCCTTTTTTTCGATTTCCCCAGATTGTGATTTCCCCGCAATAATTGAGATTTTGTCAGAATTGAAAGCCAAGAGAGAGCCTCTGAGAGTTATATAGGCAACTGGACTCTGCACGCTTGATTGGTCCTACTTTCCTGCACATCATAAAAGGCCAGATCTTATTTTGCTAGCTGATTTAATTAATAAAGATTAGTGTCCATGGCCTGAAGCTGGCCAAATTTAAGCGAAGCACAGCTTTGTATGTTACGTTCTTCCTATAATACTCCGCACAATACCTAAACGCCGGCTCGGATCGGGCCGAAAAGGAGATAATTAATTTATATTTCATTTATTGTGACCTTAGTACTAAAAAAGGGCACAAGAAATGTGATTCTCTAACACTTGATTCCATTTATACTATCTTCAGAAGCTACCTTTACTGTGAGACAAACTGTTTCTGCCATGGGAGCGGCTCGGTGGCCGCACGCAGAGGTCCAATCTCACTCCCTTCTTCTCGTCGCTTTTGCCATGCTGCTATCTCTTTGTGATCGACAAAGTTTCCATGAAGTCCCAGACGTAACTTGAAGGGTAGATGAATGGTGGCAATGGGGCCGTCATTCAGATTCTGGGCGTCGAATATCACAATGTCGTTGCGCAAGACATCAAGGTGATTGAGGAACGCGATGATATATCCGTCACCTTCAATGCCGCTATCTTTCGGGATGAAAGTGGGTTCTTGGAAGGTAGCTGTTGGACCCGCCCAATATACATCATTGACCTTCTTATCCCAGGTGAAATGACCCAAACAGTTGAATAAACCTCCTGCGGGTGAGCCGCACTTTTCAAAGTCATATGGCCGACTCGGATCGATGCATGCCTGCCAAAAATGCTGATATTCTTTCGTAACGAAACGGTCGTCAATGCGGGAAAATTCACCATTGACGGTGTCCATGATCTCGGTGGGGGTGACACGCGTGTCAGTCTTCGACTTAGGATCAAAGATCCAACGAACAGTCTGATTTGTCGTTTTATTTCTCTCTGCCACCGTCCCAGCCATGGTATCCTCTGGGGGAAAAAAGAAGAAAACGTTTCCGGCAGCAACGGAGAGATCGAAAACGATTTTTCCTTCCTCGTTCTCGTAACATCCTGCTACATGTCCATGGAAACCTAAATTTTCGTGTGTTAGCTCATTTGCAAAATGAACTTGTCTGATAAAAAGAATTTGTTCGACTTACCATTGTCTGCCCTAAGCCATACAATATCTTCCGGCTTTCCACCTCTCCTAGGCACGATGCCGTAAAGCTGGTCCTCATTGGGGTCCCATGCCCAATGCGCTCCTCCTTTCTTCATCCGATCGAGAGAGGACTTTAAAGGGGTCATAGGTAGAATCAAGTAGTTCTCGGACAATCCGCAATCATGAATCATGCCGCAAAATGGTGCTTTATACCAAGCTTCCTCGGTCTTTTTACCGTTAGAATCGATGGTATACACCACAATATCACAGGATGCATCATTTCCATTCCCGCCAGCCTCATAGGCAAAGCAGACCATTTCCCCCGTGACAGGATCAAATTTCGGGTGCGCAGTAAAGGTCGGAGACAGCACTTGGCCATCAAAGTCATAACGTCCGACTGTCTCTAAGGAAACTGGGTCCATTGCAAATGGAGGACCGTCCTCCTTTGTAGCCAGCAGTGCTCCTCTCCAGAAGAACACATTTGTATTGGCAGCTGTCCGAATGACTGCTTCCACAGACGCATTGTCGGTAAATGGATTCCGGTACTTGCCAAAAAGCGATTTTCTTTGCTCGGTTTCGGCGTTATAGCGATCCGTATGAACATAACGGTGCTTGAAGTCCACGCGGCCATTGGCGATGCGAACTGCGCTCACACTTCCGTCGCCATTGAAATGGATGTCGTCGGAGAACATTGGAGGGAAGCGGTGGTCCGGCTGCACGCGGTAGAAAGTGCCATCAATATCGGTGGGAATTTCTCCATCTACCTCGCAGTCGAAAATGTCGCCTTCAAGACGAGATGGCTTATTGAAGCCCTGAAAAGTTCCGGTGTTGGGAAATTTCAAAGATGCTCCATTTGTGGAGTCAACGTGAGATATATTTGCCATTTTGAAAATGTATTGTGTATCGAGTGATAGTATTGTTGGCTGGTAAATCGAGATTAAGATATTGCTGAAGTATACCTGATTTTATACACTATGCTGTATAAAGTTCTTTCGCTTCTACAGCTTCTCATTCGTCCAATGCTTTGTCGGCAATATGGAAGCGATCATCAACCCATCCTCGGGATAATCTATTTTGGATAGCACATACCAAAAACAGTCGGTCTGATACTGCCGAAAGGGTTCAAAAACGCGAGTCAGTTCAATCTCTTTAATTTATCCGGGTCTTCCTGTTTGCGGGGTCTGTTCTGAGGCTAAAACTTCCGTTGATTGTATGATTCCGTCAATATAGTATATAATACCGTTCTTCCTGTAGCCACTCTGGATTAGTCCTTAACTTTCTATTCATTTGTATAAAATTGACCTATTGTTTTATTCTTTATCTGTTGTCTTTTCTTCTTTTAAATTCATCATACACCAAGATGACGGTTTCCACGCCAACATTACCGACGAAGCAGAAAGCTGCCGTTTACAACTCGCCAGGATCTGTTTCTATCGAGATTGTGGAAGCTGACATCCCTGAGCCAGGCCCAGATGAGGTCTTGATAAATTTGTAAGTTCTGTCCATTGATTGTGTTGAAATATCCATGATTAACATACAGTCTATAGAACCCATTCTGGTGTCTGTCATTCCGACCTCGCTATTATGACAAATAGTGTATGTTTATCCCCAATGAAAGGATCCAGGTTGCCAACTTAACTGATCAGTCGATTAGTGGACAGGCCTTCCACCGGCCCCAGTAGGACAAGTTGGCGGCCATGAAGGAGTTGGTCGTGTCGTGAAGCTAGGTTCGGGAACAGCCAGCTCTGGCATAAAGATCGGGGACAGGGTTGGTGTGAAATGGGTGGCAAGCGCTTGTGGAAACTGCGGTGAGATTATACTTCGATTATAATGCTTGTTCGATTTTACTGACCTGAACGTACACAGAACCATGCCAAATGCAATTGGACAGTCTTTGCTTTAACCAGAAGGTGTCTGGATTTTACACTCCTGGTACTTTCCAACAATATGTCCTGGGTCCTGCAAATTACGTGACCAGGATCCCGGATGCAGTGGAGTCTGCTCAAGTCGCGCCTCTACTCTGCGCAGGACTTACTGTCTATTCTGCTCTTAAGCGCAGCTTAACCGCGCCTGGGCAGTGGGTCGTCATCTCTGGCGCCGGGGGTGGCCTAGGACACCTGGCAGTTCAAATTGCCAGTAAGGGGATGGGATTCCGTGTCATTGGTGTTGACCACGGAACAAAAGCAGATCTGGTCAAAGATTCAGGCGCCGAACATTTCGTGGATATTACCAAGTTTCCTGCAGATGACGATGGTGCTGCGATTTCAAACCACATCAAAGCTCTAACTGGAGGACTTGGGGCTCACACCGCCATTGTCTGCACTGCTGCCAATAGTGCTTACAGCCAAGCGGTTCAATTCCTAAGGTTCAGCGGTACTCTGGTCTGTGTTGGAATTCCATCAGGTGAATCAAAGCCAATCGCTAGCGCTTATCCTGGGGTTTTGATAGCCAAGCAATTGAAGATTATAGGATCGGCAGTTGGCAATCGGGTTGATGCCGTTGAGCTGTTGGAATTCGCTGCTCGGGGGATAGTTAAGGTCCATCTACAGATGGTGCCAATGGAGGAGCTTGCGCAAGTTTTCCAGGATATGAAGACAGGAAACTTGCTTGGAAGAGCAGTGATTGACCTCTCTTGAAGTGTCTGTCTCTACTTATTTTCTACATTTTATTGTTTTCTTCTGAACATAGCAATTTCATAAACCATGATTCCATGAATTTTTACTATATAAAATATAGTATTATAGTAAGGTGAGCGCCAGCAACCTAGAATTATACAACCTTTTGTATGTAAAATACGCAATTATCTTCCCTGTAAGAGATAACAAAGCTAGCCACTATACATTCTAATAAGAAGTATCACTCCAGCATGTAACAAAAGCTTACTGTTGGGGGCCTTAGGCCCCCCGTAGGGTCAAGACGATGTAACTAAGTCAGATCTCTTCCCTCCTGTCTATTCTCCTTTTTATCTCCGTATGATCCACTACATAGTGACCGTAGTACATTCTTTACATCCATTGTGGTCCTCATTTTGAAGTTTTTTTTCTAGATTGATTTCCTTACTTCACACAGAAGGATACCTGTTAAATTTCATGCGAAATTTCATTTGTAATAAGTACATACAATTTCCGCATTTCAGTAGTTGGAATAAATAACGACCGATGATCAATTATACTATAATCTTTTTCGGGGTAAAAATTGTCTTGAAGTTCTGCTGGCGTACAAACCATGCATTCCACAGTTTCCATTCTTGGTCAGGGTGTGCTAGTCGTACCTATCAAAAAGAGTCAGCATCGCAGATATCTGTCTCACGCAGAATGAAGAGAACATACCTCAAACCTCCTCAAAAAGCTAGGAATAATCTTATAAATCTCCATTAGAGAGATATTCTTCCCGATGCAGGTCCTCGAACCGGCACCAAACTGGAGCATCATTCCATCCATAGCCTTAAGTTGCTCCGGCGATGTATTAAGCCATCTATCGGGATTGTATATGTCGGCATCTTGACCAAAGATATCTTTACGACGGTGAATAACCCAGGGGGTGCAACCGACGATTGTTCCGCCGCGAATGAAATGTCCAGAGATCTCCACACCTGACGCAGGAACAACACGCTCCAGATGAAGTCCCGCAGCAGGATGCACACGGAATGCTTCCTTTATGCAGGCATCGAGGTAGGGCAGCTGCCGCGACTCTGTCCATGAGACAAGTCCTGTTGGGCGGTTCACGATCGTACCGTTGGCCACAGCATCATTCAGCTCTTGCGTAACTCGTGTCATGCACTCTGGGTTCTTAAGTAAAAAGTAGAACACGGCGGAAATGCTGATGGCCGTTGTTTCAGACCCGGCAAAGGCCATAGAGACGGCCATGGTAAGGATTCGCTTGTTTGTCATAAAGTCTGGACGGGTTTCACCCGCCTTGATGAACATAGTGAGAAGATCATCCTTTGTTCCCGAGCTCTTTATATCAGCTTTTGCTGACATACGTTCATCCATGCGGTGCTTTGCGAAGATGGCCACGGGATGCGAATTATCAGATAAGCCCAACTTTTGAAGGAAATCAAATATTGGATTCTTCCAAAAGAGCTTGTCTAGCCATGGCATCTGACCAATAGGGGCAGAATAATCGAAGATCTTTGCGAGGGAACCGACGATGCCATCAATGTCTTCGTTTTTCTCAATAAACCCGTGGCGTTTGCTATACGTAATGCTTCCAATAACATCGAAGGCAAAGAATTGTAACCATCGTGCGAAATCACAGACAGTGGACCCATCAGCAAAGAGTCGGCCCGTTTGATCGAGGAAAATTTCCGTAGTCTCATCGACCATTGGCTCGTATTGTACCAATGAGCTCATCGAAAACGCGTGGTTGACAGAACGGCGGAGGTTCGCATGGAAGCCCTCATCCAGTGTGGAGAACAGCGATGGCAATGGCTCGCCTTTCGAAACGGTCATCTGTACTGGGTAAAACTCGGACTATCCTCTCGATTAGAAGATGTAGATATCCAGGGGTTTGCCATATAACTACCTTGACGAATCCCTTGTTAAGACCGTAGATGACCTTCGTTGCCTTTGGGTCTGCGAAGGATAAAGTGCGTGGCCCCAGACGCACGATATCGCCATACTTGCGATGCAAGGCTATATGCGTAAGCTCAGGGCGTCGACCCATCACATCGAGATATCGCCAAATATCGGTCAGGCGCGCCCAGAAAGGCCCAGGAAAGACGTGTAGTGAATTGTAGAAATAATTCTGGGCAAGGTAGACCAAGAGGAGCAGAGGAACTGCATAGACAGCATATTGAAGTGCCGCAACATGGAAAGTCGCTATGATAGCCATAATTGTGTTCGATCGCTTATATCTAGTCCGAAGCAGTAGTCACAAGGATGGCACGTTATATACACCATATCACAAAAGCTATGCAACCTTCCCCGCCAGAAGGAGGTCAGTATCTTATGATGCTTTGACGCATACAAAGATGCTAGGACCGGCAGTTGGGGATGTTAGGACCCGATGGATGATAGTCGTCTATAGGCATGGTAGGAATGACTAGGAATTATTACCCCGGACATGTCATCGATTCGCCAAACCCCGCAATTTCCCCATATTTAGCGCACGCTAAGTACATACCATATCTTTCATTGTAGCCTGTGCGTCGGCATCTGAGGCAACGTTCAACAACCGAAGAGCCTTCGCAATGCAAGATCTACGCTATTCTCTATTAAGTTAATCCCGTATTTTATTACCACAAATCTAGAACGCTTATATGCCAAGCCACAAGAAGTAGATCGCCTCGGAATCATCTAAGCGATAACTGTATGTACTAATGACGGCATTAGATACATACTTTGAAGTTGTTAAAATCGTAGGCTTCATATAGCGAAGCCAAATATAAAAGCAAAAACAATTTAAAAAGCTACTACATGTCTCCGGTCCATCTTTTACACTGTGTGGAATTGAGATCTCAATTAATCGTTTCTCTCCCTGAAAACGTCTGAGACAAACACGGAGAAATTTTACGAAATGTTTATATGGGGGTTTGTATTGGCAGCGAGTCTGGTGGCTATATTAGTCTACCGGCACTTTTTCCATCCGCTGTCCCACATCCCCGGGCCACGAATGGGAATATCAACCCGTGCCTGGCAGATCTGGCGTTACCTAAAGGGACAGTGGCATGAAGATATTCTTGATCTACATGCACGGTACGGCCCATTGGTACGGATTGGCCCAAACGCGGTATCTATGCTTGACGCCACTCATGGACTACGGACGATTTACGGACATGGCACCAAAGCAACGAAGGTCAGTATGTCGTGTTCCAAATGAGTTTGAACCTGCAGATATCTAATATTCCTCTTCAAATCCCAGACCGACTGGTATCTGATCTGGAACAGCAGTGGGAGGATCGCCAATACTTCCTTTAGTGAAATAGATGTCAGTGAGCATTCGCGAAAGCGCAAGCAAGTTGCGAAAGCATATGCAATGACATCTATTCTCAAAATGGAAGAATACATTCAAGGTGCTGTCGATCTGAGCAGAGAAACCTTTGCACAATGCATCGAAGAGGCGAGCAAAAGCGAGGCAGTTTTAGATATGGCTATATACACTCAAGCGTTTGCCTTCGATGTTTTGGGAGAAATCGGGTTTGGGGGCAGCTTTGATCTTTTGAAAACTAGAGGTCAGGGAGAGTCAAAGTCTATTGTCGAAGCGATCGATTTGAGCTTCCTGGTTCTGGCAAACTCGGGATACCTTCCTGGCAAGCTTCGCTGGCTAAAGTCCAATGTAATAAGAGTGGTCTGCAAGCTATTCAACGTTGACTTAAGCAAGCTCCAGCAGTTGTTCAAAGTGACGCAATACGCCGAGGAGATGGTCCTGAAACGGCAACAAGAAAAGGCTTCTCGCACCGATCTCCTTCAACAATTTATCGATTCCAAGACTAGTAACGGAGACCCTTTAGACCAACGAGAGCTACTTGGAGAAGTTGTCAGCCTCTTGGGAGCTGGAGCAGACACCTCAGCTATTGGTATCCGAAGCGTCTTGGGTTCCCTTCTTGTCGATCGCGCTGGTTATACGAAGCTTACACATGAGATTGACTCCTTTTATGTCACCCAGAACTTGGAAGGTCGGGAGATCAAATACACAGAATGTCTCGAATTGCCATATCTGCAGGCGGTGGTCAAAGAAGGCTTGCGCATGCACCCATCCATCCAGTTTCAACTTCCTCGTTCCGCCCCTGAGGGTGGTGTCACGATATGCAATGCATTCGTTCCCGGAGGGACCGAGATTTCTATGTCACCGCTTGCAAGTAACCGTGACAAAGCTGTCTTTGGAAAAGACGCAGACATTTGGAACCCAGAAAGGTGGTTGGAGAGCAACGAAAGATCGGCTTGGATGGACAAACATCTTGTCACAGTATGTCCCCCAATACTTCATATCTCCGATATGATTTGAAAGTTATTAACAAATATCCCGCAGTTTGGATACGGTGCAAGATCCTGTTTGGGAAAAAATATCGCTTTGGTGGAAATCAATCTCTATATTGTGCAGCTGTTACGCCACTTCAAACTCGAAATCGCCAATCCTAGTCAGCCATGGACTGTCCACACTTGCTGGTCGTCAAGTCAAAGGGATATGTTTATGAAGATCACCAAGCGGAATTGGTAGTCGGGTGTACTTTGCCAAATGTTTTCTATTTTGAACTGGAAATTCAGAAGTATTCGGGTATAATGACAGTTCTCAAGTCATATTTCCCAAGAGAAGTCTGACTGATAGAAGTAAATAGAGCATATGGAAATAGGGTATTACTTCCAGGTTCCAAGATTAGCAATTTCAAGCCGGAGGACTTGCATTTGGAACTATGTTTAGGCAGATTGTAACGTAATTTGGTAGGTAAGTACTTGATTTACCCGACATAAAAGCTATATGTAGGTGATATTAAACCGAAATAAATAACTAGGTCGCCGAATTTGCGTTGGATTGTACCGAAGTGTGTAAATTTTGTAGCCACAATTCCTGTCAGCATTATTTAATAAACCTGGTAATACACATAGCATCCTACGAGGACTAGATATCTAGAGATTACTTCACACAAAACGATAAAGTGGACAATATTGCAAAAATCTTGATTCAAATGTGAAGAAATAACAATCTCAACGTCTCGATACCTCGGTTGGATAACGCGAAACGATCGGGTGAAACCTTAATGATTAAGCAAGTGCCGCCTTATTCTTTACCAGTGTAGAATCGGCGCAATACTCCTAGTTTGTGGATGAATAGGCGATTGCGCTTTCCGAAAATGTCTAGAAACGGTCAGTCACTGAGCTCTCCCTCATAGCTGTAAGTGATTTACTTACACATCGGAATGGAAGTGGCAGTTAGGCAGACGGCAACTATTCCATAAGTTCGGAAAATAGACTGTGCTCCATCTTTGGCTGCCCAGGAATTCACAAAGTGTGAAAACCCGAAGAACAAGAGGTTCTTGAAGATCATCTGCAAGCTGAAGATTTCCGTGGTCTCAGAAGCATGCGCATCCCTAATGACATGTTAGTTTCATTTAATATGCGCGGAATGCTAAAAGCGCGATAGGGAGACATACAACATATAAAGGCTTGCCGACACAGTCGACACAGTAATGCCCAAGCAAATGCATCCATGCAAAAATGACCCTAGAAAGTAGCCGGTCGGGAAGGGATGCTCGAAGAGCCATACGAAGACGAAATATCCCAAGGCCATGAATGTACCGGAAATTACCTGAGTCAGGATTCGAAATTCCGGTTCGTAAATGCCACGATTTATGCGGACCATGATTTTAGTGATCAGATCAGTCACCCACGCACTGCCGAGGCCACCAATCATACCTCCGGCCATAGCTATAGGGTTGTGACATGGGATTCGTTGTGATTTCCGGGAGACCGTGACGTACCTCCAACATAGAAATATCCGTTTTGGGCGGCATTCAAATTATAAGGCCTGCCTCAGTTAGCCAACGAAAAATCATCACGTCCAATGATCAGAACTTACGACGCGGACCATAGCTGAGCGAACACATACGCCAAACTGACCCATAGTGCCTGGGAGAGTTAGACAAGACGCCACCGTTGTCTTGGACTATGTAGGACTTACCACGACAATACCAGTCATACCCAGCGACTATCAGCAAATTCAGCAAAACATATCTGACATGACTGGATTGATGCTTACCCAAATAACACTCGGGTTATGTAGAACAACAAAGGGGGCAGCAATGAGCTTCCAAGCAGCAGTGTCGGTATAGGTCCCCGAAAAGATTGCAAGATTCTGCACGTAGGTTCTCTTTGCAACACTGGTAGATGGGTGTGTGGTCTGTTGTTCATCCACATTCTCTTCTTGATAGACCTCCGATCCTTCCTCTGTTTTCTCTTTGGAGTCGGTGTTCTGGACTGGCATCTCAGTATGCTCCAAGTTTCCGACCGAACGGCGGAACTGGGTTTCGGGAATGAAAAAGAATGTGAGAATCCACGCAGCTGCGACGAATGGCAATTGAATGATGAGCATGTATCTCCATCCCAAAGTCTGGGTGATTGGACCTCCGATAATATTCACCATACTGGAGAGGCACGTCAACGCAATCGCCTAGGAAATGATTAGCAAGGAGGTCGTCCCGTAACTGGGAGAACGAAGGCAGCCGTACCATCACTCCGGTCCTAATACCACGCTCATGGACGAAGTATCTAACAAGCCGATTAGATATAATGAGAAGTGATAGAGACACATGATTCTTAAATAAAGACTTACACGTCCCCGATTGCAGCCAGTGACAGCGACTCAAATGCAGTTGTCCCAAATCCTTGGATGATTCGACCAGCGAGCAGTGTTGTATAATTTGACCCAGCCGCCACACAAATTATTGTTCCAATCAATGCCATTGTGCAGCCGAATAGGTATTGAGGTCGTTTGCCATACTTGCGAGCCAGTGCCGAACAGAACGGGCTGGCTGTTATCAGACTCGGAATATCAATCAGGAAGGATTCAGTCTTACCCGTACAAGCCAACAACCAGAAGCTGGTATCCTGATAGAAGGGCAACATTGTCCAATGAGACTCCCAAGCTCTTTGACATCACTGCAGTAGAGGACGCAAATACTGGGCCAGGGACCGCAGCTAAGATGACAGTGTTGACGAAAATTGTCAAATATAGCAGATCCTTCCTCCGAATCGACCAATTCTTCTAAACGTCAGCGCGTGTTAATTCAGGGAATGACAGGGCAATCTAACCAATGGATCATTTGGATCATCTGATGGTTGAGGATCCAAGATGATCGAAGGGTCCTGAAGTTCGTTAATATCGAATAGGACATGTTTCGACATGTTAATGTGAAGCGTACCTTTGGGTCGTGTTTAGCGCCAGAATGATAACTCTGTTCATTGTCGGCTCTCTCAAAGAGAAGAACTGTGCCAGGGCAATCTTCGGTGCCACTAGGACGGATAATGCCCATGGTCATATTGAGAGACGGCATGTTGTGATCCGAAATTGGGGAACGCACTGGTGAATCGGAACAAGAAGTGGATGAAAAACGAAATCACACGAATATGAGATTGTTGCAAGAATAGAATTTGAAGACCTCCGGGAATGACGGAAGTCGTATCATATTTATCGAATGCACCAAGGTATACGATATTTGGATTATACCTGCATTCTGATGTGGCCACAGCAGCTCTGGACTGGACTACCAGGGGGCTTGACCGATCGCGTAAAAAACGCCGCAGATCCATATACAGGTAAAATACGAAGACACGAGAGCTAAGCCAAAAGTGTAATCTGATAACTTATATCGGTCTAATTCAACCGACGTTGCGGAGTATACATCCGTTGCTTGGTTATAACCCCGGATTTTGTCGGCCGAATTGTCCCGATAACTTAGTTCTCACGCTAGTTGCTCCTAATCTAGCCACTCATACATTCAAGCGACTGGCAAAGTGGCAATAAATGTCCATTACTTCCTAGTCTAGGTTGATTGGGAACTATATAAATATCGCCCTCGTAACGTGTATCTGGACCTTTTAAACAAACCCGAAGGAACGAAGAAGCAATTGATCACAAGGTCGAATTATCAAACATGGCTGAAGATCTTAAAGCTCTGACTGCTGAATTGACCTCGCTGAAGGCGACGGTGTCTCGTATTAGTGGTGAGTCTTGATGCAATTGGTGCACGCTTGATCACTGTTAATGGGATGTTCCGCTTTGCAGATGAGGCCGAGCTTCGCAAGTTGCACTTCAAGTACGGCTACTATCTCGACAAATGCCTGTATCAAGAGGTGTGTACACAACGATCAGGGTTGGATCTTCGTTTGATACTGATGAATACTTTACTTTGAAGGTCGTGGACATGTGGTCCCAATCACCAGATGCCTTCATTGAGTTCCATGGAGGAAGATACCGGGGACCAGAAGGCGTCCGCCGACTGTTTATCGACCGTTTCGCAAGCAAATTTGTCAAAGGCCGTAATGGGCCTGTCCATGGCGTCCTCCTAGACCATGCGATGATGCAAGATATCATTGACGTTAATGACGAGGGAAATCACGCCTGGGGAAGGATGAGAACTTTTATGTCCGCAGGCAACCATGAAAGTATCGCCAAGGATCATCCTCGAGGTCTTGTCCAATGGTGGGAGTCAGGACTTTATGAGAACGAGTATATCAAGGAAGATGGAGTCTGGAAGCCGTATCGTTACAGATATTTCCCCTTCTGGCAAGCCAATTTCGAGAAAGGTTGGAGTCACACTCCTCCGGAATACATTCCCTTCCCCAAGAAGTGCTACCCAGAGGACCCAATTGGTCCCGATCAACTCGTCGAGACTAGGAATTTGTGGCCACAGACAAAGGTTGTGCCTTTCCATTATCCTCACCCTGTTACCGGAAAGCAGGTTCAAGAGAGTGCTTTGGTGGCACCAACATTGAATGGGGATTTGACCGAGGATGGAGGAGCTCTATCGATTCGTGACCCCGATCAGCGAACCGGAAAATTATAAGCATGAATCTCATGATGAGCATTCATGGTTCATGGATCCTTCATCGAGAAGGTCAAGACTTCATAATCCCTTGTTTTCAGATGCTGGAACAATTCTATGGATTAGATGATAGACCAATAACATTTTTCCTGAGCTGGATACACACCATACATTTCGATTTTATATATGTGACCAAAGCAAACATGGAATAGGATAAGAAAATTTTGATTTATACAATTCAATCAGATAAAAATGGCTTTATAGGTTAGTCGCAACCTTGGAATTATTGGAAAGACCTGATTATTGTATGGAAGTGTCATTTTCCAATCCGCTCAAATCAACTCCTAACTGGGGAAGATCCAAACCCGAGAATATCGGGAATGAACTGAGATCAATCGTAGCATCAGACATCCCGAACAGACTGAGAAACATTAGAACAAATACCACGAGAGTGCAAGGGGAAGTTGACACGTACAAATTATAAGTGTCGCTCAGGGCATCGACCCCCGTCACAGGTACTTCTCCACTTTGCTCAGAATGTGAAGGACCAGAAGTGTTTGGGATCATCCCCCATTGCACTAATTCAAATATCACTTCGGAGATCATGTTCTCACCATACCCTGTAGTTCCCATGGTCTGAAGTACCTGGAGACATTTGCGCACATTGGTGAGCTCCTTCTCCCCCCTTGAGAGAGCAAATGCGGAAAGTAAAATTTGCAGAACATCCAAGGCGAAAAAGAAGTCCAAGGCAATTAACCTCGAAAAAGTATTCTCAACGACCATTTCCAGGAGAATGGATAGCATATGCTCTGCAGAACTGACACAGAGAGTACTCAGTGCTTCAAGGGCCGGGAGCTTACCCCTTCCATACATGGTCTTTTGACATATAACATCGTAGAGAAGAAAGGGCCGTGTGATAAGTAGCCGGACACCATGATACCTCAAATGGAGGAGTGTGATAGGTCTGTAGAAGAGGCGTGGGGATATTGTGTCAGACATTCTGAGATGAGGGGGAAGAGTGTCTGCCCATTCTTGTAAAGAGGATATGGCTTCTTTGATGACTTTCATCTCCAATCGCTGGCCACTCAGAAATGGCGTATTGTAAACTTTGTTGCGCGCAGTTTTCGCCAACTGACTAAGACTGCTACAAGCTGCCAAATAGTCTGGAGGAGTATGGGAGCCAAGCGGTAGTATCTAAAGTAGAGAAGTTAGATATCCTTTGCACCGCAAAGACTGGAATTATGTGGACACGACTACCATTTCAGAAGGCAGATGTGGATGTGAAGAATCTTCAATTGCACATGGCCTGCCTAATCTCAACGATAGGTCTTGATCAAAAATCACAAGTGATAACCAGAGTCGCCGGGCGTGTTCTTTCTCGACGGAGCCATAGAATGCACAATACATGTCGCAATGCAATCCAAGAGAGCGAGCAATTTGTACAGCCAGGCTACTGTATAGATATGCGGGATTAGAAAACCCGTGCGATTGTAGAGCCGTAGCCTATGGAGCGATGAGCTTTAGTCAGCGCTATTATTCTCGCGGTTGACTAAACCACTTACCAGGAGTACCATGGCTCGAACGCTATCGAGCGTTCCTTCATCACATGCTGAGGGCACATAAGCCTTTGCTTGTTCGAGGTACTCTGTTGCTGTGATGCGGTCCCCAGAGCCATTGGAGTCAATGTGGACGATTGCTAGGATTGAGTAGAGTGAACATAACCAGGAGGCTGTTAGGCTCTCAAGGGGAGTGTGATACGTCTTCTCTAGCTGAATGTGGAATCTATCTGAGGAGAAAAGCCAGTAGAGGCAATGTACCTCCTCAAAATAGCGCATGACGGATGTCTGGCATTCTTCCAAAGGGGGCAAGTCTGCTCCACTTTGCTGGGATCGAGGACTCGGAATAGGCATGGCGGCTGTCACCATCCCGGGGATAACATCCGGTGATTCTGGTGTGTAGATTTCGTCTCCCGTGAGGCGTCGAATAGCAGCATTGAAGGACAATCCTGATTCGGGTCCCATATAGCCTAGTAATTTTCAGCTCCGAGCTTCTGAATTGGGTGAAACTCGGTGTCACCTACGGTATTCCCCCAGAGAATCTGCTAGTAAGCATCCTAGCTTTTGATGAAAGCAAATAGCATCCTGCAACACAGTGTCTCCCGGGTTCGGCCCAACATCACAGCTTTCCCGAGAATTCTCGTCTGTTGTATCCCGCGTATTCTCTCGAGGACTAGGAGCCACAAATGCAGACTCGGAAATGGGTGGAGAGGGGGCGCCTGTGGTTGAGTGTGTAGATATGGATGAGATATTCGGCTGCGGTCTAGCGGTCTTTTGATGGCGGCATTGCTGCGCAAGAGAACGCAGAGCCTCCGGAGTTAGGTCGTCATCTGGAAGGAAACTCTTCAGGATCTCTTGCATATCCCGGAATTCATTCTCCGAAACAAAATAATACGGTCTCTGCCGTCGCTTGTTTATATCGACATGGCATTCGGCCCCACGGTTGCGGCAATGATCGCAAGGGCCTGGGACTGGATTTTGATAAATGGGTAAGATACTGTTACGCGATGATGGTATATGCACCAGAAAGAGGAACGCAATTATTACCTGGGTTATTACACTTGAGACAGCATTAGCAACTTAATGCGACAGAGACTGAGAGAAGTAACATATATGTGCACCTACCTTTGTCTTTCGACTCTTGCAACGGTCACAACTTATCACGGCACGAGTTCTGCGAACGGATTTTAAATGTCCAGCCATGATGGGGATTGTTGTTCAGTCAGAGGTGAGGCTTGGTGAAAGTAGCTTGGAGACCTAGAACCTTGGAAGTACTATGTACATATCGGCATGTAAATGATGGGGTAACTCCCGGGAAACTATGGGGATTGCGGGGACTGTGGGGAAATGTCACCTGATCTCTACTCCGTTTGTATAGTGAAACTCATTTCCTATGTACTTTGTCAATAACACATACTTGTTCGCCCATTCAAATGTTTTTTAGGTGTAATCTTCAGATGTAGAAACTAGCTGTGCAGATGATTTGTCCATGTATAACATTGATTATCTGTATGCTTCATGATCTAATTTACTATCTAGTAGTATAGTTTATCAAAAGTGATTATTATATGCAAATCCTCTGACATCAGTGGATGAATGGTATACGAACCAGCTAGTCTACATCTTAAACCTTACTTCATGATCCACTTATATTAGATGATCTTATCCCCCACGTTCCTTACTAGACACAAGGATATACATACCCCGCTTTTTCATGGATTGATGAATTATGATTTTTTTCTTTCTCTCTCCCACGGCCAGTGGCTATAACAGCTTGGCTACTGGGTTCAAGCCCAAAGGACAGAAGGTCAAAGAGAGAGGAAAGATAGCTTCAAGATTGTTGATTAGGGGATGAGACAATCCATTTTGAGCTATTGGCCTCGGGAAGATCCCCGGAGTACGGAAGGAATATACATCCGCTCGACATTGCGCCTGCATACCCGAAATATGCAGCATCGGAGTAATTCAGCCGCGATAGAAGTTTGTATTAACATTGCCTTCACGATGATCCGAGGTCGGTATCGGAAAGGAATATAGTACATATAAAAGAGAGCTATCTATGACAAGAATAGCATGAACTGTTTTCTTCAATCTTGTTAAGAATATCTATTCTATAAACGCTAGTCTCATCTTTTGCTAGATCCTTTCCGGAAGAAACAAAATGGGTTCTATTGAATCGACAAAGATCGGAGAGATCGAAACACGGCTATTCATTAATGGAAAGGTTCGTTCTGTTTGCATCTAAATCTAAATGAGCGACATACTCACTGCCGTTGAAGTTTGTGGAATCCTCTGACAAGCGCACGTTTGACTTGACATCGCCAGTTACAAATGAAAAATTCGCCAAAGGTATGTATTAATCTGCTGCCGTGGAAAGGAACATAGGAACTGATAATTTTCCTTATATAGTGTACGAAGCGAGTGAAGATGACACAAACGCAGCAGTAGCAGCAGCAAAGGCAGCCTTTCCGGCGTGGTCTGCGCTTTCCCCACCTCAGAGAGGAGCCTACTTCAAGAAATTGGCTTCCTTGATTCTTGAATCGCACGACGAACTTGCTCAACTAGAAGCCATGTCTATGGGTCGCCCTGTCTCAGGCTATTTCGACTCCTATGCAGCAGCAAGCACCTTTGACTTCTTCGCTGAGAACGGCTATCAGGCCCTAGGAGCATCAAGCCTTAATACCCCTGGTTATGTCAACATGACTGTTCGTCAGCCCTTCGGAGTTGTCGCTGCGATCATTCCTTGGAATGTTCCGATTTTGTTCCTCGCGGGCAAGTCTGCCCCTGCCTTGATTGCAGGAAACACTGTGGTGATTAAGAGTAGCGAAAAGGCCCCTTTGACTGTAAGTTACAAATCTCCACTTGCCTAATAAAGCAGAGCATCGTATCTAATGAAATTTTAGTCCACCAAAGTTGCTACGCTTGTGGAGAAGGCCGGCTTCCCCCCGGGTGTGATCAACATCATTTCGGGACATGGACAAATCTCAGGAAATGTTCTATCCCATCACATGGATGTTCGTGTGTTGAGCTTCACGGGATCAGGAAGAACCGGCCGTTTGATTCAGGCTGCTTCTGCCGAATCCAACATGAAGAATGTAATTTTGGAACTCGGTGGAAAATCCCCAGCAATTATCTTCCCCGACGCGGACATTGAACACGCTGTTGAGGAAACGAAGCATAGCATACAGTGGAATAGCGGTCAGGTCTGCATGGCAAACTCGAGAATATATGTGCACGAATCGATCGCATCAAACTTTATCGAGTTGTTCAACAAGCGATTTGCTGACGTTGCAATTGGTGATCCGCTTCTCCCTGACTCGAACCATGGACCACAGGCAGACGAAGTGCAATTCAAGCAGGTCCAGGCTTATATCGAAAGTGGAAAGAAAGCCGGTAAAATGTCCTTGGGAGCAGAGACGATCGATCAACAAGGATTCTTTATCCGACCCACGGTGTTCCTAGATACAAAAGAGGACGCAAAAGTGATGAAAGAGGAGATATTTGGACCTGTGGTTAATATCAACACCTTCCAAGATGAAGACGATGTGGTTGCAAAGGCAAACGACACCGACTTTGGCCTTTACGCTGCAGTTTACACAAAGGACATCCATCGTGCCTTGAGAATAGCCAAGAAACTGGAGTCTGGAACTGTTGGAGTTAACTGCACTAGCCCAACTTCCGCTCACGATATGCCATTTGGAGGATATAAGAGCAGTGGGCTCGGCCGGGAGGGATGGACTGTTAGTCTTAACAACTTCCTTGAGACGAAGACCATTTTGATGAAGGTTAATGATGCTTGAATTGTGGTGATAATGTTATCGTGAATATGTATTCAATCTTTTACCCGTTCGGGGTTGATCCGACGCACGGATACTTGAGACATATGCGTATTTAATTAAATTCTCAGCTTATGAGCCACTAATCATCGTGTAGCCAATAGGCGTTAAGTCAAGGAAAAACAAGCCTGATATCCAAAACGAGAGCCGGTATGATATCGGGGGGTGAGAAAGCGCATAGACTTGGTCGGGCTCCACAAGAGGAAATAGAATATCAGTGTATCGAAGGACAACATACCATTTCACACTATTAAACATAAAGATGTATACAAACTCTCCATACGTACCGGAAAATACCTGGCACTCGAGACCTTTCTCTGTGTGGGGCGGGTGCAAAAACTTATGTCTACTGACTGTAAGATAAATGCATTTCCGTAACATATCACCATCGTATAGTGCTCCTCCTGTTGCGGATCCTCGGAACCAAAGATCCTTTTTCAAAAAACCTTTTATTTGGTTCATTCTATAATTACGTAGTGGCCGGACAGGGTTTTGGCCTGAGGCAGTGAGATCATTGGAGATAGTAAGAAACTTCGGCGAGAGGTCGGGGTAAATGAAATTATTCATCCATCCATCCATCCTGTAAGAATTTTGAGCCTGTATATTATTCCAAATACCCTACTTCTCAAAGACACCCGTCTAACCATTGTGTCAACGACATGGCAAATAGACATGAATCGTCTTTATCTCCGAGTCTGGCGTCGACTTTGAAAGTCCACATACCGCTCTTCAAAAACATTGTAGAAAGCTGGAAATCTAGCAATATGTCGCAGCGGCCGCTACTAGGTAGGTACTCAACCTGAGTGCCATTGGAATCGCGAATGATGAAATGGGCTGCATCGTTGATGGGAATAGTTTTTAACGGCATTGTAAAGGAACTTGGTTCCAAGTAGCTACCATCCGGGTAGACAACAGAGCTGCTCACAGAGAGGGTCGCATCGATGAGGCCCTCATCAGAGAGTCCTAGTTCCTTTTTTTTGGATTCAGATAGATCGCCGCGCAGGTAGACGAAAAAGATCATCATTAAGGGGGATATCAAGGAGGGGATCTTACGCGACAATAGGCGTCGGGGCAACCCCAAGGAACTCGACGTGCACTAGCTGGTCTTCTTTTGGCACGGTATCGTATATAGCATCGTTGTGGCCCGGGACCTTGTCTTCTTTGACCATAACGCCCACACCGACGAGAGGATTTTGTTGTACGGGTTTGGCGAAGCTAAGAACGGCTAGTGCGGGATATTCGACTTCATCATCTACCGGTGGTGTGGATGGGATTGAAGATGCCTTTTGGTGTGAGAGTGGGAAAGTAATCAGGCAGCGGTGAACAAGTGCCGGCTTATGTCAAGTGACTGCCTACTAGTTATGCTTCTTAACCCAGTTGATGAGCTTATGCAAGATAGTATTGATACTATTGATGATATTGTACTAAGCGGGGTCCTTAGAGAGGTTAATAAGGATGATATAGTGGTTGAAGAGCCCCAGATTCAACACTATGAAGCTCTTTAAGCTTTGAAAACCCTTCAGTTGTATGAAGAGCAGCAGGAACAGGGTGAAACCAAGTTGATTACTGCTCTATATAGACATGAGAGGTTAATTGAAGCAAGGAAAATAGGAGGGCAGAAGCAGAGCAATATTAGGACCGTTTTTGGTGCCTAGATTTGTATGTAAACCAGAAATATATATTTAATATATGGCACCTTGATTTGACGATGACCTCGATATAACCATATTTTTACTGTCTGTGTAATATATCGTTATAAATAGTTTTACTGTACTCCGTACATATGTGTGAGATCATCTGGTGATAAGCAAAATCGGAGATAACGGATTAATCATCATTTCCTCCGACCCTGCAGGCCATCCAAGTCCAGCTTCATTTCCTCCTGATCTCATTGTTGCTATTGATTCGAACTGAACTCTGAGTCCACTTGGTCTAAAATATTGCCTTACCCTTTCGAGTGCGACTTTGGCCCCCCGGCTACGCTTATTCACCCACGCGGCATTTCAGTGGCCACCCCTCCTTCAGCCATCGCAAGCTTCGACAACGCACATCCTTTCATCGCAGTGCCCCGAAATTTGTCTACTGACACTGTGCGGCCTATATTGCATCCACGACCGCTCGAAATATTCGCCAAAAACATCAACCACATCTTAAGTTCTCTGGCGCGGTTGCCTAACGAATACGAACCAAATCCAGTGGTGTTGGTGTTGCGCAAAACTTTGGATACATTGCTACGACCAGGGAAGGAAATAAAATTGCTTTCGGAGACTCACGCAGATATTTAAGAGTGGACTTGCAACCAGACCTAGAAGAGTGTTTGGATGAGCTGGCAGAACAACCGAGTGGCACATCTGAGGTCATAGGACTCTGCGGACTGCGACAGCTTCTTTGAGAGCCCCGCCCGGCTGGACCGCTGATTTGACGTGCACTGCGCCATCTGCGCCTGTCGATTTACCGAGGATATCGAAATATTTTGTTTTACACATACAAGATCATGCCATTCCCCGTCAAAATGACCCCGACACCTCCTTCTACAAATTCCTCGAGTGCTGGCCACTCTCCAGATTACAGAGTCGTCCGGAAACGAAACCGGGTACCTTTGTCATGTGGGCCTTGTCGGCACAGAAAGTAAGCATTTAAGACATGGGTGAAATTCCTCGTTTCTAACAGTTCCAGGCTGAAATGCAATCGGTCAAATCCCTGCGAAAACTGCGTCAAACGAGGAGATGCCGCTTCATGTAACTATGCGCAACCCAACTCGCGCAGGAAGAACCCGTCCCAGCAGTCGCCCAACACACCAGATGATATGCAAAATCGCATCGATCGGTTAGAAGGCTTGGTTCTTTCGTTGATGACAAACGGCCCTCAGTCTGAGGGTCCAGCTGCTGCCATGGCCGCAATCTCTGGTGATAGTAGTGCGGGCTCGACTCAGTTCTCCCATGACTACGATATCGAGGAGGAGGGTATGGAGGGTGCTGAAGAGAGCGACACGGACCAAGTGACGAAGTCGTTTGGTGTCATGAAGATGGACAATAATAAGTCCTACTACATCAGCGAAGCTCATTGGGCGGCTATATTGCACGATGTAAGTTTGGGAGGATTGACCAAATCCGAGTCTTTCTAACCTGCTGAATAGATCTCCGAGGTGCGGAGCTTCTTCACAACGCACAAGAAGCAAGTCGATGAGCAGGTTGAGAAAGTCAAAGCGGCCCGACCAGCTACTGATGCACCAGGCGCGACGTTGTTGTTTGGTATCAATAAGCCGATGAGCCGTAGCGAGATAATGAGTGGTCTGCCATCTAAGTATACAACTGACATTCTTATTGCTCGCTATTTCAACTGCTATGATCCTGCAACCCGTGAGTATTTACTTTTTCCATTGCCGGTGATTTTGAAGCTAAATTTTATCTAGATATCCTTCATGGGCCCACCTTCCAAGCACAGGTAAGCTGCCCGGGAAGAAGTTCATTGTGTGTCCAGACTCTGACTCTGCTAGTATAATAAACATTGGGATGATCCTTCTGCGACTGAACTTGTCTGGATCGCTATGCTGTTTGCAATGATGAGATTGGCAATGCTATCTTACCACCGCGAAGGGGATGAGCCACCTGAATTCCGGGGCAAGGCAATGGACATGGCTGGGGGATTCCGACATTCTGTAGCACAGTGCTTGACATTGGCTGACTACACGAAACCTCACCGCTTCTTGATCGAAGCACTCGTGTTTCATTTGCATGGCGATTTCTCTCAGACTCGAGAGGCGGACATTTCGATCTGGGTTATGACTGGGGTTATTGCTCGTTTAGCAATGCGATCAGGGTATCACCGTGACTCCAAAATGTTCCCAAATGTCACACCTTTCCAGGGTGAGATGCGCCGGCGAGTGTGGACCTTTGTGCGCCAAGCCGACATTCTATTCTCTCACCAGGTCGGGTTGCCAGGCATGATCCGTGCTACAGATACAGATACCGAGCTACCTCGGAGTTTGTACGATGATGATTTCGATGAAGACTGCAAAGAGCTCCCGCCACCTCGTCAATTGAACGAGCCAACACCAATCTCGTATTTGATTGCCAAGGCACGCCTATCGAACTCATTCAGTCGTGTAGTTGAGCAAAGCTCTGCTGTCTCGTCAGCTCCTTACGAGAAAGTGATGGAAATAGATGCGGACCTCCGACAGGCAAGGGATTTGATACCGGATCACTTGCACATTCGGCCTATGGAGGAGTGCCAGTTGGATCCTGTTAATCTAATCATGTCGCGGTTTGCCGTAAGTTCTCTGAAGTCCGCAGCAATTGGCATCGATACTAACCGTTTGTGCAGGTAATGGCCGTATACAACAAAGCCCAGATTGTGCTCCATCGCCCGTATCTGCTTCGCGCTCGAGAAAATCCTCGCTTTGCCTATTCTCGAAAAACATGTATCGACTCAGCAATGGAGTTATTGCAAGTACAGTCGGTTCTGCACGCGGAAACGCGCACCGGACGCCTACGGAGTCGGCAGACCCGAGTAACTTCCCTCAGTTCTGCCGACTTCTTACTAGCAGCCACTGTTGTTACTCTCGACCTATATCAAGGTATGTCATTGCAGGGGACCGGCCGACCATCGGGAGACACGTACACATGGGGCCGAGAGCGCCGCGATGAAATGACCGCCGCGATTCAACACTCGATAGAAATTTGGGATGAGTCGCGTGATGAGAGCATGGAAGCATGGAAAGCATCCACCGTTCTCGGTGTGATGCTCAGCAAGGTGAAAATGTCGATCCCAGGCCTTGAGAGCGGCACCGGAGCAGCTTCATTTGAGCCACAAGACGAGAAGCAGAACGCGGCCATGACCCTCGGCCTGCTGAGCAGCGGAATGAGCCCGATGAATCCGGGCCCGCCGCCATTCGCTGATCCCATGTTCAAGATGGGAGATTTGCCAATGGGACCAGGAGCAGGTGGCATGGGTGGCTCGGCTGAAATACCAGGTGCGCCTTCGCCCTTTAGCAGCATGTTCGGGCAGATGCCGGACATGCAAGTCAATCTGGATTGGGTAAGTCATTTCTTCTTTGGGACCCTGGATTCAATGCTGACATGTTCATATCAGGATGCTTGGGACTCATACATTCAAAACCCGACCTTCGACGCAACAAATCAATTCTGGCCTATGATTGATGCACAGCGCCCAATAAACCAACAGTCCGGAGGCATGTCACAGCCTTTGGTCCCTAGTCCTCTAGCCTCGGGGCAGGTGCCGTCAACTAGTGGTGTTCCGCGACCGCCGACAATGTACTCAGCATCCTCCAACAGTCCTGATAGTGGAGGTGTGCCAATAACAGGATACGGCACGACGCCAATGTCCCAACAAAACCATGGTCGGGGCCAAGGCTCCCTATGATCGAAATGTATTGGTATAATGCCTGATTTATTCTGTCCCGTCTTTGGAAAATGCTTTGCGCTGGCTGTTTTTGATACCTGGTTCATTGGTTTCTTGATTGGATGACTTGAAGTGACGAGACAAGCTCTGCTTCTTCTTTGCTGGATGGATAGCTATACGTACGAGCGACTATGATCACCATTTTGGTGGAGGATTTCAAGCGATCGGAAAAAACTGTTGTCTTTTTTGATGGGTTCTGTTGGTGTTGGGGTAGGTCAATGTATTATACCATGAGGTTACTCTCATATATTTCCACTCTGAATTATCAAATCGAACGTTTGACTCGTTTTCTTCATTACACCCTGCACATCTTCTATATAAAATATCCAATCCAATGCTTTTTATTTGACTGACTACGTCGTTATCGACATTATATTAGTCACGTGCTGGGACTTATCTGTCAGGAAAAGTTATCTGGCTTCGCGCAATTCTTCTCCAGTCAACATATTATTTTTAATACAAGATCAACAAATCTTGTGTTATTTTAATTTTCGTGATGTGAGTTATACAGAATGCAGAGTCGAGTCCGAGTCCAAGACCTTATACCTCGTGTTCTCTCGATGTCTGCGCTCGCTGATGCATCAACATCTTAAGATTGACCATTGCTAAACAACTCATTTCTAGGCATTGCTTCCGCCGGGCCGTTTCTCGGCTTCAATTGTCCCCAGCGACTTCGCGCTCATCAATCACCGCCTCTACCGCAGTGCTGCGTTCAACATGTCCTACTCCGATGCTCGCCGCTACGCGGTTCGCCTACCCTACCCTCACACAGACACGGTTGAACTCGACAAATGAAGGCGGCCCACGCATTCCCGTCAGTTATGTTGAGTCTGTCTCACCGAAAGCCTCGCCCGACCAAGTCCGCCTGGACAGAACTGAGCGCCGACGTAAGTATATCAGCGAGGGCCCTGTACCGAAGACTACCCTGTATATCGGCAACCTCTTCTTCGATGTGACCGCCGAGGACCTGCGCAAGCACTTTGAGAAATACGGTGCCGTTGAGAACGCACTGATCGTTCACGATGCCCGCGGCCTGAGCAAAGGGTGAGTGCCAAGACCGACGATTGACAGAAGCAACAATGCAGGCCAAATCCCACCAGAAACTAACCAAGTCTCCCTTACAGTTTCGGCTACATTACCTTCAGCACCGTCGAAGAAGCCACCGAAGCTATCACACAGCAGCATGGAGGCATTTTGGAAGGCCGCGAGGTGGTTGTGCAGTTCTCTAACACGACATACCGATCCATGGCCGACAGCAAGCCCAGCAAGACCCTCTACATCGGCAACGTGCCCTACGAATTGACCGATCAGGATCTGCAAGATTTGTTCGATGATGTTCCAGGTGTCACCGATGTCCGCATTCCCGTTGACCGTCGCACCGGCTTGCCCCGTGGATTCGGACACATCGATTTCAAAGATCAGGCCAGTTCTACCAACGCCAAGGAGATTCTCTCCCGCAAGGCGCCTTACGGCCGCAAGCTCACTGTCAGCTTTGCTAAGCGCAAGGTCTTGAGCCCCGAGGACCACCTGCGTCACCAGCAGAAGAAGACGGAGAAGAGAAATCCCCCCAGACAGCGTACCCCTACCGGTTTGAGCGACGCGCAGGGAGTGCCTCAGCCAAAGCAGGCCGAGCAGGTTCCCGAGGTCAAGGAGCCTGAGTCTGTGGCTGAGCCAGTTGCTGAGCAGGTGGCTGAGAAGACCGAGACCGAGCAAAAGCAGTAGATAGGATTATATATGAGTAATAATGTGTACAATAGTGTCCCAAAATGGCAATCGGAAGCATTTTTCAACGTTGATGTATATTAAAAAGAAATGATCATCTCTCCATTTACTATTGTTTTGTCATATTGACATTATCTCTTTTCAATATATATAAGTGAGAAATTGAAAATCTCATGCCATACTCGTTCCAGCACTTAATGCAGCAGTTCCTTGAAGGGCCTTTTACTGGATCCTGCCTGCTTGGTCTTTCGCAGACGACGCAACCTCGACTGATGAAACTCAATGACCAACACTCGCTGATAGTCGATATTCCGTAATAATGAACCGATTTTACCGATCATGTCAATCTCGTTGTCTGGTTTAACTTCTAGGTGTTTGAGGGATGCCCCTGTTGTAATTTGATGCTGTGTGATATGGGCCTCGTCGGTGTAGGTTGATATTCAGACAGGAATCATCCAAGGCAGCGTTCTGCTTTAGGCCAAACAGGCATCCCTGTCTGCAAAACCGTGTCTCGACCATGGACAGGGAGAGCTGGAGGATTCTGGATCTGTATCTTGATAGGTGGTCTGTGAAGGTCCACAGTTGCCTTGATATTTTGCTCGGGGCTTTTTCTAAGATTCCTTAGATGGGGACGGGAAGCATTCGGAATCTGTAGCCTCACTGACAGATGAATCAAAGGACTGGCGGTGTTTGTCCCAGCTCTTCATCCGGAATATGTGACCGTACCAGGGAAAAGCTGGTTGCCCAGGTCTTCAGCTGAGCCTTAGCACTTTTGCGCCAATTTTGGTCCCGGACAGAAGAGAGAGAAGCCATCAAAGCAAGACATAAAATACGGGCGATGGCTGTTTTCGGTTTTTGATAATTTGGATCATTATGCACCTCAATGTTGGGTTCACATAAAGAGTACATCAGGGTCCTGGGATCATTGTGTGGAATATGGAGAAGGACTAAAGCGACTCCGGTCGTCAAATAAGAGTATTCCAGTCCCTCGCGAATCATGACATGATATTCCTGCACAAGAGCCGAACCGACAAGTTGCTCTGCGTTGTACTTCAACTTTTGGGATATATCTGTAGGAATTGCTTTGCGGCGAACAACCTCTTCCCAGAACTTCATCGGCCGTAGGCCGACTCGAAGACTTTCCACGGAAAGTTCGTAAGGTGGTTTGTACCCCGCATACATAAGTAGGGTGTTTCTACCACCGACTTGGTGTATACAAGATTGATCAGGCTGTGATGGCCTCGGGGATAATGGATATAGGTCCTCCTCTGAACTATTGGCGTGCTTATCAAACAAAATACCATCACCGAGTCGGAATTGCTGCCGAGCTGCTGGAATGTTGCATAGCTCCGAAACGATAGAGCTGACGTGCGCCTGTACCGTGAACTGTTCATAGTGCTCTAGAGCCCATTGGCTGTACAGGGGAGTGATTAACGAGGCAACCCCTTCAATATTAAGAGATGTCAAAAATAATCTCGATGGATGTGCTTGCGTCGCATTGAGATGGTTGCAAACCGAGTCAAATACCTCTTGTTGTAGCATTGCACAATCCTCCCATCGAACGATATTTGCTGGGCACTGTTTACCCTGAGGCGGCTGTATTGCACTCTGCGTGGAGGTTGAGAGAGACCCGACCTGTACAGGACTGGATAGCAATTCATGGCAGGCCTGGAGAAATTCCAAGAGCGAGGTTTTCTGCTTGAGCTGTGCGATTTCCTGCTCGAGATGGTGGGTTTCTTCCTCAGTTCTCTGAAAGAGTAGTTTGTAATCCGGTGAACTCATTGTTGGGAGTGTGCTTCTCTCCTGGGAAAGGGGAGGAGGAAAAGGAGAAAGAGAAGGAGAAGGGGAGAGGGGCGTTAAGGGCACAGGATCACCGGCCAATCACGAGAAACCACCACGTAGGTACATCCTAAATTGTATAATATCGTACACGACGACAATGTAGTCCCTTTCAACCAGAGTACAAAGCCTGATACATGGGCGGGTAATTTGTCTAATTTATGATCATTATGCACGAAGATAGGATTTGGGGATGGAATGAAAGCAAAGGGACAAGTCTCTGAGAATAAAGTAAGAGATATTACGGCACAACGCAGAATATAATATACATCAGTGAATGATAGCATCGAAGTGAGACAGCGCGAGCTTTTGAGAATATGGGTGTGCAGAAGATGCTTTTGAAGCTAAACGTCACAGGCGCACAATGTGCTTGCCCGTCTTAGTAGGTGATTATCGGTGGTCGGATCGAAGGCTGGTCTCAGGGCTCTCTTTGGTCTGGTATTAGCGAGAGTAGCAGTCGCCAGCCTTGGTGATCTGTCAACTGTGGATATTGCCTACATGGGTATTGCTAGGCTATCACTAGGTATCATCGGGGGCTGCCGGTATTTCTGGACTATGAATCTCAGTTGAAGGGCGATGGTGGTATATCCAGGTATCCGTTGGGGACATCCATCAATCTGGCTCCTTGCTCAAAGATCTCCCTAGTGTTCTTATTGGTGGGCGTGGTAAGAACCCCCAAAGCAGGGTAATTGAGGAATGATTGAAGACGAGGGAGGTTCTAGTTTCTCAACAGCACCCTGAGGACGAATGATATAGCTAGTTGTGGTCTGGAAACGGAAGCATGGGAGAGAAGACATAGACGTCGGCAGATCAAGATCCTAGGAAGCTGTGGGGCTTATTGGTCAACTGCATCGCCCAGTTTCCAGTATGATGAATACCAGCAATAGTGGAGAGAGCATGAGACGTACCTGGAATCGAGTTGAGAGATTTGGCCTGCTGAGTTGGTTGAAGGGGCATCAGGTAGAATGGTGGCACTGTGGTGATGGTTTGCTCCGAACGCGTCGATCGCAGTCCTTTCGGCTCGTTCATTTGGGTATTGCTTGTCATCACGATGAGTGTAGAAGTGTCGGGGAATAGGACGTGAGAAGTTCCGGAAGGATGAGGGGGCATGACGCATGGCAAATAAGTTTAAGAGGGGGTTGATGTCATTGCTTGACACTTCTGTCTTAAGACGCAAGTTCCAATGTACATCATCGACTGTATGGCTCGTTTGCCAGTTGCTATCGAGCTAACGCATTCGAAGTCTCCATCCGATGAACCTATCGATCGATCTCCGCTTTTGAGAAGTGTCGCCTCGTTGGTTGACCTTTATCAGCTATTGCAGAATTAAGGATTTTTGGCCCTCTTCGTCGGGGACATTGTTGTTGATTGTGTGACGAAGATGTGTAAGCAACATCAGTCAACTGGGGACACATGGATTTGGATTTCTGTTGTCGGCCCCCAAATATCCCATGTTGGACCTGATTACGTCGGAATAGCAGGCCTTTTTGCTTTGCGTCGAGTTCTAGAGGCGACCATGTGCGTCATCTGATGCCAGTTGCCGTCGGCAGCGTCGACGGTGTAGTGGGCCGCCGTGGGCACTGGCGGTATAATTCCTTGTATCACAAAATCGAAGGGCAAGCCATGTGCCCACGCCAATGGCGCTTGGTCCTCGGGTGCTCGAGTCGCTCTGGAGTGAGATCAAAGTCGGCAGGGACTATCGAAGAGAGAGAGAAAACATCTAACAGAAAGCCGGTCTTGACAAACGGGGAAGGAGCTGGCCTCAGGCAGCTACTCAGCCCAAAACCTTTATATATACATGGCCTGGGCATGTGACGTGAGCATGATGTTTGATCATACTCCATAGTCCTTTTACAAACACTGTGTCTAGGCTCTGAGAACATTGAGCCCGGGGGTATAGCACTATTAGATCACGTCAAAAATAACATACTCCGGCGCCCATATACGTTATGGTCAATGTCGCTAGATGTAATTATATTTGCCCACTCCAACGGTGCTCAGCTTAAAGTTTGGAGTTCTCAATTGGGCAACTATTTTCTGGATATATACAATCAATCGCTCGCTTCCCACCATCCACTCAAACAAAAAAAAAAAAAACAAAACAACCAATGCTCCAACAATGCAATTTAGTAGGGGAATTCACCTTCAGTCTCCTCAATAAGTCCTTGTTCCTGCTGCAGCCGAGTCTGCTCATCCAGATACGGCATCAAGATCTTATCCCAACTGGACTTGCCTTTATAATAAGAAACAGTCTCGTCCCAATTGCGGATAGCCTCCGCCAAGCGACCTGGGATATGAGGCTCCTGAGCCAACTTTGTTACTGGCTCGAAATATGTACGAATCGTAAACAGAATCGCCCCCGAGCGAGGCAGCCGACGGAGTGTCTGGCGCTCTGAGCGGAAGTGGATCTCGTCGATGGTCAGGCCTTTGCCGTTGGCAGTAGCCCATGCTGGTAATTAATATCGTTAGCACTCCCTTGCTTTATTCATAGGAACAGGGCATAGGGAACGAACAGGCAACTTCTGTTCCTTGTTGATCGCCCATGCGGTGGGACCAGTGGAGTCCATCGTCGAGTTGAATAAAGAACTACAAATTTTGTTAGAAGTGTATATTCTTCAATTGATGAGCCAGAGTGAATTGAACATACATTATTTCTCTCCACTGGCTTGTCTGGAGTAAGCTTCAACATGAACTTATTCATGGCCTTTTGCAACTTGGCCGCGTAATGAGGAACACCGGCTTCGAAGTGAAGCGTATCTAGGGACATGCGGAATTTCTCCTTGAGGCGCCAGAAGCCGGGGAGACAAACTGCGGCTGCGTCGAGGTGATATTCACCATCTGCGTTGCATTAGAGCCTGCGCATCTTGAAGTAGCGAAGAGAACATACCATCATTCTTCATCATCAGCACCAAATCATCCTGAACCAGCAGAGCTGATGTTGCGAGAGCCTCGTCGGGGGTTGCTATAGCTTCAAGTCAGCATGAATTCTTTGTAGGAGTGACCAGATTTGAACATACTAGCTGGGAATGGAAATGCCTCTCCAGTCAGACTATTATGCACTTTCCCTCCTTCCAATCGGAAGGTCTTGGGATAGCGATGTGTCAGATGAAGGACCAATTCCTCATTAAGCTCGAAACAGGCATCTTTCGTAACTGCATTATCAACATATTTGATGTGTTCTTTGAAATCTTTCTTCAATTCCGCTGCTTTCATATCGTGGTATCGAAGGAAGTAAGAATCCATCTCGATCCAGTTGTCCCAGTGCAGTTTGCGAATTCCCATGGTAACAAAATTCGGTCCATGTCGGAATGGACGGTACAATTTGGGATCGTTTGAAGTTGGATCATTGGGATGAGGGTTGGCAAGTGGTTTGATGAATGGCTCCTTCTCTGGTTTTTGTATTTGAGGAGGACTGGATTTACGGTGAATTGGCCATTTCACTATGAGCCATGTGAGGATCGACACGAAAAGCCCTAGAAAGGGAAGGGCGCCTGATGGAAGGGCGATATTTGTGGGAATCATTGTGTCGTCCAGTGCTCAAGTTTGTCAACGGTAATACTTGTATAGCTGATGGGGTGCAGGTGCTCTTAAATAAGATGTGCATATACATACCTGTTGTATGTCCTAGATCGGCACTCTTAGCTGTGCTAGCCCCGCTAAACCCATTCAGGCAAATCTTTTGGCCATAAACGACCTGCGCGACCAGGCAGGTTAGGTATCGACCCGTTTAGGTATAGTGTAAGGCGATAAGAGTCTTACTTTGTGGAAATCCCCACTTGAGTACCGTGGATGGGTCTAAGTTTAACGCCCTCGCATTGGTCGCGCCTTCCCCGCAATTCGGCCATCGGGATACTCTCGTATCTCGCTCCTTCTCCTTGGCCTTCCCAATGCGGTCAACCATTGGAGATGCCATAATATGCTAGGCCCACCTGTGTGGGGTTGAAAAACATTGTAAGGTGGTTTGGCCCGTAGATGTCAATCGTCGCTTCGGCAAGATTGTCGAAAAAGTGGCTCCGATTGCCCAATTTAGATAATAGGAATTTGTTGATTACGTTTAGAAAGTGGAGTGGTAGTGTCAGAAATACAATTCTTAAGACTATGTCAATGCAAACTAAATAAAACGCTCTATAGATTCAACTCTAAATTAAGAGTGCTCAGCTTCTTCAAGAGGACCTTTGAAGTCTGTATCCGAGTTAGTATTTCATCTTCAAGTCAAGGGGAGGTAAATTCTTACATCTTCGCCCATAGAGCATATACCATGCCATACTCAAAGCAACACAACCCACGAACACAACCGATGCATAGGTCATCGTTTCACTCGTGACGGGAAGTGTGATAGGCATGCTGAACAGAATAACCTGGAAAGCAATCCACAAGAGCGCAAGGACATTCGCCGTCTTTCCAATGAGAGGATTCAGCTTCCAGCGCGACTGACTAATTTCCACGCGGCGGTCAACAAACAAACTGATCGCGATGGGAATCGCATATGCCACAGCTAACGCAATCACGCCCACTGACGCAAAAGCTGTAAATGCACTGCTGCTTCCAAGGTAGGTAAGACCCAGCAACATCTCAACAGCTGTGACCAAGCATAGCGCTGCCAGCGGGCTATCCCTGACGGTGGTTGACCAGAGATGCGAGAATGGGATTGCATTGTCGCGCGAGAAGGCCCAGGTACATCTCCCTGCTGTGGTTGTGATGCTGATGGAGCAGAAAAGGGCGACGAATAGGACGAGGATCATGAGGACAATTGAGGCCGCGGGTGAGCCTGTCACCACGTGGATGATATATGGTAGTGCTTGGCCGTATGGTGCGGCAATAATGTCCGCCAGTGGTGGAAGCGTGAAGCAAATTGGTACAGTGAATACCAGCGCTGCAGCACCGGCGACCACTGGTACCAGGCTGATTGCTGTGGGGATTTGTACTTCTGGATCTGTGCATTCTTCTGCCATGGAGGTGACCATTCCTATTGCGGAGAATGCGTAGGCTGGTGGTAGCAAGCCGATGAAGAAGGTGAAGTTCTCCTCCCAGCCAGAATAGCTAGGGTCATATCCAACAAAGCCTGTGTAGGCATCGTGACGACCAGTCTTTGCGAGGACGAGGAGGGTTATGGCGAGTGTTATGCATGTGACAACGGAAAACGCTGCGGAGAGAGTGTCGATGAGAGGGAGGAGGTGATCGGCGAAAAAGCATATCATGAAAACTACAAGACAGATGGCGTAGAAGATGAGAAGGAGTTGCCAGGAAGAGGCCGTCCAGGCGGGATAGAAGATGGAGACAGTTGCAACGATGAGAGAAGCGATGCCGAAGTTCACAGAAAGGGATATCGTCCAGTTTCCGATGAGCCAGATCCAGCCCGTGACAAAAGAGACTATTTTCCTGCTCCCGCTGGTCTTCAGCAGCCGGAATGACCAGTGGTAGATACCAGACGAGGTAGGGTATCTTGAAGCGAGTTCGGAAAGAGAGAGGGCGACGCAGGTATCCAGTGCCAACACCACTAGGAGCCCAATGAAAAGGGAGAGTTGACCGCCGCCATATACGGCGTTGATGAGGGCGCTACCGACACCGTAGGGAATTGAGGCAATTGACAGGGACATAAACAGCATGCTCGACAGCTTGCGTGTCCGGCGCAGCTGAGGCTTGTACCCCAATTGGTATAGCTGCTCATCCTGGTATGTGCCCAGCCCATGAGTTTCGAGTTTGTCGCACGAGCCTATGCTGAGGTCTTGTTTCTCCATTGTTTTCTCCATTGATTGCCCCGATTTGGAATCGAAGTGACACTGATGGATTTGCAGATTCATTCCGTGGGTATGTAGCATTGGTCTTTATACCGCTTCCCCACTGTAGGAACCTGGAGAAGAAGCTTTGTTCTAGTCCGGTCTGGGAAATCATTTGGGCCATTTATCTTTATTGCCCCGGCTTACTGAGGAGGCCATTAGATAGGGGTCACGTATCTATGATCTTCTCTAGAACTGTTATCATTCCCATGGCTAAGCTTGGAACTACTATAGTTACGGTTAGAGGATTGCGGGGTAGAGTTTTCTGGCCCATGGGAATGGTTCGGCTAGTCTTATCTCTGCCATGTGGCGGTATATTGAGTGGAGTTGCCCAAAAACCTTCCCAATTGGGTTTAACTCGATGAGGTTTGTCATGTCGATTATTGTAGAAATGTAGACAATCTCTAGCGCTATACCGGACCTTTCCTAGTGGGGCTTTCCTGCCGCTTTTATGAGGTATTAGTCTGAGTAGATATCAGCACGAGGCTCACTTGGGCAGACAACTACCTCTAGTGAGGCAATTGCTCGCCCTGTTATCTCATCTCTCACGTAGTCTAGTCATTTATGTAGAGATCCCTACAGCATACCAAAATATTGCCTCCCAGAGTGGAGCGCGCGGGTGGCCACAACCGAATACTCAATGTTGAATGTTTTTATTTACTTTTTACCTATGTTCACTTCTGTAGTGACTAACTATGACATGTCCGTAGCCTGGCTTTTTTTAAATAAAATGGATTTTTAATTTGCATAACTGTGTTAATTCAATTTGACATGGGCATAGGGGAGAATTGCTTCTTCTCGCCAAATAGAACGAAATATTCCAGAACATTTCTTCGTTTCTCATAACAAAAACCCCTCACAGGCGAGAAAGGTTGGAGAACTCTGCTGGAGCATGGTAAGTAGGGACCTTCATATCAAGATCGGCTCCAGAGTAGCCGAGGTCCTCCGCAACCAACATTGCACACTTTTCACCGATAAGGAGAGCAGTCTACCAATGTAATCGTCAGTATTTGAAAAACACCCAGAGGAAGCAACAAAAGGAAAACTCACGCTGAAAGTGTTGCAGCCCACATTGTCAGGGCAGATAGACAAGTCGCAAACCTTGAGGCCCTTGACACCGTGAACATTGAGACGCTCGTCAACGACGCCTCCATGGGGTGCGATGGAGTTACCCTCTCGTGGGGCCATGCTACATGTGCCAAGGCAGTGCCAGGTTGTCTCAACGTGACGGGAAACTGCAAAAATGTTAGATATATGATCGCCAATCACAATATTCAATACTTACTCCACTTCTCAATGTGCTTAACGTCATCCTCGCTGTATTCCAAAGAAGGACGAGCTTCGTGTCGATTGGAGTTGAGAGTTGATGTCGAAGGCTGCTTCCCTGGTTCCAATGGAGTGGTCCAAGAACCTATATTGATTTTATTAGCTGGACGGGATAACTTCACTGCAAAGAAATGAGAACATACCGTGTTGGATACCAGCGGAAATGTGGTTCGTGCCGGCGTATGCCTTGGTCGTTGCCAAATCCATATCTTGCGCCCGGGCCGATGAGTTGAAGGCAAATTGAGGATGCATAGCAGTGACCTCTCCGGCATACGAGGTCATGCGTCGGGCAGTCTCACGGGACTTGATATATCCCCAGACCAAAGGCGCCATGTCGCGTTTGTCATTCATGAAGCCTGCATCAAAGTCGGGGACTTCGTAAGGGTCAGCCGACTGGATGTGGGTGTGCCCACGAGAGAAGGGGTATTCCTAATATCCTGTCAGCACTGGTTGATTGAGTATAGTAAATCTGTGCCATACCAGGAAATGGAACATTGTAAAGAACTTGCCCGGGGGCATATGCATGTGATCTCCGAACCAGCTATTCATGGGTTAGTATCGTGGCATTCAAAATGAAGCTGATAAAATACTTACCCGGAGATGATCGAGTAATGCATGACGGGCTTATCAGGCTTGTTCCTGAAATACGACTCATACCCCTCTGTAAAGTCTGGGGTCGGCCACTTCTTCATCTCTCCGAGCTCCTCCTCGGTAGGGCGAATCTTGACACCGGCATCGATACCGTTGGTGGCCAATGGTCCGGTACCCTTCTTATCCCACTCCTCGAAGACCTTCTTCTGAACTTTGGGATCTCCACGAATGAAGTCATCAAAGGACTCGACGTCAGGCTTGGCGCGATAGACGGAGAATGTAAGGTAGTGGTCCTGGAAGTTTCGGCCCACACCTGGTAGGTTGACCAGGGGCTTGACACCCGCGCGGCGCAGCTTCTCTGGGTCACCAAAGCCGGACCGCTGGAGAATAAGCGGGGAGCTCATTGTACCTGAACTGATAATTATTTGCTTCCGGGCCCGGAAGATCCTGCGAACTGGCTCTCCACCGTTGAGAGGCTTGGTTGGGACAGTGACTACTCCCACAGCACGACCATTCTCCACAATCACCTTCTCAACTTTGGTATTGCATTGGAGGTGGAGATTGGTATGCTTGGCTCGGGTGCTGTGGACATAGGCGTGAGCCGCATCACTTCGTCGTCCTGATACCGAGTGTTAGAGAGGTGATGATACCGATGAAAAACTGGAAATTTGTTCTTACCTGTGTCACGATTGATCCATTTCAACCAGTGTTCTGCACCGTGGCTGCAACATTATCACCCTTCGTTAGCAGGATATAATGGACGATCTGTCGTGGGCATCATACGCAGTCTTCAAATCTTGCAAGTCATCAGTGAATGGAATTCCCTGTGTCTCAACAGCGCGAAGGAAGTCATTCTTGATCGGGTATGTATAGTTTCCAAACGAGACCTTGATAGGTCCGTCGGTACCATGCAGTTCCGGGTTATTGCTGGCACGTTGATATGTTTCGTGCTTCCTCATCAAAGGGAGGAGTTCCTTAGTTGTCCAGCCCTTTGCTTGGAAGTCGTCGTAATCGGACGCAGAGGCTCTGGTATACATCTTCAATGGGTTCAGCTTGGGGCCACTGGATTGAAATGTCAAACAAGAATCACTTACCATAAAATTAATGGAACTGCCACCTCCAAGAATATTGGCGCAAGGAACAATAGCTTGACGACCATCCAAGTGCTCAGATGGTCTGGAGTGATAGAACGATGCCGTCTTCGAATCAAGTTTCATGTTGTTCGGGTAGATGCCCGGGCGGTAGACCCTAGGTTAAGATGAGAATACGTTCCCTGAAAGTGGTAGTCATAACATGCTCACCATTGATTGTTCAAGTTATCCTCGCCTGCCTCAATCAACAGCACAGACAGTCTGTGATCAAGGTTCGCGAGGCGGCCCGCTGGGACACATCCCGAACTGCCGCCACCGCAGATTATGATATCAACCTCATCTGGGATAGTCATGACTCTGATTGTGTTGACAAGACAAAAAATCAAGAAAGGTTGTGAAGAAAGTGCTCCAGGGAATGATCAAACATCTGATGAGACCTCCCAGAGGGGCCTTATATAGCTGTGTCTTTGTGCCCATGGAAGTATCTATAGAGGGAATTTCTCCAAATCAAGTCACATATACAGCCAATAGCCTATACATTAACCCCGCGCGCGGAGAAAGAGTTCAAACTCTCAAGTGTGCCTCACACCCGACTGACTGGCTCTCCTTGTCAAAAGGTGCGTTCATCCTTGATGCACTCCAAGGAATTTGTTTTAACTCTCCCTCATCAAATAAATCATATCAGCATGGTAAGAATGACACAATTATGATCTTCGCAAACACATTAAAGGAGAAACTGCTAATCCTGATGTTATTTTTTCCAAGTTGAGTAACCCTGTCATATCACAAACAGCGATCAGCTCAAAGCCAAACGCTCTCTCATGGCGCTTCCTGGGAAGTTCCCCGCATTTCCTATAGCTGTCGCCAGCTCAATTGACTGCCTAGACCAAGCTCTTGCAGTTTATATGCAGGTGAGATGCTGCCAAGTGTCCTTTTTATCCCTCCTCCTCGACGGGGTTTGGACAAGGGTAAACTGCGCGGGGGGGGGTCAAAAGCCCGGCACTTGTTGAAAGAACCCGGCTAATGATCATAATATTGGATCTCAATGTGCTGCATTTCAAGATGTGGATATCTACGGAGTACATGTACACATCCCTAGCTTGCACAATGATACATTAGACAAATACGCCGGGGACAAGTTTTTGTTTGATGTCACATTTTAAGTGTTTCTTTTTCCTAAAAATTTATCGTGGAAGAGAAAGTAGACAGTTTTGCCAGAAAATTCCATAATATATAACAGAGTATATGATATCTGATTCAGTGGGTTTGGATCGGCCGGGAAGCATGATTCAGCCTATGTGGCGGACGCATTAGTCTCAGATTCTCTCCCCGCACTATCAATGCTCTAAATAGTTAGTAATTTTGCGGAGTAGGTTTATTGGCGTGTGGTATAATTGTTTACGGAAGAGGCGGCAGATATATATTGCGGATATTGCTATTGGAGGGAAATTAGACACATCACCAGCTGCATGGTACTTTCACGCACTGGTAGGCTATGCTCTCACGGAATGATATAACCGAAACCTAAGTGGAACTCGTTGTGGAGCAAAGAGAGGAGAAGGTTTGTGTATGACTGCAAATGGAAGCCATTGGAGGTATTATACCGGAGGGAAGATGAGGATAATTATATACCATAGATCAATACAGCACATAAAATTGTCCTTCTTGGTTATGCAAGGCCACTCATGATGGTCATACTTATATTCTTAGGAAAGATAGCTTGATTGAAGGTTGACTGAGTGAGATATTGTATTCTATATTTGTGTAAGATTCAACTCAATCCAGGGGCCCCGGGCACCCACTTCTAGATTAACCAGAGTTACGGCAATGATCCCCCCAGTCGCAGAGGTAAGAAGTAGTCTGCCACCCATGCCCAGACGTCCCACTGGCGCCTCTCCCATAGTAACACGGCGCATCCCTCCACTTCTTGCACTCCAGTGTGCCGACTTGGTTTCACGACCAAGCTCAGCGGTCCCTCTATTTGACTTGTGAGTGCAAGTATCCCCGAACGCGGGAATATCTGTCACCTCTGATGGCATGCCATTCTATCCCCCTAATCCTGTCCAATCCAGCGTGTGCCGCCGTTCATCTGTCACCAGCGTTGACGGGATGACCCCATCCATATGCCCATGAAGTATGGTCTTCATGTCTTCTAATCGCGAGACATTTTCCGTTTCGCGTACTTGCCGAATAACGTCTCTAGGAACGTGATCATTCTAGTCACCCGAGTCCCTCTCTTCTCCCAAGTCCCACTAGTAGTCACTTATATGATTAAATTTTTCCTCTTCGGTCGAAATATGCATACTTCGATCTCATCGACGCGGTCTTGAATGAACTGCGGATTCGCAGACTCCATGTTGCTCCGAAATCGTTCCACGGCGAGACGTATGGTCTCACCGGGGTCAGTGTCTGATTATGCGCCACTCGAAATTGCCCGTGTTGAAGGATGGATTTTAGCAGGAAGAACAGGGAAATGCGCGTTCAGAACTAGCGTCATATATGTATGGCCGGTTATCAATTTGGTCCAGGGCCGTGCTCAATTATACTCAATGGTCATAAAGCGGCAAGAGGTGAGCATTAAAATGGAAGTGCCACATGTACCTTGGCTCCGCTCCGATATCGGATTATTTTGCCTCTATCTCAAGAGGTCAACACAATCACAATTACCATTGAACATGATATTTGGTGAAGATAGAAGTTTTCATTTGAAAGTTATATACATGAATTCGTCAGATGATAAAGCCCGAAAAAAGAACCCAGCTAGTAAGGACAATGAGCCTCGACCTCAATCTCAATCACCATTCCCTCAATTCCAAGCTTTCCAATCTCCACACAAGTCCAAATAGGTCGGTGACCAGGAAGAACCTTCTTGAAATTGCTGGTGACTACCTCAAAAGTCTGATCCATATTGAGGTGATAGCTGCGCACTGCATAAACATTTTCCCACGACATACGCGAGTCAACGCTCTTCAGTGCCTTCTCGACATTCTCGAAAGCGATAGCAACTTGTTGCTCGACGTCAGGGTGGACATTGCCACTCTCATCCCAGCCACCTTGGCCAGAGGTTTTGATAGTATTTCCGATGCGGACTGCTTGCGAGTAGTGGAAGGATTCCGAGTTTGCCTCGGTGCCGGCGTAGTTGAAGAATTGCATGTTTGCTTTATTGGCGGATGGAAGATGGATGCGATAGGTAGGAATGAAGGAGATATAGAGTAGATAGGGAGTCTAGGTAGTCACGAAAGGAGTGGACGTAGCCAGACTATTTAAACGGCCATTCAAGGCATACCTCTTGGAGAATGTGTAGAAAAATGGGGCATTTCAGATATGGTAACTATTCTGACCATGCCCTTCAAACTACCTAAAAAGACATATATGCAATCTTGTATCAATTGTGGATGTTTGAGAGAAACGCCAAGATTTCAGCCTTTGAACAGATCCTCGGGAGGGTAGATGGGCTTAATACTTGCCTTGGAGGGCATATTGCTCCGCATTCTACACGATAATGCCCTGAATGGGTAAGTATTTGGCCCAAGTGATGGGAATGTCAAAGCACCTCCATCCTCGGGATCTTCGGGGATCTCAAAATGGCGGGTCCCCTCATCTATGGAGCTCCGCATTTCCCAAATAGGCAAAAAGATAGGCCAAACTAAAATTTGCTTGGCTTTTTCCCCAGAAAACATCGCTCTTTGTCACAAAACGAAATTGGTTTACTAAGTGTCTATAAAGACTACAAGTATAAAGCCATCAAGTCTAGGATTTTGCAAACCCCAGAAACTCCAATCTATTTTCCACAATGGCCCAACCTATCCAATTAACGGCTCCTAACCAGACCTCCTATTTACAACCTACAGGTGAGTAATAAATCCCTCAAAGGCTCAAGTTCCATGACTGATAATTTTAAAAAAAGGACTATTCATCAACAATGAATTTGTTCCCTCCATCTCCGGCGACACTCTCTCAACTGTCAACCCTTTCGATGAATCTGTGATCGCCAGCGTCTCATCCGCTGGTCCAGAGGACATCGATCTCGCCGTGGCCGCTGCTCGAAATGCCTTCAAGTCGGAAGAATGGCAGTCTCTGGCTGGGTATGACCGAGGTCAACTATTGACTCGCCTTGCAGACCTCTGCGATCGCGACAAGCACATTCTCGCCACAATCGATGCATGGGATAACGGCAAGCCATACGAGCAGGCATTGGGCGAGGACCTTGCCGAGGTCATCTCTGTCTTCCGTTATTACGGTGGCTGGGCAGATAAGATCCACGGGCAGACCATCCCGACCAGCGAGGCCAAGTTGGCCTACACTAGAAATGAGCCTATTGGAGTGTGTGGACAGATCATTCCTTGGAACTATCCTGTTATGGTATGTCGCAAAAGAGAAACTCTAAGCCCAATCAGTTCAAGCAACGCTAATGCTAAGTAGATGGCGGCATGGAAACTCGGACCTGCCCTTGCGTGTGGCAATACCGTTGTCATCAAAGCCGCCGAACAAACCCCGCTCTCAATCCTGTACCTCGCTTCCTTGATTAAAGAAGCTGGCTTCCCCGCCGGAGTGGTTAACGTTGTCAATGGCCCCGGTGCCACTGCCGGCGCCGCTATGGCATCACACCTGGACGTGGATAAGATCGCCTTTACCGGAAGCACCAACACCGGAAAAGCCATTATGAAAGCGGCCGCTTCGAACCTTAAGGCCATTACCCTCGAGACAGGCGGCAAGAGCCCCTTGCTCGTCTTCGAGGATGCCAACCTCGACCAAGCAGTGAAGTGGTCGCACGTCGGCATCATGAGTAATATGGGTCAGATTTGCACATCCACTTCGCGCATCTATGTGCAGGAGAGCATCTACGAGACTTTCGTCGAGAAGTTCAAGCAGTACACTATTGAGAACTCCATCGTCGGCAGCCAATTCGATCCCAAGGTGAACCACGGACCTCAGGTGTCTGCTGCGCAGAAGAGTCGCATTCTGGGGTATCTCGAGACTGCCAAGCGTGAAGGCGCACAGCTTGTTCTTGGAGATGATCAGCCTTCCTCGGATGCCAAGGGTTATTTCGTCAAGCCCATTATTTTCAAAGATACCAATCGCGATATGACCCCCGTGCGGGAGGAGGTCTTTGGTCCCTTTGTCGTTATCCAGTCTTTCAAGGACCAAAAGGATGCGATTGAGAAGGCTAATGATACTGAGTATGGACTCGGTGCCGCTCTATTCACGGAAAACATTACCCGTGCTCATAAGGTCGCTTCCGCTATTCAGGCTGGCATGGTTTGGGTATGTGCTCAAAGATATAATTGTTTATGATATATGCTGACCCCCAACAGATTAACAGTTCACAAGATTCCCACTTTGCAATTCCATTCGGTGGATACAAGCAGAGTGGTATCGGGAGGGAACTGGGTGAATATGCCCTTTCGGCCTACACTCAAGTAAAGGCGATTCATGGTCAGTATCTTTCTCACAATATTGGCAACCGAAATACTGACCGTCTTTTAGTGAACTTGGGGACTTGGCTTTAAATATAAAGGGTTGACCTAACTCGATGGGACGTTCTAGCAAAGGGAACGCCACTGCATATGCATAGTAACAAATAAATGAGGCCAAAAAAATAGGCCAGGACATGAACAATTCAATTATCTCAAAATTAGTAAACCCTGTGAATTTTTACCGATGATGTACCTGAGGTGCCTGATATCTCGTGACTCTCCAAACTGCCGTCGGGGAACCTCGGCTGAGAGAGGCGGAAAGCTCTTGAACCCGCTCTTGAACCCCCCACGTCAAGAGATATCCGGGGGAAAAAGCACCTTTACCTTTACCTTGACTTTGTTTCTCTCCCAATTTCTCTTCTACATTAATTCTCTACCTCATTACCTTGCATTTAACCCGTCATATTACCACCATGTCGTTCCTCGGTGGCGCAGAATGCTCAACGGCGGGGAACCCTCTCTCCCAATTCACGAAGCACGTCCAGGATGATAAATCACTACAGCGCGACCGGCTAGTAGGCCGGGGGCCAGGCATGCAAGAAGGCATGCGATCACATCAAATGATGGGCGGACAGGACCAGGTGAGCAACACAGCCTACAGCCCCCCGCAAAGCAAAACAGCAATGGAAATTAACCTCGGCGTTGGGAAACCCTTATCAGATGATGGACGATTTCATGCAACAACCAGGCCAACAACTAAACGGACCCTCGCCGCAGCCTTTCGCGATGGAGCACATGCGCCGTGAGCTGGATAATTTCCAAACGCAGCCGGCCCGCACAGGGTCGCCAGGATGGGTCGGGGAGTTCGACTCAGGCGAGCAAGCGCGAATGGAAGCCGCTTTCCCAGGCCAGATGAACAACGGATCTGGGTTCAATCCTGCCGAATTCGCCCGCTTCCAACAACAGAACCGTATGGGCATGCCGCAGACGTCGAGCCCTGCTGCCGTGAACGCCTCGCCTATGATGTCCGGGTACCAGCGACCGATGGCCATGGGCGGTGGCTTTATGGGTGGTATGGGCGGTATGGGAATGATGCAGCCTATGATGGGTGGTCAGATGGGGATGCAGCAGGGGCCTATGGAAGGACAGACACAGGATAAGGGGAAGGGGCGGATGGTGGAGCTCGACGATGAGAACTGGGAGGCGCAGTTTGCCGAGATGGAGACTGCGACGGTTGGCAATGAGGCCCGGACAGATGAGGAGGCAAATGCGGCCATCGAGGCGGAACTGAATGATTTGGACAGGTCAGTGCCCTCCAATGACGCGTTTGAGTCTGTATGGCAACGGGTCCAGGCTGAGACCGCAACGAGCAGGAAACTTGCCGAGGAAGATAACTTTGAAGTCACCGATAACGTGCATGTTGGTGATCTCGGTGACTGGGATGGCTTTGATAGTCTTAACTCTCGTTTCCGGGATCCCCAGCTCGGCGACTATATGTTCGAGGAGGATAACGTCTACCAGGCTGTGGGCAATCCGTTCGAGGAGGGAATGAAGATTATGCGTGATGGTGGTAATCTTTCACTGGCAGCGTTGGCTTTCGAGGCTGCAGTTCAAAAGGACCCGCAACATGTGCACGCTTGGACAATGCTGGGCTCTGCGCAGGCGCAGAACGAAAAGGAATTGCCCGCTATCCGTGCATTGGAACAGGCCCTGAAGGTCGACCCCGGGAACTTAGATGCATTGATGGGCCTGGCTGTCTCGTACACAAACGAGGGCTACGACTCAACCGCCTACCGCACACTCGAGCGTTGGCTGTCCCACAAGTACCCAACAATCATCGACCCGAAGGAAGTATCCGGCGACTCAGACCTCGGCTTCACAGACCGACAACTCCTCCACGACCGCGTAACAGAACTATTCATCCAAGCAGCCCAGCTTTCCCCCTCAGGAGCCCAGATGGACCCCGACGTACAAGTCGGCCTGGGCGTTCTCTTCTACTGCGCCGAGGAATACGAAAAGGCCGTCGACTGTTTCTCTGCCGCACTAGCCTCCACTGAGTCCGGCAGCACCAATCAACAAGAGCAGTTACACCTCCTCTGGAACCGACTCGGCGCGACTCTCGCCAACTCCGGCCGTTCCGAAGAAGCCATCGAAGCCTACGAGCAAGCCCTCACCATCAACCCCAACTTCGTGCGCGCCCGCTACAACCTCGGCGTATCCTGCATTAACATCGGCTGCTACCCTGAAGCCGCACAGCATCTGCTAGGCGCGCTATCCATGCACCGTGTCGTGGAACAGGAGGGCCGCGAGCGTGCACGCGAGATCATCAGCGACGGAGTTCATCCGGATGGCCTGGACGACGAGCGCCTGGAGCGCATGCTCCACATTAGCCAGAACCAGAGCACGAATCTGTACGACACGCTGCGTCGGGTGTTCAGCCAGATGGGCCGTCGTGACTTGGCTGACCAGGTTGTCGCCGGCATGGATGTGAATATCTTCCGTAAGGAGTTCGAATTCTAGGCTATCGTTGATCGTTGATTTTTTTGTTGCGTACATGGAAAGGTATGGGATATATCTTTCGCATTTCTGGGTTCGTGGCTGGTATGGCCTGGCTGCATTGTATCTACTTTTTATCATTTGATGGCTGCTTAGAGGGGATCTACAAGCCACAGAGGAAAAGGCACTTCCTCATATATATGTTTCATGAATGCATTTGCTCCTATCTCAAAATTTCCCAAGTATCTGGGTAGTGACTGCCGCATTTATGGATGAAAGGGGGTTGAATTCATCAACTCATCAACGACCTTCCCAACCGCCACGGCCTTTTCCTCTCCAAATCGACCCCCAACAATCTGCACACAGATAGGCATCCCATGAACAAGGTCGATATCATCTAATAAGAAGTGAAAAATCAGCACCAACCCACTTTTGAGAAGTCAACAAACAAGGAAAATAGCCACTTACACTGCAAATAGTTAAAAGCATCCGACTCATTCCTAATAGAATGTTCCTCCCACTCAGGATTACCTCCACTGCCGACATAATCATGATCTCGATCCGCCCTTGCAACAGGTACAGTAACTGCTGCGTAATCCAGCAGATTCCACATAGCCGTATAGCCCAGCCACTGCTTGCTCTTCACCCAAGTCTTGGGCTTGTAGCCTACCCACGGGATGACGGGCATGAGGAGGGCATCTATTTCGGATGAAACCCATTGCTTCAGGAAGGCATTTTGGAGTGTGAGTTTTGTTGCTTCGAACTGGTTCAGTGGTGTTAGAATCATAGATACGCTTGATTTGGGTTTGGTGTATTGGGGAGGGGAAATGGGTTTTTATAGACGTTATCGTTGTGAGCAGTGTCTTGTGTCTTACCTGCTCTCGCTCTTCGTGTGAAAGAAGATCGGTCTCTTTGCCGACAACCATGCCTTCAATTAAAGGCTCGTCGACTATCTGACAGAGCGAGCGGCAGTGCTGACCACCGTCGGCGAGAATGCCTTTTGTCCAAAGATTGGTGGCGGCAGTGTGGAGGGAGGCGTCCCATTCGATTACTTTGACAGGTTATTATGGGACTTTTTCGACTTAAGGGAAGGAGTGTATACCTTCATGACCAGCAGTTCTCAATGCATCCACCGTCTCGCTCATTGCCCTCGCAACAGGCGGCTGCGGCTTAACGACCCCATCATCAAATACAACACCCAGTCTCAACTTGCGATTCGCTGACGGGATTGCGAGCTCTTTTCGCCACGGGATCGGAACTGCGCTTGGATCTAGGTTCCACGGGCTGGATGCAAGGAGATTCTCCATAAAGTACTCTGTCGTAGCGAGTGATGTAGCCATCGGACCGGCAACGGGAGGGATAAGGTAGTGCTGGTGTAAGCTATCAAGATATATCAGTAGTGATAATACTTTTGGTATACCACTAAGGAGTATTAACAACATACAAGGAGCAGTCCCACGGTACTCGTCCCGTCGTCGGACATATAGAGTAAAGTCCCTGTAGATTAGAAGGTACTCGAATCGAGCCACCGATGTCAGTACCGATTCCTAAGACGCTTCCTCCGGAGCCAACAAGGGCGCCTTCGCCACCGGAACTACCGCCTGAGATTAGGGCGTGGTTGAAAGCATTAACAGACTGGCCGAAGACATGGTTGTATGAGTCGGACATCTAATCGTGTTTAGCGAGTAAGTTTTCATCAAAGCGTATGACAGGCAAAAGACAGAGCTCACCATCAGAGATTGTGGCACATTTGTCTTGACATAAAGCACTGCACCCATCGCCTCTAGTAACTTCACGATCGAACTATTGGATTTGGCTGGTTTATTGGTCAAGCCCACCCAACCTAAACAAATATTAGCAACAATCAAACACGACGTTGGTCACCAGAGAGAGAAAAGAAAATAAAGAGTACACACCAACAGTTGTATCAACCCCCTCAACATCAAACCGGTCCTTCACAGAAACCGGAACCCCATGTAAAGGCCCAACAACCTCACCAGTACGTAGTAGATGCTCATCAAGCTCCCTGGCACGATCAAGAGCCTTATCAAAAAAGATTTCCGTTAAGCACTTCGTAACCTGCTGTGCGATTGCAGCACGTTTACAAAACGCCGTTGTCAGTGACTCGCTCGTCACACACCGGGACTTGACCAGCTCGACGAGGTCGCGGATATCTGTTGTTTCAGTCCATGCTAGCTCATCGGCGGAGAGAATACCGCTTGCGCGGATGATCTCTATGCTTGATGCTGGCGGATTTGATAGGAGGGGTGCTGGGAGGTGCCACGCTGAGGGGATCAGGTTTAACTGGGTCGCGCGTTTTTCGAGGACGCGGCTGTTCCATGGGGGTGGATTGCGCTCTTGAGTTGGTTTTTGTGGGATTATGTCGATAGTCATGGTGCAGATAGTAGGTGAGAGGAGATTACTTAATGGAAAGAGTTTGGGCTTAGATATTTAAATTAACCGAAATATCAACTTCAAGTTGATATCCCCGCATTCCGGTAATGTTACCGAGAGGGGTCGAATTAAGATTAAGGTTCGCATTCAGTCCATGGATAGGGCATTGAGGTTCCAATAATCAAGAAGATGCTCAATCTAAATGAGGTGCAGTTGCCTCCTATGCAACTTGAAATAAAATATACGTGTACCTATTATATGTGCGGGTTTTCCCTGGTGGTTGTGCTTTCCTATTTAGGCTGCCGCCGCTTCCATGGGGCTCGGGCTTAGGCTCACTCGGTCGATGTATTAGAACCCCTATATGGCGGTTATATATACACATCGAGGTTGAAAACAATCCCTAGAATGAAGTAATCGCATTCGATACGCTTACTAGGAGCCTGAGGTTAGTTGGAAATTGACAGTTATTTGGGGCTGTACGTTGCAAGATACAGGATAATGGTCATGTTGAGTGCTGTGACTGTGGTGAACTAATACCATGGATTGTGGTAAGCTACGTAGAAACACAAGGCTTACTGTTGAATCTAAATAAGTTCCCTCTTTGCTTTTCTGTAATCAAACCAAGATACTATGTATCATGAACAATTTCACTAATTTTATAGATCACCCTTCTAGTTGGCGCTCTCCAGGCTTGCTAGCTCATCGCGCTTGACTTTTAATGAATCGCCAATCTTACCAAGTTCCAAGCCGAGAAGCTGACCTCGCTACTCGTTGGCAATCTCCAGCTGGGCCATCTCATCGCGTTTAACATTTGATAAATCACCAATCGTACCGGGTTCCAAGCTCAGAAGAAGACCCCGCTTCTCGTTGGCGCTCTCCGGACGTGCGGGAACACCGCGCTTGACAGCTCCCATTTGGTCATGTCCCTCGGAAGTTATACGGCTGTTCAATGTAGGCGCAGCGATAGCCAAGGTGGCGGAGATTGCAAGAATCGCCATGGAGAACTTCATACTGGCAAAGATAGGCTTGAGAGAAGAATTATATTAGTAGGTGTAAATACCATGAGAGCCGTGAGGTTGCTCTTACCGGTAAAATTGGTAGGTGTGGTGAGTTGGTTCTGTAGATAGCTTGGATATGTGATTTATACTGAACATTATGTTGGCGCTATAAACTTATATACCCCCGACTGTCAACAAGATCTACACGTGCTACATTATACAGAATAACTGAGCATCTGGGCTGCAGAACTTAGTCCATGGATTGCTTCAGGCAGAGCCAAGTCCCTTGCAGGTGGCCCCATAATACGTATAACATCCTCTTCTTGTCTGCTAGACTGCCAATCATAACACGAGGGGCATCTGATAATGTCTCAACTTGTCTAAAATTTGAGCTGATGACTCAAGGAATGCAGGTTTGCTTTTTTCCCCTACGATTTACAGGGAGTGCATCCAATATATGCAGACTTCCAATGAATGTACACGATGGATCACCCCTATAATGACTAATCAAATTCGATATCGTATTTCACAAGCGAGCTGCGCAGGCGAAACACCATAGGGAATAGTCAATGCAATATATGCTAGACTTGAATCTCAACAACGAACGTCTTTTTGCTATATTTTTGTTTGCCCATGGATGTTAATAAGTAATTTCGGTGGTATGTTTAAATTTCAAATGAATTCACAACTTATTCCGTACATGGTTATGGGATCGACGATTACATCTCTGAGTGCTTTGGATATATATATCTCAGTCATGAAGTTCTTAAACTTCCCGAAACCTCCTAAACCGGTAAGATACCATATAAAAAACATTGGGCTATAGGGAAAAGTTCATATAGACAAAGCGATTTTGAGATATCTATTTGTAAGGTGTGGCATTTACTATGTGTTCGGACTGCAAAGCTTGTTTGTCAGCGCAGCTCGCATGTGAAATAAATCCAGCTTAGTAAGAGGCTGAGGTTAGTTGAAAATTCACAATTATTTAGGGCTGTATTCTGCTAAGGTAGGCTGTGGTGAACTAATACTTAGCACCTCCAGGGCTCCCGAGGTCGGCCCTGGGGCCTCGGGGGTCCACCCGTGGACGGGTCCCCTATAGGGTTACATAATCAACATAAGCAGGTGCCCACCCATGAACGGCCCGGGGGCCCACGTGGCTTCCGGTATAAATATGACATCCATACGTAGTGCACACACATTGCTTCACTGATGGACTACACAGGACCCTGCAATTAAAATCCCCGAAAAAGGCAAATCGTATGATCCTCATTACACTAAGGAAATCAACATTTCTTGTGTAATCTAACCTGTTTCTTCTCTTTGCAAGAACTTGGATCAAAGTTCTTATGGCTATCTCTAGCGATGAAAACCCTCGTGAGGCGCTCTTTACAAAGATGCTAGCCGCAGCTAGAGATGGCCAACTTGGGGAGCTACAGAATCACTTCAAAACTTGGGACACAGAGCGCACTGAGGAAGGTGCGCCAGCAACCAGCAGGGATCATCTTTGGTTCAAGCCGTTGGTATCCGAGCAGCTTGAAATTTTCAACGAGTTGAATCGGCCCAAGGAAAACACCAAGAAGATCCACACGGACTGGTATATCCGCAATCGAATTCTGGTCGAAGCCTCGCAAAAGAATAGGGTCAACGTCGTCGAGTACCTTCTGGAGCAGCGAGATTGCCCCATTACCTCCCGAGCCGTGCAGAGAGCCATGATGGGGAATTCCTTTGACGTTTTGGAGTTATTTCTCTCACATGGGTGGGATATCAACCAACCCATCCAAAACAACATCTGTACTATATTACGGTTGGTCATCTCTGGTTGTCTGTTTTGTGATAAAATGATATTAACAAAGCTCCACAGGCAGGTTGTCAGCAACGAGAACCGGGTACGCTGGTGTCTCGAGCATGGGGCAAATCCCAATGCCCGAAGTAAGGACAAGATAAAGGATGTACTGAGCCATGCTGCTTGCTGTGCATCATTGTCCACTCTCAAACTTCTAGACGACCATGGAGCAGATTTTGCGCGGAGCAATGCTCTGCAGGCGGCTGTTAAAGGGCCGAGTGAAAGGCGCATGGAGATTGTGCGATGGCTGCTGGATGAGAAAGCTTTCCCGATCAACCAACGAGAGTTCGAGTACGACATGGAGATGTTCGCTGATCGCCAGTCAAATGGATTAGCAACGGCGCTGCATATTGCCGCGGAGACGAATTCTTTGGATTGTTTGCGGTTTTTACTGGAGCGGGGTGCCGATGCCAAATTACCGGACACGCTGGCCTGCACTGCTGAAGAGAGGGGACACAAACGCGAGCATCAGGAGGCAGTTTCCCTTCTGCGGTTCTGGGAAGGGTAATTGAAAACTAAGTTTGCCAACAATTTGTTCAATTTGTATATATTCTTCATTGTACACAAGGTAGCCGCTCGAGTATACATTATATATTATTCTATACCGTGATGGCTCAAACTTGACCCAAGTATTATACTTGGATCTACAAAAGCTGCGTAGCCCTTGCAATAGAAGCATCAGAAGCAGCCTTCTGCCAATCTAGATTGATGAAGATAACATCGTTCGTCGACTTTCCTCCTTGATGCTTCACCATGACCGCCCCATATAATAATTCCGGCTCAATCAATCCGTCAAAATAATCTTCGGCATGTGGGCCTTCCATTAGGTCGTTGAGTGTGTCCTCCGGCTCGATGTATTTTACCCGGGTAGGCACGATATTCAAGTTGTCCTCGACGATGCTTTCCAAGGCTAGATTGTTGGCTTCAGAGACATATGTGCTGGGATCCTCCAGTCTGACGTGTGCATAGATCCACGCCTGAGCTCCCCATAATGCCTTCTTATTTTCCGTGATTAGCCGGGCTAGATTTTCCCTGGCCTGGTTCATTCCCGATTCAGTGTCGGTGTAATGTGCAATGATGGCACCCTGGCTGGACGCAATTACCACCCCAACACAACCCGAAAAGCCGTCACTAGCTAGGATGGCGGAGTCTGCCCCAAACGCCATGAACTTTTCATCCTCTTGCTCGACTCGTGTAGCAATCGCAAGATCAGCGAGAAATGGTGCATATGTTTCGTCCGCGCGCTTCATGAAACCACGATGGTGCGCATTTAGAGACCGAGCTGATGGTATACGCTTGGGAGCTTGGTCGGATAGGGAACTTTTTCAGTCAGTCCTGCTCTTTATATAACATCTGATAGTGGGATAGACTCACGCAAAAGGATTTGTGGGCACCGACAAGCAGAATGTCAGGTAAGAGAAGAAAAACAGGACCAAGGCCATGAGCCTTTTGTTGCCCATGTTGAAATCCATTGCGAGCAGGTTTCTTAAAAATGTTGCAGTAACAGAGAAGAGGGGAATTGCGGACAGCCTCCAGTAAATAAACTTCTATGCTCAGCAATTCCCTTTGGCATATGGGTGGCTTAAATATAAATAGTATAAACAAATTTGTTAAAGATAGGGGCCAAATTTAGATTTTTTATCGCTCCTAACTGAAGATGTGATATTTTTCCAGGTTAGAAATGCCATAGCGTCCCGTTCTAGCCTAATCAGGAACTTGATACAAGTGTTCAGGATGTCCGAATAAGGCAATAGGTCCCAAGTAACACATGTCAGATATAAAGCTACTCGCTGATTGGATGGAAGAGCTTGAGCCCCATCAGGTGGAGCCCTTTAGCCCCAGTCACATGTCCCTTTCTTGGAACGTTTCCGCAGATCTGTCAGCACTCTACTCCGTACCTTGTATGCCACAGACCCTTTGCTTCATTTCAATCCGTGCTAGTACCGGTTATGGGTGTCTCAGTCTTCAATCTCCGCCATTTCCACTTTCGTGAAACTCTGCATCCATTACCTTCTCCTGGACTTAATTAAGCGGCTCGGCATACTGGCTGATGCAAAACGGGTCCAAATGCCACCGGAAGTAGAAACTCCAGTTGATGAAAATTGGAATTAGATGACACAGAAATATACACATCGACATTTCCGATGAGGATTGGTTGGTCTCTATCTTAGGTGCCACTCTTGGTTTATTTTTGGTAGACTTATCCCCTATGTTAGAAGTCTCTCGGCAAGACCTCGGGACTAGAAAAAGATGACCCCAGCTCCTCTCCCATTTCATGAATCTCGGAATCTGTGAGTGCAAATATGGTACTGATTCATATCTCGTTAATACTGCTGCTGGCACAGCAAGTTGTGTGTTTACCTGGTGCTTCCTCTGGCATTTCCCGTAAACACTCGACCACCTTCTCGACCACGAAGAGTCATGGCTCTTCCGTTCCTGAGCACACTCGATCTACGCGCAGTGGAGAAAAAAGTACTCAAAGTTCATCATTTGCAGAATTGTCTTTAGGGCATTCGAGATCCTCGTCCGAGTCCTCATCGGCGTATTCTTCTGCCCTATCCTCGGTCATTCCATCCGACTCCTCTAAATCCTCTTTATTGCCACAGCCAGACAGAAAATTGACTTTGTCAACCAGCAATGTAATTGTGGCATCAAGTCCTTCAACGACCTTAAGTTCTTCGGTCGCGTCGAGCTCGTCTACCATTCCCGAACATGATTCCAGCGTATCTTCGCCACATTCAAGCAGAGAGCCTGCCACATCTTCCAGAAAGGTTGATATGACATCAAGTTCTTCGACGATCCCAAGTACTTCGGTGACCTCAAGCTCATCCACCTTGCCCAAGCCAGGCTCTGGCTTATCTTCAGCATATGCAGCCCCTTCTCAATCTTCTCGGTCACCTGGTCCTGGTACCACCGATATGACATCAAGTTCTTCGACGATATCAAGTACTTCGGTGACCTCAAGCTCATCCACTTTGCCAAAGCCAGGGTCCGGCATATCTGCGGCATATGCAGGCCCTTCTCAATCTTCTCGGTCACCTGATTCTAGTAACGCCGATGTGACATCAAGTTCTTCAATGATCACAGGGTCATCTAGCTCTAGCATGTCAGGGCCACCTGCGGGTGCTCCACCCACATCATCACTGTCGGGGATAGCCAGTTCAACTTCTATGACAACAACATCGGGCATACCCATTATTCCGTTGGTGATCTATACTACTCCGCCAGATGGCTTGCGCACGAGCAGCATTACAGAATTTCTCTCAGCGAGCAACACTGTCTTGACGACGACCGAGAATGGCCACCAAACCATTATCCCAGTTATTGCTGGTATTGGCATATGGGGAATCCCACACCCAGGCACATTCTTCAACATCCCTGGCTTCCCCGGTGCTCTTACTATTCCATGCCTGATCGCATGTTCTTCGAGTGCTAGCATGCCCTCAATTGATGAAGGGGCCATCGAGGACGGTGATCAGTCTAGTAGCAGAAGCAGCTCGGCTTCGTGCACGTCCTCGTCTACCTCGACCTACTCCACCGAGTTTGTCACTTGTGCCCCCATCACCACGTTAGGTAGAACGACGTCAACCTGCACTACGTCAACTGAGATCCACACAACCACTGGATGTGATCTCAAAGTCACAGACTCGAGTACCGCCACTACACAAACGCCCACGAGCACACCTCTGGCCTTGACGGCTGTGACATTCCATGTCGGCCCAGCCTCATCCACACCTCCATCTTCTGCCTTGCCCTTGACAGCTGTGACATTCCATGTCGGCCCAGCCTCATCCACCCCTCCATCTTCTGCCTTGCCCTTGACAGCTGTGACATTCACTGTTGGCGGAAGCACGACGCCACCGGTCTCGACATCGACATTGTTTGGCGATCTTCCGCTAATATCTAACTTCGATTTCGGTCAGGTTGGACCTAAACCGACGGCTGTGCCTTTCACCACCACCTCAATGAACGGCGAAATACTCGCGTATCCGTCGCGGATCGAGGAAAATTTCGCCCAAGACGGTATATTTACCACGAAGGGTGCGGGCACACCCGTGACACTGCAAGCTGCATCGCCAACCCAGATCAGCAGTAACCACGATGGTTCAGGTCCATGCAACAAAGTCCAGGACTCCTGCGACAAAGCGTACGGGAAGTATGTAGATGACACGATCTATTCATCTTACACGTCTTACACATGGAGTGGCAGCCTCATGGTTGCATCGAATGGCCAAGCCGGTTGTGCTGCCATGTTTACATGCGATAATGATAACTATGGGTTTGGCATGACTGGACGGCAGATCAAGGCCGCGTAAGTTGATACCCCTATAAATCTCTGCGAACTCACACTGACAATTAATTAGTGTTAATTACATGAAGGAACATGACGGTGTCGACAAGTGCGGAACCACATATCTGTCAAACTCCTGTCATATCACGCTCGATGCCTGCGTCAATAACTGCCAAGCCACGCTGTAATCGTGTTCTTATGTGCAAAAAGGACAGTTTTCTGGGAATGTCTTCTCCTTTTTGCCTTAGCCACGTTTAATGTTAAGGAGTTGAAGACATAGATGCACTCATGTTAGATTGGTGCTGTGTTAGCTTGGTGGCACTCCGTGTATTCAGACATATACAACAATCATACTAGACATTATACTGCTGAATCTGGCCTGGTGCGCTGGCGACAGACTGCCGTACTACTGTATATCCTAGATGATTGTCTTTTTCTAAAGACATGTCGCCCGTCCCCTTTCAATCAGCCACCCATGCAGCCTCTTTCCTTGACGAAATATGACTTGAGAATCTGATCGATTCGGCCTAAGATAAGATTAGGGACGAGAGTTGTAGACATAACTCGATGTTCTTTTCGATGCTCTTTTGGTTCTTTTTCGATGTACTCAAAGGCGACAAAAAGCACAAACCATACAGAGGGCCCTTTTATAGATAACTAGCGATAATCAAGGCTTAGTGGGCCTTGGAGTCGGACAGTTTCATACATGTCGCAAGTAGGAGCCTATGAGGGAGTGGATGGATGTCCGAAAGAAGAGTGATCACTAGGGCAAAAAGGAGTTGGAAATATCTCGCTCTGCCATGACGGCCTTGAATAGTGTACCTGGATATGGATGCATTTGTTATTAGTCAGGGCCTTTTGAGGTTTGCATGGCATCTTGAACTGGTATCACTCGAATGAAGAAGTCAGGCTCAGTGAAAAACAGCTGAAAGATGACCCAACGGAGATAACCGTGGACCTGTTAGGGGTCTTTCATAAGCAACTGAGAACTTCCAAAGTTCCACGGCTGGCTTCCTGTTTGGTTTCATTATATATTTGTATCACTCACATCGTGTTCTGATTGGAGACAAGCTAAACAGATATTGAGGGTTCTGCTAAGATCAGAGTTGCAAGTCATTCAATTTCTTTACCAGGTCAGTTCTTTCCTATCAATTTTCACCTGTCAGTTTCTTGTTCTTTCTGTGACGAGAGTGCCTTCCCGTTTGGCTCGACCATCATGTGACAGAGTTGCACCTTCCTCGTTAGAGCTGTCCAAGTACATAAAACCCCCGGCACCCTCGTGACTTTCTCCCTTGCCTCTCCGCGTGCAGTCACAATGGAACCAAGGTGAGTGACATTCATCCAAAGCCTTATACAAGACCATCCACTAATGACAGAATCTTCAGGTCTGCAAAAAAGCGTCCTAGAGCTGATGGAGGTGAAGACTCTGATGATTACGATGACTACAGACCCAGGTACAGGCCTCTCCCGTTTTGTCAGGACTGTGGATCGAGGTCCCACCCAAGGACATGCCGCCCCCGTTGCCATCGTTGTGACAAAAAAACATCCTGGAGCATGCACTGCGTTCTGTCGGAAATGTGCAGAGATTGGTCACTCGTGGCGACGCTGCCGGCTATTTGTCCCTCATCATATATGGGCAAGACAGCGTTATGGCACTCGCAAGACCATTCAAGATGTCAATATAACCCTTCCTGTCGTCAACCCTGGGCCCTTGGTGACTACAACCTCACTTAATGCTGCCATCCTGTCTCAACTCGACGTTGCCCTTAGTGGCTTGCACAGAAATGCAGGAATTCCCTTGGATTCGCGTATCACCATGAACAATGTGAACATAAGAACAAACATGCCTGCCACAGAACAGCCAGCTCCAATTGCTCCGGACACGTCACTACTGGATAGAGTGCAACGAATTCCCACAAGATCACGCTCGATCATCCCCAGCAGGCCCGCTCCTAAAAAGCCCGCCTTTAACCAGTCACCCTTCGCTTGTTCCCCATTCTACGAGCTTGCCTCAGAAAGATCTGCTCCAATTGATCCGGACATGTCATTACTGGATAGAGTGCAGCGAATTTCCACAGAACCACGCTCGATCATCCCCGGCAGGCCCGCTCTTACAAATCCCACCTTTAATCAGTCACGCTTCGCTAGTTCTCCATTCTGCGAGCATGTATTCAGCCAACCTGTGTTTGGCCAACCTGCATTCACCCAGCCTACATTCACACAGAATAAATCTATCAGGGTGGCACCAACCCGGCCCCGTCATGGTGGATTTTCGTTTGATTCAAAATATTGAGCTGCTCGCCTGTATCAGGGAAGAGATGGAGTCAAAGAAAACAACACAAACTGTATCGGAAGATGATGTATCTGTGTATTGTTTTATATCATCACTATTCTGTGGGCTTGAATGAACCGACTTGCTTCCCTGAGCCAATTGAGTAAGCCTTTATTTGAAAATAACGAGAACTGCACTGTCGCATAATCGCTGCGGATTTATCAATTTGAAATTCTAGTAGCCTTCTACGTACTACTTGCTGTTTTGCATTTCTAGGCATCGTTTGAGGAAAGTTAATTCTTCAGCCTTGGATCCTGCCCTGGCTTCAATCTCTATCCAGTGAGTTCTACTAAAAATACATCCTGGATATGCGGCCTCCGAATGCGTATGGAATCGAAACTTTTGGTGTGCAACATTTAGGGTTGTGTAGATCGACGATAATCCCGATTCAGGTAGCGATCGGCACCGCGCCTGCCATCAGGCTTTCACCCCTAAACATCCTCACAAGCCCAACTCACGCTCAAATATGTCTTCCATCTCTCTCAGACCTCCAAAGATCTATGCTAGCGAAGAAGCCAACAGCGTCCCACCAAACGACTTCATCATCGGGACATGGCACGTAACCCACTCCACTCTCCCGCTGTGGAAGGACAAGCGCAACGTCAACATCACCTACAAGCTCCTCCCCGCAGATTCTGCAGGGATCCTAAAGCTCGACGACCTGGTTCAATACCAAGGTATTGACTCTGAGAAAATCAAATCGGTTCATGGCGTCGACACCCCAACGCCAGGTAACCCCGGTGCCTGGGATTGGCGCGGGAAAGGCTGGCTGATGATTGCGAGTTCGCACTGGGAGTGTCTTGGCTTCGGTCATACCGATGATGAGAACCGGTGGATTGTCACTTACTTTGCTAAGACCATCTTCACGCCTGCTGGCATTGATATTTACTCTCGGAATAAGGAGGGGCTTGAACAGAGCACTGTCGATCAGATACTTAATGCTCTTAAGGAGCTTGGGGTCAAGGATATGACCGACCTCGCGAATAGCGTCTTTCCTATTCCTCAGAACTAGGAGACAAAGCTACATGATGTTGTTCATATGTTGTTAGAGTTTGTTCGAAAGCGGAGCGCTCGGGCTGTCGAGACAAACTCGGAAGTGCATTGGTGACAGAACTTCAGGGACTTTGACATCTCCAAATTCGAGTTAGGGATCATCGAACTGTTGAATTGGTGTCTCTAGAGCCTGAGGTCATGTTTGTCGATTTTGGGGAAACTGCTGAACATCACTGTCCCTCGGTTGTGAAGCGTCTCACGACCTCTCCCGATTACCTGGCAGACAAATGTCTGAAGATGGTAACAATGACCATCACACTCCCATAAGCGGTCTTTTGCCACAAAGCCTGGAGCCTCTTACCCACCAAGATCAGGTTTCACACCTCAGTCTTTTGAGTCTACAGCCCGCTACTAGTGGGGGACTGCTTCATATATCACAATTTACAAGTGTGATGGATCCGACGCGTCATCGTGATGATTGAACACCTGAAGCTTTTCAAATCAATATCCAAGAAAAAAAAAGGCACAAATACATTCCCACACAAAAATTGAGCCTAGGCGGCAAGCAACGCCCCAAGGCATGGTTAAATGCTATTGACATTGAGATCTCTATCTACACAGTCATCAACATGCTAGCATTCTTATACCAGCTCAGCAGGGGATTCTCCCCATTGCGCGTCTCCGTGTCCTCAATGTAAGCCCAACGGTTCACAAACTCCTCATGACTCGTGACCTGCGTTAGCTTGCCCGTAACAGCACGATACATATCCTCGACGACATTAAAGTCCGTCGGGAAGAAGATATCGAAGTAGCCTTGGTGGACCTGCAAATGAAATTAGCCACATTCAAAGTTCACATCATAGGGAATATACACATACAAAAGGAGTCGACACCGGCACTGTCTGCCGCTGGTACCGAGTCTGCACGACCGGCGCGTTGATCCCGGGAACGGCATCTGGCAGGGAACTGAAGTCACTGGAGACGAGACGGTGGGCTGGGAAGTACTGGTTCAGAACATCGAAGAACTGCATCAGTCGGGTGGGGATGTACTCCGGCAGGGAGTATTCCTTCTGGAAGGGCGCGGCGGAGCGGAGGCCGCGGAGGAGTGGTGGGCCTAGAGGACTTGGGAAAGGACGACGGGCGGCGGCTTGGCGCACGCGCAGGAAGCGAGCTGCAACTGGGTCCAGCTGGTTGTTGTAATACTCGTGGAACTCGCCCTCAGAATCGATCAGCACACCACCCTGCTGCGGCGTTTCGGTGCCTTGCTTATAGCGGATGGTGTCATGGGCAAAGTTATCGAAAACCTCCAGAGCCAGGAAGAAACATGGGGAATGAACGTATGTGTCCCAGTCGAAGATTGACCGGTTTACAATCTCGACGTGGTCCCGGTGTCCCTTGGCAGTGAGCTTGTCGGTCAAATTCTTGTACTGCAGATCTGCCAGCGCGGGCGAGATCTCAATGATCTTGAACTTGGTTCGCTGATACACCTCATGATCAGTGTCGCGGATGAAATCCAGAATGTTCAACATCATTGTGCCGTTTCCTGCTCCCATTTCGTAGATGATCAGGTCGTGGTACGGGTATAGGGTCAGCTTGTAGTTTGACACCAGATACCGCGCAATGGTCTCGCCATAGTATGGTCGGAAAAGCTCTGTCGGTGTGTGCCACAGTTGCCGCGCGATATCCGGGTTGGTCGCATCGAGCTTGTCTTCAAACTCCGTATACCGTTGACCAAGGAGTTTGTGGAACGCGGGCCCATCTTCGATGTTGTTGAAGTCGAATGGCTCTCCGGGGCTGAAGATGGTCGCGTGTTTGGAAAAGTATCCGTAATGTGGGTTGTAGAGACTGTCTAAAACCGCAATGTCAGAACTAGTTTCGCCTCATTTAGCCGCCGAACTCACCGTCGATGAACTCGCGCGTCAGCATCTTGACCTGCCGCGGCCGTTCGCGGCGGTTGCGTAGCTCCTTCGCCGTCACTGTCGGGTATTTCTTGTACTCCTCATCAATGTTCTTGGGGTAGTCCCCTCGTTTTGTCCAGAGCTGGATATCATCGTGCCGGTTGCGCTTCACGTTGACAGGTGTGCGCCGCGTGAGAAATGATCGGGATTGCGGTCGAACAAGTACGGAAGGTGACCGCCTTAATGAGCGACATGCTGGGTGGCGGAAGAGCTGTCGGAACAACTGGGTAAGGGCTGGCGAGTCCATTGTGGTTGCAGAGCTAAGCTCAAGGTTGTTCCGGGGAAGAAGAACGGTGTTTCTGGATAACCTTATGGCCTCAGGCACATACCACGTGCCTTAGGCAAATCTCATCACCTCCAATTTCTTTATCACATTGGGAATTACATGGTTCTTGAAGCCAAACACAAGTTGAATACCAAGAGAACTGTTTGAATTCGCTCTCGATATTCCTTCTCATCGACGAAGTACAGGCTGATTCCTATCTGTCACCAAATAAGTCCGATGGTCCGAGCTTCACGTCTCCCGTCTATGCACATGACCTCAATCTTCAAGACATAAAACGGCATTGGAAGATGCCAGATCATTCGACAGCATACATAGGCACGGCCTTCGTGACAGGTGTCTGCCTGGCACTTGCATATCAAGAATTTTCCCGTCCCAGGCGTGAGGATAATGTGACAGAACAAATATTGCCACCAAATGGGCTAATCGCCCGAGCTGGCCCGCCCACCATTGTGGAAGGCATTGAAGGCTGCATTGGAAACACCCCCTTATTCCGAATCAAGTCACTATCCGACGAGACGGGATGTGAGATTCTAGGCAAGGCAGAGGCATGTAGCCTTGGTACTTCGTATACCACTCCGAAAATGAGCTAACAATGCCCGCAGTTTTTGAATGGCGCTGGCCAGAGTTCAAAAGACCGCGTTGCACTAAGCATGATTGAGATTGTATGCTGAATACACAACAAAAATCCCCTGCAACACCACCATCACTAACTCCAACCAGGCTGAAGAACAAGGTATCCTAACACCCCATTCAGGCGACACAATCTACGAAGGAACCTCGGGATCAACCGGCATCTCACTAGCAACTCTAGCCCGCGCAAAGGGCTACCTAGCACACATGTATGGATACGCCACCCCCGACTTCCTACCCAATAGCAAAAGCCACTAATGCACCTGCAACCCAGCTGCCTGCCGTCCGACCAGGCAATTGAAAAATCCAACCTGCTGCTAAAACTCGGGGCAATCGTGGACCGGGTTCCGCCAGCCCCAATAGTGGAGAAAGACAACTTCGTCAATCGTGCACGAGCACTGGCAAAGACGCACACGGCCTCATCGGGCATTCTCTCTGCGTCAGCGGATGAGCAATCCGATCTCCCCGCGCCACACGACCGCATGACCCGTGGCCGGGGCTTTTTCGCCGACCAATTCGAGAACGAGGCTAACTGGCGCGCCCACTATGAAAGGACTGGCCCAGAGCTGTATGCCCAATGTGGGGGCCATATTGATGCGTTTGTTGCGGGCGCTGGCACGGGCGGGACCATTTCTGGCGTGGCGAGGTATTTGAAGCCCTTGCTGCCTAGACTTACGGTTGTGCTGGCCGATCCGCAGGGGAGTGGGCTTTTCAATCGAGTGGTTTACGGGGTCATGTTTGATGTCAAGGAGAGGGAGGGGACGCGGAGGCGTCGTCAGGTTGATACTATTGTTGAAGGAATTGGGATTAACCGTGTGACAGCTAATTTCGAGGCCGGGAAGGAGATGATTGATGATGCCGTGCGAGTTACTGATGCGCAGGCGTTGGCTATGGCTCGGTGGCTTGTTGAGAAGGATGGGATCTTTGTTGGGAGTAGTAGTGCAGTAAATTGTGGGTCTATTCACTCTATACCTAGTACATGCGGTGCGTTTTACTAATGGTGGATTCTAGGCATCGCCGCCGTCAAGACAGCAAGGAAGCTTGGCCCTGGTCATCGGATTGTGACGGTACTTTCAGACTCTGGCTCACGGCATCTGTCTCGATTCTGGGCCAAGGCAGGAGATGTTGGTGGGGCTGTTGATACGAAGCTTGAGGATGTCATGAATGCACGGGACGAAGACTTTCAATAAATAGATTAATTGAATGTGGTATGCTAGTGGATATGCGTATGGATGTGGAAAGATTCATCGATCGTCGATCACTGGCCCTATTAGTATAATTCGATTGTAGATAATCATTATTTTGAGTTTATAAAAATGCCCAAGAAACTGTTGGGGGCAGACACCTTACTGTCGGTTGCCTCGGTCATTTCTTGAATGACGAGCTCAAGCTCTTCCTGAGCAGTGTCTTCGGACGCAGCATTGCTATCTCCTGCCTCATCTTTGACTTCCTCCACGGCTGCATCAGATTCTGGCTCATCCTTGATCTCGCCGTCCGTTTCTTCTTCCTGCTGTTGCTCCTCCGGCTCAGGTGGTTCTTCCATGGTGCCGATCATTGTAGAGGTGAATCCCTCGCCAACAAAAGCACGGAGCAGCTCAAATTCGACCTCATGTCGAGATCGGCCCTTGAACCGACTCTGTATCTGACCCCAGGTGAGATCTGATTGGGTGCTGAGTCTGGACAGAGCTGCCAGCTCAGGCTGAGTCCAGGCGGCCGAAAGCGGGGGCGGATTGGCCAGGCGGCGCGTCCAGTGATTGTAGAACCAATGCCAAACTGTCTGGTATTCGCGACCTGGCAACATGTGCATCACGTCACTGGCCTTCTTTTCTTGTTTGTACATTATGCACACGATCAACTTTGCCTCATCGGGTGTTATAGGCCGTCTTTTGCTTGGGGTGAATTCCATGGGTTGTGGTGATAAGGCATGGGTGCTAGGCGTCGCCTTTGGGGTTGAATCGCCATGTACCATATGATCAAATGTGACTTCATTTTCGTATTTAGATCCAGCCGCTTCGTTTTCTCCATCATTTGCTCCGCATCCTCCTTGTAGTTGTTCTTGTTCTTCGAGCACTCCGGCGTCTTGGTGGCTCACTTCGCAGCCCCATTCTTCAAGGCATGGTTCAGGCACTTCACCTATCTGATTGTTGGGTGCGTAACACCCTTCTTCAAGGTGTGCTCCAGACACTTCGTGGTGTTGATCGGCCGTTTCACGCCCCGCTTCTTGATCATCGATTTCATAATCGTCTTGGTCATCGACTGGATCACCGACTGGATCAACTGGATCATCGACTGAGTCACTGAATGGGACATTGACTGGATCACTGAATCGATCACTGACTCGATCATCGACTTCGATGACGAAATTTGGTCGCTTCGAAGGAGTAGATGGACCATCATTCTCTTTCGTCGGAATATGGCGCTTCCCGCGGATAATTCTCACCTTCGATGGTGTCGGCGATGGCTCATAGTCCTGTAAGGGGTCATCTGACTCATTTCCATCTGGTACTGCCGCAAAAGACCAGTCGTGCGTCACAGGGCTAGAGTGGTACTTGCGCTTCGCAGCTGGTCGGCGCTTACTCGGTGTAGCTTTGGGTTTGGTTTCTGTACGTGGTCTGCGAGGTTTGCGCACAGCCCAGACGGAGCCACTCCCTGGCGGGGACGAAGATCTGACAGGTGGAGAGAAGCCCACGTTCGATTTTCGAGTCTCAGTGGTGGGCGTTGAAAATGACGGGGGCAAGTCTGGAACTGCCCAGATTGGATCTTGCGGTTTGGAAGCTGGGATAGTGTTGGTAGGATGGGAGGCATGTTCCTCCTTGGTCGTAGGACTGAGCCCTGCAGTCCCAGATGCTTTGAAAGTAAACACGAAATCCAAAGAGGTATCCATGTCTGTCTGTAGCTGTTTCGATGGCGATTCTTCACGTGGAGCATCTGGAGAACGACCACCAGGAGACGATGCCATAGAAAAGAATTCATCCTCCTCTCCTCTCGTGTTGTTGTCATCGTCTGCATCAGGGTCTTCTGACCTATCTAGCTCAGCCTGGGAGAGCCATGATCGCGGATGATCACCAGCGTCGTCCTCAGCCCGCATGCCCAGAAGATGTCCATTGTCTACCACTATATCTCCGGTCTGCAGGTCGATCTCATCACCAACGCCGGTGAAGTCCTGGCTATATTTCGCGAAAATGCCTTCGAAGAGAGACTTTAGTCGCGAGTCATTCTGTGCGCGCGCGGCCGGAAGATCAAATTCTGCGGGGACTTCTTCATCGTCGGGGGTATATGATAGACATGGTCTTTTCGCTGGTCGTTGAATATCATCCTGCATGGAGTGGTCCATGCTGTCCGGGTTCATGATAGCGGATAAGAATCGATAGGCGCGTTCACGGATGCCTTAGAAATGATGGAACGTCGAGCGCGTAGTAGAATAACGCATAATTAAATTTGACAAACTGTTTCCGATTCCGAAAGTGATGCGTGCAGGCGCAGGCGCGAGCAAATATGCGGCAAAAGTCAAAACAAACCAAAAATGACGTTCTCCGAAGCTCCCAGGGAGCTCCCCGACTTCCACTCCCCACACCTCCCGTCATGAATTAGAACCACCATGTATTGCCAGAAGTGTCGCACGCCGTTGAAGTTGGATAGCTCAATAGAGTCACTCAACCCAGCTGCCTTTGACTTGTTGTCCAGTAAGTTCACAGGCTATCGTTCTGATCCCCGCTAATTAAGCGGTCTAGACTCTACAGGGAAGACGCTGTCAGATACTGGAGCTGTTTCCTCATCAGTACGATCGTCATATCCGCCCGAACACCGCGACAAGTATGACCAGTCCTCTAGACATGCTACACAACCAGTTTACAGACGGTCTATCCCAGGCCCGCGTGCAGGAGGCCAGCCCAACCCGCCGGCCATACCCCGAGCCGAAAGCGGCAATATGTCATTTGTGATGCTCACTGAGTCTCAAGTTGCGCCACCACCAGTCATCGAGAGTAGTGCTGCTGCTCGAACCAAGCGAAACCATACACAAGCCCAACTACGTGGCCAGGAGGATGGGTCATTCGTTGATCAAGTGGAGAAGACGACACGACTATTTGAGATAGTCTCGGCGCGCTCAGATATCGACCATCCGATTTGCGTGGAGTGCACTGAGCTCCTTGTCGAAGGATTGCAAAAACGCTTGGCGGGTTCTACAAAGGAGCGAGATGCCTATATCTCATTTCTTAGAAACCTAAATGGGTCAATCCCGACCGGGGAGGAGCTGCAGGCAGCACAGACATCGTTGGACGAGAGTCTGGAAGCGGAGCGGGTCGCATTCGCAGAGCTGCAGTCCTTTGAGAAAGAAAAGGCTGCTCTAGATGCAGAAATTGCCAGTTTAGAAATTGACTCACGACGTCTAGATGCGGACGAGGAGAACTTTTGGCGGTCTCGCAATGCGTTCGCGTTGACGCTGACGGAGTTTCAAAACGAACGGGATGCACTCAATATGCGTTATGACCATGACTCGCAACAGCTTGAACGACTGCAAAGGACAAATGTTTATAATGACGCGTTCTGCATTGGCCACGATGGATATTTCGGTACTATCAATGGACTACGGCTCGGTCGGCTGGCCAATCCCTCTGTTGACTGGCCCGAAATAAATGCTGCATGGGGACAAACCGCCCTACTTCTAGCCACGATGGCTGAAAAACTCGGATTCCAATTCCAGGGGTATCGTCTCCGGCCGCTGGGATCTAACTCCCGAATTGACAAGATTGAATATCCCACGCAGCCATCCGGTCAACCCGTCGAGGGAGCTGCGCCCAAAGTGACCGAACTCGATCTCTTTTCGTCCGGGGATCAACTGCTCAATCTTAATTGGCTACACCGTCGCTTTGACTCGGGTATGATGGCTTTTCTTGAATGTTTACGCCAGCTGGGGAAGTTTGTTGAACAAACCCCAGCGCCCGTTATTTCTCCCCGTCGAGGCCAGACCGGCGCCACCGCGCCGGGGTTGAAATTGCCCTATGAGATCAAGCGCGATCGTATTGGCGATGCCAGCATCAAGTTGGGCTTCAACCAGAGTGATGAGACGTGGACACGAGCCTGCAAGTACACGCTCACTTGCTGCAAGTTCCTCCTTGCGCATGCCAGCAATCTTGCCAGCACGGGGTCTAGCAACTCAGCTGCCGTTGCGGCTGCAGCCGTAGCTGCCGCCGAACAAGCCCGACAGACAACGGCAAAGAATAAACCATGAATAGCAAAGGGTGGAAATTTTTTTTTTTAATAAAAAAGCAAATAAAGGTGAGGCTGCAGCACAGGATTGGAATGCTAGTCATGTGGCAGAAAAATCGCGCAGGATGAAATCGAAGACCTGCACAGCGCATCACTTTCGGTACCTTTGTCGATAAGCTCTATGTGCACGGTATAGGGGGATGGCAATGACGTGCCATACCGGATGTTTCAACCAAGACCAACTCCGAGTCCCTCATTGGCTTATCACAATCCTCCTTGATTGACAAGGGGCCCAACCAATCCCCTGACATATGTCGGCTGAGTGCAGGACTGACGCGTGGGCCGGGAACCCCAATAAAACATTGCCTGATACCGGGAGAGAAAAAAGATGCCTCCGATTTGCATACAATCCAGTCTGCGCGCTACATCCTAGTACCTGCATGCGATCCGAGCCGGTGAACGATGGTCCGTGGACCTATGAGGGTGTCGGTGGCAGATATCTCCGTACTTTGTATACAGGCGGCTCATTAGTGGGCTCCACGCGGCCGCTCTTCTAATGGAAATCGCGGTTGTTTTTTTGTATTTGTATTTATATTGAAAGTGAAAGGTACTCCCCGCACTTTTATGATCTATTTAGGGCCGATGAAATATTATTTCACACCTTTTTTTTTTTTCTTTCTCCCTCGTGTCTTGGGTTTGATTGTTCACCCCTTTTCCTAATTAAATATGATTATACTCCGTACTCCGTACTTCACTTCGGATATAATCCAAGCTCAAAGCAAAGATACCTCCCATCCCTATCGGGGACCAGGATTTTTGCTCCCCGAAAGACAAAAAAAAAACCCCGTAGATCACTGCAGCCATCGTCAACCTATTCCCAGCTGACACTAGTTCTGGAGTTTTGCGTTCTAGCCCTTGAAATCTGGGCGCAGGTAACGGGGCATGTGCACCGTTGTAGATGAGAGTAGGATCGAGTAGGGTTTGGGAAAAAAATATAAAAGATAAACACTACCCCGAGGGTATCATGACTATATAAACTCCTTACTCCGTACATCTCCCAAATACAACATACAACATACAACATACAACATACCAAAATACGAGGCAGTACTTCGGGTCGCTTGGAAGTACTCCGTAAAATAGATAAAAAAAAAGGTAAAGGTAGCACGGACCTTGCATCGTACGTTTCAATGAGTCTCGGCCGGGGTGAAAGATCCCTATAAATACTCGACACTAGAGAAATCTAGAGAAATTGGTCTGACAAGGTAACCTTGTCTTGCCCAAAGCGCATTTTTCCCCCCTTTTAACGGGCTTAACGGCTTTACTCCTTGCTTGACAGTTGAGATCTAGCACGTTTGAAGTGGCAGGTGTCATAATGTATTATAGATCTCCATAGATAGTGATATATGACAAAATTCCAAAATCCCATTATGACGTGGCTGATTGATCCACAGAGCTGGGACTTTTAGAGGATTTTTAGAGGATTTTAGCGGAGGAAGACAAAGACCTGTCAGGGAAGATTCGGCCCGCTCCCGGGTTTATATTTTTTTTTTTGTTTTGATCTACATTTCGTTTATATTATTATATTAGTATAGTTGAATATATATACTCTTAATGGTATATCTTCCCAACTTACAGTTCTATACCTTATAAAAATAAATAAAAATAAAAAGGCAACTAACAATGCATCCAATTTGCGGCCAGTGCACTGCATGTAATAGTTCGGTTAGGTAACCAAAAGTACAAAGTAAATAGATTCAAAAAAAAGCAAAAACAAAAATACACATATCAAAGGGCTCCTACCACAAAAAGACCAAAGCCCGAACGGAGATATTCTCCTCGACCTACACGTCGATCCGTGACAAGTTGCCTGTGCTGGAGCCCACCAGACAAGCTCATTCGTCCGGGGAAGCAGGGATTCATCTATCCGAGTGCACGTCGCCGCAAAGAGAAAGATTCCCTGGCCCCCATCTCTTGCCTCTTTTAATTTGATTTTAAAGTCTTTTAATGTTTTTTTTTTATGACTTTCTAGACATATTATGATTTGCATTCCTTGAGTAGGAACCTCTTTTTTGATAACCTCAACTCTACTATAATGGAGAATAATTATTCAGCTCCCATCTCCCCTCAATCGCCTAATGTCTTTCGACCCCGCCGATCGGATGACTGGCATGAATATCGTGAAATCATCGAACAACTCTACCGCAACGACCAGTTGAAACTACGAGATGTGAAACGCATCATGGAGAGAGATTATAAGTTCTTTGCATCGTACTACTATCCTTTTCTTGAATAATCGCCTATTCATCTATAGATCCCCTTGAACACTTCACCTAACTTCAATTCATTAGAGAGAAACAATACAAAGATCGTCTTGCTGCATGGCATGTTCGAAAGAACATCAAAGCCAAAGAAGTCCATCTGATGTTGCGGAAGCAACAGAAGCGTGCCGCCCAAGGCAAACAGACAGCCTTCCGGGTAAACGGTCAGAACGTCGACCCCAAACGTATCGCCCGCTTCGTGCGTCGCTATGGGACATCATGGGATACCAATCGAGGCAATGAACCAGAGACCGAGCCACAAAGCCCTGAGCCTCGTAAGTTAACCTTAGAACATTCCAAATTGATATACACTATATCAAACCCCAACTAACAAACCCACTAGAAACACCATCCGACATGACTTGCTATACACCCGAACCAACAGACGAACACAGCATCACAACACCAATCTCACCACTCCCCGACATGCAATCACCAACCCGAGAGATGCCGCCCTACCCGCTCGGCTCATACGGTAAATCCACGGCCGTTCCGGTGAGTGTGCCTGTACCGAATGATATTGATGGAAGATATTTCGCTCTAGACCCAAACCACCTCGAAAACCTGCCCGATCTGGAACTGGAAGAATCACCGGCCATGCCGATGTCTATGCACTCAACTCAACCACGTCATATCCAGTCCTACCACCATTCAATAGGGAACCATCTCTCACACGCACATGGTGCACATGGGTCTCACGTCTCTCACGGCTCTCACTCTCATGCTTCTGCTGTACACGGCTCTCATCCATCCCATGCTGTAGTGCAGGGCGTACAGGGTGTACACAGTCAAGGTGTACACAGTTCTCACACTGCGCATGGTCACCCTGGACCGGCACGGGATCTCGAGGATGCTCCTGGTGAAGAAGATACCCACCCGCCTGACTGGAATACGGTTGAGTCGTTCCAGACGAGGTTGCAGGATTTGGATTATACGCTTACGCAGTCGATGTCGAAGTGGGCTAGGGATCAGGATCCTAATCAGGAGATTCCTCACCATGAGGGTTTGGGGATGTGATTTTGGTTATGGTTATGCTTGATATTCTTTTTTTTTTCTTTCGATTGCCTTTCTTTCGATTGCTTCATTTTGCTTTCTATCTATGTCTTGATTTCCCCCCTATCCCATCAGCGTGTGAGCCTGTTTTTCCTCTCTCATTTTCATTTTCATCATGTATATGGTTATGTTTCCTGTCCCATCCTCACCTCCCGTCCACATAGCCCACGGAAGACTCATAGCAAGGGCGTTCTTATTATGGATTCTCCGCGTTTTAGATTGGTGATCTATGCATTATGGCATCCGAGTTTCTGTATATCAATTGTGCTGCTTGTCAAGTATGGGTAGCACGAGGAGGGACACGTCTCAGCTCCACAACGATACCCATCCGCTCGACCGATATCACTGTCCCTCTCGACTCAACATCGGCATCCAGTCCCAGTCTCAGCTATGTCTCACCCGAACACGACATTCCAATCACAACCATGGAAGTTACCGTGCTGCAACCCTTCGAATCTCTGCCTACCTTCTACACAACCCCAGCCCTGTCGTTTATTACCCCGACCAACCCGGCCAATTCACTGTTCGCCCCCACAATCATCCTTCACTTCACCAAGCCAAACTCCACTGTGTACCGTTCCAGCCCCACGACCCCGTCTCTCCCGGGATTCCCCATGCACAACATATTCCAGACACGATCGAGACCCACGTTTAAACAGACTGTCTCAAACATCTACCAGGTCCTGGTAGAACTTATCGTAAAACACTTTTACTCTATTACACATAGTGGCTACGTATACAGGCCAGAGCAAGACTACCCCCACGCGATAGCGTACGTGGACGCGTATTTTACATGTAGAGGTGACACAACCCCAGGGAAAAAGTATCGCAGAAACTATCAATATTGATGAACACCTGTTATCTACAATATTCCAAGAAAACAATCATTCAACCGTTTAAGCAAATTATACTCCGGCAGATCTACGACGAAAGTACCGTGACAACAGTACATCCAACACATGATCAATGTCTTCCAGGGGTTTTGATGTACTCCGTAGGTCACGTAGTGCCCACAAACAGCAAACACAAATACTACAAGACACAACCCTCGACCCCTTACGTACCCCAGTACACCAGCATAGTATACATTGTAGTTACATTACACACATGTACATGATGCATTGCATTATAAGATGGTATAAATTCTATTCCAAATACTTCTAATACCACATTCCAAAAAGCCAAAACGGCCCTAACGCATCAAACAAAAGAACAAAAGAACCACCTAACCGGCTCATCAAGCCGGATTACCAAAAGCCAAGCACCGCAATTCGCCTCACCAGCCCAAAGCACAATGCAAAGCCAACCGGGTGTGACTAGTCCGCGAGTCCGGGCGGGAGGCAAAAAGCTGCAGGGAGCCGAATGCAGGCGTGGGGAACGCAAACTCGAAGCTGGACTGGACTGGATGTGGAACGGGGATGCGGAGCAGGGGGTGCCGTAAGCGAGATGACGTGCACGGGTATGTGCATGAATATTTTGATTTGCATAGCAGGATACGGAGAAGGGGAAGGGGTTTGGGCTACAGGACTCCTTACTTCTTACTGGACTCCATGCGTGGATACGAGGTATGGTGATAGGGGATGAGATGGGGATGTTTGTTGATACAGGGTTTTGTTATGTATGGGATATCAGTGCTGGATGATTGAATATACGAAGTACAGATGTTAATGTCAAAGGAAATTGATATTCGATGTATCGAGTGTCAAAATGGTGGTGGGGACGGATATGGAGTGCCGGGAGCGGACGGGACGGGTATGGATGGCCCACTGTGGGCCACACGAGGGATGTCCACGAGGGGAGGATTAGGGAGGATTGGATAGGGGGATGGTACTTTTGTGGGTAGAAAGGGGAAGGAGGGGCTTTTGTTTTGAAGATGCGTGCATTGCACTAATAAGTACTAAATACATAAGCCAAATGGGATCGGGGAGACCGTCGCTAAAATGAATCCAATCCGATAAGACAACAGAAGAAGGAGCCGAAATGGAAAAAGAGAGGAAAGGGAGAGACTACCCGGGTGATACTGTTAAGATCATGAGTCCTGGGTAGGGAGGAATAACCACTGGCATCACGGCTAGGCTGCTGCCTGCACAGCTGATCGCCGGTCATAAGGAGAATCGAGAAGATCCAAAGGCACGCTCGGGGGATATATAAGGATGAGCAAGAAAGCTCAAAGGGATGGGGGCTTTTGGCCGCATAAAGTCACTATCAGAAAATCATACCCTGCTCCGACCTGTCTAGCAAATCAAAGAGAAAGACAAAGACAAATAGAAAAAGAAGTGTAACCAAGCACCGGGTAAAGTCTATGTGCATGGCTCATGAGTAGAAAGTGCTCTTCTGGAAGCTTTCAGGCGAAATATCGCCGATCTTGCTGTTAAGCTCAGGCTTGCCCAGAGATGACAGACTTTGTGTGCGGCCTTCGGCCACAGGGTCTCCCTTCATTGTAGTGGTGCGAGTAGCAGGCTCGCTGCCTGCTGTGATAGCCTGCTGGTTGGGTCGGCGCTGGATAGTCTCCAGGTACGGGCCGGGGAGATATCCGACGCGGCCGTCGCGTGCACGGCAGCGCCACCACTCGGAGGCATTGCCCATGGGATCAGATTTGCTGAGGACAGCGACGATGTCGCCCTTCTTCACAGCCAAGTCGATGCCATTGCTCTCCTGGGTCTCGGGGGTGTAGTCGTAGAGGAGACGGCAGAAGTCCAACTTGGCCGGGTCAAGCGATGCTGAGCCCGGCTCGCCGTTGGGGCCAACGAGCTGCTGGCGGCGCTTCGCCTCTTCCTCCTGGGATCGGGCCATAGTCTTAATGAGCTTGCCCATCAGGTAGGGGAGGCCGAAGAGGGCGATCAGGAACATGAAGAAGGGCTTCTTGGAGGGCTTGGCGGGAGCCGGCGAGCCATCGGGAAGTGTGGCTGCGGCACGGCCGCCCATGAAAGCTGCAAAGGCAGCGGGAGTCAAGGAAGTCGCATCAGCTGGCGGAGGACGTCCTGTGATCTTGGCGATCAATGTGCGGAACCATCGAATGAGGGTGAAAATTCCCAGGGCTGAGCCGAGGGTTGTGCGCAGGTTTCCAAATTGTTCTGCGACCGAGACCATTGCTATAGAAGTGAGTCAGCGAGTGTTTCTGTAATTTTTCTCTCAAGAAGACCAACCAAAGAATGAACTGTGCGTAGCCATGTACGTGCTCTCGAGCATCTGAGCAAAGCCACCAAACGCACCGACGATACTCTCAATCATGTGGAAAGTGGCCTGGGTGCTTTGCCCAAAAGAGTTCGTCAGGCTGTTCGGATCATTGGGATCTTGTCCCGGCATTCCACCGTACATGCCTCCCATACCCCCCATGCCCATACCGCCCATCATTCCACCTCCGTAGCCTCCATAACCGCCACCGCCGTACATGGAGCCCATACCGCCCATGGAGCCGAAACGGGAGTAAGGTGATCCCATAGCACCCATGCCTCCCATTCCACCATAGCTAGAGCCGTATGCACCTGTTCCAAGGCGCGAGGCTCCATATGGCGAGTAGGCAGATGCAGTGTTGTTGACTACGGAGTTGAGGGCGCTGGGACGGGAGGGAAGGTCGGGGGCGGTGGACGTTGAGACTGCGGGGTTGGTTGTGGAAGTCATCGCGGTCGAGGCAGCAGGGCTACCAGCAATAGGTACTGTTGATAATGTGTTTCCTGGGGAGAAGAAGAGAGGAGTTAGTTGGGGTGGACGTTATGGATTGCGCTGATTCGGTGGCGCTAGGATATCGGCAATCGAGAGAAAGACACTCACCAGCTGCACCGGCTCTCTCCCACGGTTTTGGTGGCGAAGGCGTCGCCATGAAGTTAGATATTAGTGGAATCGCATCTAGATACGTTATATTCAGATAGATTTGTGAGGCCGAAAGGGAGGTGAGAGAGAAGAAAAGGACGCATGTGGCCGGGAGTGGAGATGCCGAGGTCGGGGTTTGCCGAGCAAATACGGGGTATTCATCAACACCCTAGGTTAAATGTAGATTGTTTTTCTTTATATCTAATTGTGTTTGTGTTTATTGATATCTATTTCTCTAGATAATAGCTAGTTGTCACATTCATCTTGTGCTCAACTTGTCGCCCTACCCTGTTGGTTCTCTGGGGAAATCTCTTCAGTGGCAAACCCATGTACCTGAGGGGCGACCGAGGCAATCTGAGATTAAGATGAGCAAAGTAGATCGAATTAGTGGAGTCATATATATGATGTACTATGTCATACATTATGTAGGTACTAGCGGCCATATTCACATGTATATCAAAGGTTATACATGGAAAAGTCTGTTCACAATGTCTGCTGTCTACCTATACAACTGAGAAGGGGGAGAAAATATCTTAAAAACATCTATGTTGTAAACAGAGTTACTGAGACTGCTGAGAGACTACTGAAAAGGCTGTAGGCGCGGCCATCTACTCTTGTGTACAAGTGACTCGACTTCATTTACCTTCTACATGAGATACCTAACAGACCCAAGACCCAACTCTACATGTACAAATTTATACAGTAGAATCGAACTTAGAAGCGTGAATAAGTATAGATTCACTCAAACACTCCGGAACCCGAAAAAAAATCCAGAGTCTATCAACGCCATAGCACAAAGTGATATATGTACAGATGCCAATGCAAAGATGAAATACAGGGAACTCATAACTCGTCACGATTAGCATAAGCAGCAGGTTGAGTATGTGCACGCGGCGTCGGCGTCTTCAGCTTCCACATGCGCGGAGGCACGGGCAATCCAAGCCAGTAATTGTACAATCGGATGAGTTCCGACCCGATGATTTGGTATCTGCGAGAGTCAGTATGAGTCCATATAACACAAATCAAGCCTCAAAACCTACAGTGTATGTGGGATATCCATCCAAGACCGCCAAATATGTCCAACCGTACCCCAGATCATATTCCACTCAGACATGAAATCCTCCCAGAGACCATCGTCTGGGTTAGGCGGGGGGCGCTCCCAGGGGTACCGCTCTGGTGCCTCACCTCGGCCGTAGACGTACTCACTGTCGTCGTCACCTTCATAGTAGAAGTTGTTATTTCCGTCTCTGAACACGCGCCTATTGTTGCCGAGGGCGTTGGCGTGGTGAGAGGAGGGCACAGCGCCGTGGACCGGGAACATGTGAGTGGTGTCGGTCAGCAGAGCTCGCTGCATACTGCGCGAAGCAGCGATACTGTGCGAGATGCGGCCAAGGGTATTGATGAGGGCGACCAGTTCAGTGCGGCGCAGGGGCGGGTTCTCGCCGTTCTTGGTTTCGTCGTAGTCGAACAGCACCTTGAGCGCGGTTCCGTACCCGTTCACCTGAAGCTTGCCCCAGAGGCGGCACTTGTCACAGCCAACGCAGTCCATCAGGCGACTGACGTTACGGAAGCGGTTGCGGAAGTCCTCTTTCAAGCCGATAGTGTTGGGGTCTTGGAACATGATCTTTTCGTCGAAGATTTGGGGGAGTTCGGACAAAGTCGATGTTAGCTTGTTGACGCGCTTTTGGTCTCGCGGTCTTGCGCTGGGTCGCTGGTGCAGAACGTGTACCCGTCCAGATGCTTGCGGAGTTTTGACACGGCGCGTGAGACTAGGGCGTAGTTGAAGTACATGTTTGAGATGCGCTCCGGGTGGTCGAGGAGTCGCTCCTTGAAGCATTGCACGTTGGGATGCCACGTGCCTGTGGTTTGGTTGAGGTAGTCCCAGCACAGATGTGTCGAAATGGAAGCGTGCATACCACTCAGGAGCCGGTGGAACACCCGCTTCTCTAAGCACTCGTTATCTAGCAGCAGGCCGTCTGTTCTCTGCGACTCCTTGTGGAGCACGTTGCGGAAATCAGAGGCTGCCTGGAGGCCGCCCATCGGGACGTTCACTGACTGTTCTTCCAGCTCGTCAGACACGGGCTTCAAGAAGCAGTTTTCGTTGTAGATAGCATTCCAGACTTGGTTTGCACCTGCTCCGGTGTATCCGGTGTACCGCTCCGGGTTGTCCACCAAGCTCACATAGTCTCCCTTCCCGGCGGAACCCTCGTCCTCAGGGATACAGTAGTCTCGTTCGTCGCATTCGTCGTCGTATTCTACCACACAACTCTCTCCGACGTCTTCACCCAGCTCTCCCTGGAGTGGGCGTTCTTTTGGACGCTCGGCTTGGATCTTGCGGGGTGGGTGGTTCGCCTTGGGGCCTTCCAGTTTACTAAGTTCTTCCGCTCGCCATGTGAGCGGGATGTCCTCCTCCGAGTCAATGGTGTTCACGGCACATGCGATATTGCCGCACATGCTATTAGCATCGTTCCAGAAGGGACACTCTTTATTGAACAGGTTGAGGCGATAGTAGGAGAAGAAATCCGTTTCTTGTGTGAGGGAGGTGAGTGTCGTGAAAATCAGGTCATTCATGCCATTAATGTCGCCATATGAGACACACGCATCTGAAACCATGGCTGAAGGTTCGAGCTGGAGCGAGGCGGACTGTCAGTCATCTGTGATAAGTATCGGGGTGTTTGCCAAAACTTACAGCACACTTCGTTGGGTCCAGTGCAGGATTATGTTCGCCGGCATGGCTCAATCCAGCAAATGCGAACACTGCTGCATAGAGCAGCCTCGCTGCTGACCGCATCTTGGTGTCCGACTGGTATATGTAGATCGAGCGCGTAAAGTCGTCTGTTGTTGTATATGCAAGGTGGCGCAAAGGCCAAGGATTCAACGGAAGGGTCTGTTGGTGTATAGTGAGGTGTATGCAGTGATGTTCGAAAATAAAAAAAGAAACGTCAAGATAATAACAGAATCAAGAATGTCAGGGTCTGCAAAGTGGACAAGCTGGCCTCGAAATTCGCGGAGGATCGGCCGATCGCCAAGAAATGATAATGGTCTGATTCATTCTGGCCTCTGATTGGCTGGTCTATTGAAGTTCAACATGACAAATTTGAAAAGTGGCGAGGTCTATGTGGTGCCACATAGTGCCATATATACTACAATTGTATAGTGCTATATGTATGTATAGTCCATATACCTCGCACAGATCCACGGTCATTCTTGAGACAACATGCCACTTTGCAAACATATATTATACAATTATCTACTTCTAACAAGCCAAGTAGACTGGCTGCATTGAGAGATGAATAAATTGCCTCAAAAAGGATGTGCAAGCCATCCAGATACCTGTTCAAAACGCCTAACCATAATGGAAACGGCGAACAAAGGTTCTTTGTGTTTCTGCTAAGGAATCCTTCAGCTCATGAAGATTGCATCACTTATTATTGGTGGGTAAATACTGGACAGATATACCAGAATCTAGTGAAGACAGGAACAAAGCCATAATTGCTCAATAGCCCACATACCCCCAACCCATTGCCTCCTTGATCTTGACTCTACACCAAAAAAAAAGCTACAAATATATATATATATATATCTGTCGCTCTGTGACCGACTTGGAAGATAATCGTGGAACAAGCAGTCGATTATTGAGCAACCAGCTGCTATGAACTCTACTACGCTTTGAGGGTCATGCATTACCGGGAAGTCATTTTCAGAGAACACATGCTGAGGACTATGGCAACTAAACCTACTAGGGAAGAATCTCTTGTATGCATAAAACAATCTCATCTAATACAACCAGTCAATGTCTATATTGCTAAAACGAAGAGGAAAAATACATAGTCTATCAAAATAAAGGGGAGTATGAAAGTCTATCAATCCAAAATCAGTGTAGGCAATGACCACAAAAACAACCAGGATTCTTGAACTCATCAATAGTCAATACCAAACCATGCATAGTGATCTGGGATCCAAGCTGGCCAGCTCAAATGGGCTCTATTGCCCGTTAATTCGCCGATTATGCTGATTATTGTCCAGGGCCGGGGTTCTGACGGGACCGGTCTCTATGCAAAATATCCGTGATATTGGCATTCAAAACAGACAAAGTGTCGCCAGTATTAGGTGCTGGTGCTGGTACAGTAGACGGGATCTGCATACCACGTGGGGGTGGCATAGATACGGCAGGTACAGCGGGAAGGGTAATTCCACCGGGGAGGGTTTGTGGAGCGAAAAGGGACTGAACACCGGGAAGATTCGGTCGTGGAAGATGGGAAGCATCGCCATTTTGCATGATATTAGGGAGTGGGAGGGCCAGCTTAGGCATTGGGGGGTTACCCTGGTATTTCCAGGACGTACCCGGCGAACACCCCGGCCAGGGTATGGTGCCGCGCGATGCCGTGTTCGCCGTGCCGCGCCGTGAATGGTATCGGTCGGGGCGGGCAGACGGATATGTGGGTGTGTGCGGACTGGACCAATGGTCCTTGCTGCCTTGATGCGTGGTCCAGGACCGCCTGGTATATAGTATGGTGGGCCATCAATGTGCACGATATTGACTGGCTGCTCGACAGGATTGCGCGTGGGGAGTTGGCGGGGGAAGACTCTCATTTCCGTCAACAGCCAACTCGTTTGCAGCTGCTCTAGCTGGTCTGCTACGCGGGTGTGGTCTCTCTGATTGAGAAGGTCTGCAATGAAGTAGCCCAACTGGGCTTGGGTATACCAACAGGAGTAACCGAATTCGGTACCGAAGTAGTTCTGATGGCGTTGAGCGCGGCCGGTGAAGTACAGGGGAGGAGCATCGCGGAGGATGTCGCTAGGTGGGTAACTCGCGCCCATCATCTCTCCGGCTCTTCTAAGGGCTGAGAGCTGGAGATTGAGCTGGCCCATGCGGCCAATGATCTCGTCTTGGTTTGCTGGATAGTTGTTCCTAAGGCCATGGATGATCTGCTCCATGAGGGTCCAGAAATTAGCATGCTCCTCGCGGAACTCATCAGATAGGCTGCGTCCTGACATGGCTGCGGTTTAATAGATAGATTAGTGGGATGGCAGTGGATAATGATGGTCACTTAATCTCGTGGGTTCGAGGTTGTGACGGTGCTTGTTATAAGTAAAGGCAATCAATATACGAATAGTCTGATGAGGTTCAGTTGGCGAAGCACTGGGAGATTGAATAAACTGTCGTTTGAAGATTCGGTGACTTCGAGGTTTATATATCCTTTCGAGATCGGATTGCCGGGTCGTGTAAATAAGGAACTATTCTTATATACAAAGGATATATAATCGGAAAATAATCAAAGGAAATAGAATGCCATTGAACTCGTTGTTTTGTTATTTGCCTTTGTTACTCGAACTCATGATCGCAGATGCAAGGGTGCCAACAAAGTAATCGGGGTATACAAAGACCCCGGTTATAGATCATCTTGGCAGTTGCTTTGTATTCTATGTGATGTAGGTTTACTCACGAGCTTGATATAAGATATCATTTTTGAGCCGATGTCCGGGAAGTGTCGACATGATTGCTTTCATGACAATAACTCGATATATGCGTGAAAAGCACAAGTCAAACGACCTGTTAGAAGGTTATCCGCCTACACTCCCTTTAGAAACTTCATTAACTTTTAAGCCTTTGTAATTTGGAATAAACTTGGCTCACAATTTAGGCCCTATAGGGGCCATACCCATTTCTGACAAAGAAGACTACACGCTCTGCTTAAGATCACACGAAGGCACCAGTATGACGGGAGAGTGATATCTTGCAACGCATTATTGCTATAGTGCCTTCCTGTCTGCTCATATACGATGCATCTGAGCGTGCGACATAGATGGCTTCCAGGTAGATGCGCTCACAAACACTCGCAGGTGCTAAAGGTGCCTCCAAGTTCTCTTGGAAGCATTAGTCTTTGGATGCTTCGTCCACATGTCTTTCAGCTTGCCTATTCTATCAAATCATTACGTTAAGCCGTATGTCAAGGCCATAAAGATGCGTTCCATTTGAATACTTTGTAACCGTGTTTTATAATTGATTCGATAGCAAAATATGTATGTACTCTTACAGTCCAACCATTCCCATGTCTTGAATTGGAGAGATTGTGGGTTGCCCATGGGGGTTGTCTAGGTGCAAGCTCTAGGTATATATAATTCAATATGCATGATAAAAATTAGCAAAACCCAAATTTCTTCGAGAACGGCGACAATATGAAGTAGTTTCATCGGGTACAAAGCTAGACACCGGTGTTTTTCGGTCATGTTCGGACTCGGCGGTTACGGTTAACATGGCTAACATGGTTACCCCCCATATCCTCTCGATTTTTGCTCTATTTCTACTTTCCAAATGCATGAGCACCCACTATCGCAACTCAATTACCCCGCAGATGGTTTCATTTCTGCGTGGCTTCTCTCTGTCCTGGAATTGTAGTTGATAGATCACGGGGAGTTTGTGGGGGGCATAATATTTGAATATAAATTGAAGACCATCCTGTATTTCTCTTTTTTTCCATAAAGCACATTTGTCAATATTGTTTGTTTGCCATGTCTTCACCAAAACCATCCAGCGTGAGAGAGTTAGAGAATTCTTTCCCAGATAAAGGTCTGGAGGCAATTCCAGATATCCAGCAGGAATATATAGAAGCTGGCTTGAGCATCGAGGACGCGCATTTCCTTGCCAACTTTTCAGATGAAAGGAGGAAAAAGTGTGTTCGAAAGGTCAGCATAAATCCTACCATTGTTCTAGTTCCTTGAGATATATCTAACACTGGATTCAGGTGGATTGGCGCCTCTGCTCCGTGTTGATGGTTCTATATCTTTGTTCCTACATTGACCGAGCAAATATTGGTAATTTGACATTTCCCTGCTACTGAGCCTTGCCTTTTGCTAATTCAATGGATACTTTCACAGGAAATGCTAAAATCGAAGGCCTACTACCAGATTTGAATATGTCCGGTACCCAATACAACATTGCTCTGGCAATCTTCTTTGTCCCTTATGTGTTGTGTGGTAAGGGCAAATCTCAAGATGGAATTCATCATTTGCTCAGCCGATATTAACCAGATTGTCAGAGATTCCTAGCAACATTTTACTTGGTAAATTCAAGAAACCATCGGCTTATTTGGGGTTCTTGGTATTTGCCTGGGGCACCATTGTGACGGTTACGGGGGTCGTCCAAAGCTTTTCCGCTCTTTGTGCAGTTCGTTTCCTCCTAGGTGTTTTTGAGTAAGGCCATTTATCTCTTCCTATCTCAGATCAATGGAGTGACTAATCTATTGTGTGTCATCTTGATAGGGCTGGATTCTTCCCAGCAGCTGTCTGGCTGGTTTCTCGATGGTATCTGCAGCATGAAACCCAAACCAGACTTGCGCTTTTCTATACAGCAAGTTCCCTATCTGGTGCGTTCTCTGGGCTTCTCGCATATGGCCTCACCAAGATGGATGGCGTCGGTGGCTATGCTGGCTGGAGATGGATCTTCATTATCGAAGGGGCCACGTCTGTGCTCCTGGCGTTTCTCTGTTACTTCTGTCTCGTGGATTCGCCCGAGCTTTCCACCAAATGGCTCGAACCAGATGAGATTCGATATTTTTTGCTGCGGAAACAAGCCGAGAGAGGGCGCGTGGTGGTTGATGAAAACCCAGATAAATTCGACTGGAAAACTTTGTTGAGTGTTTTCAAGGACTCGCATCTATACCTGCAGGTCCTCAATATCTGGTCCAACACGGTTCCAAATTACGGTCTGAAGTTTACTCTTCCCCAAATTATGAGAAACATGGGATATACTGCTGCCAATGCTCAGCTGCTCTCAGTACCGCCATACGTCGCTGGTGCGATATCTGCCTATCTATTTGCACTCCTTGCGGACAGATTGAGATGGCGTATGCCGATCATTGTCACTGGCCAACTCCTGGTGATTATTGCATTTGCGGTCCTATTCTCACTAGCCGAAAATATCAAGGACAACATTGCGGTTTGCTATTTCGCAGTTGTTCTCGCTTGCATTGGACTATACCCAATCATACCCGGAACCAATGCGTGGACATCCAACAACCTCGCTGGACCAAGAAAGCAAGGCATGGGAATTGCTTTCATGCTAAGCATTGGAAATGCAGGCGGCCTCGTGGGTTCATTTATCTACATTGAACGTGAGGCTCCCATGTACCCCACCGGGTTTGGATGCTCATTTGCGTTTGCCGCAGCAGGGGTGATGGCAAGTATCATTCTGGAAATCAAACTCTGGTATACCAATAAACGGAACGCTGAGATGAGCCGGGAGGAGGTTTATGAGAAATATACCGATGAGGAGTTACAGCTGATGGGCGACCGGTCGCCGTTGTTTAAGTATATACTTTGAGTTCCGAATTATGTGTCTCCATGATGGGTCTATGAAATGTTCCAACTCGTAGCAGCCAACTATCAGGTTGAGAACCTTGGGAGGCAAGATGAAGTGATAAAAATGTCGAAAGCTATGTTACAATACATGACTAGGAACCCGAGTAGTATTCAACACCTCGGCAAATACATGGACCGCTGCAATAGTGGGCCCCATACAAATTGCATATTAAGCTTAGTTAGTTATGCCCAAGCAGATTATCAAATAGTGGGCTTTTTGTCATTTTAGTTTGTTAAGAGTCATACATATCTATCATTTTGACCATACACTGCTAGACTTCCGCAAAGCCCAACTTTGGACCCAAGGTCCGGGCTCGAAACCCGACCCTCAACGAGCTGGGGATCGAACTTTTTGGGCTCGACCCGGACCCCGGAGTACCTAGGGCTGCACCCTACTTGTAACAGGCCAGAGATACCGAGCACCTCTAAATCACTATTGACGTGTCTTGTTAACTACTCTTTGAAATAGCAGTCCGAAATTTTTCAAATGTCGGCATCTATTCTCACCACTTCCACAGAGCTATTGCGTCTCGTATTTGCAACTTTATCGCGCAGCGATCTCTACGCATTATGTCTTACGCATAGGGACTTACGCGCGGTTGCTGAGAAATTCCTCTACGCTCGCGTCGAATTGACATGGACAAAATCTCAAACCCCTCCGATCGCTCAGTTTGTGCAAAATATTGTGCAAAGGCCCGAGCTCGCAAGTTCTGTTTCTGTTCTGATCCTTAGTGGGTGTACCTTCGATGACTACTACTATGACTACAAGTTAAGTAGTCCGAAACTTCCACTTGGTGAAGTTGCTTTAGACGGGCTCGTGAATTGCATCGAAAATACCTCCGTTTCATTTGCCAGGGAATGGATCCAAGAATTACGCGCCGGAACAATGGACGCGTTCATTTCGCTCTTATTATCACAGCTCCGAAGTCTAAGATTTCTCCAGCTCAGCCAAAACTTCGCACGAGAGAGTCGCCTTATGGGTATGATGCTCCGCTCGGCCCTCTGTGAAAAAAGTATTTATCTCAGTCCCTTTTCACATCTCCAAGATGTCGAGGCTCTGTTTCCCGGCGTCGGCCTCTTTGTGCGCAAGTACACAGACGCTAGGAATACTGCAGATGTCCTTCCTCTCTTCTACCTACCGTTTGTTGAACGTATAAGGGTCTTGGTTGATAACCCGCCAACTTTCATATGGCCCGGAAAAACCCTACCGAACCCATCTAAGCTCGTATCGCTCGATTTGACAATGCTACGAGAAGGGCATCTCGGCCAAGTACTATCGACTACCCCAAACCTTCGGAAATTAAAATGGGATTGGTACTTCCGGCGAGATCTTCAAGATGAATATGTCACCGATATCATTGATTTGGATCAAATAGCCGTGGATCTATCCCACGTTCGAAATTCTTTAACAGATTTGACAATTACGGCAGGGTCATCTCTCTCGGAATCAGCCCCCGAATACCCTGAGCTCCGATTCAGGGGGTCGTTCAAAGCTTTTAGCGAACTTCATAAGCTGCGAACTCTGGAAGTTCCAATTGCATTTCTGCTTGGATTTTCTCCGTCCACGCCTAATGTGGCTCACCTAGAGGAATCACTTCCAAGAAACCTCCAGTGGCTGACTGTCACGGACGGACTATCTTTCCAACAAGAATGGGAATGGGAATGGGAGACTACGTACTTGTTAGAAGCTATTCGACCATGGCTACAAAAATGGAAGATATTCACTCCTCGTCTCCAAGGGTTTTGTCTGTTAGTGAGTCAATTGGGAATATGGGAACCTGCGATGATACAGAGTCTTGAAGACATAGGTCACCAGTCGGGAATTCAGGTCCAAATTACCGAAGCAGAAACAGTCAGGGAGTCAGGTCTCATGTAATGATAGCTCCATCTATGGTAAAAGTGTCTCTGTCAACAATATCCCTTCGAACCCACACCATTCACTATGATCCTTTCTACGGAAAAAATACTCTAGTGTCGAGATTTCTATCATAAACACGCGCATGGAAGAAAAGTGGGGAGATGAACTGATAGGCCAATCACAAGGGATAGCTCCGAAGGCGTGGCTGCACGCGCATAGGGAGAAGTTATTATAGAGGAATCTACTGATACGCTCTCTATGAAGAAAATATATGGCTGATTCCTATCAAGAGAGAGAGAGGGACAGGGACCAAACTATCTATCAGATCTGTCCCAATTGGGTGTTGATGCCTTAGGCACCTCAGGCGCCCAACAGTTGTCGGAGCATACAGACCGGCATACCGGGGATTTAATTAATCCAGGTTGTGCAGTAATTTTGAATTAGTAATCCGTAATCCATATAAATTGCGAGGAAAAGGGATACTGAAATACAGAGATTTTAACACCATTGATTGGACCCATACATTTCAGGATACCAGTGTATTCGACAGTTATGAGCCCGGTTCGCACCCAGTAAGGCCACGATCACCAAAGTATAGGGCCGAACACCCCCCAAAGCTATCCCCAATAGCCCCTGAAGCGGTACAGCAACCCCTGAAGCTATCCCTATAGCACCCAGCGCTGTATGGCAACCCTGAATCCATCAATGGAAGCAGCATCAATTCTCTCCGCCATGAAGGGCGATAAACTGAAGGACTCGCCGCAGTGGCTCACTTGGTATGCTCGGGTGCAGCTATATGCGACACAGAAGAATGTTTGGGACCACTGTGATCCCAATACCTCCCCTACTGAGAGACCGGAAGCTCTGAAAGAGCCAATTGAACCGGAATACCCAGAGGATGGGAGTGAAACTGATCGGAGATATTGGAGAGATCGTATGGATATATACAAATTGAGATATGCTCGATGGGAGAAACAGGCGAAAGGACTGAGCGATGTAAATGAATATATCCTCACCTACCTGGATTCAATGCACCATCTCAATCTGATAGGACATCATACACCGTATGACAGATTGGTATACCTGAAATCTCGCTTTGCTCGGTCGACGGCGTATGAGGAGGAGGTTCGAATGAAATGGAAGGTCTTCGCTATGCAAAAACCGACGGGGGATATTGAGCTGTGGCTACAGCAGTGGAATTCCCTAAGAGAGCAAGCGATCAGCCTTGGTATCAACGTTGGAGATGCCAATAGGGACTTCCTACACGCAGTGAAAGAAGTGCTTCCTATCTGGTGGCAGGGTAAATACCAAGAGATTGTCATCGACAAGAAGGTGTACGATACCCGAGATCTCATCGAATCTTTTCGCGCAATGAATAGAGAAATAGGGGTGCTAAAGGTATCATCAACCTCGCCCCCGAAGAGCGCCTTTTCCACCTGGCAAGGGCACCCAGAAGCTAAGCCTGAAGCCAAACCCCAGGCTTCACAGGCTTCACAAGAGAACCTACCCTTCGAAAAGAGGAAATGCCCCTGTGGTAACACCCATCCTAAGCATAGGGTCACCGAATGCTGGGTTTTAAACGAGGAAATTCGACCGGAAGGGCTGAAAATCAGCGAGAGGAAGCTAGAGAAAGCAACCCAGGTGTTAGCAAAGAACCAGGCCTGGAAGAAATGGGTGGAGAAAACCATAGCAGAGTCAAATCAGCTAAGGCAAGCCGAAGCCGCCAACCAAGTCAGCTTTGCGACCACCGTCCAGCACCAAAAGGATAAGCAGCAAGGTGCGGATCAGAAGAAGCAAGAAGTGATTAGCCAGCGTGCCCTATCCCTTACTAAGGAAAGCGATCCTATCCTAAAGAACCGCTGGATTTTAGACACCGGTTCTAGCTCCCATGTGTGCAATAATCGAGATCTCTTCGTCCAATATACCCCAAAAACCACCTACCTCACCACTGGAGACAGCACCACCGAAGTGCTAGGGAAGGGTAGGGTTAAATTGATTGGAAGACACCCAGTGAAAGGAAGAATGGAGATCACCCTAAGCGATGCCCTGTATTCGCCAGGATTCCACACAAACCTAGTATCGTACTCGATGCTGATGAAGAAAGGGGGGATATGGTGCCAACGTACAAACTGTATCCGGGACCCCAACGATAGGCCAGTCGTCTGTGTGAACCTATGGGATCAATTCAACCTTTGGATATTCGACGAACCCCGGGAAGCACCGCCTCAGCAAGCCTATTTCACACAGAGGAAGTCAGTGGAACCCCTAGAAACAAAGGCATCAAGCGAGCTATGGCACCGGCGATTGGGCCATATTGATCGTAAGAGGATGAAGAAACTCACCACTATAGTGGAAGGGGTTGTCCTCGATGATGAAGAGAAGAAGTCCACCGAGCAAGAATCCCTATGTCAAACCTGCCACTTAGGGCGAGCACCTAAGCAGATATCAAGACGACCAGTTGGACGCACCTTTGGCCGTTTTGGAAGGGTCCATTTTGATCTAATCCAGATACAACCAGCATACAATAAGCACCGCTGGATATCCCACTTCTATCTAGAAGGACCGAGGTTTCACTGGATTATGACCCACGAACTAAAGCCTGAGTGCCAGCTAGCAATCAATCGCTTTGTGGAACTAGCAAGGAACCAGTGGAAGCTGCCAATCAAGGCATTCCACTATGACAATGAGTCCTCCGCCGGAAACACCGCCGAGTATAGCCTCAGCTCAGATGGTATCCTGATATATCACACTCCCCCTGGGCACGCTGAGATGAATGGGTATGCTGAGAGATCTGGCGGGATGATTATAAGCAAAATGAGGATGCTTGCGCTAGAAGGGAAGCTGCCAAAGGACCTATGGCCGGAGTTTGCGAGAGCCGCAGTATGGATTTTGAACCGTACGCCGTCGTATATCACCGCCGAGAATCGCTGGGTCGTGCCGTGGGATGAGGTACGAAAGGAGTTTGCACCGCAAGCACCTAAAATCAACCTATCCAATGTTAGATTGTACGGGAGCTTGGCCTATTGTAGGATTGAGAAGCAAGTGAGAACCGACAAGATGAATCCACGGGCGGAGATTGGTTTCTTGGTGGGATATGTGGCATCAAATATCTGGAATATCTGGTTTCCACATAGTGGAAAAGTGAAGCCTATTAGGGACGCAGTCATCGACGAAACACGGAGATACACCCCTGATTATGAGAGATATCAGCCAATTCCTATGCCAATTGTACAAGAACCACAGGAACTCACCGCCGACGAGGTTGTCAAGGTGATAAATCAACTGCTTACTAGTCAGGAGACTAGGGAGCAAGAGGAAAGGGATCCACGGGATCTAGATGACTCCCAGCAACCAGATACCCAGCGGAATCAGCAGCAAAATCCCCAGCAAGAAGGGATAAATAGGGAGACTACCCCACTTCAGGGGGTGAATCGAGATATATCAATACCCTCACCGATAGTCTCACAAGCGATTCACCGAGTCCCCAAAATCCAGAAACCTCAAGCACCGCCAGGTGCTTTTCCAAGCGACGAAGACCTTCCTCCGCTGCCGATTACCCCGCCCCAAGAACGAGAATCCGAAGCCGATGCTGGCCTAGGTCAGGGGGTGGATATACCAGACGGAGACCTGACCCACCACGAAGCTATTTCTGAAGCTATTTCCGACGTGGAAGATGAGCTAGAAAGGCAGCTACAGGCAGAATTGCTAGCACCAAGCAGGGAGATCACCGGTGGAATTGACGCAAGCAATATTATCAGCGGCAAGCGAAGACGTCAGGCGAGACGAGACCAGGATTTCGCCTACTCCACTTTGGCTACAGAAGAAGACCCGCCAGGAGTACGACACGCCTTTGCAGCAGGCTTATACGCTGAGAAGCCAGAGATCCGGCGTCATCGAGATGATCTTCCACCAGTCCCTAAGCACTGGAAGGATGTTATGAATCATCCTTTCCAAGAAGGCTTCCTCGCAGCAATGAGAAAGGAGATCAATTCCTTAACCGAGAAGGATACCTACGAGGTTGCAGAAAGGCCAAAGGATAGAGGCAAGCAGATACTCCCCTTGCTATGGGTCTTTACGTACAAATTTGATGAAGATGGCTATCTTATCAAGCTAAAGGCTCGTATCTGTGTACGAGGAGATTTAGAAACCATTTCTCATGAAGAAAAGAGGGCTGCCACCCTAGCAGCAAGGACAGCAAGGATGATCTTCGCCTTAGTCGCTGCCTTTGACCTCGATTTAAGACAAAGAGATGCTGTGACGGCGTTCCTGAACAGCAAATTGGACAAGGATATATACACTTATATGCCTGAAGGTTTCCAGATTCCAGGCAAGTGTTGGAAGCTCCGCCGAGCTTTGTACGGTCTACGAGTCTCGCCTAGGCTATGGCAACAAGAAGCAGCCAGCGTACTCCGTAAATTAGGGTTACAGCAAGCACCTGAAGACCCATGTGTTTTTATAGGAGAAGGACTACTAGTCTTCTTCTATGTGGACGATATCTTGATCGCCAGCCACAGATCTGTACGGGAGAAAGCAAAGCAGCTTGAACGAGATCTAGAATCCCACTGGGAATTGACTGATCATGGAGAAGCAGCTTGGTTCCTAAATATCCGAATCATCAGGGATAGGGAGCAGAAGAAGCTATGGCTATGCCAAGATAGCTATGTGACAAGCATCGCGACTCGGTACAATCTGATAGATAGACCACCGGTTTATACCCCACTACCAGTCGTCGATTTGACCCCATTTCAGGGGGTGGCCACCCCGAAAGAGACCCTTCTTTACCAGCAAAAGGTGGGATCTGCTGGGTATGCCACCACTATCACGAGGCCCGACGCCGCAAAGGCCACCGCACGCCTAGCGCAATACCTAACAAACCCAGGTCCCCAGCACCAGCAAGCAGCTGATCGGGTGATATCCTACCTACATTCCACCCGGTGTCTTGCCATTGAATACGGTGTAGGTTCGGGGATAGACTCGGTGCAATTCGCAAGTGATGCTTCGTACGGGGATCATTCTGATAGAAAGAGCTCAGCTGGGTATATCTGCCAAGTGTACGGTGGCCCAGTGGACTGGAAGGCGAGCAAGCAACCCACAGTCACCACTTCCACCACCGAAGCCGAATTACTCGGGCTTTCCGAAGCAGCAAAGCAGCTTCAATGGTGGAGGAGACTACTTAATACCCTTGGTTTCAACCCCTCCCACGAATTGACCATCGATTGTGACAATGAGAGAACTATCAGCCTATTGAAGAGCGAGGATACAGCCTTCGAAACAAAGCTTAGGCACGTCGACATCCATCGCCACTGGCTGAGACAGGAAGTCAAAGAAGGGAGGATACAGGTGAAATGGGTGCCCACAGCAAGCATGGCAGCCGATGGACTCACGAAATTGCTTACTCGGCAAAAGCATGAAGCCTTCATTCAAATGCTTCATATGGTGGATATAGGCCACTTGATAGCATGAAGAAACAGAGATCAGTATGCCGAGGTGTGTGGGGTTCCAGCAATCCCATACTGGCATCGCTGAGGGGGTGTGTCGGAGCATACAGACCGGCATACCGGGGATTTAATTAATCCAGGTTGTGCAGTAATTTTGAATTAGTAATCCGTAATCCATATAAATTGCGAGGAAAAGGGATACTGAAATACAGAGATTTTAACACCATTGATTGGACCCATACATTTCAGGATACCAGTGTATTCGACAACAGTTATCCGCGATACGCGAGTCGTATTACCACGTAGGCTTGCTGCCCGATTACTTTCCTTCTTGGTCCAACTACAGTACATTTCGAATTTGGACTATGGATGAGAGAGGCGGGAATAGTAGGTATGTACACTGTTTGCGTTCTGAATCCAGCCTGACAACACCGCGCGACCCAGTCCATAACCCCTCATCTGCCTCAACAATCCCTCTCAATTGAGCAAATTTCTCTCTTTAGCCATTATATATGCTCTAACCACACCTGCAGGAGATCAGAGTTGACAATCCAACTATCAAGAAAAACAAGCCTATCTTCTGGTCAACGAAATGGTATGCAAGCATCATGATAACACAATTTCCATCCTTGGGATTATTAGTTTTATAACACAACAGCAGGACCACCCCTTTCCCAGAGGAGATCCCTATTTAGACGCGCGCACCGTGGAGGACTACTGGCCACGCCGACTTCTTCATATACCAACTATGACCTCTGTCGAAAGAGACAGTAGTGGTGTGTATGGCCAGGTTGAAAAGCCAAGCTACAGCATTCTCACCTACACGTGGGGTCGGTGGAAAGTCAGAAGCCAAACACAGCAGGACCAGCCTGCTATACCGATCAAGGGAACCAACTGGAAAATGCCCGTCGTGAAAAAGGAGCATTTCACGGTTGCTCAATTTCAGGCTGTCCTGGACAGGATGCGAGATGGGGGCAGCGACTGGGCTTGGGTAGATATTGCATGTATCGACCAAGAAGACGAAGAACTCAACGCACAAGAGGTTGGCAGGCAGGCTAGCATCTTTAAGAAAGCCCGTAATGTGTATGTCTGGTTGTCAGGACTCTCCACTGATGTCCTGCAAAAGGTTATCAATGAGATCTCAAAGACCGGGCCACACTTGACAAATCACCTTATGGAGCATCTACCAGGTCTGCCATATGTTCATCTCAACCGTCTATATACTGCCTTTGATATCCTCTTCAGTGACCCATGGTTTTCATCTCTGTGGACACTGCAGGAGGTCATTATGCGACATGATGCAAAGGTCCTTAGCAGCAGTGCTGAGTCAGTCCGATGGGACGAGGACCACTCAACGTTCCTAAGCATGGTAATCAACGCCTGTCGGAATATATACGGCGACCTCGACCACCTACGAGAAGCTTTAAGCACAGTTGAGCGAGACAATGGCCACCTGTCGCCTGACGAGGAGCGCGTCCGGGATGAGGTGACCCAGCTGAGTAAACATATCCTGCGAGCCGGGTTCAACTTCTTTCTGGGAACAAATCCCAATATTCAGTATGGGATCGCCAAGTATCGGCGGACCTCTCGAGAAGTTGATCGAATCTACGCTATCATGCAGATCTATAACCTGCGCGTCGGCAAATCCGCTCGTCCAGGGGATAGTCCTGCGCTGCCCAGCCTGATCAACGAGTTTGCACTGGCAATTATCACACAGTGCCCCGTTATAGGACAATCATTCATTCACACTACGCCTCCAGCTCGAGGTCTGAGTTGGCGGATTACCGAAAACTCGACTGTACCTCATTTTCTACGGACTTTCAATAATATGAGGCCACAGTGCAGCGTTGTGTGTGATTCTTTCAGCAACAATCTCCGGATCACTGGGAAAGTGTGCCTATTGCATTTATTAGGCCGTCCAAAAAATCCCTTCACCGGCATCGATTCTAGTGGAATCACAGTAGCTGCTGACGCAATGCGCAGAAAGACTGTACATCCTATGGGGAAAAGTGCCCATGACACCTCTGGGCTCTCTGACTATCTACAGCTACAGATAGAATACGGCCGAGATATATGGGTTCTCCTCCTGGGCAAGGGCGATACTTGGACGGGAACGGTGACTTATGGATTGCTAGTCTATCCAGGGGAGAAGGAATCGGGGGAATGGCTTCTCGGAAAAGACCCTTGCAAGCGTGTGGGAGTCTGCAGTGTTAGACCGATGACAAGAATCATACCCTGGAGACAAGCCACAATCCTGCTGGAATAACAAGCGGAAGATTTGCTACCTTCGGATATCTGGGAATAGCAATATTTTAAGCTCAGCATAACGCTGACTCCGCAAAATAATGTTTGATTACTAGTGTCAGCTTGCATACTTCATTTCTGAGTGTTCTTCAAGAACGGCTCATTGAAAGACTCGCTTTGCCATGAGACTTTCGGGGTGATACGCGTCTGCCTGGGCTTCCATCAAAGATACAGGGAGATGGAAGACCAGATAACAACGGCTAACCCTTTGAGATATGCAGGAAAAAGAAACCCACTTAGGTCAGGGTAAATGGCTATCTAATGCTCAATTGCAGGCTAGAGTCACCAAATATCATACATTACCCTATAGCCAGGTCTCTGTTATAGAGGAATCTCACGAATAATATCTACTCGTACTAACAGGGTAATTAGTTTTCCGGAAATAGAGCGGCTTTCACTAGCTGTTGCTGTGAATGCTAAATAAGCTTTGCAGCTTTTTTGCAAGGCCGCAATTGCAGCCAGGTACTGTTAAAAAGAACATAAGGATTCGCACGAACAATTGTATACTTCTAGATCTTCGCTTAATCCGGACTAGCCCACATATTTTACGGTTATCTAATCATCCTACGTCATTTGACTTCACCACATTAAAGGCTCCGTGGCCCCGGGTGTTGACAGGCCCGTGGCCCGTGGAACAAACATCGACACCTCGCGAATGACCTGATTATCATGCCGTCCCATACGGCGTTCTCTTTACAGCAATGATTAATACTTTCCGATTTCGGGAATCCAGAAGAAGCTATGGTAGGCCCCCCTGACTACAAATACTTGGGGCGACCCCGCCCCCTTACAGGTATCCCAACATCTTCTCAATCTATCTTCTATACTCTGTCTGCTATACCCTTCATAGAATATATTTACGCTATGTCCACAAGGTACCTACCAGCGGCTGTATTTTTAATAGCCATTGAGCATTGTACTGACCTTCACATTCTAGCACCCCTCAGGATCAGTTCGTTGCTCTCGTTGCCAAGGGCGGCAAGTTGAATGAAGCCGATATCGAGACCATTTATAACGAGCTTCCGGCTGTTCCTATCGATTTCCTCCGCGGAGAATGGAAGGGCGGAAGCTTCGACACAGGTCATCCCGGTCACGCCCAGCTCTTGACAATGAAGTGGCTTGGCAAGACATTCCACTCCACTGAGAAAGTTGACCCTATTGTTGTGTCACAAGATGGAAATCGTGTATGCGATGAGAGCTGGGGCCATGCCGTCGTAAGTAACCCAATATTCTTTCGGGAAAAAGATTATGCTCTAACATAATCCAGCTCCGTGAAATTCGTTTCCGTGGTCTTGTGTCAACCGCTATGATCTACGACAATCACCCTATCATTGACCACTTCCGCTATGTTAACGACAAGCTCATTATTGGCGCCATGGATACTAGCAGCTTTGGTGACGCTGGTATGTACTACTTCTACCTTTACCAATAGGTAGAAATGAGGTGCAACTTTGGATATCGACATGGGAGTATTCAAGGTCAAGGTTTGTTGACAAGTCGCCTTCCTAGAGTACGGGAAGATTCCAGGTACCAGCGAGTCAAAGTTTTGTATTAATTGAAAATAGCGACAACATATGCTTGAATATACTTTCTTTAACAATATCTTAGTATCAGAAACGTAGGTAGTACTTCGTATTTACTCCGTACTCCGTATGTTGTATGTACTCTTCCGGCTATGTTATTCCGAGAAGTCATCATATCCAAATTCCTAGAACTTACAAGCGCGGGCCACGGTGCCGGATGTTTCACAAAGGTACTACGAGTCTGCTTGTAATGAGACCAGATGACAAGGGAAAAGTCTTCGTGATACTCTGACACGCTTGTTTCTCATTGGCACAACCCTTTTCCGCTAGCGAATCAGCGTAATTGATGACCTCCAAGATCCTATCTGTGGATTAAGTCCAGTCTTTCTTTCCCTGCTGGAGACGGCTGCATTTAACTGTGAATTGTACCAAGAGGTGCACGACCATTATATGAATAGTACATGCATTTGAGAAGTCAACATTTACAAGAAGAATCTAGTAGAAACATATTTTGTGACTAGACTGAACAGCATAAAATTCATTAATTCTTGTGTGATTCATCAAATCATGATCTAGAAGTATTCAAAAACGCCATGGAATAAATGAGAAAAAGGTTGCACACAGTCTTAGTGTTTCCAATTACTCCTACATGCAGGGCATGTGGGAGCGTGAGCTGTTTCTAGCCATTGGTCGATGCATTGCTTGTGGAAGTTGACTCCACAGCGTGCCTCGCACCAAACTAATTCTTTATCTTGGTGTTCATCCCCCAGCTCTTCGGCTTCCGGTTGCTCATCGGATTCATCGCCATCTTGATCATCATCGTTGTGGTCATCGTCGTTGTGGTCATCGTCGCCACTGTGCTCATCCTCCTCTTCTTCATCTGTATGCACATCTTGTTGTGAAACATGCAAATCGCACAAACAGATTCCACATTCTCCTTCAACTTCGCGGCGGTTAACCTGTGAAGTTTCATTCTGGATTTGCTGGTTTTCTGTGTTACTGGAGACGGGGAGCACAGCTGGTGGGGTCGCTGATCTTGGGCTTGAGACAGAAACCTCGCTTGTTTGAGGACTGAGTTGGGCTTGCGCTGGGCGAGGTACAGTAATAGGGGACTGAGTGGTAGGTTCTGTTGAAGGTCTTTCCACGGTTCTATCAACGAGAGTTGCCGGGGGAGTAGTTCTGCTTGATGTATGCCCTCCGCTTCCGGAACTGACTGTGGTTGTGCTTCTACTCTGATGGCGAGTAGGAGGACTTGCAGTGATTGAAACACCGTATCGAGCGACCTCAAGGCGCCTGACCTCTTCTTGCAGAGCCTCACGAAGTCTTTGGTAGACAAGGACAGTTCCATCCTCCGTACCCCCCTCAATTGTCGCTGAATATACACCTCGGGATGATACCCTCACTGGCCTTGCAGATGGTGTCGAAGCGACCTGTGAATCGAGATATGTACGAACTTGTCTTTTCCAACGACTGGTGAGATCCGAGGCTTGACTTTGATGGAACCTTGTGCATAGGACATAAGGGGCTAGAGCTTCCAGCAGTGTATCAATACTGCGACCGCCTCGAAGGTCTTTGGTACCTTCATTGAGAAGCCTAATTGCGGAGCTGCGGCCGTGTGCATTTGTGCGGGCGTGACAGCGACGACCCTGCGAAGGAGCGTAACCGGCGCACCATGGCTCTTTCTCTGGTTCGAGCTTGATGATCTCGGATAGAGAGTCCAAGGGTGAACTTGTGACGTAGGAATGTCGGGAAGTCATCATGAATTTATTGGGGGGGTATAGAGACTCGTGATCATGGAATGCTGTTGGGTCTGAAGGGCTTCTCTTCGATTGCTTTATACACGAAGTTGACCAGGGGGACCATGTCATTTTATCTCTCTGGCTCGGAGCCTTGGAAGTATCCCAGTAGACATTATACGCTACTCTGCCACAATAATGTGGCGCAGCCCTCGGGATATAAATTAGACAGCGCTAAAGTAGATAGAATGAGAGATGCCTGAGAACAGATACCAACGACTGGCACTGTGGGGCATGGTAGATGATGGCATTAGGGCTGTGCATGCCTTAGGATTTCACGAAATGAGGGGTTGTCAGTCCCCTGTTGATTTTTAGCGGCTTTTAATAGGCTCTTGTTTGATGGTATAGCATGCTTGTTCCGCGCGAGATGCAGTAGTGACGCCAAATATAGCCGTACCGTCTTCTTCATTGGCTGTTAATATCTAGTTTTGTGGGTTCCTACAGGGGTCAGACGATAAGACCACCCGAGTGCGGATTGCCCGGGGCCCAGGCAGAGGATAGCGGCTAACTTGTGTGGCTGAAGGTCCGAAATGATGTTAGTTGAGACTATCCATGACTCGCGTGTTTTGTTCTAGCCTATTCGATATCTCGAGTTGGTTGTGAGGTGGTCACTAGCGAATTCTGACTGTTGTATGTTTTTATTTTTGTTTTGACTTCGGGTTGGATCGGGTCGAAATCATTAACTAATCTAGGCGCTCCCTATTAAACATAGCAGAGCCCTAGGGGCGACGGGATATGGTATGCCTGGAATAGTGCTACGACCTGCACTTTTCGATTGCGAGACACTCAGACCTGCTCGTGTTTACTGGCTGACTATATATAACATTGGAACCCCCTTAGTCGAATTATAACATCTAACTAGATAATAATCAGACGATAGTAATGACGATCTACATAAAAAGCTTATCTTTCTGATGAATCTGTAATCTTCACCATGCTAGAAATAGCGAAGATAATCCCAGGCTACCCACTCCTACAATTTCCGCGCAACAGTTACGACACGCGGCATTGCCAACGCCACACCATGGACCGCCTCTACAGAAAGATCCTTCAGCAATAGGCGTATATTCTCCGCATCATCCACGCTTTCCTTCTCCAATGACTTCGCAAACTCTTCCATTGTAACCAAATGTTGCTCTCCATTCGCATTCGCAAGCTCCATGCGATCCCGAAAGTGGTCCAGCCGGGGGCTCTCAAACCCATTCTGCTCCAGCAGTGTAGGCAAATCCAGCACCCAGTCATGGCGGCCATTTGAGTAGACGAATTTGAGCAGGCGATCAAAGGCTGGCGTTGCCAGTTCGGGGTCTGCCTTTGCGACATGGGTGTCTGGGTAATTCAGATCATCCCACTGGATATATCCACCCGGTTTGAGCAGACGGGCTACGTTCTGGATGATGGGGACGGGATCACTATTCTGCACCACAAGGATGAGAAGACGAAGGTGAACGATATCGTATGTTCCCACCAGGTGCTCTGGGACGGGGTCGAACAGATTCCATTCGTGTAGGATGAGGCGCTTGGGGAGCCATTGGGTTGGAGGGGTATTGGAGAGGTCGATGTCATAGCCGTCAAGAGTGGCAGTAGGCAGTGAGTGGGCTACGTCGAGCAGCCAGATTGCTGTTCCTGTACCGATGTCTGCGATGACGGGGTTGGCGGGAATAAAAATAGACGGGTGGATGTTGAATTGTAACGATTCTTTCCAAAGGTAAAATTGGAGGTTGAGACGACAAGCAGCAGCATGGCCTCTTCCAAGCATGTAACCCTTGCTGTCTGCGAGATGGAAGCCAGATTCAATTGTTGACGACATGGTGCAGAGGCCCGATTAGGAAATTGACAGGAAGATAAACGGAGAGAATGTTTGACAGAGGAGGGGCAACTTGCCGCCTTGCTTTTTGACCCCAAAAATGAGCAGGTTCAATTGATTACTCTCGCATCAGCCAACCCCCAATCCTTCAGCCCCCACGCCGATCAATCGAAGGAGTTCTTAACGCCATCTCGCACGGTGCTCCACGAGATAGCGCCTGCTGCAGCGTGATGGAACTATGGGGCCTACATGTAGGACTATGGGAACCCATGTATCCTCTCCGTCTTCTCCTGATCCTCAACTGACTCAATCATCATGCGTTCTATTCTGGTCGCTCTAGCTGTGGGCAATGGCACTGGCCCCGAATTGTTGGCCATATTCGAGAGAGTCATCCTCGCACTAGCAGCACCTTACAATGTGGAAATCCAATTCGTCACGTCCCCGCGAGCTTATCATTCCTACTCAACGCTCCTGGCCATCAATGACACCGACGTCGTGAGTAGTGAGACCCTCACGGATGCGGATCACTACGAAGCCTTCTGTCGTCAAGTAGTCAATCTCGGAGCATGTGCGATATTTCGAACCTCCATCAGCGCGCAGGCGCTTTATATGGTGCGAGACCGGCTACAAGCTGTGAAGGTGGAGCATTTCAAAATGAGCTCATCTACATCGATCCTGCTAGTGCGAGATCAAGCACAGGGATTTTACTCTGGTCTGAACACGCTGGAATCAAACCAGGAGACAGTTTCGCGATCATCATATTTCAGCAAGAAGGTCTTTGAGGAGATCATCAGCTTCTCACTTGGGCGTTCCCGCGAGGTTTGGGGCTCTGAATCCCCCATCACGACCGTCACACTGGTGTACAAGTTCCACCTCTTCGACGGGCTTTTCTACTCGTGGGCGAAAGAGTGGAAGGAATCTTACGGCGTGGATATCCAATTCATTCAAGGCGACACGATGAACCGCAATCTTCTAGCGTTTGGCATCCAGGGTCACCAGCTGCTGATATGCTCAAACGAATACGCAGACATCATGCAGACAATGCTGCTAGATCGGTTTGGCTACGGCGCGCAAGAATCTGCGTGCGCTGAGAACGTTTATCTCTCAGCCGGGAGGGATCAGGGTTTAAGCGAGTACCAGACAGCGCATGGCTCCGCCGACGACATTACCGGAAAGGGTGTGGTTAATCCGACGGCAACCATTCGCGCGGCCGCAGCTCTGCTTGAGCGCCATGGTGGCTGCCAGGGCGTCCAACACCAAATGGATATTACGCTAGACGAGATGCGTGCAAAGGACATCCGGACATTTGACCAAGGCGGGACAACTAAGACTGAGGCTTTTGTGGCTGCCCTACTGCGAATGATCGTCCCCAATCTTCCCATAAGCGTTAGTGCACGCGATCCTTCAGAAGCCAGGAGTCTGTCGTCAGCGCCCCGCCGGGCCAAGTCGTGTCTAGTGGTGATGGATTTCCAGAACGACTTCATGGCGCAGTACAAGACGCCCCGGGTGATGCAACGGATCAAAGAATACATGCCGCGGCTCGTCGACTGGGCGCGCCGCGAGGGGATGGATATCGCCTGGGTGCGATTCCTCGGCGACGAGAAGTACCAACCGGCGACATGGCGGCAGCGCAACCAGATCCAGGGCCGGCGGGCCTGGTGCAAAGAAGGCAGTTGGGGGGCAGAGATTGCCAGCTGCGTGCAGGTACAAACGCATGACCGGATCTTCGACAAAAAGGCGCACTTCGACCCGTTCCTAGGAGAGGATTTTACGAGCTACGCCACTGGATTCGAACGTCTTGTTGTTGTGGGTCTATTTGCGGATATTTGTGTGGACGCGGCGGTCCGAGGCGCTTTCCAGCGGGGATTGTGGACCACGGTTGTCCGCGAGTGTACGCCCGCGTTGCATCTACCTGAGGAGCACACCTTTGCATACATGCAAGCGGTTTATGGCTCTGAGGTGGTAGGAATCGATCAATTGCTGTCGACCGGCCCGGTGGCTAATCTATAAAGGACACTTGGTGGGATGTAACCGGCCGGCAAAAAGCCTGCATGTTGCATGAATTGAGATTGGAATCCACAATTGCTATAACTAGCGCATGAAGATCAATCCTGACTGCTTGTGCGCTGATAACAGTGACAATGACTAGAAATTGTACCTATTTTACTTTACATATTATCACGCAGAGTAGGAAGATTAGGTAATTGGTCTTGCTCTGAATATATATCGTGTTCTTTCATTGCTCAACCAACATCGTACATTGCATAATCATTATCATAGCGGTCTTGACTACTACATACCCTTCTTCCGGTATTGATCAAGATGTTTTATAGTTGGTTAAAGGAGGGGTCATTTCCAACAAGGTGTTGCCTACTTAGGTATAGTGACGTATCGTATCATCTGTGCAGAAGCGAATCAATCCGGTGATGCGCTAAGGAGAGCTAGGAATTACCGGTGGGATTACCGGTGGAAATTTATCTACAAGCATGGAGGTAGATGAAGTCGCTGTGTACCATTGATCGATCCCCCGAATCACACGATCGACCATTCTATCCAGGCAGATATCCCAGTAATAGCTAAAAACAGCAACTCTGCTCTCTATTTACGTTCAGAATATCCGCGATGGATACATCGGTTTGGTTCCAGGCAGAGATCGGGCCCCGCCTCAAACCAAGCATCCAGTTCGTCTTCCGGCAATGGAGCGGGCTGACCGATGAGGAATTAACATCCCACCTACATCAAATCGTAAGCCCCAACAGACTGTTCCTAATTACACCGTACGCTAAAAATAAATCTATGTAGCGCGATCAGGCATGGCCGTTGGGAAAATACCCTTGTATCGGGCTCTGGATGTTTCTGCTACCAGGCATCGCAGCCTTTCCTCAATTTCCCACCATCCTTGAAACCGCACAACGGCCCCAGGCCGCCATCCTCGATCTGGGATGTGGACTTGGTCAGGATTTACGGTTACTTGCCGCTCACGGCGTTTCCACGGAGCGCATGTGGGCGCTGGACATTGAAGCCCACCTGTGGGGGCTAGGTTATCAGCTCTTTCGTGACGAAGGGCGCATGAAGGCCATGTTCATCAACGCCGACTTTCAGAAAACAAGCGTCGCGGAAGATGAGCGGTTTTCCGCATTGAGGGGCAAGGTGGACCTAGTTCTGGCATCGCAATTCCTGCATTTGTTCGACTGGGATGGCCAGATAGCGGCGAGTAAGAAGATCGTCGGTCTATCTAAGCCAGGCACCATAATAGCGGGGTTTCAGCAGGGGCGGAAACGAGCACGGGCCTATATTCGGCCCTGGGGAATGATGTTTTACCACAATCGGGAATCATTTTTGCAAATGTGGGATATGGTCCAGCAGCAGACGGACACGCGCTGGACGATCGACGTTAGCGTGGTCGCATTGCAGGATTGGGGCATGCAGGATGAGGATTTGGAATGGATGCCCGAGGACCGTATGGGGATTAATTTTGTAATTACGCGAGAGTCGTGAGCGTTTTAAGGAGATTGGTAATTGTTCTACATAGATTGAGCAATCTAGCAAGGTTTGCATCGTTGTTGGATTTGTCGTCGACGCCCGGTGATCCCGGTGATCTGCGCAGAAAGCCACTAGGCAAATGTAACATTTCATTTCGCAAAACCAAAGTCCGAGTTGCCCTTTATAGAAATTGGTTAATGATCTCACGGACCAATCCCACGGTCTCGCCGATCCGATTAAGGAATGGTGCGCAGTGACTGGACGCGATTTCCTTGACGATCCACGCCTTCTCCGTGGCGGCCATCATTCCAGATTGTGCTTCCTTTGGCACCGCAGCATCCTCAGTGGTGACGATGAAAGCCAAGCGCCCGTCGAACGCTTGGTCCGCCCAGGCCGGATGGGGCTGGGGCGACGTGAAAGCCAAATTCGAATGCGGCTTGAGTGATCTGGTCAAAGAGTTGGCCAAGTGTCCATCAACATCGGCAGCAAAATTGCCAATAGGGTCATCCACAATATTGACATTTGCAGAAGGCTGCAGCAGGTCAGCAAATTCAGCGCTTCTTATATAGTGCGGGTGAAATTGTCCTCTTACCTGATTCTGCAAGATCCAGGGGGCAGATCTCCGCCCTGAAGACCGGCACAACTAAGGCCTTCCGCCACGACAAAGGCGCCCAGAAACAGTAGTCCAATTACGCCACCGGCTTTGCCTTCTTGCGCCCGCTGCGATTTGGCTAGGCCGCTAGCTGCCGCAGAGCCGGGCATGCCGCCATAGGAGTGCATAAACACCAGAACATCTTTGCCCTCATCCTCCACGAGGGACTGGAGGATGTCAGAAACAGCATCGGTGTCGGTCTGGCAATCGGCGACAAGCGGGTCTTTGGGGTCTAATGAGGGGTAACCAGCGTAGTGGACATCGTACCTAGCGACCGTGAGAGCATGGATAAATGGCTGGTAGAAGGCCGGAGTAATCCAAGCGCCAGGAACAAAGAGGATAGTGGTCATTTTGTGCTAGGTTAGATCTGCCAGGAAAGGAAAGCAGCAAACGGCGGATAACGCCCTAATATACTCCCTACACTAGACCCGACAAGTAGACACCTACCCATACTACCGAGCATCTTAAGCATGTCTCATTTCCACCTGCAGGGGTTCGTCCAACTTCCATGCATTTTCCAATTTAGTCAACCTCCAAAATTAACCTGCCAATTGATGACAGATTGCGTAGTATTTGGGGTCTGAAAGTAAATACTACTCATGGGCACGATCGCCAATTCCTAGGTGGACAGAGATGCATACAGAGTATATTAACAGTGCGCTACTCCAGTCGTGATTTATTTGTTGCACTGATGTCAACTGCCCCTTGGTCCTCAGTCTATTCTTCTGTCTGTCACTGCCATCATGGATCTCACCCCTCCCCCCGGCATAGATCTCAATGAGTCGCATCAGTCCGAGCTGTACGCAAAATATTCAGCTACTTATAGTCTAGCAGTGATTGCAGTCACCCTGCGCTTGCTGTGTCGACTAAGGATCTCTAAATCCAGCCTATGGTGGGATGACTATATCATGTGTGTTGCATTGGTACGGACTCCCCCATCTCCGCACCCACTCGCGTATTTCTAAAGCATATAGGAATTGTTTGCTTTGCTTGACGAATCACTGACTCTACTCTCTGAATAGGTGTTTGCCACAGGCAATTATGTCGACATGATATTCTGGATTCAACGAGGTGTCGGCACTCATATCTATCCGTTAGGACTGACTGGCGTCTCGCACTTCTATATGAATCTATTCGTCTGCGAGATCCTCTACACCCTATCTCTCTGCTTCACCAAATACTCAATCTTGCTGTTTTTCTGGCGCATCTTCAATCGTACCAACATCCGCATTCCGATATATATTATTGCAACTGTGGTCACAGGCTGGGGACTCGGTGTAGTGAGAATTCCAAGCCCTGCTTATTTCTTAGCTTGCTATAAGCCTACGAGCTCCTAGACTAATTAATATTCCACAGATCCTAACGACAGTCTTACAATGTGTGCCTATCCAAGGGCTTTGGGATTACTCCGTCAAGGCCCAATGCGGTGTGAACATCAGCGACTTTTTCATCGGCAACGCAGTCCCAAATATCATCACAGATTGGGCTCTGTTGATTCTTCCCCTACCATATGTGTGGAAGATCCATCGAAATACACCTCAAAAGGTCGCGCTTTGTGGAGCTTTTGCAGTGGGAGGATTGTATGTATTATCGTCTCTGTGAGAGTTTGTTCCGGCATGCTAACCAGCGCAGCATTTGCATCATCTCAATCATTCGGTTAGTCGTCATGTTAGACTCATACAAAACACCCTCCGTCGACGTAACATGGGTTTTCATTGGTCCCTCCACTTGGACGGCTGTGGAAACTAATATTGGCATTGTATCTGGTAAGATTCCTTTGGATATCCGAATGAATACTATGGTACTAACGAAATGATGAGCTTGCCTCCCCTCTCTGGGACCCCTAGTAAGATTGATCACTCGGAAAGCGGGTCGTAAGGAGACCACCGACGATGACACGCATAAGCTATCCAGCTGGTATGGACGCTCGTCGGCATCGGCAAAGAGCGGTGACCGTTCCTGCTACGACAATCACACGGCTGGCATTGATGTGACAACAAGCGTGGATATTGAGAGTTACCAGCGGCATAAGGATAACATGTTTTAATTGTGATGAAAGTATAAAACGGTGATACCCAAGGATGTGGTCCGCCTGGTGCATAGGAGCTATTCAACCTCTCTGAGCGGAAATTGTCCCACGTTAGCGCTAAATCAATAAAATCAGTTACCAATGCATTTAAAGCACTGGATTTTAGGACTATGTCTAAAGAATTTGGAGTTGGAACAACTGCGCTAGAAGCTACCGGAGGTAGGGTTCCACCCCACTCGGACATCCTCCAAACAATACTTCACCAACGCGTTGCCTATTTTGGAATCGGTATCCTGATCTTCCTAGCCAAGGTGAATTCCCTCCATTGGGTCAGCATCATTCCCATTCAAAGTGTTAAGCATCACAGCCTCTCACACCTGATTTGACGATCACGGGGAGTTTGAAAGTTCCGCCATGCAATGCCAAGTAAATTCCGTGATCGCCCCTCACGATGATGCAGGCGCGGAGAGATTATTGAAGAAGTATCTTCATTATTTAATGAAGAGCATACGCGACTTACCAGGACAAACAGAATAAATATGGAACAATTGTCCAAAGGTGAACCCAGCCCGGGGTTCGATGAGAATCAACAACCTCCTCAGGCAGGGTTGTTCAAGATATTGGCGTGCTATGTGCCCTACTTTCGCAACCCGCAACATGTCTTGGTTTTTAAGCTTGATTGCTTATTGTTGACATGGACTTTTATTGCTGGAATTTTGAAAGAAATGGACCAAAGCGCGACCGCTCAAGCTTACGTTTCGGGGATGAAGGAAGATTTGAATTTGTATGGAAATGAATTGGTCAACTTCAATACATTCTTCTCTGTTGGATATGCTATCGGTTTGATTCCAGGTCAACTTATCCAGACCAAGGTGAGCAGTCTCAAAACTTAGACAAATTTATTCACAGACTAACAATTTCAAGGTTCGGCCTTCTATTTTTCTTCCATTTTGTGAGATATCATGGGGTATCCTGGTGACCTGGTCAGTAAAGACAAGTTTCAAATTACTATTCAACACATACTGACGACTTTCAATAGCATTGCCCAAGCACCAAACGCGAAAACAATATACGCATTGCGGGTCCTGCTTGGGTTGTTTTCCGCGGTCTTCTGGCCTACCGCTGTATCTATGATCTTCAACTGGTACACACCAGCGGAATTAGCCAAAAGAATTGCCTTCTTCAACGTCTCAGATGCAGCAGGTGGTATGTTCTTAAGCGCGGTTCAAGCCGCCCTTTATACCAACATGAATGGCGTGCATGGTATCACCGGATGGCAATGGCTATTCATTGTCTCGGGTACAGTAACCATTGGACAAGGACTTCTTGGCCTCGTTATCATCCCCGACTCGCCAGTCCTCACTCGCGCTATCTGGCTTACCGATACAGAGAAACGCCTTGCACGAAAACGTATGGCTGACTTTGGAGCCAATACCTCAAACATAATTCCTACCAAGGTTGTAGTACAGAAGTTGCGAAAACTCATCTTACACCCTGTGACGTACTTCTTCCTGGCTGCTTTTGTCTTGCAAGCCTGGGCAAGCCGAGCAAATTCATATTTCACTCTTTATCTCAAGGAGCTGGAAGACTTGTCGGGAAACCTTCGTTTCAGTACATACCAAGTCAACGTTATTCCTATGGGCGGCTATGCTCTCCAGATCTTCGTCAATTTGGCTCTGAATGCGCTATCTGACTGGAAACACTGGCGTTGGCAGATCAGTATTGCGCCGGCCTTTTTGCTTGGCATTGTTCTCAGTGTGTTGAGCGCCTGGCCATCAGATTGGAGGGTCCTGATCACCTTTTACTTCCTTACATATGCAACAAATGCAGGAAGTCCATCACTTTTGGCTTGGATGGCTGAACTCCTCAAAAGAGAACCGGAAGCGCGTGCTATCATTGTTGCATTGACAGTGACAATTGTATACATTGGCCATGCCACAATTCCGATCCGCGTTTGGAGGACGAGTGACTCACCTCGGTATCCGATCGGATTTCCTCTGGCGACTGCCTTTATTTTCTCGTCTATCTTTGTTCAACTTGGTATGCTGTGGTGGGGACGACGAAATACCCAACTGGCTAGATACGGATACGACGCGCCGTCCAATGTTTCAGCTAGATTGGATGAAGAGAGCTCTGAGATCACAGAGAACCAAGTGATTTCACGGCAAAGGGATTCAAAAACTATGAATATGCAGACATCAAGGGTTCAAGACAGGTAAAATCTTAGTTGAACTTGGAATACATTTCTTCCTGGCCGCCCACTAAATTAGTAATGCGATTTTGTTCGCAAAGATTTTAAATATTGATAGAGTGAGGAGAGGAGAGAAGAAAAGATTTTTTTCTCTACAAACAGGCAGGGTGCTAGCTAGTTAAATAGCTACATGAGGCCCCGACAAACCAGGCACTAAGCATGTGATACCACAACAAATATATTTGGTAGTTACAAGTTACAACAGTATGTACAACATAGTAGTCTGCTCTGCGGTTGAAGCCAAACCTATCCCACTAGGCCTGTGATTTTCGCAGCTGCTATGTGGATATACCATAGCGCACTCACCCTTCTCACCCCGTCGCGCTACACTAACGCGGCTCTCACCCATTTCTCGCTCTCAACCACATGTGCACCTAGCAATTGATGTTCTATAACTCTCTCCAATGTGAAGTCCTATACATACGACCATAGGGTGTGGAAAACAGGGCTTCCCGTCCGCTCAGCCGTACTTAAGCCACACGCCGGTGAGTTAGTAGTTGGGTGGGTGACCACCAGCGAATCCTCACTGTTGTATGTTTTTTACTTTTTGGTTGCCTGTATCAATTTTAATTATTAAATCGACACAAGTTGTCGTGTTCTTTCTTAATACGCCTTTGGCATGCAAGCGGCATTCAGCAGTGAGGGTGCGTGATTTAGGTGATTAGAGTGAGTGCGCAAGCGACGGTCTGAGACCGAGTGAGAATCCTATAACTAGAAGTAAAGAGTTAGCAATATTTTACATGACGTGTCCCAGGATGACGCTGGCAATTCACCGTGTAGATGGATCCCCTGATAAGTGATCCCATCGCCCAAATATAAAGCTACAGGAAGGTGTGGGTAATACGGATAAGAACCTGCAGGAAAAAACGCACGCTGTTCTGGGTTAAGGCGAGTAAAGTAGGCATATGAAAGCTTGTCCTTTTAACATTCGGATGTGGAATAAACCTCCGAAGGATGTCTTCTTCTCGTTGATATGCACTTATCTATAATTCTTGGATGATCTCATCACTCATTGTTTGCTTGCAGACTGAGCAGATTGTTTGTAAGACAGCAGAGGTATATGGGCGCTAGGTAATCAACAACATTATTGTATTTGCTGTGTTTGCTTCTGTCGTGACTCGTTCTTCCCAGTACTCATCCCGATTATGGAGATATACTGCGAAGGTGTATAGCGGCCAGGGTCAAATGGCATTTATCAAATCCCCGGTGCTCACCCATTTCACTATTCTTCATGAAGAGATCACTAATACTCTCAAGTGGTGTTTTAATCCAGCAGTAAAAACTGCCGGGGTCCAGAGCAAATGATTGGCCAGCATGACGATTTGGCGTGCGGCTTGTATGTAGCCAGTAGCCGAGTACCGCCTGGGCGAGCGGCAAGTGAGTGCTGCCCTAGCGTCGCGCAACTAGGGGGTACGATTCAAAAATCAAATCTTATATTAAGCCGGGAATGGCGTCAATAGTCTCCAGACGTCGTCATTCTCGTGTTTGATGATGCTAATTGCGTTTGGCGGGGGGCTGATATGTCAGCATTTGTGATAATTGATAGATCTTGAGATATCCCTGCCAAATTACTATCTTGCATGTTAAGGCTAATAATTTTGGTCTCTGCAATTTTCCATAAGACAACTCATGGAACAAATGAGTTTCGAAAATCAAAGCAACAGGCAGAGGTTACACTTTCACCGACATCATCTCTGACAAATTGTACTCCTGAATGGCGTGCTATATGAGAATATGAGGATATATCTCGCTGGTTATACACCCCCAAATGAGGCAAGTGGCTACAACAAGCGAGTGCTTACTTTATTTTAACGCCTCTATTCAAGCGATCTAGACGAATCAGCTAGAGTGCTCGGCTAATGCCCCAATCTATCCATCCATGATTCCGAGGCTATAAAACAGACACCCTGGTCAACATATTGGTACGTACTTTGCAAAGTTCAATCACATCACTGCCTTTTAAGATGGCTGACCTATCAATCTCAGCTCAAACAAAACCTGATGTGTCAAAAGAAGCATCTGTTATCACCGAAGTCCAAGAAAAGGATGACCGCCAGCGCGACATTTCCGGCGATATCATTGAGGATGGCCTACGAAGAGGGCTTAAAGGTCGTCAATTTATGATCATTGCTCTAGGAAGTATTATCGGGCCAGGTTGCTTTTATGGCTTGGGCTATGGAATCTACGAAGCTGGTCCATTGGGGCTCCTAATCGGCTTTTCTGTTGTGGGTGAGTTATTTGTTATCGTGAATGTATATCTTCCACTATTGTTGACAGAGCCTAGGAGTCTCAGTGTGGGTTTTAATGCAGAGCGTCGGAGAGGTTGCTACACTTTTTCCAGTTCACGGCGGCTTTGTTGAGGTATGAAAAAACTAGTTACTAGCCAACCTCCACCATCCAAACATATCTTGTTAAACTAATTTTCTACAGCACTGTGATCGATTCGTGGATCCAGCACTCAGCTTTGCAGTTTCTTGGCTCTATTATTTTATGTGGAGTGTATTTCTAGCATCAGGTGAGTCTGGTCAAGAAGCGAGAAATGACCTGCAACTAATCTATTTCTAAAAGATTGGAACAACGCCACGATTTTCCTTCGATTCTGGATTCCTGACACCACTATCCCCGTCTGGGCTTGGTACATCCTGTTTTTTGTCTTCTTTTCCATTTTAACCACTCTTGGGGTGAATTTCTATGGAGAGACCGAATACTATTTTGGCATGTTCAAGTTCCTCTCACTGATCGTGCTATTTTTCATCTCGATTCTTGCCGATACTGGAGCGTTCGGGAATGGGTATGTTGGGTTTGAATACTGGAAAGAACCATACGGTGAGTATTGTTGCATTGGGAAAATCCCAAGAAAGTTGACTCGCGAGTCTGACCTTCTGTCAGGTCCAATCCGAAATGGAATCAATGGATTCGGCCAAGTATTTGTGCTGGCTGCCGCATACTATGTTGGAACTGAAATTGTTTCTGTCGCCGCGGGCGAGTCTAAAGACCCGCAACGCGATGTCCCTCGTGTGAGTATATCGGGTTAATATGTGTGGCCGTGGACTAAGTCTGACGCTGAATCCTTTTAGGCCACCAACTCTATCCTATATCGTATCCTGTTCGTCTTTATTGGCATGGCATTTTTCCAGGGCCTGATTTGTCCCTCGACATCTGATGAGCTGGTGCATCCAGCCTCTAAAACGGCGTCATCTCCATTCACTATTGGATTTATGCTTGCTGGGTGGAAGTCCTCCGGGCATTTTGTTAACGCCATCGTCCTGATTGCCTTCATTTCCGCTGCGAATGGAGTAATTTACATTCAATCCCGAACGCTCTACTCTCTGGCTTTGAAACGGAAAGCGCCCTCATTTTTCGCAATAACAAATGACAGGGGAGGTCAGATAATTTTGCCCTTTTACTCTCTCTCTAATGGTAGCTAATACCGTGCACAGTCCCATACCCAGCAATCATCTTCTCAAACATGTGGGGCTTCTTGGGTCTTATGTCTTTGCGCACAACGGCTGGGAGTCTATTTTCCTATTTCACCTCCTTTGGTGGCACAGCAGCTTATATTGCATGGGCTTCTATCACATTTGTCCAGCTTAGGGTTCGCGCTGCCGCAAAGAAGCAAGGTATCGACGCCAAAGAATTCCCCTTCACAGCGCCGGGTCACATTTCGATCTACTGGGGCAACTTCTTTTTCAATATTTTCCTGCTCCTGATTCAGGGCTTTACAGTATTCGAGACGCCTTTCAACTATCAGTCGTTTATTGCTTCTTATATTAGCATTCCGGTGTTTTTCTTGATGTACTTTGGATACAAATGGTGGTTCAAGACTAAATGGTCAGTTATTGCCGCTTCATATGAAAACGACAGTCGATACTCACGTTCAGACTTTTCTCTAGGGTATCATTGGATCAAATTCACTTCCCTGCTAGACTGACATGGTCCGTTGAAGATCCGGACAAAACAAGAAAAAGGTCATGGGGCAGAAAGCTGTTGGAGATGTTGAAGGAATAGCTGCTTCATATTCATGATGAAAATCCATGCCGTTCCCAACGAAGCACAGTCTGCACAACAATCTATATCGGACGAAATCATGATCTTGTGATCGATTACTTGAGCTGAGAGCTAACACTACTAGGAGTGTTAGGGGTTAGCCCTTAAAGCCTGATCCAAGTCTATGCTACAAGAGTTAGTTTTAAACTTTTCTTTTTTTCCTATGCAGATCTTTAATAGGGCGTAAAATATCAGCCTCACCTTCTGTTTGGGGCTGAGTATAGAATTACCCCACAGCCTTGGCAATTAGGGGGCCAAACTTACTACGAAGGACATGCTATTGGATCATCGACAAATCACAGCTTTCTATGGGTATCGAGTCTTTCCCAGACGGCTGAAACACGCTCGCCTCAAACAAAAGATCGGGTGAGAGAGTGTCGATGTAGTCGAGCTTGGGCCATGTTGGACGCTAGGTTTGGCCCCAACGTATAATCTTGGCGATCATCGTGGCGGAGTCAGGAGAAATTCGTTACAAAATCCCGTGTGGGCCCAACTCTGGTTTTCGAATGACACAGCTTCACATGCTAGACAATAATAATAAATATCCCCCGGTTCCCAGGTATTCAAATCGTCACATTTTCAATAATCCAAACTTCCACCGAAATTCATTCTTCTCTTTTTAAAACATGGGATTCATCAAGTCTGGCCTTGTTGCGGGTGGTACCTATAGCCTCATTAAAGCTGCATCCAAGTGCGTTATTCAAATCTTCCACCCATGCTTATCACTCTCATACTCATATATCCTCCATTAGGTCCGCCGCTGAGTACGAGGAGCAGAAGCAGAAGGAGATGGAAAATATCCAACCTGCTGCCCAAAGACTCCGACATGCTGCCCAGCAAAGGTACTACCTTGAGAATAGGCGGCGAATGGGCTATAAGGATAGTCGCCAAAGGAATAACCCTCATGCCCAACCATCGTACCCTCTAGACTCAAACCATGACAGCAATGTGAATCAGTCTAAGCCACAAGCACAATCCAAGTCGACCTACCAGCCGTCAACATGCCGTACAAGTACAAAGACCATGGAGAACCCTCCGCCATACGAGCCTTCACCACAGGCACAATCCCAGTCGACCCACCAGCCGTCAATGTCCACAAGGGCCATGGAGAACCCTCCTCCATACGATCAGAGCCACCCATCCGAAATGCGGGGAGATAGTATGGCTGGATCAGATGCATATTCCAAATCAAAATAAAAAGACTCGAACAGCGTACATTGCACTACACTAGGTTAGGTCTATCCTCAATCAAAACCACGCAACAACGCCATCGATATGAATGAACGAAAAGGCAAGCAAACAAAGCAAACGATCTTGATGTGGCATATAACCCATGTACAAGGAGATGCTATAGATAGTTGTGACTGTTTCAGAGCCAGTGGTAATATTCAATGACATCACGCCCTAGCAAAGAGGCCTAAGTCAATGCGCCCAGACGATTCTCACCCCAGCGTACCCCCAGCAAATTCCTCACTGTATGTTTTTACTTTTGTATTTTAGGAAAAAAAAAACCCTTGCCGCCTTACTCATTACCCTTCTTCAGCCCTCGACAATTTTCTCCAGATATAATTAGTGGGATGTTTGTGGGTCCACTCTGACGGTCTGACCCACACTAGACCCTGAGGGAATCGTGTCGTTTGATCGGGATACTGTTGAACTCTTTGAACACTTTGAACTCTTGATCGGTGACTTGTTTGATCTTCGTATTTCACGTTCAAATTTTGGGGAAAAAAGTCATGGCCGTCCCGCCGATTGCAAAGGCCACATTGCAGGCTGCGCTCATTAATGCGGGGTCCAACGTGTTAGCCCAGGGGATCAAGGCGTATCGAGCCGATGTGAGTTCTATTCCTTTTTTTTTCTTGCTTTGAATGAGAATGTTCAAGTCGGAAGGCCAATGTGGGGAAGGATTCTTTGACTTCTACCAAGGGGTGAAACCAGACCATTTGGCTCGATCATTCCGATCGATCCAAATAAACTAACACGATATACAGATTCCTTTCAATTTAGACATTGAGTCTCTAATGCAATTCACAACATGTGCATTTATCACCTCACCACTGGGCTACCTGTGGCTAGGAAGTCTGGAATCCTGGTTTCCCAGCCGTGCGCCCGATTCAAAGAACGATCAAACCGAGAAAAGGGGCGATAAGAAGAACAGCGATGAACAAAGCCTCTCGGAGCCTTCTTTGAATATCACCAATACCGTGGCGAAAATTGTCATTGATCAAACTGTCGGTGGTGCTTGGAACACAGTTGTTTTCATTGCGACGATGGGCATGTTACGGGGATTGGATTATGATACAATCACTGGACAGATTCAATCGGTATGTCAATCATGAGTACAGTACTCCGTATACTTCAGACGATTTTGGACCCCAATGTTTCTCCGCTCAAAAGCGGCCAGACGCGACAGTATGGATCGAAGGATTCAAGATCGTCTGTTAAGGTCATTTCCTGGTGCTAATCTTGATGTCATAGGACTTTTGGCCTATCATATCTGCTGGGGTCAAGCTCTGGCCACTTGTGTCTATTCTCAATTTCACGGTGGTACCTGCTGACCGGAGGTTGCTGGTAGGTAATCTTTTTGGGGTTGTTTGGGCTATTTATCTCAGTCTGATGTCTGGGTAAATGGAAATCGTAGGATTTGACTAATTTGCCTTTATACTGAAGTGTATCTAATATAGCCATGATTCTATACTGGATAATCAAACAAAGATACCACTTTCGCCCTTCCTTGAACCCAGCATCTTCCAATGGACAACATCAACAAAAATGGACAGAGCTCACTCTCTATCACCCCACCCGAGTCAATCACCACTGATCAGGATCGGCATCGGCAAACACAGTCCCAGCAGCAATCTCATCATACCAAATCGACCTAGTTCCCTGCGTACCCTTCATCCCCTTATCATCATGCCACCCATTAGCATAAAGGCCGACACGGAACTGGAAAGCCCGATCATCATCGATGGTAGTCGCAATTTCCCTCTTATCCAACAGCTTATTTCCATCCAACCACAACTTATATTGACCAGTGCCATCCGACTTCCAAGTAGCCTGGATCACGATCTTATGCCAGACGCCCGCACTGACAGTTGCCAGGCTAGGGAAAGTCACAGTCTTCTGCGAGCAGATACTACCCTGTTTGACACGTGTGTAGAGCTGGTCACCGACAAGCCATACCATGCTGGATGGCATGTAATCGTCGCAGCCGGTATCGCTGAAGTCGGCGATGAATTGGGCGATGTTGTATGACTGGGCTGGGGAGAATTGCCAGTCTTCTTGGAGTCGGAAGGCGAAGCCGTAGAAGCCAGTGTCGCCGCGTTTGTAGACATTCTTCTTGACAACTTCCGAGTGGTACCGGCCCGTGTAGCTGGAGTCGTAGATTTGGGTCACCTTCAAAGCGGTGGGGCCTTGGTAGACTACATTCGTCACTTGCTGCACGGTGCCGGAGTGTTCTTTGTTGGTGGAGTCCCAGCCGGAGGTTGTGCCTGTGTTGCTAAAGATTTGGGTGGCCTGGGCTGTTAGGCCGAGAGCCAGTAGCGCTGCTGAGTGGAGTTTGCCGAACATTTTGAATGAAGGATTGATTGTTGAGATAGCCAATTTGCAGCGGATTGATGGGGTTTATAAACAGATTGGACTTCCCATGACTCCGCCCGTAAGCAATAAGCTGAGCAAAACTTGCCGATGTGCTGATGAGGTTCATTGGACTGTTGATAGTAATGTTTGAGATGTTCGAAGGCTTTCCCTAAAAGGGAATGCAGCCGGGGTAGCATGGGCTTAGGTGCATGCTACCATGAAAAGTCTTACTGTAGTAGGTAAGTGTTAAGTAGCAGAAACAGGGCCCAGGTAAGTATTATTGGGTAAAGCCACCGGGGTGGGTAGCAATTTTGAGACATTCTGCAGACCATGCAGGAGCAGTCACCTGTTGATCGGCTAGCCTCCATAGGGTTACATTTCCAGTGCCAAGGCTGACAAAGATGGGCTTATGTCTGACTCTCATAGGGCTTTGGACTGTGATGGAAATACAAGTGTCAAGTAGATGGATGTAGATGAATGGGTAGACACGGTCTAGCGAGACATGGCGTTAGTCCAGGCACGAGCTGGTTACCTCCTCCATGGGACTTCCCTCGCGGACGCAGTCCAATCACGTCGCCAATCTTCTAACCCAGAGATCAGTAGGGAGTAGTGGGTTTTGTTTTACGTGCACAACACTTCCCCCTTCCCCCTTCCCCGCTTTCAAAATATTTCAAAATGAAGCTATTCCCAATTCACCCTTATGAGCCAGTTCGCGAGACTTCAAGGCAGCGCCCACCCATTCTTCACTCGGTCGGCACCCATCCGACTACTGATCACACATGGGATTCACCCCAGTGAGTTAGTAGCTTGGTAATGACCACTAGTAAGGCCTAACTGGTATATGTTTTGATTTTTGCTGATTTTCCTACTTCTGAAAGTTTCGGGCTGTAAAGATATAAAAACATGTTTTGTTGGAGATATTTTAAGTGGAAGTTGATAAAGGTATAAGAATTATGTCTACTGTAGGATATAGTTCTCAAAATGAGCCCCTAATCGCTTAACATACGTCTCTACCGCCAAAACGAATACTATTGCCCTGATACAGCTGGTAGAGGGTATCATGGGGTAGCGGGCTTGATTTATTATCTTATCCGAAGCCGAAGACATTGCACTCGACAGTTCCGACACTTTTGCACAACCCCATCTTCCGCCGAACCAATCTAAGATAATTTAACCCCTCTATGAAAAGCAGTGATCGTGGCTGAAGTTGTGACTGGATCGGACTCTTAGGGTGTTTTCTTGATTGTTTCAGCTAGAGCCTTTCATGCTAAAGAATTGATAAAGCCGCGCGAGAAGGAAGCTGGTTAGTTTAGTTAGGGTAGTCTATCTAGTCGATTCTGCTTCTAGCACAATCAATATATGGTTTCCGTTAACTACATGAGTAATTGTATGTTTAATTCTTCCCCTGGGAAGAACGCCGTAGGAAACTTAAGGACTCGCAATCCTATAGTCCTTTTCTTCATAGAACTTCGACTCAATTTTCTAGATCACCGTGAGGTTACGAAAAGGTTTGCCTCGATATCTACTTAGAAGTCGATAATCGCCCATATAAAGATAGTAAGACTATCACCGATAGTTCGGCATATATATAGTATATCGATGATAATAAAAGGTCTCCAGCTCGAATCATGCGATATCTATCTCAAAGTGTAGCTTTGATTCTACTTAGCGACGGACAGGGTACAACAGTCTCCAACCGCGGGTGCACCATCGCGGATTTCCGTTAGTTAATTAGGCGATCTTAACTATTAACTTACTATACGGAATAAATTAAGAGCTATAGTACCGAGAACCAGAAGGTCAAAGTATCGAGAATAGAACTTACAATAGAGAAATTGAGTCATTAAGTAATTAAGTAATTAAACTTCGACAATTTAAGCATAGAAAATTCGATCAACAAGAACTCTATTATTAAGAATTTGACTTGGATTTTGTACTTTTGGAGAGACAAGAATAGCCAGCCGCTTATACAGCCTTCTGCACTCATTTTAGTATATTCTTTTTAGAAGTCAGTTTTTTTAGATACTTTCTTTCCCTTCTCGGTTCCCTAGATAGATGGTCAAAAAAAAGAAAAGAGCGGAAACTGTGCAGACAACGTTTCTATCTACTATGTATAGTAAGAAATTGGTGTCATGTCAGTGTATTCAGATGCATAAAATGCTCATGTAGTAAAATATTCTACAGCCGAAATTTGTAATGGCGCACTGGCAGTTGGAGACTGCCGTAGGACGGGATTAATTTAGGTAAGAAATACTAAGCTACGTGGGTGAATATCGGCCCAGAGTACCCTTAACAGGGCTGAATAGAGTGGCGAGCCCCTATGCCTGAACCGTGGGCGCGAGACCACCACCTTAGACATCCTGTTGTATGTCTTTTTATCCTGACCTGTATTTTTATTCTATCTTTTGACATTCTCTCTGTACGTCGATTCTTAACGTGCCATCCACACCTAAGCGGAACTCAAGGGTTGGGTGAAGTCTACAGACCGGGGTGATATAGGCTCACTCGTTTAGAGCCAATGTCCATTTCAAGGAAAAGGCATAAATCCAATCCCCGGGGCCATCGTTTTCCTCTGCCATGATTTGGTTTGATTCGCTTTGTTCTTATCATTATGTTCACCGAAAAAACGCCGAGAAAGCGCTCGAGGCGCGTATCGCACGCGTCACATCGCGTGGATTCGCATATATATAACACCATCCGCCAACGTGAGCTAGCCTGTATTAGAGAACTCGCTTCTCTAACGAAGCAGCCCAAGGGGGTAATAGCTGTAGTGGCGTGCCCTAAGTTAAATTTGAAAATAAATTGCTTGCCGCAAAGCAGTTCCCCTATTTCTTTGTTTATAGTTGTGGTCAAAGCATACCCTGTTCGTTGTTTCTTAAGATTGGCCCTGGGTACGATCCGCAAGGGATGATAAGGCCGACGAGCCTCCTATCTTGGCTCCTTGGCGTCTTGGAAGTGGAAGCTTGACGATAAAAGCTCATTTCCAATTTGAATGTTCTCAATGGGGAGACAGCTGTACATATAGGACATTTGTACTACATATATATCTCACCCGCGCCTAGGGCGGGGAGACGAGACGCTCTCCAAGTCTGAAAATCACGAATCTGGAGCTATAATGATCTCAACGGAGTGGCCGACTCAATGGGAAGGATTCTCAAGCGCTGTTAGGGATGTTATTGGGTCCGTGAGATCGCCAGCGTTGCATTCCCATGCCAATTCGTCATTTCTCCCCACCATGCTGTGCTATCGCAACCCAGTCTCTTGCAACTATTTCGTTTTAACGGACAATTAGCTGATAAGGTTAAAACTCAAACCAGTTCAGTCCAAGTCTAGCAATTACGCGATTGAAGCTGGAAATTTGCCTTTGGTCGAAGGTTGGGTGGTCTGTACTACTTATAGTTGATCTTTCCCATTATCGGAAACTAAACATCGGTCCACCAGCTGGCTTTATTAGCAATGAGTATGTAGACCATATTGTTTTATCAAAGATCATGCGAAACTAACGTTGTGGAAATTACCAGGGAATACTGAGCCCATTATCACGGACACTTCGGTGGTCGCACACCGCGGGGTGAGTGAGGTGAAGTCGCTGCATTTGGGCGAAGGGTTAGGGGGAAAGCTCTCTCAGACATCGCAGGAATCTCAGGAACACTACGATGACGAGTTCACCCCTCCAACCGAAGAAGAAAATCAAACACTTCGCAAAGTGGCTGCCAATCTACCATTGGTTGGTTTTGCCCTTTGTCTCGTCGAGTTTGCTGAGCGCGCGTCCTACTACGGGGCGCAGACACTCTTCTCTAATTTCGTCCAATTTCCATTGCCTGAAGGTGAGCCAAACATTCGATTATTGAGTATCAGGTCATTTTTCTGACGAAGTATCATACACACAGGTGGAAATGGAGCCGGTGCTCCTCCGCGCGGAACCCAAAAGACAGCCGGAGCTCTGGGATGGGGATTACAGGCCAGTACCGGGTTGGTGCTACTATTCAAGTTTTTGGCCTATATTGTCCCTATCTTTGGTGGCTACTGGGCAGATACTCATGTCGGGCGGTATAAGGCCATTGTGATTGGTGTTGCTATCTGCGGTGTTGCCCACATTATCCAGATCGTCGGCGCGATCCCCTCTGTTCTCCAGAAAGGCAAGTCTCACGCGGCTCCGCCGTTCGTTATTGGCCTCTTGCTTCTTTCCGTCGGTGCCGGTATCTTCAAGCCGAACATCTCTCCGACCGTTCTGGATCAGCATAAATCCCAAAGGCCATACGTTAAGACTCTTAAGTCGGGCGAGACCGTTATCGTCGACCCCGAAACCACCAATACTCGGACCATGCTGCTGTTCTACATGTTTGTCAACATTGGTGCTTTCTTCATGTTGGCAACAACCTACGCGGAAAAGTACGTTGGATTTTGGCTAGCCTTTCTGCTACCGGGTATCATTTACTTCTTGCTTCCGCTCCTCCTTCTTGCTGTCTACAAAAGGACCAAGAAGCAACCTCCCAGCGGAAATAGGGAGCTCGCTGAAGCCTTTAAAATCGGATGGACTGCCCTTGTACAGAGCAAATTTCAATTCTGGCGCAAAGACTTCTGGGATTCAGCAAAACCCGCAAGCCTTCGAAGTAAGGGGATCGAAGTTGGTTGGACGGATATCGCAGTGTTGAAAGTTGCGAAAACAGTTGGTATGATAATCCCCCCCCTCCAATGACGGATCCTTCCACTTTGCCTTAAAGCAAATTCCTCGGGCATTTTTCTAACACTCGTGGTCATCAATAGAGGCGTGCGACATCTTCTGGTTTTTCCCAATCTACAATCTAAACGATGGTGGAATCGGCTCAGTCTCCACGAACCAAGGTGCTTCAATGATCACAAACGGCGCACCTAACGATGTTCTCAACAATTTCAACCCCCTAACACTTATTGTCGCCATCCCGATCCTGACTTTCGTGATCTACCCGTTCCTAGAGCGACGTAAGTTGAAGCCCGGTCCCATCACCCGAATGACAATTGGCTTCGTTATTGCCATTTTAGGCGGCATAGCCGGTGCACTAGTCCAATGGAAAGTGTACCAGCTCTCACCATGTGGCAGTCATGCATCAACTTGTGACGAGGTCGCCAATATCAGTATCTGGTGGCAGATTCCCAATACATCTCTCAGCGCCATAAGTGAATGTTTCGCCAATGTCACGGCGTACGAGGTGGCCTATGCTCGGGCTCCAAAGAGTATGAAAGGCATAGTCGTCGCTATTTTCCTGTTCATGACTGCCCTATCTAGCGCTCTTGGTGAGATTCTCATCCCGGCGATTGCGGACCCATGGTTGATCTATATTTGGGGTGGTCCTGCCGTTGCCCTGGCGATTCAGACTGTTATTTTCTGGTTCAGATTCAAGCATATGAATTCTGAGAACTACTTCGCCGATACGGTTGATTCTTCTCGGATTGAGGAGGAGCAAGTGTCACCCAAAAGGGAAGTTTGAGTTTCATGGTCTATGTCACAAGTATTGGGGCGATGCACTCCTTAGTTTGTTCCATGAATGACGGATGGCCATATATTTTCGAACTTTATGTTCTTTCCTCTAACATTGAAATATTTCTGGAATAATTCTTCATTAAGATAGACGTTCTCTGTAATCTTCCAAGGCCAGAGGGATCTTCATTTTGCCTTTTAGAACGGTGAGGTCTCAACTCACTCCAACACCAAAATGCGAATACATGCAACAATTACTTTGTTTTTTTTTCATTAGGCCTTGACAAATCCCGCAGCACTAGGCCCTTGGTTCGGTACTGCAGAACCAAGGCTTGGCAGCACCAGACACTTGGTTCGTTCGGTACAGTAGTTTTCGAAATCAGCTATACCTCCACACTCTTACTACTTGACTCGGGAAAACCAAATTCCGAATCACGCTAGGCCGTTTTTACCCACTGCTTCATAATTCTGGCAGAACTGTCTTCGTATTTACTGTATTGCCATCAGTGAGTCATTGTCACAGAGCCGTAATATTACATAGAAACATCCAGAATGATTTTGTAGATCTGGCGATCTGGCAAGATCGCCTGCTAACTTTCCTCTCCCGTCAGCCACGTTTTGCCTCTTTCCCCTCATTCTTCCCATATGTAGCGTAGTCCTCCTCTTCGCCCGCTAGTCATAATACAGAAGGCTCTGATTATGCTTAGGGAGCTAAACCTGGTAGGGAAAGATGTTTTTATTCATGTCGATGGATTTCACTATCTATCGTGCTTTTCATTCGCTACCAGCCCCAGACCTAACGTGGTTCTCCTAGTAAGCTAACATGTTTTTAGAAAGGACTGTGATTACTTCAAGAGATGATCTAACATCACCTCGATAATGCATCCTAGCTTACGGAGCACGAACTATGGGAACACAACTCGAACTACGCCCCAACTCCTGGCTACTGTGGCAGCACCTACGCAGCGCTATCTACCTTGAGTACCTCCCCTTCGATCGTAGCTGAGAATGGTATTGAGCCCTCTAAAAATTCTGGCCCACACATTCTTAAATTTCTTCAGCTGTGTGAATGGGAAGATGGAAAATCCTACGATGAGGACCCGCTAACGTGTATCCACTACCGTATAGAGTGGCGAGTGACCGTCAATAATAGGGAGGTGTTAAAGGACACGGAGGAAGATGTCGTTTTGGCATCTAGCGCCTTCTAGCAGCTGTTATTGGAGAAGAAGCTGGAGAAAGCTCTTCGACGAAAAACTGCTCGCTATCGCCAATTGAGACCTGATGATACTGTTATCGTAGCATTAACAAGCGATCGTACTAAACGGAAAATGACTAAACGATTTGACGAGACCGATAAAAGTTGGACCCTAATCGAGAAGCAACTTCTGATGTGGTCAGATCTTTTTTCCCGTGGTAAGGAGCTCACGTTGAAGATCAGCTTTAACTATATAGACGATCGCCACTTATTGCTAACCGCTGGCCGGAAAGGGGAGAATAGAGCAAAGAATGCTCGGTGAGAGGGACGTATAGCTCGACGTAGAGGAAAGTACTTCTGGCGGGAAGCCAATTTAGCGTAGCGTTTATAGTCTAATGCGATGTGACTCGTCGACGTGTTATTATGGCCCCTATTGCTAGGTGGACCTGGTGGGGAAAAAGCACTACCCGCTTAAAGCTTATCCTATCAAACGCCTAATCACCCATGTTCAGAAGGGTGGTGTGCTAGAAGGTCATAAGGATGTACTAGAAGCAGTTCGGGACGAATTATACCGGGAAGAATAGGATAGACTGTGTAGAGATAAGCGCAAGTGAAGCTATGTCACTGGTGCTGCGTCACTATATCCACCTATTAACATCAATGTTTCGTCCTCGCAGTCTGCGCCCAATGGGCTTGATATCTCGGCTCCGAAGGTAGCAGATAATTTGCAGACTCTAAGCCCACTCGACATTCATGGTATCAGAGATATAGCTGTCGAGTACGGTGAGTGGCAGGTGTCGAATGTCGAGAATGACACCCTCAAAACTGCATTTCGAGAAGTCTGTGATGTGATGCTCGAAAACGGTCTTGACCTTGAGCAGGTGTATAGGGGTCAGGATCCCCATTCCTTCATTGAAAAAGGGATCAAAATAGGCATCGCTCGACGTTTTATAGAGGATATTGGGAAGTGGGTTGAAAGCGTCAAGAAAGTCTGGCCTAACCCTCACTTAGATGATTCATAGAGACCCATATCCATGTCCAGCCAATCGCTGTGCGGCATGATAGACGCTCATCTCGCTACTTTTCTGAGGCCAACACTTCTCCCCCACCATCATTTTTCCATCCATTTTGGTGCCTCTGGTGTCCGCTACAGTGGTTCTCAAAATCGCCTTGATCAACATGCACCGAGAAACTCTTTCCCGGCCCCACCGCCAAGGCCTTAGCGTAGATCATTTATTGAGCGGGCCACATTAAACTGAGGGGCGTAGTAAAATGTGCCGTGTATGTTACAGTAATATGCGACGGAAGATATGATCTTTCGTATGAGAAGAAGGCTAAAGGTCTAATGTACGGAAGGTTAGCTGGCGTTAAGTAACTTGATCATCTGCTGGGAGACCTCGCGGTGAATGCTACTCATCGCTTGTGAGAGAGTCTCTTTGAACCAGAAAAACTCGACATGCGTTATTATTGACCAACGACCGTCCTGATAGTTGCCAGATGCTCACAAGCGAACAACACCCCCAACAGCACCTGATCTTGCAGCTTTAGCTATAAGACAGAATAGAGTACAGTCTTAATGGGTGTAATGACGGAAGATCTTTAAACCGGCTGTTACACACAATCTGCCCCACATCCGGATGATAGGAACACCGACCATTCTCACTCACAATCTCACGCGTTCCCCCACTATTCCGAGCCCAGTACTAGTATGTCCGATACTGATGATTTACGCTCGCTATTGAAGCGAATAATGACCTCTAACGAACATTCGGATATTACCATCTCTTGTGGTGACTACAATCATCGAGTTTATCGAGCGATCATAAGTGCTCAATCTGAAGTTCTAGCCGCTATGTGTAACGCAAACTTCCTTGTGAGGACAACGAGAAATTTTCCTATGGAAGATGACTAATAAATGTCAGGAAGGCAAGACTGGAAAGATCAGTCTACCCGATGACGACCCCGAGGCGATATATATGATGGTCCAGCATCTGTATGGGCAAAGCTATAAAGACACGAGACTAGGTTTGAAAGACTATGGGGAGGGTCGTGCCCTATTAAACCTGAACGTGTATGCGTCTGCCGATAAATACAACATCCCCTCACTCGAAGAATGCGCAAAAGAAGAATTCAAAGACTGGGCTTGGAGATCGCAGTGCACAGAATCCTGGGGGCACGTTGTGGAAGAGGCCTGGAAAGGCAACGAATTCTCCGGTCTTCATCTTATTATCGAGAAGCAAATAGCGGAAGACATTGATCCAATGTTGAAGGACGACTGGCTGCCATTCATCGATAAGGGCATGAAGCTTGGGAGACTTTCCGCGGCTTTTCTTCGCCATATCGTTGAAAAGAAGAATGGTATATTTTATGCGCTTCGTGATACGGAAAAGGGGTACGAGCGTGACATAATTGATCTGAAAAAAAAGATCAAGGGCTACAGATATACCCTCGAGCAGCTTGGAAAAGAGATGAAATCCGATGCCTACGACTCAGATGAGAGCATTGAATTTTGAATCACATGTCTAGCAATAGATCTATCGGATACTATACTGCCGTAGATACTAGGAATATAACGGGAAGCAATAATGTAACTGAAAATATTAATACAGCAATTTTCGAAAACAATTTACGCCTCAGACACTCAAACTCTGTTGGTCTATGTGTATATATCGCAATATCTATTGCCAGTAAGTGTTCAACTGCTCAACCACCTAACACTTCTATTTTCAATCCCGCATGGCGAAAATGGCCTTTGGCACTCTCTTCTTTTGCACCGACCACATTGATACACCATTCGAGGAAAATATCAAAGCCTTGGCCGGGGTCTCTCTCATAGCGACTCCAGTCACGCTTGATAAAACTTTTAAGCTCGGTAAAGAATTCTTCAATTGGGTTGAGGGCGAATATGGCGGCAGATAAACCAACTTCACCCCAGCATCCACACACATTTGTGCGAGACGCTCTGAGTGGTGAAATGATGCGTTGTCCATCACAAGAACGGACTTAGGTTCTGGCCATCTTCCGCAATGCTGGAGTAGCTGAGCTATGAAGTTCTTGAACACGATAGCATCCGTAGAGCCGCGGAAGACTCGCGAGAGAACGATTCCATCTTGGGCATACTCGGGCAGCATCTGATATCGCTGGTCGCGATGAAACTGTGTTACTTGCAAAGGAGCTCTACCAAGAGTTGCCCAACCGGTGCGCCTGAACCCGACCCGTTTATCACTGCCGGATTCATCAACATATACCAGGTGATACGACTGAAACTCGGACAGGTTGTGGAGGTAATAGTCTCTCAAGTCCGCATTCTACTTTTAGCACGCTACCGCGCTGCCTTCTTAGACTAACCCGTCGCTACAAGGGCCCTTCTAATGCTAGAGGTTGTGACCATGGTCTGAAACTCATCTCATAGGAACACAGCCATTTCATCGAGGTAGAGACCAGGCTTCTCAAAAAGGTGGTCACCGAGAGCTTTTATCATCAGCGGTGTCACGGTTCGCTTTCGGCCGACTCGGGATTAGGGGGCATAGATAGTTCCAAATTAAGAGAGAACTGACGCCTATCTAGTCATGTATAACGAAGCTGGGATAGCAGAAATTTCTGGATCGTGTACGTAGCGTTAGATAGCTTTACATTTGTCGTAATCTACTAGAAGAAAATTGATCCCTTGTTTTTCGGGGCTGCTTTAAGTCCCAAGATAACTTGGAAAGAGAGGCTCGGCCTACTAGGCGAGAAGGAAATATAGGAGATGGAACAACTAGTTATTCGGAAGCTAGAAGAGATAGAAGTAAGGATTCTAAAATAGGACCCAGATAAGTATACTATTAAAGCAGTAGCGGAAGCGGCTGAAGTGGATAGAGCCCACTAGATCGAGACGAACGGAACGAAGTGCAACGAGATCTGGTTCTGGTTGGCCAAATAAATGAACTACCACCTTATCGTCTAGCAAGTATGTAGCGATGTTAAAACCGTATGTCTATTTCTTGTCGTTATCTCGAGAAACCCCGATTCTCCCGGATCTAGACTAGTTCCCATCCTTTAGAGACTTAAACGGGTACCCCATACCTAGTGGGGATAAACCAGTTCGCCTAAAGCCTATCCTTTTATCACACCTAGACTTATCGATATAGACCAAGTCGATAAGACTAGAAGTCCGAAATATAGTGGGTATACTCGTCACGAAGCTTTCCAAATTGGGCTCTCGGGCCTTGATACAAGGAGTCTTTTTTTGACTAGCCTTTGGACGCAAGGGCACGATTGATACTCGATTCCGTTGCTTAAAGCGCGAATCAATCCCAAGGAAAGATCGCCATCTCGTCGAGGTTTCAGGTATGTTTTTTAGTAGGTGATCGCACAGAGCTTTTCGTATGGCTGGAGTGATACTACGGGGTTGTTTTAAGTTTATTGAGCGGCGCTTTCACACTCCCAAATATCCGTATAATGGAAGACATTCTTAGAATAGCACTTATATTGTAGCTAGTAGCCTATACTATCTGCGATATAGATAATTCACCACTATGGATTATATTATAGATCATTTTATACGTTGAAGGGGCCAAGTTTGGGGTCTTCGGAGAAATTTTTAAATATAGACTAGTGTGCCCTAGTACAGGACGAAAAAAAAAGGCTAAATTCGGTACTGTACGAACGTAGACTCCGTGACACCGTTTGGTGTCTGGCCTCACCAATTTGGAGACCACGGCGATCCAATGTCTACCACGTTTGCGACATCAAATTGCTTCAGGCGAGGAAGCCGATCCCGGAGCTTTTGAATTTCGTCTGAGCACACCATGGCATTGTCTAGAAATGAGATGTTCTCGACGTCTGGAAAGCGGACCTACACCACATGTAACATGTTAGTTCGTAGATTTACATACAAAAGGGTTGGCGAACTCACCGTGACGAGACTAAAGAGCGCCTTCCATTCATCTTCATCGACGCCATGCGTATCTAGTTGCCACTCGTAATAAGGATCGAACGAAAGAGTTCTTAATCTTGGGGCGTGAAAGATCGGAATCTCTACCATGTCATCTCGCGGGTGAGGCCCGCCAGCCACAAAGAGCGTGAGACTCTCGAGATTTGAAAAACATAAGCAATCGAATATCCCTATGACAGACTGAAACAGTTCCTGTCTTTCAACGACGTACACATCAACATGATGTATCAATTCAGCATAGAATTGTCGGCGAGCTGGCTCAATCCTCTCGAACAACGTCAAAAACGGACATTTCCAATATTCCATTTGGCTCCAGTTGTGCCAGAGGATTCGCGCCGCTTCGTAATGCCACTGTCTGCTCACCTGAGCGCAGCGCACCAGCATGCCCTTTGCGCCAATGTAGTGCTCCCAATCATCGTCGGAATAAGCCGGGTTCTCCTCTCGAAGGTTTCGCAGTCGTTTGGGGTCCGGCCACGAGCCTTTCATATCCCTAAAAATCCATTTCAAGATGAGTTCAAGGATCAGGGGATTGTTAAGGGCTCGGTAGATAGCCGAGGCCCCGTTGTTGAGTTCCTGGTTCGCCATGATATCAGGGTTCAACCAATCACTTCAGACTGGACGCGCTAGATCCTGCACGTGCGAGACTCGGGTTTGTATCGATGAATTCTTCTTTTTTTATATTTGACGGGCGGAAATGCGGAAGAGGAAGTTGTAGTTCTTCGACGAAACCACTCCCTGAACAAGTGTTAAAGGGTCTTGGCATCAGCCGACGAGATGACTCGATGAGTCAGTCAGCAAATTGGCTCGGGAAAACTAATGAAATATAAGCTAGCGCCGTTCACGGATACAGATATATCCCAATGATACAAGCATCAACGAGGCATTTAATCTGCTGATAGAGGTCTTCCAGAACCGCCATCTAGCATATTATGTGCACCAGATCAAGCATTACTAGAGGCTCAACAGCCGTGTGATCTTCAATTTAATATTAAACCCCTAGTAATTCAGATTTGCTTGTCAACTGTTGCATAATACAATGAACAAGTGATCCCGCTTTTTCTAGGTAGACTTCCGCAAAGCCCAACCCGCAGTGGGCTATGGGCCCGGCCTTCGAAACCCAACAAAGCCCATTTATATGCATAAGTACGGCCTTGGCGCTCATAAACCTGCTGATTAATGCCTGTTTTTTACGCATGTTCTGGTTTGTAAGCTTGTTATGGAACATCTCGGCCCGATACCTAATTCGGGGGTTTGACTTTAATAGTATCAACATGTAGATATATATATCTAATTAATCGATCTCATCAATCTTACCACTCGGTCAATTTAGTCAATTCCTATAAGAAAGAACTCGGTAAGTTAAATACTCAAAAATACTAGGAAAATCTGTAGTATTTATACACCTGACAAGCATTGGCATATTTGTATTGTTTAGGGGCCAATGGGCCCCCATTAAAGCCCCATTAAAGCCCCACCCATTTACGGGTTGGGTTGGGTTGGGCTTTGGGCTTTGTGGGCCGGTGCGGAAGTCTATTTCTAGGTTCAAATGTATCCTTTAAACACCGCAGCCCAGAAAGCAATTCCCCATTCGCCTCCATAAGCGTTGACGTCCGCGCCCTTATCAAGAAGTAGTTGAAAGGTCGCTATGTCTCCTGCTAATGCCGCAGCCTGGAGAGCTTTTCCATAATGGCCTCCGTGAGCTCTAACGTTCGCGTCCCTTTCAAGAATTGGTCGCACCATGTATTTGTGGCCGAAAACTGCAGCTTTGAAGAGATTCACTTGTTATTGCTGGACTCGTTGATCATTATATTGTTGGAGCTTGGGTTATAGTGATGTTGAGAGTAAGGTGCGGGTGAGTAGGGATGATTAGGACGGTTAATAAACGTATTTGTCTGGTCATGTTTAAGCGAATAGCAACGAGTGGTAAGTTCCTGGACGAAGATACGGCCTCTAGGAGCAGGAGGGGCTTGATTGATAACTAACGTACTCGGTAAGCAAGCTGGACACGGAGGCGAGCTCGAAATCCCAAAACACATACTGAGATAATTTATGACTTGATGTAGAAAGTTGACCACTATTGATTGGACCCCTACGTTTTCAATACCGCCCATGTCCGAACCGTGAGCGCTAGGTGACCACCACCTTAGACATGCTGTTGTATGTTTCTATTTTTTATTTTTGTTTTCCCATTTTCTCTGCACAACAATTATCAATGCACCCTCAGCACCTAGCGGAACTGTTTGGTACGGGTAGGGTAACCGGCTTAGAGCCTATTTATTCCCTTCCTAAGCAGCTAAAGCTATAAATTGAAGAAGCCTTTCTTTTACTCTAATATGATTTGCTTTGATTTGCTTCATTCTATAGAATATGTCCGCCGAAAAATACATTAAAAGAACTCTAGGAGGCGCAGATCCAGTGAGACAGCACTTCCACCAATACGCTTCAGCCATCAAATTTCTTCAAAATGAAGTGCGGAAAGGGTGGTCAGAAGTATAGAAAAAGGCTCATGGCCCCTCTATATGAACGGAGCTCAAATATGGAGCAACACTGAACGGATTTACACGAGAAATATAAACAGAGGAGAGAACGGAGGATCGCCGCCTCATCCAGTCCGAGTGCACCACCACATGGATGCCAAAATCTTCCTTGAAGAACACGAGGTATAACAGAAAGGATAGGCAAGATCCCTGATCTATTGGAAATATGGGATCAAGGGGAACTAGGCATATCTGACAGATATGATAGGGGAAACAGGTAAATCCAGGGTAAATGGATCATAGCGGGCAGCAGAAGCCATGACGTCTGCCATGCATAGTATTCGACATGTACGCTGCACATGCGGCTGAGCCCAGTTTGCAAGGGACTGGCATGCTGTACAACATAGGCAGTGCTGCGCCTCAACATTGCTATCTAATAAGTTGTACGGAGTAGTAGGTGGAAGCTTTCGCGGAAATGAACATGGAATTTGTGCCTAACTAAGCAGGTAGATGTCATATTGCTCGTGTGATATCAGATTGAGGTGAATTATTTCATGTGGCCAGTTGCATTGGCTCTTCCCGATCCCTCTCGGCCCACCGTCCCAATAAACCACCCCGAATCTTGTTTGCGACCACGAATCCTTTACGGAAGACCAGGTCGAGCAAATTCAGGATTTCGGATTGTTGATCAAGCGTCCGGGCTCGAGCTCCTGCAACGGTTATTGGGAAAAACAACATCACCCCCGGAATCTTGGAGTGGCGCAGAACCTCACCCGAGAGATACAGGATCGAATTCAGGTGTTCTGAAACTTTGGCAGTAGATAACACCGGGGCTGGGATATTGTCCCAGTAGGTGAAATAGTCATAATTTCCAGAGAGAAAGATTAGCAGAGCGTGATAATATAGCAAAGCTAAGTTTGAATATTCATTAGGACCATCCTGGACCAGCTGCAGTAGCGCCTTCGTGTGCCAGTTATAGATATTTTCTTGGACATCGAGTCCTTCAGCCGCAATAAGAGCGACTGATGGATCCGTGAAACGTTCTGCTTCAGGAATGTTATCAATTATAGCACCGGCTCTATCGTTTGGATTGTTAAAATAGAACAAGTCGCTCATATGTTACTGCCAACTTACCGTAGGCTGAAGTCGGATGTCTGAATCATGACTGTTATGATCTCTTCCAGGGGCTCCCATCGAGTGGCATTACTTGACAGGTTCTTTTGGAGATTAAGCCAGCATTCCTGAGAAAGGATTGTTTCTTCACCAAAGAGTAATGCTCGACTGGCCTCGAGGATACGAAACAGGTCGTAGAATATCCTTCGGACTGGTGACATGCAATCGCTTGGTCCTGCAATCTGAAGCATTTTTGATGTTCCATAGAGCATGTGCTTAACCCAGCCTTGGCCCGAGTCATCTGAAAGCAACTAGGTGTACTGATGTCAGTAAATCACGATTTTTGCAGATAGAGACCCTGTTTGACAAATAGCATACCTCAAATAACCCCAGAAAGAAAGTGGCCCAGAGAACGTCCTCTCGTTGCATCACATTACTGTTTCCGACACAAGATCGCAAAATGCCAATTGACTGATGGTAAGATGTCATGGCATCCACATTGGGAGGTTTCTCTCCCTGTAGTGCTCGTCCACCGGTATGTCGGTTCGCATCTAAAGCACCAACCGCGATCACTGCATGATACAGGAGTGGGGAAGTCGAAATTAGAGGAAGCAAGTCCGGAACTATTGATGAGAAGCCCATCGTGAACATATTCTGCTGAATAAAAGAAACAAAATAATCAAGAAGGCGGGTACCCTTATCCTTCCCGATAAAATCGAGTGGGTGAGTCCCAGAGGTATGTTTATTTTTAATAACCACGCCCTTTTGATCAGAAGATCGGGCGCCACCAAAATCATCTTGTTGGGTTTGGTTGACAAACACAGCCATACCGTGGCCCGATTGCTTCTGGGCAACACACATCGTGTTTTGTCGAATGCAACGAACACATGGAAATCCCCCTTCACACTACTAAGAATTAGCCGCACTGATCCCATGAAATTCGAGGTTTCACATCCCAGACCTTGAGGCGTCGTTTGGCACAGCTGAGACAGCGCGTCACCCGTCTTCGCTTGTCCAGCGGGCCGACCATTCTCCCCTGCAAGGTTGCTGATGTGGGCATGACCTTGTGGAATTCTCTAACTAACAGATAAAGCGTGCGTATTCCCGATGCCACTACGATGAAAATGGACATATTCCAGCGAGACCTGGTCCGACAGCAGCCTGCGGCGTGGCTTACGGCGCTAGCCCGATTAGGAAGCAATGTCGCAATACAGATGGCGCTAACCCAATTGGGAACTAATATCGCGAGACAAGGATCGACATTACTTAAAGATTATTTCTTTGTTCCCCGATGTCCGCTGCTATGAAAATGGATATACATATTCGAGCGAGAACTACTATGACGGCAGGCTGCAATGTGAGAGATGGCGCTAACCCCAATTAGAAAGTAATATCGCGACGCATGGATCCACATTACTTCAACAATTCTGGATAGTTCTTGCTGGCCGACTTGGCTCTGACCAACTCACGCTCTATCCCTTCCATTTTGGGAACCTCATTTAAATTGGCACAGAAAATTTTGTATTCGTGAGTTGGGAGGGGTGCTTTGCTGAGGTATAAAGGTCGGGCGGTCCTCTAACTATGGTGGTTGGAATCTCATCATCTACTTCAGCAAGATTTCAAAGACTTCATTCTCAACCGACTTTCATCCGAGATTGCATCTTCTAGTGATTGATAATGCTTCAAATCCTTTGTCTGCTGCCCATTGTGGCCACGGCTGTCTCTGCAGTGGTCATCCCCAACCCACCCGGACAATACGATGTGTTTTACCACACTGCCAAAATGGTCGAAAAGACCAGAGTCGATCCTTTTGATCCCAATCATGGTCCGCGTGCAGTGATGACTTCGATTTTCGCCCCAACCGACTGCAAAGTGGATCTCAAGAAGAAACACTACCTGCCACCCGCAACAGCCGAATACTACTCCGAACTTTACGGCACATATGGACTTCCCAACGGTTCACTTCAATCCATCTCTTTCCAGGTATGCCCAGAGCCGCCTAAGGGACATCATCTCCATTTCCCGGTAGTGATCTTCTCGCCTGCTCTCGGCACGACACGTCTGTTCTACAATGCCATTGCGCAGGCTGTGGCCAGCGCCGGGTACATCGTGGTGTCTCTTGACCATCCTTATGATGCCGAGTTCCTGGAGTTCCCGGACGGAAGCATTGTGACTGCGGCAAACATCAGTGACGCGCAAGTTCCACTGGATGTCGAAACCAGAGCTCAGGATGTGAGGTTTGTGCTGGATCAGCTCAGCACAAAGGCTGGTGTCGCAGCTCTACTCCCTGGAACAGGGGTGGCGGGTTTGAGAACTCGGCGTGTTGCGATGTACGGTCACTCGGTCGGGGGTGCGGCTACCGCTGCAGCCATGCATCTGGATCGTCGGATTGTTGCAGGTGCAAATCTGGACGGGTCAATGTTTGGACCAGTAGTTCAAAAGGGGCTTCAGGGTCCATTCCTTCTATTTGGGCATGAAAACAAGACCCAGACGACAGACCCCACGTGGAAAGAGTTCTGGTCAAACCTGCGCGGGTGGAAATTGGAGCTGGAAGTCGCCAAGATTCAACATTACGCATTTTCCGACTTGCCGTTCCTATTGAACCTTCTGCGTCTGCCTATTGAGAAGCTACCTGCTATTCAAATGATGGTTGGAACTTTGGATGGAGCCAAGGGATTTGAAATCGTTCACCGAACCGTCGCAGCCTTCTTGGACTTTGGGCTCGGCCAAACCTCACAATGTCCGCTTCAAGAGACCATTTCAGAGTATTCGGAGATATCGGTCTTTGCGCGCGGTAAATGAGACAACACTTCTGCGAACGGATTAGACACGTGACAAATTTGTATTTATCTTAATATATTTACTGGTGGAAGAGAGGAAGGAAGGGGATTAGGAGAGAGCGGACTACATGTAGATTACATGATCGATGCAGGAGCCAGAATGTTACTATAAATTCCCCTGTGGGAACCAGCCATATATGATTTCTCATTTCAAGTTCTTTCTTGACAGTGTATGTAGTCATAAAGAAAGGCATAAACATTCATGGGTAAACAAAACACCGGATTAATATATCCAATCACAACAGCCATCCAACAGAAACGTCAAAGCCCTCAAAACAAGTCAATGCTGGGTGTCATAACAGCCCAATAGCCACCCCAAACCAATAGAACAACGTCGATGAAGGTACAAAATGGCCTGCATAATGTTACCGTCGGCGCTCTCACTAACCAAAATCCCATTTGCAAAAAAAACCATGGCCACAGTCGAACACTACCTCCACTATTTCATGAATGATGAGAATGTGGGAAGCAAAGCGTTCTGGCTATTCATGTGCCATAAAATAGCAGCAGTCCCGCCCATGCCCATGAAGGTCATCAGCCTTGGGGAAATGCCAGCGCTCGGCGTCTTCGCGGGCTTCGCAGGCTTCACTAGACCTGCGTCCATCGCAGGTAGTGGGAGATAATCCAAGCAGGGGCCGCCTCTCGAGAAACTGGCGTATAATTTGGCCTTGAGTCTGTCACTGACCCAGGGAACAATGTGACGGGCAGCAAATTTGAGAATCCAGCTTTTTTGGGCTTCATAACGCGTAATCTGACCGGAAACATCAACGACCGTTTCTGCTCGAGGTTTCTGACCAGCAATATAGTCATTGAAAACCTCTGTCAACTGCTCAAGGGATGGCATAGGGCTCTCTTTTAATAATGGCACGAGACCGTTGGTCAATCGAGCGACACCTTCATAGGCCAGGTTGCCACCTAATCCAGGATTGACTGTAGACTGTCGAGATAAAGAAAGTCAGTTAAATGAGCTGGCTTCGGGAGTCCTTTGACATTAAGCAGGAGATCCGAACCTTATGAACTGAATCACCCATCAAAACCACCCGGTTATGACTCCACTTTTTGAGAACACCTTCTTCCAAGGGTACCATTGTGCCTTTGACACGGGCATCCCAAAGATCCTTCACAGTATACCCCGGGCCTACTAGAGAGCTTCCATATTTCTGGATGGTTTTCTCTGCGTCCTCGTCGGTGAAGCGCGGGCAGTTAGGAGTTCTCGTAAGTTTGGAAGCCTTGACGAAAAGAAACCAGAACACAAGGCCATGCACACCAGTAGCTGCAACTGATGAGTAGTCGTCGTAGTACACGTTATGGACCATCGAATCAGGCAGAAACTGATCGTTCCGAGAAACAGCAAAGATGCAGTTGTACTCGCTTGTGAACCCTGTACTCATAATAGTCAGTTAGATGGTCTTTACGGCTAACAAGACTGGGAGGTGAGACAAACCCTCATTAATTTCTTTTGCGAGAGACTGATCCGTCACGCTGATTTTGTCGGCCATCAGCTTCCTCACTTTGCTGTGGATTCCGTCCGCGCCGATGAGCATATGGCCGTGGTACTGCTCGCCATTTTCAGCGGTGACGGTAACACCATGTGCGGTCTCTTCGTATCCAACGACGGCCGTTTGAGCATGCAGCTTTGATTTGTCTCTCACGTGGCTATGTAGTGCTTCTAGAGCTTTGCATCGCTCAACGAAGACAATGGGACGTTGAAGGCTATACAAGTCCCAAAACGGTATGATTAGCACATCTCTTTCATAAGCCACTTTGTGGACCTACATTTCATTGATGTCTTCCAGCACATGTGACTCCTCGAAGCAATGACCGTTTCCATCGTAATGGTTGCGACCCTTCAGAGGTACAACCTGTTTCTCGATATCTTTCCATACTCCTAGCTGCTCTAGAATCCTTATGGTGTGTGGATGGATTCCGATAGAAGCCCCTAGTTGCGTTGCGAAGTCTCCCTTCTCGAAAAGCTCGTAGTCGATCCCGGCACGCTCAAAGGCTAGGGCTAGGCCAAGACCTACGAGACTGCCACCAGCTATGAGAACCTTGAACGGTTTTGTGTCCTGATTGGATGCCATGAGTGGAATTGTCGGTGGTAGATGGCCCGAAGGAAATTCTTGTTTCTCCAAGTCGGAAAAGTAGTAAACAACCCTGCTTATGTTTCGCATTCCAGAGACCGTTGAAAGCGGGGAAGACATAACGGCCTTCCCAACCCTGGAAGTGGGCCCTGCGTCCTGTAGACGCACCAATGGTCTGCGGCTTTTATTGCACTGCATATCTTTTCTCCGAGTTGGATATTCAGAATGAAATGGACTTCATTTACACTTTATATATGTACCCTTACATTTGGCTGTGTTTAGAGTGAAAGAAATCTCAGATTAGGGAGATGTGGAGCATATGTACTTTTGTGTACCTTTTGTATGACATGAACATACAAAAGGTACCTAAATCATGTAGCGTTTAAATTGGTGTACATATTGTGAAACAGACCCGTCTCGGGAACGCGAGGGGGCTAGGAACAAGATTACTGGGTTACACGGGCACAGACATCTCAAGCACGCCCCCGTTGCAAACTGAAGAAATTCACCGCCAATCCGGTACTTTTATTAAGGGGCCAATCCACTTAGTTATACACTACCTTAGCATTAGATCTTGGATCTGGTATTCTCTATCCGGTGAATTTACCGATTAATGTCGAAAAGTCGAGGTTGCGTGAATCTGACATGCAGCGCAAAGGCTGGCTGCAATCACTCGCGTATTATGCAGTACTGTACGTACTCGGTAAGCGGCCCCATCAAAGCGGCCCCTTACATCTGACTGAAAAACGGGATCGGGCGTTGCATTGTGGGACTATATCGATGCAAAGGGTCTCGATTCTTGCATAGTTCTACTTCGTCATAGCTATTTGCAGAGCCAGAACCCATCTGCGCGGAATCGAGAGGAAACGGGTAGAAATCACGTGATATCTTCTCGCGGTCTGTGTTTTGTATGAAGGTGCTTTGGGCATTTGTTGTGTGCATTCTAAGTTTACTGTCGCTTTTCCAAACATTTCCCCAGGACAGAAGTAGATATCAACAACTCCGATTTACAGTATGTAAACCCCCCTTCGTACAATATACAAATGATAGCAAAGAAGTATTTGTGGATCCGTGCCCAAAATATATATCTACATCCCATGCATCGAAATCAATCAATCCATAATCATGACATCTTGCAATTATAGAACATTATCAAAGCAAAAATCAAATGACGCAGTGCTATTCGATATTTGTTGAACATTGGACCATCCCATGTTTGTTTGCTTGCAAACTGAGCATGGTTTATCAGACATCAGTGTATAAATATACAGCCTTTTCCTAGTTTGATCAACAACGATTCTTCTTTCTCTTCCTCCCCTTCGCCAGTAGCCGTAAGAATATTTCCATATTCTCTTTATTAACGAAACATTGTTTACTAACATGTTTATGATGGCTGCTTTATTTCACACAAAACCAATATAAATAAGAATGGATCGAAAACTCTCATCCCACCAAATCCCTAAGATATTCTCGACCAAGGAGGATATCTCAGACCAATAAAAATGCATGGAAGTGACGGTTGTAAATGATCATCGATCATAAATTAAGTGATGTTAGTAAATGTTTTATATGAAGCATATCAAGGATCGTATACATGGAGGAATGGAAATTGGAAAGTACGGATATCCCCAATGAACATACCGCAGAGGAAGAACTTCAATATTATTGGAGTTGCTGAAAGGTAGATAGTCGTCTGGCGTTTGGAACATTCTGGATTATTCCTTGTGATCTTATCAATTCCGAGCAGACTAGGATCAACCCTAGAGTTTTGCGGGAAAAATGGTCGATTTTGGAAATAAGGCTCTGCTCCAGTTCGATTCAATGGAAGAATGGCCCGAAATATCAAGCATGTGTTATCTTAATATATATTACGCCTACTGGAGCAGTGTGGGCGAAGGGAGAAGCATTGATTGTTCAACCTACGAAAAAGCAGGGCATTTAAGCCTTGACGTCTAGTAAACAATATGGAAGATGGGATCATTCAACCATATATACCATGTCTACTCCGTACTGGAGTTAGAGATATAAATTGCTCACATCACAGATGGTCCGAAGCTGACCTCCATCGAGGCATCGAATGATAGATAATTCATACTGGGCCCGCCAGTCAATGCGATTGTCGAGAATCCACTCGGATCCAGCATCTGTTCCAATACCATCACTTCTGACTGCAGGGTAGCCGCTTCCACTCAGCTTAGAGTCTTGACCTTTGTCGCCGCTGAGCATCGAGTTAGTTCAATCAGAAAGATTATTGATATAAATTTTGCCACTAATATTAACTTCATGAATTCGCATTAAATCGCTCTTCATAGTCAATACCGCCTGGCCAAACCTTTGTTTTCGCATGGCCCTGAGACCATCACACCTTGTCGCTATTTGAAATGAAGTTCTCATCATAAATAACAAACGTCCCACGTCGTATTCGAGTACCATGTCTTGGATTTTAGGTGGTAATTTGTCGGATAACTTGGCGAACCTGCAAGGGAGTAAAGATGGCTCGTGTGAGGAGAAAGTACCATGCGTGATACTAGGCTGGAGGGGAGGATAGTCTGAGAAAAGCTGGCTCAACGACATAGTTAAGGAGATAAAGTTGTGACGCAAGCCCTTCGACAAAATTGATGCATCTTTAGTGGAAACGGATTGATCTTTGCGCATGGGTTGATGAAGGATAGGACGAATGGTGCGCTGATTTGAAATCGCTGATCGAGGTGCATTGAGTTTTTGGGTCCCAAGACCAAACATTAGATGAAGAAGGTTTTGCATAGGATTGGAAGGTAAGATGTAGTACTTTTGTGACCGTGACTCATCGAAACTGAGCAGAAAAAGTGAACATGGAAGAGTATAAAATCTGTCATTATGATGATGAAGTAGTTGTGGATTTTGCGAAAAAAAGGAGAAAACTTCGCCCTTATGTACAATTATTCCAATATAAAAGTCAGCGTAACACAACAAGCCTAAGCCGGGGGCGAACTACGTCAAGTTCAATGGCAGACACGGAGTACTCGTTTCGGAAAGCCGAGAGCTACTTTGCGAGAGTCATGACCTTCTCCTTTCGTATCATCCATAAGTCAATCCTGTTCTCAAAAGCTCGCAAGAGACGTGCGCAACGCCATATCGAATGTGGCGCTACGGAGTGATACAATTCTTAGAGCCGTTGCGTCAGAAACTCCCGGCCCAATAGAATAGACATACATATGTTGTATGCTCGGTTGCATTGACCTCTCATATTAGTTGGTTGTCACTGCGGAGTAGATACCTCAATATGTACTCCACCGATTTGTCACTCGTGGCGTCTTGGCACCATCGCCAGACTCGCAATTCCATACCTCATATCGAAACCGAAGTAATATGCACCCCTGAGATAGTTTATTACCTTTTGGACGCATCCAGTGGACACGAGATGGTTTTGTCGACCGTTTATTTGTTGGCCAGATGGGTCCCACATTCCACCCCGCCAGCCTAACGGCTATACCCATCCTAGAGTGTACGGCTCGCCTCAATCATCGGATATTACTCAATATGGGAAGAGATTTAGGACGAGGCCTTGTCGACCGTCTAGAATAGATTAACAATAGAACGAGTCGACAATGGAATTCATCGAGCTGCATATGCGGTCTGAGAGGTAATACACAAAAGTACCTAAAAATTTGCAGGATAGTACCAGTCACAAAATGGGTTTTCTTTTTTTTTTCTAGGTCATAAAGTCATAAAACACGCCTCCCCCAGTTTCTCATCCTAATATTCGTTCTCAACTTGAGATGTTCGTTGCAGCCACGAAGTAAAGAGGCCTCCAACCTTTCTAAAAGCAACCATGCCTGCCTCAATCATGTCTAGCGCAATCACTGAGCCACGTCTGACATCGGATGAGCGATATCAGCAATCGCTCATCTATGGTCTGATCATCAGCACGGGAATTCTGTCCATGATTGTTTGCAGTTTAAGAGTAAGCCCCCCTGGAGGACTCTCTCAATATGAGAGATCTGGTGGAGTACTGCAGATGACTTATTTTATCTACAGCTTTACACAAGAGCATTTATCATCAATGTGTTCGGGGTGGATGATATCGCTGTCTGCATCGCATTGGTAAGTCCCAGTCTGACCTTCAATTGCATCTATGAGCAAGGCGCGAAGATTAACAACGGTGATTAATAGGTTTTCACGCAAACCTTCAACGGTATAGGAATTGCGATTGTATATTACGGAGAAGGAAAACATTTTACCACTATCTCTATTGAAGATCGAGCAATGTGGCTCAAGGTATGATTCAAACAGTGACCCCAAGGTCGAACATAGCACTTACGTCTGACATAGCTTTACTACGTCGCAATGTGCATGTACCTCTACACCTCATTGTCAGTAAAGATCAGCTTGCTGGTATTCTTACGACGGATCTTCATCAAACGTAAGTTTTCCGCTCACTTACGAATTTCAGACAACCTAGGGTGACCGGGCGCTAACTATAAATCAACCCACCTTTAGCCTGGATGAATCGGCTCACTATGTGCATGTTTGTCTTTCAAGTCCTGTTCTCGATCTCCGGTTCTTTTGTTCTAGCCCTTCAATGTGACCCTCCAAGGTACACACAAAACCCCATCCCTCTAGCAGTGTTTACCGACATATACTAACCAGCATCATGGCAGGGCTGCATTTGACTTGACTATCAAAAATCCAACATGCTACTCACAGTATAAACTGTTCCAGATCACACTATACCAGGCGGTTCTCATTTTCGTGAGCGATGTCATTATCTTGCTCGCGCCAATGGCTATTCTATGTAGATTACAGATGCCTACGAGAAAGGTCGTTGCTTTGGTGGCAATTTTTGGATCGGGTATGTACACTCCACCGTTTCGTGGCCGAGTTTCAGAAATACTCATTTCGACCACAGGTATAATCGCCTGCATTTCACCCGTTGTCCGCTTCAGCACGTTGGATTATTTGCGCAACGGGACCACGGACCTTACCTGTATGTACACACTACTTCAAATTGCTGTCATTTATTTGGCGCCGGACTTAATGCTGACTATTAACCATAGACGACTCGGCGTCATCCCTGTACTGGATGGCCATTGAGTTCAATCTGGGCCTTGTCGCGGGCTCCCTTTCTTCGCTGCGACCATTGCCTCTTTTCCGCAGATTCGGCTCTAGCACACAGCACTCCCAAGATAAGGCATCGACGAGCGATGAATCACACGAGCTTGAAAATGTTAATGCGAGTGAGCCCAGAAGTCCTTGGAAAAACGGAACGAGTTTTGGAATGGGGACGTCGATACTGGAGGAAAGTGTCAACGGCAGCCAAGAGCGCATTATCCATGCGAAGGCAGATTACGTGAAGCCAGAGGCGAGAGATTGATTGTTATTCTGTAATTGAGTGTTTTTATTGTAATTGAGTTCTATTCTATAGTTTGACCAAAAGTACATTTTAATTCCATTATTCTTGCTACCCCGGCCTCACGGCTTACATAGATCTGCCTGAAACCTTGGCTCCTCCCATTACAGTAACCAAGCTAGCTGTGTAACGCTAACCATCTCCAGCTCAGCGCAGGATACCACTACTGGTCATTGGTGACTGGGATATGAGATGCCTCGTGATAAACCTTTGGCTCGGATTCCTGGGCCGCAATAAAATTTCGTGGATGGGCCGACCCAGTCAGGAACATTAATCAAAACAAGATAATTGAGTGAAACGATGATGGAGTTTTGGGATCAGGGAGGTCTGAGGTAGGTTCGGTCCAGGCCGAGGAGACGGAACCTTGGAACGGAACGCGGGTCGGGACGAACGTAACCTTAAGCAAGAAGTTTCCAATATTGGAAACGCATGTGACCTGCAAGGGATGTATCTGGAGATAGAAGATAAGTGGAGGCATTTTTCGCGCAACGGAAGAAGGTGCGACCGTGAAATTATGCATTCCAGTCAATCCTTTCTCGTGATGAGAATCTGGGTCTCGGCCCCGATGGCAAAGTCATCGGCCCAAGCCATGTGTGGTGATGAGACCATATACCTGTTTGTAGTCAGATAATTGTCTAGCATCTATTGTGCATGGTAGAGAATCCTCCTGCACCAGTGTGTGCATTTTCATCGACAAGAATCGCGATCGCGGAGGGTTTTATCGGTGATGGATAGACTGGATTAGGTGGCCCGGGCGTCAAAGTTTGTCTCGTAAGCCGGTTCTACGCTCGACATGACTGCGGGCGAGAGGCCTGTGGTGTCACCGATGCGCATCAAGTTCTCGATGGTGGGACACAGACCGTCCGTCCGCACAGGTAGTTCCATTCCAAAAGACTCCTCTGGATGCTGGGGTACGATTCCAGACTAACCCAGACTGCGTGGAAGAGTATAGGCGACGAATGGGACGGGAATGGCAACGATTAATCCGAACTTGGATAAATGGCTACAGACACGAAGATAGAAATGGCTGCGGGGAGGACGACAGAATAATTAAATGGCCTGAGGCCACCAAAAAAGATGTTATGTTTGCATCGGAGACACATCATAAACTCTCCCCAAAGCACGCCCCCTTCTCAACAACGCTTAGCACTTCCATCTGGTTAGCCCAGCATGCTGCGAATTTGACTTTCTAGAATTCTCCAGCACGATTCGTTTCCAAGACTGCAATGCCCTGATCGATTCCCGGCCTCCTTGAACGTTAGATGGAGGTATTTATGCATTTCTTTCCAGCAAATGCGACATCGAGAGAGACTTCAAACTTTTCATTGGGGGAAAAACAAGTCAGCAATCATTTTAGCCCCGATCGGCACCTGAATTGCTCCTCGAGGAAACCAAAGCAACCAAAAAAATTCCAGGCATATCTTTGGCCACACAACAGTGCAGGATCAATGTAGCATTGGCCTGGCGAACGTGGTTGTGTCACATTCTGCGTCTGTCAAGATTATGCCCTATCATGCTCACTCGTTTCCGGAGAGAGGGGTCAAGAGCGGGTTACACCGCAATGAAGATACTCAAACAGACCTCTTATAAATACTCCGAGTTGCAGGGAACATGAGGTATCCAGGAACAATCTGTGGATTCTAAAATCAATCAAGAGTTGAAACCCCAGCCACAGGATCCACATTATTCATGTAACCTTCTCCGCTATGAGGTTAATTGGGTGTTACATTATCGATATTGCGATCGGCTGCTATGCCAATCTACCACGATTAACACAGCTATCATCTGAGAGTCAATGAGGCCAACTCTGCGATTATCTTTAATTAAAGATCACCGCCGCAATGATACAAAAGCTGTAAATGAGTTCATAAGCCAGGGATGTCCTCTTTGCCAAATTACTGGTGCCATTCCCTCACTGCGCCGTTTCTACTGCTCGATTATAAAACCCCACGAGCGACCGGGTGCCGGATTATCATTGCATCATGTTGATTCACACCATCGCGGTCCTCTGTACTAGCGCAGTTGGCACTGCGGCAAAGCAGCTATGGTCAACCGAGCCTGCCGATATGTCACACGTTGAGATGACAGCATATCCCTTGGGTAATGGGAAACAGGGTGGTGGGTTTCCGTTTTTATCATTCTTTCCTGAACACCTTATACTGAATCCCGGTAGCCATGCCATTGGGCGTTGCAGGAAAGGATATCGTATACCTCAATCACGACAGTCTATGGTCGGGTGGCCCCTTTGCAAACAAGGTTAGTGTCTAATGTACCATTCTTGCAGAGAAGCGGGAACTGATTCTGAAACGGGTAGAACTATGTCGGCGGAAACCCCAAATCTTCGCTTGCCGAGCATCTCCCAGGGATTCGAGAGTCCATCTTCAAGGATGGAACTGGAGGTAAGTAAACTAAATTTCAATAAACATCGCCTTTTGCTTACTCCGCCATAGATGAATCTGCCTTGTATGGTAGTACGGATAATTATGGAACCTATGAGATTTTGGGGAACCTCACTGTCGGTATTGCTGGCACTGAGAAGGTCACGTCCTATAGGCGCTCCCTAGATCTTGATACTGCCATCCACGAGGTCAAGTACAAGTCAAACGGAGTGGATCTCACAACGTAATGACCCCTTATCACACATGCTTGCAGACATTTTCCAATTGATCATTTCTGACAAGTGCGACAGGATCCAATTCTGCTCGTACCCAGCAAAGGTCTGCGTTTACTATATCGAATCTTCTAATGCATTGCCAGATGTGACGGTCGGGCTTCAAGATCTGGCACGAACAGCGCCGGCCTCCAAGGTTTCGTGCTCCTCGGCCGGTATCCGACTTCATGGCCAGACACAGACTGATCCTGATGAGAGGGACATTGGTATGCTATTTGATGCGCACGTTCAAGCTGTTACGCCCTCGAAAATTACCTGCAACCCATCGAATGAGATAGTGGTCAGCGGAAATACTGCAAAGTCGCTATTGCTCCTTGTGGGCACAGGCACCAACTACGACCAGACAAAGGGTAGCAGCGCGGACAAATACTCGTTCAAAGGACCCGATCCGTATCCCAACGTTCTTTCAACTGTCCAGGCGGCCTCCAAAGACTCCTACGAGTCCCTGCGCAAAAGCCACATAACCGATCACCAGTCATCCATGCATAAGTTTACCTTGGATCTTCCAGACCCGAAGAAGTCTGCCGAGGTCGATACAACAACGTTGATAAACGGTTATTCCACCGAAGAAGGAGATCCATTCGTTGAATCATTGATTATAGACTACGCCAAGTACCTATTTATCGCGTCTTCCAGACCAGGGTCTCTTCCTCCTAATTTGCAAGGCAATTGGGCGCCAAACATGGCTCCTCCATGGAGCGCGGATTACCACATTAATGTAAATCTACAAATGTACAAGGCCCACCCGATTTCACAAGTTTTTAATAAAGTGTTGAAGCAGCATCTTTCTGACATTGCCCCAGGAACCATTGGCACACCGAAATGATGGGCTTAGGGGACCTCATGGGTCCCCTGTGGGATCACATGAAGAATACCTGGGTACCAAGAGGCACCGAGAGTGCAAAGCTCTTCTATGGCGCAGATGGTTGGGTTACACATACCAACTTGAACATATTTGGGCATACAGCGTGAGTTGCAGCATGGAATCACACGTGTTCCTTTTCTGACACACACTTAGGCAAGAGAATGATGCTTCTTGGTCGAACTACCCAGTATCAACTGCCTGGATGAGTACGAAATACCACTTAACATTACCTGCTGAAATTTATACCCCATGCTGATCCAATGATCCGACATAGTGAAACATGTGTGGGATCGATACGACTATTCCCGAGACCTTGAGTGGTATCGATCTTCGGGATACCCGATGATCAAGGGTGTGGCCCAATACTGGCTCTCAATGCTGACATCAGATGAATATTTCAAAGATGGATCTTTGGTTGCTGTTCCTTGCAACTCACCAGAGCATGGTCCCACTGTAAGATAAGTTCTAAGACCCTATACGCCAACGTTTCACTCATACAACCCAGACGTTTGCCTGTGCGCATTGGCAACAGCTCATTTGGGAACTCTTCGACCATATTATTAGGGACTGGGAGGCTTCAGGTGATAAGGACGAGAGTTTCCTTCAGAGCGTGAAAAAGGCATATCAAAGTATCGACAGCGGGGTTCACGTGGGCTCATGGGGTCAGATTAAAGGTATACAAATCCTTTTCAAGGCTCGAGATGTCTGTTATATACGCCTAGGACCACATACTAATATGATGTATAGAGTGGAAACTGGAGAGGGATCACAAAAATGACACCCACCGTCATCTGTCCGAGCTTTATGGATGGTACCCGGGATATGCCATTTCCGGGGTGCACGCGGACAATCAAACAGTCATAGATGCTGTCACTACCACGCTCTATTCCCGTGGTAATGGAACCGAAGATTCCAACACCGGATGGGAGAAAGTATGGCGTTCTGCCTGTTGGGCAGCGCTCAACAACACAGATCAGGCGTTAGTGCCCAGTGCTCATATTCTGAGCACGCTCCCCCACCTCCTACATATGAGATTAGAAGTGACTGACCCAGTTTACGAAGAACAGCTACATGGAGCTCAAGTACAGCATCGACATGAATTTTGCGCCGAACGGGCTGTCTGGCTCCACGTCATCCACACCGCCCTTCGATCTTTCGACACCTTTCCAAATAGATGCCAACTTCGGCATTGCTGGAGCCGCACTCGCAATGCTAGCGACTGACATACCGCAGGCATTTGGTGATACCAGCACCCACAGAGTTATTTTGGGTCCCGCCATCCCAAGTGCGTGGGGATTAGGCTCGGTTAAGGGGCTGAAGCTCCGTGGAGGTGGAAGGGTGGCTTTCAAATGGGATAGCAACGGGAAAGTGACGGAAGCGACCGTAGATGGACGCTCGCTACCTTTGGTCGTGTTCGATCGGGAGGGCAAGGTCTTGGCGAAGCAGTAGACCTCGGCGCGCTGAGGTGGCTATCACTGTGATGCTTCTAGTGTCATATTGATGCAGGCAGGATACCGAGTCACTTATGCTTTAGATTATATATGCTTTGGTGTATACCGAGCTAGGGAAGAAGGACGCGTGATAACTGTTGTCTTGACCGAACATAATTAAGTAGATTTATTGTCATCTGCTTCATCTTCCCACATCTCTATATAGCTCATCGACTTGACGACACATGAAACTTGAATGACTCGGGGGATATTCAACAACTGGAGCATGTATTCGAAAATATCTTAAAGATAATATCTTGTGACGAGAATGTTGAGCGTACGGGCTGCAAGGTCCAGCCCCCAGATTGAGATATCATTGAGCTGTAAAAGAATCTGCCATATAATGAGTTTTCCGCTACAGTGACTTTCTTGGGATTGTGTCATACCTTCTTAATAAACTTGACGCCAATAAAAATTCCATCCTCGTCCTCAAATTGGCTCAAATCCTCCATGTCCTCATTGGCATCGTCCATACAGGTCAGGCAGTTAACGAGATCTTGAGCATATTTGTCAGCCATATTGGGAAGGCAAGTCGGTTTGGGCCAATTCAGTAAAATAGCCCTTGAGAAACCCATTTCTTGCAAAAGTCGATATGTCAATTTTCGTGTAAACGGTGGGAATATTGATGTGGCCTTCACCGGTGATGAATGGTTCCCACAGTCCAATATCCAAGAGACAGACAACAAGACTGTAGATATCATGTTGCATGGTGTAATCTGCAATGGGGTTGTTTCCTTGTCGCTCGGGGTGTTGATATATATTCTCTGCCCAGTCGGAATTCCCCAGTCGCATGGTTTTGCCTTCTGCTGTGCGGAATGTTTTGAACCATACGAGGAACAGGTGTAGATTCCGCGAGTCGTCGGCTTGTAATATCAGGGCAGTTTCGGGCCGGATACCCTTGTGAACATAATTGAGGACATGGAGATAGCTCACTGAGGTAGCAAGCTGTTTTGCAAAGATAACCTTGTCGCTGAGAGAACGATTTGTTCCGCAGAGATGACTCTGGAGGGTCTGGGGTCCATGGCAGTCGGTTGGCATACGGAAGATGAAGTCAAATTAAAGGTATTTCTGGGTCATTGAATCTTTGATGCGAACAACACCCAAACAACTAAGGAGGTTGAATTAGAATGGATCAATATTTTGAAGCTTTTGCGCGAGGGCTCGAAAGTCTTTGGCGAATGCAGATGCATCTGTTCTTGTGTCACACTCCACCTAATCCAGGATGAAGGTCTTCGAGTCTGGGATGTCACAAATTTCGAAAGTTGATAGTGGGATTCTGGACCGCTGGGCAGGGTAAGCTTATCTTCTGGACGAAATATTGCGGCTCTGCGTTGGGGCTCATTTTTCAGTGCATCTCGAATATGCCGAGCAGCTCATATTGTGGTGGTGTCTGGAGATTTGACCAAGCCTGCATCGATAGTTGGACTGATAGTTCAACTAGTTGTACGTAAAATCAAAAACCAGCTCGGATCAAATTTCCTCTCCCACAATTGGAGATCTAGGATGGCTCTATCAAGAGATTTCTCAATATCCAAGGCATATCTAGCTGCCTTTCGTTTCTCTTGTCCTCTTCCGTTGCCAGATCCACGCTTTTCTAGTTTGCTGATATGTAGGACAGCAATGTCGAGCTTTGTCTGTAGAATGCGAAGAATGCGCTCCTGTAAATCTCGAAGATCTTCATCCTGAGTATCCCAGATGCGTTTGAGAAGGCCCAATTGCTGGGATATCTTCCTCCAGGTAGCTTCGATTGAGACAACTCGTTCTTTGATTTCATTTTCTGCTTCTTTGAAGCCCTTATACTTCTGTATGATCACTGCCCCATACCTTGAAACATAAGCGCTATCGTGGCCTGCTGTTAAGATTCCTGCTCACTTTAGCCACGTGTCACATGCACCAAAGACTGCAAGGCCCAGTCCGGCTGCTTCCATGATGGGGATGCTGAAGAGCCAGGTGACCCTGAGATACTAGATTCAAATATAAAAGAAAATGCGAGGGGACAGAGTTAAGAGCCTTGGAGAGGGATTTTGGTGGAGTAAGCTGAGGGAGCAAGAGTGAACGCTTGGGTTCTCGTCTCGAGGCTTGGCAGGGTCGTTTCAGCCAGTGCCGATTATGGCCGAATTACATTAAGAAAGCAATAATGGGTTAATCGATTTTGCAGACAAAATTCTTCCGGTCTGCGATGACAGGAATGATGGATACGTACGAGTACGATTTGACAAGGAAACAATAAATGGACATTCCCTCTGCTAATTGAACGAGACATCCACAGGTGGTATTTGTATTACTGGGCATTGATTCCAGTACACTAATTGTCGATAGGATTGCCAAAACCTCGCTGTCGAGCTTACTATAGCAATTCTAGCGCCAGAGAAACTTTCTTCTTTGCCGAGATTTTGAACTCAGAAGACTGGAAAGCCAGCATTCGCCGTCCTAATGTCGGTATAAGCTACCTGGGGATGCCTTTATATTGACCTGGACGCCTTTTCCGTCGAGGAGTGGCTCATTAAGGTCGCGAATCATCTTGAGAATCTTGCCGGCTCGTGTCCTGCGTCATCTCAATCATCACGACCTTCACGGATGGCTCATGCTCGCTTTGTACGGTGGCATGCGAAACTCTCGGCTCCTAATTTGGTGCTTTATTTGAACCGCGCCCATGGTTAATAATATAAATCTTGGGGAAATAGTACGACGCTTGGAGAAGACTCTGTCTAATTTCTCCCACTTCTCTGTTGAGACCACAAACCAAGTAATACAATGTCCTTGGATCGTCGTATGAAAAGTGATAAAGAACACGGGCAATCAAATTCGTCAGATGCAGAGGATTCCGATGCTTGAACTGGTGTTCGATGTCCCTGGGAATTTTGTTTAGGCTATGAAGACTGAACAGTGAGCTTGAGTGAGTGTTCGTTCTTTTGCATCAAGCGCCCATCTCTGAGGTGGCTAAAGAAGCAGAACCAAATGTAGCAGATCATCGATTTGAGGGTTCACCAAGAGTCTCAGACTCTTCAGCGCTTTGTTGAGCGAGAGCTGGGTTTTCGATTAGCTGCCTTGATGGGGGCCGTGATCGTGCGATCCAGGGGTGCTGTGTTGCATCTTGAGCGGAGAGTCGTTTTGAGGGATGCGCAGCCATGGTCGTCTCCAAGAAATGCTTGATATCTGTGCTCGCGCCTACCCGATCTAGCTCCATGTGGGGGAACGGGGTCTGAGCCGCGGCATATCTGGCCAGAGCCCTAGGTTGGGGAAATGCACTCTGGTTTGTTATTAAGCGAAAGGTAATCTCGCCCAAGGCCCAGATGTCGACGGCGCTGGTGTATGACGGATCTCGGGCTTCGGATACGTCGACAAACCCAATAACTTCGCGTGCTAGATAGCCCTGCGTGCCGACAAATGTGCGGAGTGCAGTCGACTCCAGTGCTCTCTTGGTAATGCCGAAGTCGGTGATCTTTACCCACCATGTCGGTGGCTGTTGCAATACTAGAATATTCTGCTGTAATTAGTGATGCCGAGCCCGAGAAACTCAGTGGGACAACACTTACTCCTGGATTCAAGTCTCGGTGGGTGAATCCATTCTCATGCATAAATACCAGCCCCTCCAGGATCTGAATTACAATCTCCCATGTTATCGGCGCCGGAAAAGGGGCAGTCAGCAACCTCTGCAGGTCACGGTCGGGAACGTATTCCATCCTGATAAAGATAGCACGAGGGGTCTACCACCACCCGAAGAACTCGACGAAGCAATGGACATACTGCGTCCGGTCAGCGAGTTGTAGACAGACCAGATAGCTTCAACATACCTTTTCGTTCGAGAACTTTGCTAGGGCCTCTAGCTCCCTCTCGTATTCGATTCTAGTCGACTTCACGCTTTTGGTGATCTCCTTGACGGCCCTTAGCCTTTTAGTCTCTTCGCCCTCTATGCACGATTCGACAGACCCGGCCAGACGATCCATTACCTAGCTCGTGTTCTCTTTTCCATATCTCTTCCCTCTTAACACGACGCTGTCGCGTGTTTCTGTTCGACACCCAACTAACGTGCTTTGTGACCTCTAATGCCACATCCGTATTCGTATCCAAGTGTGAGTCACGGACGAGGTCAACAGCAGGCCGAATCGAGAGAACCAGTGGAGAAGGTATCTGACTGATAGCTGATTTCATGTCTTGAATAGGGTTCTGGGGTACAGTTGCTTCTTGTTCTGGAGCTACCCTCCGGCCTGGTAGCCTATTGTCACCCTTGTTCATTGCTCTTTGAACTTCTAGCCCTGCCGTACCGAGAGAATGGGGAGATTTAAGCAACTGGACTCTTGTAAGCCGAGGTTGTGTAGTGTCCGGTGGGTGTATTGTGGCTATTCCCCGAGATGAAAAGTCGCGGAGTTGAGATGGGAATGTGGGTGGGGTTCTGGTCACACCCTGATAGATTGCGTTTTCAGACAACGCAGTGGAAATTTCCTGCTTCGCTGGAGAGTCCGTGTTTCGGAGGACCTCGCCCGGTGTCAAGGTGATATCCTGTACTAATGTTTCAAATACGTGTCCAGCCGCATTCGGGTTCCAGCCAGGGTAATCAATCCACTGCAAGTTGTCTGGGTACCGGATCTTAGCAGTATCGAGGACGTAGGGGATCATAAGCTCTTCGGGATTGCTGAGCTCTGCGGGATCGCTGGGCTCTGCGGGATATCCAGGGCGCATCATCGGTCCACCCCCCATGAGGATAATCTGGTTCCCAATTACCGTCATGCTGTCGCTAGACTGAGGGGATAGAGCGGGACAGAGCGGGACCTCGAATGTAAAATGAGTACCAGCGTCGATGTGTGATGTGTAAGGCGGACAGATCTCCTAGGTCCTCTCCACCGGTCCAGCCCCCGGATACATACATCACATCGTTGACCACAGCCGCCGCATGACCATCCCTCGGAACAGGCTTGATGCCAAAGCAATCCATTTCTGTCCAGGTGTTGCCTTGGAGATCGTACGTCCAGAGATCATTGAACCGCTGCAGGCCATTCGTTCCTCCGAACCTAACATATGCGTTAACCGAAATCATTGAATATGGTTAGGCCAAGACAGTGGGTCCTAACAGGTATAATTTGTCATTGAAGCTGACAACGGTGTGGCTCTCGCCGGAGGGATTCGACCCACCGGCGACCCACCCCTGCCACTATTCCCAGTAAGATGCTCCCACCTATTTGTGGGGTTCTGGTACTCGTTCAAGTCAAATGTCACTAAGTCATTGAGGAAATACCTCCCATCATGACCGCCAAATATATAGAGCTTCGAACCTATAATGTTCAGTGTGTGGCCATATCGGCCGGTCCGGCCAGGGGCGGTGATATAAGACCACTGGTAGGAGCCTAGAGGAATATAGCAGTGAGAGCCAAGCGTACTGCCTAGGTAAGTACCTAGATAGATGAAAATGGCCACGCACTAGTATTTAAAAGATACAGCGTGTCGTCAAGTCCGTCGTGATCATTTACTCCCGTATCCCCACCAAAAACAATGAACGCATTCCCTACGAGCAAGCTGGCATGACCGAATCGCGCGCCTGGTCCCGGTGTGACTGCCACAATTGGCAAGCAAGATAACCTGCTTCCACGATGTCTAATCTTCCACAGATCTGCTTTTAGTGCGACAAGGCCGCCCATAAGGTAGATATCCCCTTCCTTGGACGCAACTGAATTGATTTCGGTCCCACATCGCGGAAAGTGGCTTAACCTGGGCAACGAGGGATTGAGGGAATTTTGTGATCATAGGTAGCGGGGGGCATTAGGGCTGGACAAAACGCCATTTGGTGACTGCTGGAGCCGTTCGGGGTTAGGCCATTATCATGTCTGATAGAAGCAAAAAGAGTAATAAAAACTCACCTGAGATTCTGGGTCGGCTAGCTGTGGCCTCCGAGAATAGTTTTTGGGCGTGGGTGTCTGGGACGCAGTACCATTCCCCTCAACGCAATTTGTCGTGAAAGACGCTTCGGTGTATGGGGCTCTGTTGGAGGTGCTGAAATCTCTTCTCGCCGAAGGCTGGTCAGTCCTGTAGCTCTCCGATTTCCCTAACGTGAAATCCATTGTAATTGTAATAATCGATCTTTCAACAGCGTAGTTGGAAAATCTAGCCCAAAACTCCGACAGCGCTACCAGTTAGAGTCTCACTCCCCAGACGAGGAATAAAGAAGTGGGGGATATGCAAATACACTTAGTCGCATTTTAGTTAGTGTTTCTCACCTAATCAACGTTGGAAGGATAGATAACACGAACGTGCTGTTGCCATATTGAATTTAAATGAATTTCTTTCGACACTAAATTAAATTCAAGCTAATTTTTCTGTCTGAATATCTCTTAATTTTATGCCCTGTTTTTTCAAACGCGCTATACTTAGTACCAGAACGCAATGTGACAGGTGACTCTACGGCTGAGAGCACAGATTCCCTGGATCCCCTTTCATCCAATCAACCCTTTCCTAGGTATCAGATTCAAATCATTATTTTGAACAACAATGCGAAAACTGTCCCGATAAAAGCACAGTTTTAAAACCTGGGATAGGGTATCTCACGCAAACAGAACATTTGGGGGGTTCTTACCTGGAATCTTTCTGGGGGGTGCAGCAGCACGCCACCAAATATCCTTGACTTCCTCAACCACATACACATTATCACAACAGCGCAGCATCAACAACCTCAATTGCTTGAGGAACTGCCCGCAGTTGGCAACTTTTTGCTTTGTAGGTTTGACTCTTGTCCGCTTTGTTCAAACTACATCAGATATTTGTTGAAGCTTCACTCTCCCATCGCCCTCGCACAAAAAGGGATTGCATATTAATGAGTGGGTATATGATGGGCGTATCTCACTACACAAAGGCAGAGTGAGTGAGGGGGGAGGCAGGAAAACCCCCGAATAAAGTACACAAATACTAACCAAGATCTTCCAGAATCACTATCGATATCTCCGACACCAATCGACCCCTTTCCTGGGCCCCTACCTCCGGCTTGGAGTCTGCAATGAGTTTTCAGATTCGGTCCCAGCTCCCCTAAAAGCCCACAGTAAAGTCCCCAAAGGGGATATCAATGTCGCCGCTATCCTGTTAACCTTCATTGCATCACAAGCTGGCCTCCATCCCGGCCCACACCCGAGGTCAAGGAAGTTGCCAACTTTCTCGACGTGATTCTAGGACAATCAAAGGGATAGATTGTCTTCCTACTCTATTCTTCCCGCAGAGGATTCATCCCTGTTTTATTCGATTTCCAATCTTGTTCCAACCACTTAACCAGCCTTCATATATCCAAGGCCTGCGTTGATACCCTACAAGGAAACCAAGGACGGGTCTGCTGACTGAAAGACCACTCTGATCGGTCCCTTGGTTGGCTTAGGAGCCGTCGCTTTGCTCGTTGGTGCTGGTCTCTGGTGCCGGTATGTCAAGCCTGCCTTTTGTTCTCTTGCATTGTGTGTTGTGCTGACAATGGATATGTCTAGGCTGGATAAAAGAGAGGCATGTGGTGCTGTTCCTCAAGCGGTGATAACGCACCGATGGGAGAAGGAGGAAAATATCGCAGCAGTCATTAGACATGATTATGATATTAAGTATGAATCGTTCTACGAATGACTGATGTTCCGTGCTTGTGTCCATGGGTGTCCCGGAAAGATCCTCGTTACTAAAGTGATTTTAACAGTGCCATCAATCATTATCATAATCATTAAAATCCTATGAAAACCTCAATACAGTTTTGTATTCGGGGGCAGTCCCTGAACCTGGTCTTGTCGCTGTATCCGTTAGTCAGCACGCCATGGTTCCGACCTCGGGACAACCCGGCCGGATGCGATGATGTCATCATCCGATATCATTTTCCTCCTCGCTCATAGGGCTTCCTAGCCTACCAAGAATATCTGGACTTAGCTTGCAACACGGCTGGAAATCTCCGGCTATATATAATCAACGCCAATTACATCTGACACGCGTTGCCTTTTCAATTGGGCTAACCTCACGGACCTCTGTCTCCACAATTCTCGCAAATTTCAGATCAGACTTTCCATTGCTTGTTTACGCGAGGCTACACCAAAATTACAAATCACCCAGAATGAATCTTCCTCTATTCCGTCGCTTATTGCCAAAGCCCGTTATCAACAATGGGTCGCAGCTGCGTGATCATCAGGCCAACGAGCGTACGTTCCTTTCTTGGAGCCGTATGGGATTAGCTTTTGCGGCTATGTCACTTGCTCTCGCTCGACTGGATATCATTGACAACATCTTCAACCGCGGAAGCCGTGACGGGACAATTTCGTCCACTCGACCCGCGTCCCGGACCGCAATCGAGAGTAAAGGCCCAGACCAAGCACACTCTCGAGTGACCAAAGAGACACCTGTTCTCCTTAGATATGTGAATGATCGTACGGCTAGTCGCGTTTGCCAGGCTATCAGTATTTGGTCATTTGGATATTCACTTGCCCGGTATATCTCCGTTCGACGAAACCTCCTGCAGGGGCGTTACGTCCCATCAATCTGGGGGCCTGTCTTGATAACATGCGGCTCTCTCACTGTTTTTGGTATGACACTGAAGTTGGAATGAAAGCTTCTCGGACGACTCGTCGAAGAAAAAGAAGCAACCAAAATGCCTTACGGGTTGAGAGAACACAAGCAAAATCGGATCATGTCTGATTTTTGATATATTAAAATACATAATAAGGAATGGTATCATCACGACAAGACCGAATACATCTCCATCCACGAAAGCCACAAAGCTCCAAACTTGAAATATATATTTACATCCAAAAATATTAAGAGCTGGCCTTAAGCCCGTTCAGAATATCCTCAGCAGCCTTCTCGGCAATCATGTAAGTAGACACAGCGGTGAAAGTACCGGGGATCTTGGGGTAAACGGAAGCATCGACGACACGAAGACCAGAGACACCGCGGACACGGAACTTGGAGTCCAAGACAGCTCTCGGGTCATCATCAGCACCAATGGGGCAAGTGCAAGAGGCATGGTGGCCCCAAGCGCCATCCTTGACGTAGTTCTTGATATCCTCCTCGGACTTGACATCGGGACCGGGCATAACCTCGGTGATGTTGACGAGCTGGCGCTTGAACGCATCACGAGCGAGCTCGATGGCTTCGTAGAGCGCAGTGAGATCGGCATCGTAGTCGCCCACACCGGTGTCGAAGTAGTTGAAGGTGATCTTGGGCATGTCGAGGGGATCAGCAGACTGCAAAGCCACAGTACCAGCAGAATTGCGGGGGTGAGCCTTAAGAATAGCCCAGGAGAACCAGTCGTGCTCATCAGTGGCGTTGATGCTGTAGTTAGGGAAGTAACCACGGAAGTTGACGGGGCCACCGAATTCAAAAATGTCGAAGTCATCACCGGCAGTAGAGCTCTTGTATAGCATGGTGGCGGCGAGACCGGGGGATGAGTAGATGCCGCGGTCGCCAAGGACAGGGGTTTCCCAGTCGATGATACAAGGGTCGTCCTCGCCGCGAATGCTGAAGGTGCACTTGTCCAAGCAGGAGAAGTCCTTCTCGACTCTGCCTTGCACGGAGATCTCGTAGTGGTCCTGGAGGTTGGTTCCGACACCGGGGAGGTCCTTGATGACCTTGATACCGAACTTCTTCAGCTCCTCGGCGGGTCCGACACCACTCAGCTTAAGGATCTGGGGAGAGTTGTAGACTCCGCCGGCAACGATGACTTCTCGAGAAGCGGTGGCTGAACCGGGGGTGCCGGGGAGAGCGGATCTCGACATGGGGCTAGCCTTGTAGAGGTGTTCACCGTCGAGGAACTCGACACCGGTGGCGCGGGGGAGGGCATCGGTGTCGCTCTCATCAAAGATCACCTTAGTGACGTGGGTGTTCATGCGGACATCAAGAGGGTACTTCTTCGAGCCATCGTCGTTCTTGGCATCGCGGACAGCAATGATGAACTCGCGGGGACCATTTCGGTGGGCGTCATCAGTAGCAATAGGGATCTGATAGTAGCCGGGTTCGGTGTCGCGAGACTTGCTATCCGCATTGGCATCGCCAAGCAGCAGAGTTCCAAGGTTCATGAGGTGATCGGTGAAGTTACCGAGGGCAAAGGCACCACCGGTGAGCAGACCAAGAAGTTGTTGATCCTTCAAGACAATGCTAAGGGGCGCAGTTTCGGTCGACAACCAGCCATCGGTACCGTGGTCCTTAGCTTTAGCTGCGGGAAGCGCGTAGCCGTTCTTCTCAAGCTTAGTGAAGTATTTGCGCATGTTGTCGGGTGTCCAAGAGTTATCGCCGGTGATAGTCTCAATGTACTCGAAGTCAGACTGGTGGGGATAGACTGCAATCAAAGCATTGTGGGCAGTGCAGCCACCGAGGGTACCTGTACGAGGGTAGAGGGTACCCTTCATAGTCGAGCCCTCGGGAGGGCTCAGGCCGGTGTAGATCCCGCCATCAGGCGTGTCGTAGCTGACCTTCCAGTCGCGAGCCTGGCGCTCCTCATCTTCGTAGTGATGAACGAAGAAGTTCCACGCAAGCTTCTCGTCTTCAGAGGCTCTGGCGGAGTAGGCAGGGATGGTGTAGTTGTAGTTTTCACCCTGGTCATCACCAGCCTCAAGGAGCAGTGTCTTGTGGCCGGCCAAAGCAAGGCGGGCGGCTAGAGGGCCACCACCAGCACCGGAACCGACGACGACATATTCATAGCCGGTGATGTTGACGGCCTTGGCCAGGCCGGATGTGGCGACCAGCAGGCCAAAGATATAAGAAAGAATCATATTAACAAAGAGTGACTATGAGTGAGTTGGCGTTCGAAAAGAGAAAACATCCCTGCTTTTATGCATGATTTTCCCCCTGACCAACGGAGATCCCATTGTTCTCCATTTTTACCAAAAGCCGTTGAAGAGTTGACATGCCGCGGCCGCCACTAGCTCATGGCGATCTACCCGTAGATGGCTAAGCCTAAGAACATTTTCAGGGACAACTCCCGAACGATCATCGGTAGTTTAATTTGTAAGGAGAATATCCCTGCTGATCATCAAAAGGGATCCACATGTTTCGGTGGTTTTTCCCCTTTTAGAACAAGACTTGGACAGTTTATGGAGACACCCCTGTCATCCCGAGGCTAGACGTTTTTTTTTTGACCGTTTCCCCTTCCTTCTGATGCTAATCGATCCTCTCATCCTTCGTGTTTAGGTTAATACAATTAATAATTACCACTTATCAGAATGTATCTTTCGTAGTGTGGACTCATTATAGATGAACGTTATTTTTATCTAACTTGTATGTGGGTGTGAAGCCACATGTTGTAACATTAAGAGACTCTTGTTTCTTTCTGTTCTTCACCCACGCTAAGATAAAAAAAAACTACGCGAGAGCGGGTAAAGGGGCCAAACCTGTTTTTACTTGTCGAGAGAAGGCACCTGAAGAACCAGTCGATCTTTCAAAGGGGTACCCTTTGGATCCGGAAATTGCTAGTCCTTCTCGTCAAGAGGATTTCGAATCTATGAATCCACACTATTCTTCGCCTTTTTACCCTATCCTATTCATGCACATGGTATCTGGTTGTCGGCACCAACTGAGACCCCATTCGGTCCCCTCCTTAGGGCTTTGCTGTGTCTAATAATAGAGCTAGCATGCACATTTTTGAGCAATTTTGAGCACAGCTCCGCTAAAATCAAACGCCCTACCATTTGATCAGCCGCCCTAGTTTATCTAACTGATTTTGATCAACACTAAGAGTTATTGATACATAAGTTTTGTTGGCTACATGATCTATTCCGTAGAGCTGCGCATGTAAGCCTGCACAGTCCAAAACACATAGCAAACGCAATAAATTCCATCTTGCAACAATTGCTTATATGAAATTTTCTAGCGTAATGGGTTTTGTATGATACCTAGCCACTTTACAGAGTGTAGAGGATATTTAATAAGTTAGTGAGGATATATATATTTCTTAGGTTTATGTAATTTGTGATATCATGACAATGTAAGAGTTCGATTCTAAATACAGAATACTAAAAATTGCCCATTGCCATCGGCAAGTAATAGAATCTAATAAAAACATCCAAATATAAGTGACAAGTGTATGGCTTTTGGCAGAACATCCACTTGGAGTTACTAAAACTATCTGGAAATCATTACCTCTCCGCTCTACCGTTTCTGCGGCAGAAAAGGCTGCTTAGTAACAATAATTTATCCCATGTTTGATTGTAGGCTTTGCCCGTGGGATTTTGACAAGATTGAGACAGCCAGCTACAAGACAAGGGGCACCACAATTTGCAACTTTACAATGATTGGTGGGCTCTGCGTTGGTTCAATGTTCATGTGGGTAGCCTCTCTGCCTAAACTGAGACAATTACCCCTGTAAAATTGGACACATCTCTTTCTTCCTTGTTTATTGCTTAGTGAGAATCCGATTGGTAGTCCTGCAGAGGGGCTATGGATATATGCGAGAAGCGTTAAGCACCGAGGGTAATGACAACCAGGAACCATTCTGGTAAGTGATTCGCGAGCTGATTCTAGCGCATTGTATGTGATATATACAAGACGGAATGTATAATAATAAGGCTAGGTGGCGTCATCACGAGGGTGGGGAAGAGGCCTTTATCTTATTCGAAGCATAACATGAGAATCAGGTAGCGGGGGAAAGTGCATGTTGGATTCGCATACGGACCGTCTCTTAGGAAGAATGTCTTACTATGGAATGAGCGGTGTGGATGCTTGAAAGTTGATGCAGTGCCGACGGATGAAGTTGAATTCAACGAACGGTGAACAGTTGCTTGATATTTTAGGTGTTGAGGCTCAGCGGAAAGTGGGGCGGGGTGATCTATAATTTGAAACTACATTGAGTGGCAGGGCGGGTAGCCGAACTCCATCAAGTTATCAGTTGAGACATCAATGAAGAATTTCGGATACTATTTTTCACCGTCTCTATCCTTTTCTCCCTACTGAAAGAATGGCTAGTACTGAGAGAGACAAACCCATCAGCTATCTGCGAACGAAGAGTGTCTGAATCTCTGCAAGTCACTGCATCCTCTCCTTGGGAAATCACCGATATACGCAGATGATCCTTTCCAGGTGGTAAAAGATCACTCCGCCTCCTGACTAGAGTGGATTCATCTGAAGGCTACCGAAGGGGCACGGAGTTCAAGCTTAGAAGAACTGATGCAGATGGGGGGGGTTGGAAAATGTCAAAGCCTTTTTCCTTCGGACATGTTGGAGAGCACGGATTGCAAAGAAGCATGAGGAGGAGACGAGCATCGATTGGGATGTTGCTATAGTCGGGAATCCGGGATCAGGTGGGTGATATATGTTTACTGGTTATTTTCGGTACTAACCTCAACAAGGAAGTCTTGGATCAAGGACTTGTATGGGAGGTTTCTTCACGAGTTAGGCGTATGTGGCGACGTGTATACGGACACAAAAGATCAAACCTTCAGCAAGGAAACCATACTACAGCTACCTGACTACTGTGATGACGATCTGCGACGTGCGTTAGTAGACCTAGCTGCTCGAAGACGATGGAAGATTCAAGGTGGGCCACACGGCAAATATCTGTGGATGATGATTCGTGTTGTCGGCAGCAGGCGCGGGCCTGGCTTCCGCAGCATATACGTGGCCAGGGCTGTGTGGAATACGGTCCTACGCCGACACAGAGAGCCAATCGGCCAGGAACAGCGCCAGGGAAGGCACCAAGACCGTATGTTGATCACCAAAGAAGACCTCATCGGACCAGACCCGACCGTGGCCCACCGCTAAAGCGCTGCATGGACCAAGGTTAAGGCGATGGTCGGCTTGGAGGCCGTCGAATCGACCATGCAGAACATGTTCTGTCGTGTGGTACAGAACTACCGCCGCTCACAGCAGGGCAAAAAGCCAATACAAGCTCCTCTCAATCAGGTGTTCCTTGAGCCACCAGGAACAGGAAAGACTAGAGTCGCAAAGCTCTACGCGCAAATCTTGGCCGATCTCGGGCTATTATCGAGCGGAAAAGTCATCATCAGGAATCCATCCGACTTCATTGACCCGTACCAGGGGCAGTCCGAAAGAAGAACTAGAAGCATATTGCAGAAAGCAAAAGGGAAAGTATTGATCATCGACGATGCGTACATGCTGTACTTAGGGTCGGGGTCGGACGCGCGCGATGGACCAGACGCCTATAGAATTTTGATGTTTGACATCCTTGTTGCCGAGCTAGATAACTCACCGGGGAGCGATCGTTGTGTGATTCTGCTTGGATACCAGGAGCGGATGCAGGAAATGTTCCGCAAGAGCAACCCTGGACTGGCTCGTCGGTTTGATCTGGCGCATGCAATTCACTTCACAGACTATACTGTGCACCAGCTGGGGCAGATCCTGGACTCCGAGTGAAAAGAGAAGCGTTTACAGGCAACGGTAGAGGCGCGGAAGGTCGCAGTGCAGTTTTTGGAAAGGGCAGAGAGATTGAGAACCTCCTAGGTCGCGCCCAGGACGCATACAACGCACGTACTGCAGCCACATCAGAGTTAGAGACCCGGAGGATCCAGTTTTCACACCGCGAGACTTTGATTTACCCTACAATCGGCACCTGCAGGCTGCGGCCGAGTGCGAAGCGCATTTTCAGGAGCTGATCGGTATAGATGAGATTGTCCATCAGCTGCAGGAATACCAGACTGCAGTAGCCGGTATGCGGCGAAACAGCATCGATGCCCGCCCATACATTCCGTTCACGTTTGTCTTTCGAGGCCCGCCGGGCACAGCGAAGACCTCCACAGCTCGTAAGATGGGCCAAATATTTTACGACATGGGATTCCTTTCAGCGCCGGAGCTGATAGAGTGCTCGACTAGCGACCTCATCGCGTCTTCCCAGGGCCAGACCAGGCAGCGCGTGACAGACTGGCTGGAGCGAGCGCTGGGGAAGGTGTTGTTCATCGACGAGGCATATCGGCTCGCGAGTGGCGGATATGAGCGGCAGGCGGTCGATGAGCTGGTGGACCGGCTGACCAAAACGCGATACGCTCAGAAGCTGGTTGTCATGCTGGCAGGATACGATCGCGAGATGTCTCGCCTCATGCAGATAAACCGGGGTCTGCGTAGTCGTTTCCCGACCGAGGTTTTCTTCTATCCGTTATCGGCCGAGGCCTGTTGGAAACTCATGCAGAAGGAGCTGACCTCTGTGGCCATTGAGATTGTGGAAGACGGGAGTGGCAGCAAAGCAGTGGTGGAAATGTTTGCGAAACTGGCGAAAATGCAAAGCTGGGCCAGTGCGCGCGATGTCAAGCGGTTGGGCGGGGAGTTAGTGCGGCAGTGCTTTGGAGGCAAGGCGGATGACTCCAAGTCATGTCTCGGGGTTGAAGGTATTTCTTGGCACCAGAACTTGGCCCTAAGAAAGGCAAGCGTTTCGGAGGCAGAGATGATAGCCGCCGCACTGTGACAGCAGCTTGTGTCTAATGTGTCGAGCCAACAGTGTCTGTGGGCCGTTTGGTCTAATGAGTGAACCCCAGACAAGAGGTGAATTGAAAAATGACGGCCAAGCCGGGTAATTACATAGATGCAACGCAATAGATCAAAAATTAAATGTAATCACATCCAAGAACTTCTGATAGCGGCCATATATTCTCCAATCGATAGAGCCTGGCCATCCCGAATAAGCTGATATGTACCAGGGACACCTGGCGGTGGTGGAACATGCAGCCATTCATGGCTGCCATCACAGGCATGGCTTTCTATACCATCAGTTTTGAGACCGCCAAGGCATTGGTCGCAAATATCTGCATTGCACCGGCGACAGATGTTGCAATTGACAAAGTTACCCCACGATTTAAGCAGATATGACAGTACCAAACGCGCGCTTCGACGACCAGCGGCCAGGGTGATGCCATGCGTTCCTCTGCCGAAGCGGAAGTGCCATCGCGGATGGTAAAAGGGCTATGGGTGAGCTGGAGAAGCGCGATAGCATCTTCATCATCGCCAATCATAGCAAAAAGATGCCCAAGCACACGTTGTGCGTCCTTCATGTCATATAAGCTAATGTTTTCATCGCAACCAAATACAGCCTGGAGCACGTATGGTCTGAAGTAATCCCTTGCCTCCTCCTCGCGCCCGTTGAGTTTATGCCATATGCCCATGTAAATGCCTGATTGGCCATCAAAGAGAACGCGATAACACATGGATTCAATTTCGTTGTCACAAACTGTCTCGAGTTCCTGGACGATAAGAGCTTGGAAATTCCCGGTTTCTCTCAGACCGTTAGTTAGGAGCCGGTATGCGTAAGCAGCAACAGCACGATTCCTTGTTCTGCAAAATGTTTCGTACTGGAGCGAGCCGCGTACCCTGTGTTGGGCTATGATACTCTTCCAAATTGAAACGGCTTTCTCCTCCTCGCCCAAGAATTTATCATACAGGTGAGCTAGAGACTCCTTGATAGATAGGATGTCAATACTCCCTAGTTTCGTCTTTCTTTCCGCGATCTCACTTTGGTACTTGCATTCCAGCCATTGCAGGTTGTTACAGCGTTTGGCGAGGACGGCAAATATCAAGAGAAGCTGGGTGTTGTCCCAGCTCTGCCAATCCCCGAAATTGTTCCTCAAAACACCAAATAAAACACTATCAGCGTCGTCATGCCAGGGGTTTGTGTCGATCTTTTTGAGTACTTGCATGATCCGTTCGTATTGAGAGCATTGCGATGCAACGAGAACACGAATTACAAGTGGCACAGCGTAGCTGATATAAACAGGATCCCAAAGCTCGATGCTTGTCATGAAGCAGTGGGTGGCGTTTGAGTAATCTCCCAGCTGAATATGAAGTGAGCCCAGGTCATTGCGGAGCTCAGATAGATCTCGAGCTATGTCTTCGACTTCCTCTTCGTCGTTATTCTCCATCAGTAGCCGTGTGTATTGCGCTTCACACTCTCTCAATAACTGGAGGGAATTATCCAATTGGCCCTGCGTCTCATAGACCTTAGCAAGTTCAATTTTGGCACGCCATATTGGCTCCAGTGCCAATGCAGTGTTCAGATGCTCGATGGCCGCGTCAACATGCCCTAGAGACCTAAGACAAGCCCCGACACGGTGATGCCAGCACGCGTTTTCCTCAAATTGTGCCCACCTAGCAACTTCCAGGACGGTGTCAACAGATGCAACCGGGGGAGGTCGCAAGTGGTCTGGATTGTCACCATTGAGAACAATGATAACAGCTCAAACTGTGGCCATGTGGAAATGTGGATGCCAGAAGTTCCGGGAGTCAACGAGCCACCTGCTAGCCACTGCACGACCTAAGGGCACGAATAGCTGAGCAGGTTCTTGAATGCAGACACGTATCCATTTCCTCGTATCAAGATCGTGGATGGTATTGACACACTCCTGATCAGCGAAAAGCGAGATAATCAATTCCATAGTCTGATGATCAAGAAAAGAGATAAGAGGGTATGCAGAAGCGTTAGTGTGAAAAATTTCTAGATCCACGCACTCAAAGATCTGGCAAAGTAAGACAATTGTTTTTGCTTCTGCTGTTTATCAATTTTGTCCCAAATGTTGCAAACATGCTTTAGTTGGCTCACCCACTCGTTAAGGGCATAGGCATGCACGTAGACCACGACGTGATCACTCCCATTAACGATTGCTGATAGACAAACATTCAACGTATTCACGCTCGCCTGGACAATGTCAATGCCAACAGGTGTTGAGCCATCTCCTGCAGACACCTTTCCATAGCCTGAGTTGCGAAGGTAGTCTCGAATTGAAGCGTGGCAGAAGACGACTGTGGTACTATACTTGTTGGAATTGAACCCCTGTTCCTGCTCGCTGTAAGGGTCACTGTTTTCAACCAACCAGTCATTTTGGAGTTGAGTAAAGCAGTTTTTTCCCTCGCCAGCTAAATCTGCTGTCGTCAAACCGTCCTCTCGATTGAGCACAAAAAGCGAAGCATAGTGTATACGCAAATCGTCTTACAACCCCAGTCTATCATCCTCAGTTTTCAACTCAAGTCCCAGTATCGTCTCTAGCTCTGCCAACCTCAAGGGTGTATCTGCACATGCCACCCACGAAAGAATAATGTTGAGGTCAGTTGCCTCTTCCTCATTCAGCCTGCTGCTAAATGTCTCCAGGACGTGTTTCAGCATCGCATCGAGGCTCTTGGGGGCTTTATGAAGACTTTCAAGCATGCTGCTAGCCCTGGCCCTCCCATTAAGCTCAGTCAGCATCAGGTCGGCCCAGATGAACATGCCCTCGGCCTTGTCGATTAAAGCTTTTTCAATTAGGACGCGCTGCGGTTTTGGAACCCGGCTTATTGACCGGGACTTGCGGATGGCTTTTCGAACGTAATTTGTGATATCCCCGATGTTTTTATTGGCGTTGACATGAATGGTTGAAATAGGCAGTCCCAAAGCGTTCACCAAGTCGTCGTATATTTCTGGTCTCCCAAGGAGAACAACCTTGATACCAGACTTGATAGGATCTAATTGACTCAATCTATTAGCTTCTATTCTCTACTGGCACAGTCCAGTGCGTTGTTACTCACGGTGTACGAAGTTCGAGGCTAGCGCTAGAAACTCTCGACAGTCGTCTCGAAATGCTTCATCCACACTATCAAGGACAATTATCACATTACCACCGACCGTTTCGAGGGTATTGAGGTAGTACTCTACGAACAGATACCTCCATGCAGCCTGAAAGGATTTAATGTCGTCGGGGGAATGACAGTTGGCATGTATATAACACCTGTAGGAAAGGTCGTTCTGATAGATTTGGAACGCGATATCCCTCAACGCACGGTGGAAATTCCTTGTCTCGGGATCGGTATGTTTGAAAAAGAAATACCCAACTGAAGTATCATTTCTCTCGGTGGCGCATTGAGGATAAAGCGCTTGAACATAAGAGATGATGTTCTGCGCGATAAAGCTCTTGCCACACCCTGGGGTGCCGGATACCCACAGCAATGGGTTATCATCATTTTCAACCCATGCCTGCTTGCTCGAATTACTCGCATCATTGTATGCAGGAAGAACACCGAGAAGCATTTTTGTGTAAGCCGCTGCAGTAAGAGCGGCGTATCCTTGCCATTTTTTGCTTTTATGGGAGTCGCAATAGTCGCAGATTCCTCGGATGACAAGACACGACAACTGATCCATCAGGCCAGCGGCTTCCATTTCGAAACACAGGATATCCCTTCCCTCTGCCAGAGCATCCCGTTTCTTAGGGTCTTTTATAACTTTATTCCCAGAAGCAATGAGGCCGTGATGGATGATTGGCTTCTTGAAATCTCGCGGCTGACGAACCTCCAACTGTCTCTGATCGCATGCTGAACAGTCGGTATCTTCACTTCTGCAATGGTCATAGCTTGGCTTGAACAGCAAGTCATTCTCTGGTCGCGAAAACTGATCCCGAACTTTCTCATGTTTTTCGAGAATATCTGATATCGTTTTCTCAATCGGAGTCTCGTTGACCAAATCATCACTCTGAATTTGTGATATTGCTGTGAGCAAATATCGAGGAGGTTTGTTGAGTGAGCCAGTTTGCTTGAAAGATCCATCAGGAAGTCTCTTTCCATAGTCATACTGGATGATACCCCCAAAGGTAGAAGCAGAAGTCGGCATACTAACAACTACATCTCCAAGGCGGATATCAGTTTTTCTACTAGGCACACCACCCCCGATGCCCACCATAAGACCGAACCGGAGAGAAAGGAATGTCGACAGCATTTGGGCAAGCGCAATCGCCGCGGATGTAGTTCCATAGACACCCGAGGGAAGACAGGCAATAACAACATGATGACCACTAACACTCCCAAGTGTATAGGAGTTGTGGTCGGTTTGTGGCTGGGATAATGAAGGGTGGACTCTCTCCAACATAAGATTTGCCGCTGCTACTTCTAGTGGCAAGGCAAATATCCATGCGACTGTGTAATTACCATGTGTGAAGGCCATTTTAGGGCTTTGTAGATGAACTCAAGAAGACGTTAGTCAGGATCTTCCACCTGATAAAATAAGATGATGTTAGCACATGACCAGCTGGAGGCACAGCGGTCACGTAGCCAATACCAACGATCACCTGCTGCCCAATGTACCGCTTGTTGCCTAAGAGTGATTCGTGATTCAGCCTCGGATCAGGCATGATTCAGGCAGCAACCGTGCAAAACCAGGCATCTGACCCTTGGCCGCTATGCCCTATCGCAAACCAGGAAGAATAAGCATTCCTTTCTCATCAAATGCACGTTTCTTTAGTATATGAACTAGGAACAACAGAATAGATGGCATGAAAAATATGAAGTGACAGAAATGTGGCAGAATATCTGATGACACCAAATCAGGAAGGCGGTACCAGAATTTGAGACAGAGGCGCTTAGATATTCGATGCCTGGATTTCTCCCAATCTGAGGTAGTAATCGGGAATCCGAGCTGACCTTGTAGGTCAGGGGCTGAAGCGAAAAAGTTTCTCGCACTGACGTCCTAGTCGGCTAAATACCTGATAGCAGGGACCCCAGAGCCTGGCTATTCAAGTGCAGGCCAGAGGACCAGCGGACGGGACCCTTGCCAATTTCCCATCGAAGCCCCAGCTAACGCGACCCGATTGTGGGGTTGCGAGTGGGCCAATAAATTTGTACGTCATTAAGCCACAGGAACGGGAGGCCTTTATATAATAATCGGAAGTTGACCGAAGGATTGATCGGGATTAGCAAAAAGAACCTTAGTATCGGGACCGGTAGGAAGGTGAATCGGGATCACCTCACGGCTCGGGTAAGGTCCGGTAAATACTCAGGTCCAAGTTTTTCAATGGCGGCTGGCCGTGTCTGAATTGGAATCACGATCTTACACATCCCGACGTATCTGCTCTCTTCTATTCACCGGCTAAACCTTTACCCCCAAACTATCCGGAAAAGTATTGTCCATGAACTGGCGTAGTTGGAAGAGTACACATAATAATCAAATTCATGCAGATCAAGAGACCTTGAGTCTAGAAATTAAAGCTGAAAGTCTGCCATGGCGCAGTTTAGTTTGACAAAGATCATTGTGTATCGTAAAACTAGAGAAGAAAAGGAAAACAAGTGAAGTATGGGGAAGACACGGAAACCCCGATTACCCCAGTTTTCTCGGCAGAAGAGAAGGTTTCACCGGAGAAATTCCGATAAAACGTCGGCGATATTCCTGTGGATTTCCGTTTCGGGGCCGTGCTTGGCGACGGCCCGATCACACATTTTGGCCGGCATTTCGCCCTTTGTCGGCTTGGAAACTGCGACTTGCCCTGCTCCTTCTTATTTGTCTTTATGTTTTTTCTCATATGACCCTCGGCAGCTCATCGGAATGATATCTATTTACAAGGTTGCTCATACTGAACCCTTTAAAATTTCCTGGAGACATTTCGGGAAAACCACCCTTGCACATGCCGCTGCGAGTGAATAACATAGACCCATATCTCGGGCAAAGTATGGCTTGGCACAATGTTGACTGGATGAGAAGGGAAGAATGGGGCTATGGGGCTTGGAATGGAAACCTTCGAGTTGACCATGGCTCCTTTACCCCGGGGAGATTTTACCCCAACTTGTGGGCACCCCGGGCTTTTGGCCCATGGTTGATTTTTCCAGGTATATAAAAACTACTTTCCCGTAGCCGGTCGGTTTCTTTGAAATTGTTGCTCTTTTCAGGGCGATTTGGTTTTCATTACCCAACTCACTAAGACTACATTTGGTTTTACTCATCATGGCAGGCCTCGAACTCAATGTCGACTGGAAGTCGAATCGATGGGCTATTGCCTACTGTTTGGTGGCTGCCATCGGTGCCCTTTGCTACGGTTATGATACGATATACTATACTGGCATTCAGGGTATGAAATGGTTTGCCATGGACTATGGCGAGCAAACCGCAGATGGCTCCTGGGAACTTGGAACAACGTTCCTGTCGCTGTCTGCTAGTATCATCTACGTAGGAGAGCTGATTGGCGCCATTGCAGCTGCTCCTATCAACGACTTCTTTGGTCGACGTGTCGTTTTCCTGTCGGCTTCTCTCTTTATCATCATCGGGGCCATCGTGCAAGCGTGCTCCTTTGGCTCTGACCCAGTCTTCTATGTCAGTCGTGTCTTGATTGGCCTGGGTATCGGACAGTTCACCGCCACCTGTCTAATGTACATTGGAGAGGTGGCACCTTCTGCTATCAGAGGTCCAGCTCTCATGTCCTTCCAGTTCATGCAGTCTATCTCGCAACTGGTTGGAGCCTGTGTCAACCAAGGCACAGAGAAGATCAATAGTGCCGAATCCTACCGTATCCCAATGTGCCTGCTGGTTGTTCTTCCTGGTATCATGCTTCTGTGCCTTCCTTTCACACCAGAAAGCCCAGTGTGGTATATGTATAAGGACAAGCGTGAGAAGGCCATCAAGGCTCTCCGCAAAATCAACCGCAGCGCTCGCGACTACGACCCCTCGATGGATATCCAGGCTATCGACGATGCCGTCCAGATCGACCGTGAAATGTCCAAGGATGCGTCCTGGGCCTCCCTTTTCACAGACCCCGTTGAACGCCGCAAGCTCTTCTACGCCTGCGGTGTTATGTTCGTCCAACAAATCAACGGTATCCAGTTCTGGTACACCTACGGCGTTGTCTTCGCGCAGTCCATTGGCGTCGCGGACCCCTTCACCATCAACACTATCATCTACGTCCTACAAATCATCACTGTGGGCGTGTCTGTCGTCTTCGGAAACAAAATCAAGCGTCGCACGAACCTCCTTGTCTGCTCGGTGGGTATCTTCGTCTCCCTCATCGCCGTCGGCGGTCTCGGCACCACCCGCGCCGCAGACGGCTCTTTCAGCCGTGGCATCGGCATCGGCATCGTCGTCCTCGCCTACCTCAACATCATCTTCTACAACTTCTCCATCGGTACCCTCTCTTACTCCATTGCCTCGGAAATGTCCGTCGGTCGCAACAGAAACAAGATCACCTCGTGCGCCATGGCCGTCTTCTTCCTCACTGTCTGGCTCATGGTCTTCACCAGCCCCTACATGTACTATGATGCCAACCTTGGTCCCAAGATTGGCTTTGTTTATGGAGGAACCACTCTGCTCTTGCTGGCATTTTCGTGGTTCTGTGTCGGTGAGACCGCGGGTCGCAGCAATGCGGACATTGAGAGACTCTTCCAGGACAATGTTCCTGTTCGCGAGTGGGCTACTTATGTTATCCCCACTGATGAGGTGACATACGTCAAGAACAAGGATGCGGAAGATGAGCAGATTGAGATGGCATGAGCTATATGATAAGAATTTATTCAACGTTGCATTATTGCCTCCCTGAGCTATGAACCTTAGAAATTATGTACCTGCATCCAGAGCTCCCCAAAGCCAATAAAGCCCAAAGCCCAACCCACTAATGGGCTGGGCTTTGGGCCCTATCTTCGGGCCCACCGAGCCCACAATCGGGGCCCATAGCCTATAATAAGCACTGAATAATATAAACATTCCGAAAAACGTGACTTTTTTAACTACCTTATGTTTAGACTCCGAGTTTAGCCCTTGAATCAGGGTAATAAATTATCATTTTAATTAATACGTTTTTAAAATTTCATTAGATTTATATATTACGTTTAAACACGCGAAAAAACGCGTTATTTATCACTCTCTGGTCGTACTGATTTCTCTGAGGACTGTGGTCCGTATGTGTTGTGAAAAGAGACATCTACGCCACCAAGTGCATATATTAACTTCCTTAGCAGATTCTCTTCTTCCACATCACCATCTTCATAATTCAATCATGTTCTAATCATAGATGAAATACTTACTAACCCATATCCAGATGTTATTAGGGGCATTGGCGTCAATAGTGGTGCCGGTACAGACACCCGCATTAGCGAGGGCAAACCGAACAGTAATCCATTTGCGCACTGTAAGATATCACCCTAACCGCCATTGGGATAGGCTGGATGAGATGATCATGATCCGTCGCAAACCTGTGACCGGATCAATTCCACAGTCGACAGTAAAGTCACGCGGGGGGGCATCCCGCTTCTCTAGGGGTCTCTCTTATAGTAATCTTGGCAGATGGTCTAGATTGTGAAAAAGATGAGGTTCTGGACTCTAGTAGGCTGCACGATACGATACGATCCAAGGCTCTTAACATCCCCGCGTCTAACTGCCTATGTAATACTGACACATGTAGGTATTAATGTTGTGGCCTTTCTTTCTAGCTCTTGCCGGGGTGTGAAGTCCAATCTTGTAGTACCCTTGGCATTACTCTTTATATATTTCAAAGTACGATATTCAACAGATATATATTAACATATCCCAATGATAGTTTTACTTCCCATAGTTTTTGCTTCTTATATACTTCTCGTATTCAAACTGCCTGTGACGGGGTAATACAGAATGGTCAGGTGCCATTTGCCACCACAGGCATTATGACGGAAGGACTACGCATTCTGGTATTTATTAGGTATTAGAAAGCGTTAATACCATTCAAAAGAATAAACGATACTATTCATCAATTTTATTCATTAAACTCACCCTTGTGTAACTATTCACAGCCATGCCTACAGGATCATGTCTATGTCATAACCTCAAGTATGAGTACACCTCAGAGCCTATAACGAAGGTACACAGCGTGACAATATTTCAAGACTTCTACCACTAAGCTCTGCTTATGTTTAGGCAACATGCCACTGTCTATCCTGCCGAAAGATCAGCGGTGGAACACACACATTGAACCTGTTAATTCCAGAGGACAAATTTCGTGTCACTGAGGGCACTGCCACAAGCTATACTGAGATGCACGAAAGTGGTATGAAACTGACAATCAACTTCTGCAGCAAGTGTGGTTGTTATATCTATAAGACGCATGAAAAGTTCCCAGGGATGGTTGTTATCTTAGCCGGAACACTCGATGCACCCGATGCACTTGAACAAGCTAAGCCAGAGGCAGAGTTATATTCTCAACATCGTGTTAGATGGCTACCAGATTTTGGTTGGGCGGAAAAGAAAGTGGAGTTCTAAGCTGAAGAAAAGTTATGTTGAGCTCGTCTCTACTTCGTGTATGCGTATGATGAACTTGGCCTATGTTTAACCGTTTTCTGTTTCTGCATATTTTTAGTCCGCTATGTTCATATGTACTTGATGGAAATATAGTCATCCCTTTGGAAGTTAATACTAAATTATCAACTCAGAGTCATCTGGAAGTGGCAGGGAAAGGAACCCATGGGTTGTTGTATCAAGGTAGCTGCTAATCCAAAGCTTCTGGGTTGCAAAAGCAATATCCATCCCAACTTAGCATCAGATCACAAAACTTTGATATAAGACCGACGCGTCAAAGGCACATCAACATGAAGCACTAACTTCTTATTTCCAGCATCGTACTCGGCATGACGGAGTCCATTCGGCTTGCGCTCCACCCCAAGAACGGTGACAGCCTCAATAGTGACGCCAGCCTCATACTCAAATGAGCCAGTCATGCTGAGCTTACCGTGCGCGTACTTGAAGTCGATCTCCGACACGGCGTCCTGCACAACCGACTGGCCGTCGTCAAGGTACAGCGATCCCTCCGCGCAGCCATCGAGACCGGGCGCAACGACGATGTTGAATCCCTTCCTGCGCAGCGCGGTTGTAGTGTTGGCACTCTCGATGCGCTGGGGGTACACAATACCGCCCTTGTAGTGGAGTGTGATGTCTGTGTAGTCGACCTCGGCGGAGACGTACTCGCCGCGCCCGCGGACGGGCTTGCCGGTGCCCCATTCGTAAAAGATGTCGTCGGGGAGGTAGTAGTTAACACTCGTGCTGTTCTCCTCTGTGACAGGGCTGACAAGGATGCCGTCGCCGTAGAAGAACTGCAGGTCGATGGGGTAGGTGTTGGGGTCGTTCGGGTAGTTGAAGAATAGAGGGTTGAGGGCTGGGGTGCCGGTCTGGTTCTGTTTGTAGATGGCGGTGTACATGTAGTCGACTGAACATTGTTAGATTCTAATTTCCTTCTCGGAGGGGAGACTGCGGGAATCACTTACGGAGCTGGTATCTGACGGAGATTCCTTTGCGCGCGGCCTCGGCGACTGTCGGCCAGCGGTAGAACTCCTGGGGATTCGCGAAGATTTCGGCGTGGTTGCGGAAGAATGTGTAGAAGGAGCCGAGAGCTGCCCATCTGTTGATCCATATTAGCTAGAGCCGCCTATATGGAGGGAGAATGAACTCTTTACCTAGCACAGAGCGTCTCCGTCACATTACCACCAAAGCCGCAAACATCGGGACCCACGACGGGGATTTGGTACAACGATGCGAACTGCAGAATCTGGCTGATGGATGAGCGGTACCAAGACCACCCGGAAACATTATCTGCAGAGTATTTAGCATGATTTCGTTGTTAATATTGAATGGGTAGGAGGCAGAGGCATTCTTACCACCAAGCCAGTGGGACACGTCCTTGCCGGAGCCAGCGAATGTGCTTCTCGTAATTACCAACGCGCGATCATCCGGACGGCGGGCACGCATGGCATTGTGGGAATGCGAGGACATCATAGCGCCATAAAGGTTGTGGGTATCATATTGAACGTATCCGCCACTCTGCACCAGATCGGTGTCGGCAGTGCTGTCAGCAAGCGTGGGTCCTGCGCCATTCTGGATCATATAAGGCGGCCTGATGAACATGCGATTTGGAAGACCCTTGCATTCGTCAGATCCACAGCCAGAGCCAGTCTTTCTGCCGTGCTGCCACTTGCCAGTCGAGGAAGCCCAGTGGGGCTTGGCAGAGCGCCAATGGCCAGCACCGAGGTTGCGGTGGGAACGAGACCGAGGTTGGTGATGTTGGACAACGGCAGGTGCACGCTTCTCATTTGCGTTACCGGAAGCAAAGTTTGGCTGAAGGCTGTCCGGGAAGCCAGGGATAGGAGCATCCGGTCCATCTCGGACTGGTGGCGGCTTCGGGGGGTCACCGTCCACCTCTGCGAAATTTTCCGGGGTGGTGTTGTTGCCGGGGTAGGGGCGGTTGAAGAAGTTTGCGGGCTCGTTCATATCAATCCATAACGCATCAATGTCCGGGCCATTCGTTCCGTCGAAGAATGCCAAAAACTGCTCATTCCAGTACTGCTGCGATGCGGGATGGAACCAATCAGGGAAGTAGCTCGGACCGGACCAAACGACTCCCTGGTATGCAGAGCCGTTCTTTTCCTTCATGAAAGTATCGTATTTAAGACCTTCATCAAGCGCTGAGTTGGACTCTTTGTAGAATACGGCGGGATCCACCATGACTATGTAACGTTGATCTCTCGAATGGATTGTGTCCACCAGATCTTTGTACAAATTGGCGGGGAACCGTTCAGGATCAATGGTGAAAATGCGCCGACGGTCCATATAATCGATATCTGTCCAGATGGTTTCCAGAGGGATGTTGTTAGAGGAGTAGTTGGCGGTGACAGCGGCGACCTCGTAGACGTCTTGATAGCCGTATTTGCACTGGTGGTAACCAAGTCCCCAATAAGGAGTCATCAACGGGAGCTGCGCAATTTCCGCGTACTGAATGGCCACATCGCGCGGTGAGGGGCCAGCGATGAAGTAGAAATCAAGAACACCGCCGATGATGTTGTACTCGAGGTACTGACCACCCTTGTTGTCAATGAAGATGTCCATGCCGTTGGAGTTGAGTAGGAAAACCCCGTGGGTGGCATCATGTCTGTGGTCAAAATATATTGGGTGAGCGCCGTACAGGTTCTCGCCCTGAGGCGTCCCGTAGGCATCGCGGGTGTAGATCGTCCGTGTGTAGTTCGTTGTGTTCAGCATGAACGCGTCGCTGTGCTCACCAAGTCCGTACAGATGAGGGTTTTGTGGCAGGTGTGTCTTGAGATAGACATATTGACTCTCAAAGACCAGCTTGTTGCCCGTGGTGTCAAAGAGCACTTCACCGGTATCCGTGCGAGATACGGTGAACGAGAAAGGGTCAGCGTTGAAGTTGAACTTGAGCTTGGCGTGCTTCGGGGAACACCATTGGCCGAAACCGGGGCGCGGGAAGACACTGTCTGGAACCTGGTAGACCGTGTTGTTGGTGTCTGAGATCTTGACGTGGAGTCGATCGTTGGTCTGATACTCTACTTCCAACTTCAAGTCTGGGAGGTCAATCCCGAAAACATTGCATGCCGGCCCTGCAAGAGAAAGTTCCGCGTAAAAGCCAGAACGAGTCTCCCACTGCTTCGTCGCCTTATAACCTGGGCATTCGGACAGGTCCTTTGCATAGAGGTCATTGCCGGGGCCATCGAGATCCTCGATACCAGCCTGGCTCTGGGCCCAGACGCAGCCACTCAGGGCTGCAGCTGAAGTGAGCAGGTGCTTGAGGTACATGCTTGAGGCCTTGAATATCGAGCAGTGTCACATACTCATACGGCCCTTATATACTTCTCTCGGCTCCCTCCGACTCCTTTTGCCAAGAGGCCTCTAGTTCGCTTTGCCAAGAACCGTGTTGTCAGTGCGGAGACTGTAGCTTTCCCCAAGGCCGCGATCCCCACCCCGGAGTAAGGCATGTTATTTCAACCGTCCAACTCGAGAGTGGGCGACCGTCATTGTTTCTCGCGCTTTTGAGGCCACTGTCCCATAAATATTGTCGAGATCTTGGTGAGCCACCTTACCCCAGCATTCACAGTATAAATAAGGGGTTCACCTGCAGATCAAGACAAAACACCAACATAACCTTGGAAACCCCGCTTAAGCTGAAAACCAGCGATGATCCTCCCCGTCCTTGATATTTGCCAAGTGCTCCGGTAAAAGCCCGAGAAATGATGCAGTCAACTCCACTCCAAAGATGAAGCCAGCGATAGTTAATGTTGGCATCGACCGCTTAAGTTCGAGTCCTCCGGTAAATGTCCGTAATTGCGGGGATCAACGGGGTCTGTTGTTTGAATGTCTTGTATAGTTTCATGATCTCGGCATCTCGGCTTCCCCGAGCTCTTTGTAGACGGGGTTAAGGGGGGCACAATCATTGCCTTCATGATCCCGATTTTTAGTTTATCCGCTGATTTCCCGATGTATTTGTAAAATCAAAATTTGTTATTTTTCAGGCCTCAAATTCAACCTTATGGTCGAGAGCCATTTTCTTTTGTTGTACACCCCATTTGAAACTGATCAATTAGTCATAAGTCAGATCCGATCGAGACCCGAGACCCGAGTCGCGGGTTTTCAATTCTCCTGATTAACATACCTTGCGTTAGAGGAAGAGGATCAGCGGTGTTTTAGAAAGGGCAAGTGTTCCCGAAGGGACGCTAAACCCGAAGGAGCAACTAATGGAATGGAGGTGGACGGTGGCGGTGCGGGAGCTGGTTGTGGCTTGCGTGTGGAATACTATATATTATTGTACTATGTACACACTACAGAGATATTTTTCGAGAATGTTCTTAATTATCTCTTATCTCAGGTATACATGGATTCAATACCGCGATCAGTGCAATTCTTGACCCTATTTACTTCTGGCAGATGAAAGCAAATACCCAACAGCTCATGAATGACAGGATGGAGAAGATTGAAAGACAAAAAAAGAAAAAGATAAACAGTTGAATATAAGGCCTGACAAAAATCCTACTGAAATCTCCCAAAAGAACCTCATCCTCATGCCCAAATATTGTCTCCCTTTTTGTCAATGCCGCACGTACCATCATCACCACATTTGACCTGATTATCGTAGTCCGCACACTCCACTTTCTTTCCGCCAAACGCCGCATTGATAGCGTTGCTGATATCAACATCGGAACAAGTAGTTTGTGTCTTGAATCCGGCATTCATCGTCTTGCGGTCATTGGCATAGTTGCAAGCCCAGCCTGTCACCGCGCAGCCGCGGCCGTTGATATTGTCGAGGAATCCAGAACCGCACGTGTCATCGGTGTAGTCACTGGCATCGTTTATTACAACGTTCCAATGGGTGAACAGATAACTGTCTCCTGCCTTCTTCATACACTGCTCGTCAAGGCTCAGCTTCGGCTTTTGGGGGTCGATATATTCGGCTTTGTTGTTTTCGCGAGCATACAACACTTTAGGGTTCGTCTGGACGGGAGATGCTGCTGCGCATGCAATAGCAAGACTGATAAGACTGATCTGCTTGAAGTGCATGATTGAAGTGGGAAGATTTCAAAACTAAAAAGAGTTGTGTAAAGTATCGTAGGAATGATTGCAATGGCAAGAAATGTGTATAGGTATATTCTTTTGTTTGATACCTAATTTTCCGGAATACGCTCGCCTTTTATCTTTTAAAACTTGAATTGAATTGCCTAACTCCTCCACGGCTCGACTGTCAGCCTTGTCATCTAAATTCCGCCCCAGGGCCATCTCCACCATGCTAACAGAATGAGGCAAAGAACTGTCACCTTCACGAAGTATTCTAAACAAGAAAATGGCCCCTAGTAATGATCTGGGCAAGATCAATCAGGAAAGGATCTTATAATCCACTTAATATCCACAATCCACAATTCTAAGAGCTGTCCGTATTGTGATTGGGTCTATCACCTTTGTCCTGAACATTAATAGATAATGGCCCCCGGCAGTGCTCTGGGCAACATGAATCCGGAGAAGATCCCCATACTTGCACTCCCGAGGTCCACTATATAGCCCCATTCATGACAGGACTGTTTACTAAGCATCAACAAAAAAGCGCCGCTTGGTATATCCATATTGCAACTTCGGTCAATGGCCTTGTCAACCTTGCGCTCTTGCTAAACCTGTTCTCCGTAACTATTTTTAAAGATCATCAGGGGGCAATGCCGAGGCATTTTGTTGTAGAGAAAAATGACGACAGTTATCAAATCCAACTTTCAACCTATAAATACGAGCCGTCCCTCTGTTCAATACTCATCACAATCATCACCGTTCAAGAAATCATATTCCCAAAGCCCCAGAACCAAAGCAAACCACAAACACAATTCTCTGCAAATCAATTCGCCCTTCCATCATGTTCAACAAAGTCCTCTTCGCGGCCGCCCTCATCGGGTTTACCCTTGCCAGTCCACTCCCCTTAGACGACAAGACCCCCCTCGCTCGTCGTGCATCCGTCCCTGCTGACGATGCGTGCATGGTGAAGGATGCGTTTGGTTTTAATAATGTGGAGGTCTATGCAACCAAAGAGTCCATGCCGATCGACCAAGTTTGCGGGCAGGGATACCTCGACAACTTTCGTGGACGTTGCGGTGTTATCTCCGACTGGGGATGTATGTTCGTGGACGAGAATGTGAACAAAGTTGAGGAAAAGGAGAAGAATGAGGACCGAATCATGGGCGCCAAGATGACCTTCAAAACTCAAGTCTTTTGCTCTGCTAGCGACATCATGGCAGCTATGGGTGCCGCCTCGGCCGCTGACGGGAAGAAGCCAAGCAGTTGTATTGAATCGGAGAAGTGGATGCTCCCATAAGGTGGAAGATCTGACGCCCTTGTTGCGCAATATGTCTGTTGGCTCTGCGGGTTGCCTCCGGAGTTGTGAATGGAAAATAAGTGGATAACTAGCTAGATACTGTACCTCGTGCCAAGAGCCCATTTATCCTTGGTGCACGCTGTATTAATATCAGATGTTTCTCTCTAGAGCTCATAAATATGATTTACTTTGGTACACTTGACTACAATTAACTTGCGGGGGGTGTGGTTGACCCTGTTTGAAGTACAATTTGATGAGGTATTCGATATGCATACAATCTTAGGGTCTTGGACAATAGCGGCTGTTACAAGGATGGATTACCCGAACATACAGTATCGGGACTAAATTACCCGAAGATAGCGTTCTACGGAGATAATTACACCTTATTTTACCGCTAGACCAGACAAGGACCATGATCCTTGTATGGGGGGGGGGCCTAGAGGCGCCATACCTTCCACACGTTCGCCTTGAAAGCGAACTATCACCTGACATGCTTGGCAACTTCCTGTTGTCGATGAAGGCATATCGAGTATCAAAGGGACTAGGCGCAACATCTCTTTCATTCTACATACCCCTTTCTTCCCCTCCTCATCAGCTACAGAAATGGGGACCAAATTTGACGTTACTCCGGAAAAGCAGGCCAGCGTGCCTCGCTTCATCTACAATCAGCTCACCGTCAAGCCCGTCGCGGTCCAGGGAGTCAGCCTCGCGGGTAAGACCGCCTTGGTGACCGGATCCAACACGGGAGTGGGCTTAGAAACCAGCCGGCAGCTCCTCGACCTGGGACTGAGCAAGCTCATTCTTGCCGTCCGCAGTGAGGAGAAAGGTCAGGCGGCGAAGAAGAAGTTATCTGCTGACCGGAATCTGTCCGACGATAGCATCGAGGTCTGGAAACTTGATCAGTCCGACTATGACTCTGTCGCCGCCTTTGCGGAGCGCACCAAGAGCCTCCCCCGTTTGGATATCGTCGTGCTAAACATTGGCATCGCTAACGCGACACGCGTCTTTAACGCCAAAACAGGCCATGATGAGATGATCCAGGTCAATTATCTCTCGACAGTCCTGCTGCTAATTCTACTACTCCCGGTGGTCAAGGAAAAACGCGCTGCCCAAGGGGGTCTGAGCCGCATTACGATTGTCTCATCGGAGGTCTCTGGGTGGACAAGCTTCAAAGAGAAGAAAAGCTTTCCGCTGCTGGCATCGCTCGACCAGAAGAACGCTAAGGTAGACCCCCTAGATCGGATGATGGTCTCCAAGTTGCTGGGGCAGTTCTTCCTGTCATATGTGGCCTCTATTGTCCCGCCTTCCGTGGTGGTCATCAACGCTACGTCGCCGGGCTCTGTTCACGATTCCGAGTTCAACCGTGAGCATGATAAGAGTTTCTCTGGAGCGATCGCGAAAGTCGTGATGCGCCGGCTGGCCAACACCGCTGCTGTTGGAGCCCGCATGATCACCGATGCAGCCGTCAAACATGGCCCGGAGACGCATGGCGAGTTCCTCTCCTTTCAGAAGATTGTTCCGTGAGTTGCTTCCATATGTATCACGATTCAAGCTATCGCTAAACCCGTTTACAGGTTGGCGCCGATCATCTACACCGCGGAGGGAAAGAAGATCTCGGAGCAGCTCTGGCAGGAGACCAAGGAAGAACTAGCCTTTGCAAAGGTGGAGGAGATTCTCAATACTATTTCGAAGTAGATAGTGTAGTGGGAACCTTGTCCTCCACTACGTATTGGCCTTGGCTGACCTTTCTATATTGTCCAGTTTTATTATTTTATCGTTGAAGTACGGAGGATATAAGTAGCATATAGATAACAGCAGAATTCCACTAAAATTTCGGGGCTTTCTCCATGGGTTTATGGACTCGTTCGAGCCGCCACGGATGCGCTGCATGGTATAGTATTTGTCTTCGGTGATCTGCCCATCCATGACCGAAATATATATTTGGACCCCTGGAACTTCAGTAACGCCAATATAACATATGATAGCTAGCCCATTATAAACATGACAGCCCCACTCATACCTCACCTGTATACCTTTCCTTTCATGGGCAGATCGACATACTCCGAGGTGAAACTGCAATGTCCGACATGGCCATCGACTGGTGCCGCCACCACCCCCCACTTAATCGGCAAAAGCGCCATATCCTCATCCCCAATATCCGATCGTAGGACTCTATTTTCGTTTGGATCAAAGGCCGGATGACACGCGGCAGAAATTGCGAGGCTGCAGCTCCCCGCCACCGGCATTCCCGTCTTAAACCGTTTGAAACTCAGCCCCAAAAGGCAGAATAACATGAAGCCTCCGACTGCGGTAGAACTGACTATCGCCACAGGCGAGTAGCCGCAGGTGATCAGGTCTGCTTTAATATCCCTAAGCATTCCCGAGTCAAACGCTTCAACCCCGACCATAAACAGACTTTGAGAGATTAGCCAGTGAAGAATGACTGCGGTAGCCAGGAGCGGCATTGAGTAGCGATATGGTATTGAAAGGAAGTATTGGCTTCGCTGGGAAGATTGCGCGTTGTTCGAGACGCGGAGGCCTTTACGGTGCGTGGCGTATCCACTCCATTCGGCCGCAAGGGTCATTGTGGTTAGGAGGCCGTTGAAGCCGAAGTAGAGGAAAGAGAAAATCAGTTGTGGGGCGTTGGCGATGAGGACGTTCGGTTCCAATGTGTTTGGCCAGCCGGCGCCTGTTATCAGGGTGTCGGCCACGGTGGTTCCTAGTGGTTCCTTCCATATGTTCACGCCTGGTCCAATCTGGGTGAGTCCGTATACGAGAAGACAAATGCAGACTGCGATGGCAATACCCCACCTGCTTGGGCGTCAGATAAAAATACAAGGGGAAAGAAAGCCCAGCAGATATCAGCAGCACTCACAGGAATATACTAAATATCCACCGCCGACGGGAGAGCGCTGAGCCCCATCGTCTCCGCTTCTCGGAAAATGGCCTCGCTTCCTCCAGCGGTCTTTTCTTCAATGCTTTTGGTGAGACGCGGTGCAGGCGTTTCACGTTGCGATAGGCAAGTAGACAACCACCTTGCGTGTATTGGTCCGGGCGGCGTAGGAAGGAAGCAATGGCATCGCCAATAGTCAGGATCGGGGTATCAGTATCGGGTATGTGAACCCACATATAGAACAGGATGCCGGCCTTGCCTATGTTGAACACAATCACAATCATCGTTGTTGTGAACGAGTATTGCAGCTTGCAATGCTGCTCCTGCTTCTCAGCTAGGCAGTAGTCAATCTTGTAGCCACTGACGGTCCACTCGTTGTTGGTGATCTTTGATCGAATATGGGGAAGAGAGCTGACATTGCAGTTATATTCCTTCCAATGTTCCAGACTAACGGGGCATAGCCAATCGTATGGACCAAAACGGGAGACCAAATATTCGTATGGGTTGAATACGGGGTTTGTGTAGATGAAGGCATATGAATCATTTCCCTTTACATCATCGGTCACAATCAAGACTTTGCTGTATGATTTCTGGAAGGTCTGCGCAAATCCATCTACGCATTCAGACGGTTCTAAACGGTCAAGAGTTTCGTTCTCTGCTGCGTAAAATAAATCTCGGAAGGATTCTCGTTTCTCCTTTTTTTGTGGATGGCTCTCAATATTTGTTAAATGCGCGTCTGTCCAATCCATCTGCGGTAAGGATGCAGGGCCAGCAAATATATCATAAGCATGGACAGCAGTTGTTTCGTAGATCGCGGAATTGTACCTATGGTCCTAGTTTAGCAAGTGTAAAAAAGGTATAGATTGCACGAGGAAGTTTGTACATTAGGTGAAAAGGGAGCGATAAGAATGCCAGGGATAGCCATAATACCGAGCGCCTTCGAGATACCCGGAATATGTTGCGAATACTAGGCACTCCAATATCGAGCCATCTGCCGCTCTGATGTACTTTATCTATATCCCGCCTTGTCGGAGCAGATAGACATTGCTATATAAAGCCGCCAAGTTAGCTCACTGTCAAAGGTTGTGAAATGGCGGGAATACTGGGATCATACCATTCCAAAGTTGCTGGCACTCAATAGAGCTGTACTCAGCAAGTTGACCAGCAAATGGAAGCCGGTACTTAACCGGTGCACCGTGTCACAGTCGCCCTCGTACAAAACAGTGTTTCTGATGTGGTGTTTGCCCTGGGAATATTCACTCTGGTATTCAATGGGGTAGAGCTCTAGGTCGTCATGCCTGGAATGTGTAGCGGTGTATAGTATAAGCCCAATGTTGAAGAATAGAACGACCAAGGACGTTATAAACGCCAAAAATACGGTGAACTTCCAGCCTTCGAACCGGGCGCCATCACGAAAAATACTTCGTTTCAGATAGCTTTCGTGCTCCTCATCGTGTGATGAGTCTTGTAGTGGGTCTTGTTCTGAATCTTTTGGTGATGCACTTTGAAGGAGGTGGTATGCACTCTTGTGGGGACTGGGAATCGGTAGTAGTTCGGTACCTTGGCCAAGTGAGCCCCTATCAGGCATTGTTTGATCGGGAATCGGCTGTGACTATTGATGATATAAAAGGTTACTCTCAGCGCAATCGCGCGGCGTCGACTATGTTTAGAAGGTAGTTTTCAATAAGAGACCCAGTCAAGAATATCCCTAATAATAAAAGGAGGCTCAACTTCGGAGAAATCTTCAGTCCCATGGGGATTCCGCGCGGGTTACTCCGTATAACGGGCCAAAAGAGGATAGATCAGGCTTGGCCAAGGTTAGTGCATACGAGCCCTTTTTTGGGGGCCAGGTTTCAGGCGGGGTATTATATGGTGAGGCTCAAAATTTGCCTGGTGACAGGGCTAATCCTTTACCCACTACGGTGAAATGTACGCACAATCTCATGCACATCCAATACTATGGAAGGTACACTTATCAATATCTATTTCAAACTAATGTCCGGCACCATTGAGAAGGCTGCTAAACATGCTATCTTTCCGATTACTCAGAATGAGGGGCGTATCCATCTCTAGTACTTCTCCTCGATCTAGAACAACAACCAGATCATAATTCAAAAAAGTGTGAACACGATGTGCAACCGTAAGGACTGTGCATGTACGAAAGGGATCCTGTTGGAGAAGATCTTGCACACGGGAATCGGTTTCCATGTCGACGCTGCTGGTGCCTTCATCTATCAACAAGATCCTAGCGTTGGTTGCTTGTATTTTGAGCATTGCACGAGTAAGTTGTAGCAGTTGTTGCTCGCCTCGAGATAGCGAGAGAGTGTCGTTTATTTTGGCATCTAGGCCGCCCCTTTCAAGTAGCACACCACCCCAGATTCCAACTCGGTCGAGAGCCGTGATGATTACTGTATCAGGGAGGCTCTCAGTGGGATCTAGATTGAATCTGATTGTACAGCCAACCATGATTAATGGTGTTTGGGAAATGGTCACAAGCCTTTCGCGGACTATATCAGGGGGAATATTAGCGATATCAATGTCATCGATAACAATTGATCCGCTGGTCATGGTGAGCATGCCCAGTAATGTCGATAGCAGAGAGCTCTTCCCACTAATTCATCACGCGATGGAAAGTTAGTCAGGACTGGCAACCCTAACGCCAAATGGGACCCTCGGGAAGATGAGCCTTACCTTCCAGTACGTCCGCAGATACCGATTCTCTGACCTGGCGAACATTTCAGAGACACATTGTTCAATGTCGTTGTTTCAGTACTATTCGCGGATTGTAAGTAATACAAATCAAATGTAGTGATGGCTGAGATATCTGGCAAAATCCGTACTTATAGTGCGCAGACATCCCTGAGATCGCAATGGCTCCATGACCTGGCCAGTCGACGGGAATTGTTTCTTGCTCAGTAGAGTCCTCACACGGTGCGGTGAGTTCAAAATGTTTGACGCGTAAAATTGAGCCAAGAGATATCTCCAATTGTGTCCAACCCGATATTAGAGAGGAAAGGCTACCGTTGAAGGCTTCGTGGAGAGAAGTCAGCCGGAGGAAATATCCAATCAAGGGGAACCATTAGGAACTTAAGGTGCTATAACAAAGACATACCAAGGACGCTATTGAGCGACACTCCAAGCAACCCGACACTTGTGGTATGTCTCAAAGACACTGCTAAGGTGACAACAATCACCGCCTCGGCAGCGACGACGAGGTCCAAGACTAAGGTTAGCCAACGCTGGGTGCAATGAAGCATATAATACGTGCGCTGGGTAGCATCCAACAATATTGAATTCGCGGTCCGAAAGTCTGCTTCCCAGCCAAATGCTTGGATTGTAGCAAGACCCTCGACCGTATCAAGTAGATGGGAGTACAACGGACTTTTGCTTTCCAGGTCCAGGAGTCGAACTTGTCGTGATGTCTTGAGATAGAAATGCTGCAACAAACAGACGGAGATGATCAGGAACGGCACAGATATTGCCATGTACTTTGATCCGGTCGCAATTAATGCAGCATCGGCAATTGATGAGAATAGATCTGAATTCATTAGCTCGAATGGAGGTTGGCTCGAATTGTAGGGGACCCACTTGAGACCGTGACTAGGATGCCAATAGGCAAGTCGGTTTCTATCAGGGTCATATCCTGGCTAAATCGGTTTAGTATTGACCCGATGTCGACAGTGGCTAGAAATTGTGGCGTTGCCCTTTGGATGTCAGCAGTTGACCGAGGCGGAAGCAAACGGAAGTGAATGTACATTAAAACAGTCTTCAGTATGACGTAATGAAGCCGGCGTGCTGTCGAGGGCGAGATCAGAATGAGGATAGCCCTATAGCTTTGTTAGGAGTAAACCGGGGTTTATTATGAGAGAGAACGCTGCACCAAACATAACCACCATTTCCGATAGTGTTGCAAATGGCAAGCAAGAAATACACAGTGACATAGAGTCGCTTTTGGGCTCCCCCACGGTCGGCCCATTGCTGAAGCCAAATGTCTAGTTGAGAATGGTTGTTAGTGATATCGAAATGAGGACAAGTAGAATCCACATACGACTGTATGTGCTAGAGAACACATTCATTATCACGAAGAAGACAAATATCACAGCGTTGGTCCACCCAACGTAGCGCAAATAGTACCTGTAGACAGCAGAGTCCCCTGTTGCCCTCCTGAGATCGTCGATCTCATTCGCATCGGAGAGCATGGCGGCTTTATGTTCTATCTCCAGCTCTGGGGTTCCATTCGAGCCCTGAGCCTCCACAACATCAGACCCGATTTCTTGGTAGACATTCCCCTTACTGGGCTCTTGCTGATGTAGACACCCATGTGAAAGAACGTAAATCTGATCCGCACACGGCAGGTGCTCGACTACTAGGATTTTAGCCGATAATCAGCGACAAGGATACTTTGGAGGGAGCGTACCTTCATGCGTGACCAAAACAATGGTGGAATTTGTCTTTCGGAGTAGTCCCTCGACTCCCAAAAGACGCGTTATGATAGTAGTCTTGGTCTTGCTGTCCAGTGCGCTGAATATGTCGTCCAATAACAAAAGCTTCCTACGAGCATATACCGCTCGAGCAAGGGCAACACGGTGCATTTGACCACCGCTCAGTACATGGCCGGATCTGTGTCCAATTTGCATAGCGTCTCCCTCTGGAAGGAGATCCAGGTCTGAATTGAGATCACATGCGTGAAGAACAGCTGTGTACCACCTTTCATCAAAAGCGCCATCCTTCACTTGACCCGCTGAGAAGGTTCCACAAATTGCATCCCGGATGGTGCCACTTGGGACCCAAGGTGTTTGTGCGCAGAATGCCGGTTGTCGATTGGTCACTGTTCTAGATCCTGACTCGCACACTGCTTGGCCAAGAATAGCCCGAAGCAAGGTCGATTTTCCCGATCCGACTTGGCCTTGTATGATGACCAGCGCTCCGCGAGGGACCTGTAAACTAACATCTCTCAACACTACCTTTGAGGATGCGGATGGGCGGATGCTGAGACCTTGCATAGAGATGACAGGTGTTTCAAGGCTACCAGTATCTTGTGGGCCCTTGAAACTTATGCTCTGTGCTTCGACGATATGCGAAGAACTCTCAATTTCCGTTCCCCTTGTGCGGAAAACGCCATCCACTGGGTGTTGAGGACCGGTTTCCAGCAGAAGGAATGATTGTAATCTATCGAAAGATCCGCTCGCAGCCGTAATGGAAGGAATCGCACTTAATAGCTTAGAAGCTGGGTTGGTGAGAAGAGTTATGATAGAAAGACTGCTGAACGCATTGGTAGCATTGATTTCGTTTCCTTGAGCAGCGTAGATGACGAAGGTCAAAGCTGGCGCTAGGGCCCAAGGCAGATTCTGGACCATATTCTTCCAGACGATACTCCATCGGTACTTGGCCATTTGACGGGTTTCTTGAACTCTCTTCCTCTGTACAAGGCGAATAAAGGTTTGACCCAACCCAGTCCCCTTGACTGTTAGAATACCTTCCAGCATTGAACGGGTGATCGCGATGCGTTCCTGCACGGCAACCACCCATATTTTCTGGTGTCCTCCTATATGCTTCGAGATGTAGACAGTTCCTCCACTAGATACTATGGCCAAGCATTAGCAAATTATAGCCGTGAACGAATTGCGACCGAAACACTTACCGAGAACGATTGCTAATGGCATCAGGCAAACCCAACCCAGCCGAAGCGCAAGTAGCGCAATGCCAATGCCCACTTCAATTGTCCGCGACCAGAATTCATTCAACTCGAGTAGACATGCGATGATGCGGTCAATGTCGGTGGTCATTAGAGTGATTGTGGCAGAACGATCACTTAGGGTGCCATCTGGGATGTGCAGGGCATGGTCGTATACCATCGATGAGGCCGCCCCCGAAACATTGTCACAAACCGGTACAACATCTGGTCGTAAATGAGGTTTGATAGGGCCATTCCTAAATATATTAGAAGAGTGGCGGCAATGAGACCGTAGCCTTCATTGCTTGCGCTATGTGGATTATCAAGCCAGTTGAGAACAGATGAGATCAAGAAGGGCTGGGAGAATGTAAATCCAATCAAGAATAAACGTGGAAGTACGGTTACCGCAATGGGGCCCTTAAACGCTCGGCCCATCTGCCATGGGAATTCGAAGCGGCGTGCCGGACACTGGCGTGAAGCCCAAGCCGTCGATGCTTTCCGCGCCGTCCTCGCGGACTCCAGGGGCTTGTCGAGATGATCAAGATCCCCAGTCGTAAGCAATGATCGAAAGCCCGTGAAAAATAGACGGTTCAGCCACCACATGAATGACGCATTGAATATTCCACTTGTTGACTCTGGTGGAAGATGTTGATAGGAACCAATAAGGTGTTTCTGCTTCCCCAAGCTCTCGAAAAGCACCATTGCAGTCTTGACAGCGACACTGACCGTAAAGAGACTAGGAATCAGGGAGTTTCCGTGAGAGAACCACAAAGTGCGTGTCTGTAAAATGTCGAAGAGTAATGTGAAGAGAAGGTATATGGCGAGGAGTGATGATGGTCTGACCGATCGCTCATCTTCAACCCACGACAAGATCACAATTTGTACCGCCACTGCCAAATTTACAGCACTCGATGCCACGGAGAACTTTGTAGCTAGCTGAGCGCTCTTGGCCCAGGTGATGAGGAGGGAAAGTTGAATCACGGCAAAAGCCAAGGCAGTTATCTGAGGTGAAATTGACGTTATCTCGTGTTTGACTCTGCGAGTGGCGATGTGAAAATGCTTACCAGCTTTGCTGATCTCATTATGTGAGACTGGGTCCGCACGTCTCTCTTAACCAGGACTTTCAATCGCAGAGGGCACACGAGGAGAAACGTGACCGCAGGAGCGAGGCCAAGTATGGCTTGCTCAAACAATAACGTGAAATCAAAGCCATATCGGCACGCGTGATCTATCGCAGGGCCAAAAATGTCGTCAGCCTGGGGTGAGCACCTCGGCGATAGTGACATGATGTCGTGCATTCTATCGAAGCTCCCTTGATGAAATGAACGAGAAGGGGAGTTAACACCTGTTTATAAGCCAACAAACCCCTTTCACTTATCGCGACCGTTTATCGGAATTCTACAAAGGTACGATGACAGGGTTCATATAAGCAGCGGACAATTGTTTGTACGCGCTGTTTAATTGACCAAATGCTAACCAAGGAAGAAAAAGCCTACGTTTATCAAACATCGACCAAATGGAGACCCCGACACCATATGCTACCGAAATTAGTATAGCCTGTCTTGGCGCCCCACATATGTGGTGGACCCACGGAAACACCGGAAGTACCCGATCCTGTTCCGATCTTAGATTTCAAATATCACAGAGGATATCAGGATAATTATTTAAGTTTTATTTGCTGCCCTGTACTTCGTTAAAATGAGCAGCCTCAGCCACTAGCTCCGTTCAATCTGACTCATGCTCAAAATGTTGGCGACCCAGCTCTTCCGTCTCCATGGTCAATTCCTCCACAAATAGGGAGCTCAAAAGCCCCAATGCTCCAAATGCTGCAAGTTCATACCATATTATCTCCATGGCATCCTTGTATGCTGCTCGAATGAGATTCTGCAGAGCTGAGGATATGTCGGCTGGAGACCTCCGCAAAGCCCATAAAGCCGAAGGCCCAACCCAACCCAACCCACTAAATGGTGGGGCTTTGGGCCTATCCTCGGGTCCACCGGTGGGCTATAGGCCCGGGGTGAAAGCCCACCGGGCCCACGATGGGGGGCCAAAGCCCATAATAAGCACTAAACAATACAAACCTAAGAAACGTGACTTTTTTAATTACCTTATGTTTAGACCCCGTTTTTAGCCCTTAGATTGGGGTAATATTTTATTATTTTAATTAATACATTATTAATAACTAGCCAAATTTATATATTACGTTTCAACACGCGAAAGAACGCGTTCTCTAGATAAGTCTTGAATTATAGAAGTTCAAGTAAAAAGTGCTAGTACCCCCGTGTAAATCCCAAATATATATCTATTATAACTTCAATATTAAATTTTCTTTTGACATGCACTAGTCGGATTTTGTTTAAAATTAGAGCATACACTTATATAGCTATCATAATTCTAAATAACAAATTTAAACCTTATATAACTAGTAGAAGGATCAGAATACAACGATTACAAGATGCTAGCTGAACCCCCTAAATGGGCCTTGATGGGGGCCCAATTAAAGCCCATCAAAGCCCATCAAAGCCCATTGAGTTGGGTTGGGCTTCGAAGGTTAGGCCCAAATCCCAACCAGCAGTGGGCTTTGGGCCTGAACGTGGGCCCAGGTCTAGTCGGCTGTTCGTAGATAAGGAATAAAGCTCACAGCTTCACTGGGATCTTTCAACAATGCCAGCGAAGCAGGCAACACGATACCATCAATTCTGTTGGCGAAGACACTGCTGAATGTAGTGGCATCAACTGCGAGCCCGATGAGAGCACCAAACAGCCTAAATGCGACCATGATTCTCATTGCGAGACCCTAGTCATCGGATGCAGCACTGACTTGCATTGGGACTGGAGGAACACTGAATATCGTGCCAATGCCAATTCCAGCAATTACCTGGAAACTAGCAGTCATGGCTGATGAGGAGGATTGGTCCCAAAGTGCGAAATACCACAGCCAACAGCGAGGAATACCCATCCAGTCCAAATTTCCCACAGGTATCTCCGGAAGCAGTCCACACCAAAGGCGGCAATTCCTGTAAAGACGAAGACCACACAGCAGAATGGGAGAATAGAGATAGAGGACTTGAACAGTGTTTCAAGGTAGACCGCTTGGAAAAACAGTGGAAGGTATTGGAAAAGAGAATAAAGAACGAAGCCATGAATGAAGCTTCCAAGCAGAGAGATCTGTGCCGTCCTCGACCGGAAGATCCGGTAGGGGAACACAGCATTAGTCTGATTAGACTCGTAAAATGCAAATGCTACTAATATCAAAATACCAATGATCAGTGGGACGATGGTTCGCCACGAGCCCCAAGGATACATATTCCCTGGCCAGCTAAGGGGTAGGGCGAATAATACACATCCTCCGGTGAAGAGTAACATTCCAAGCCAATCTATACAGGTAAACTGGGAGTGAAAAGTCTGGTTAGTGGGCCTGAGACGCATAAAGAAAACAGCCAGAAACAGGGCAATGCCAATTATAGGCAGATTAATCCATCTGATCCACCGCCACGTAACATACTCACTAAAAACGGCACCGAGAATGGGACCTGCGATGCAACCTGCGGCCATTGGAAGCGATAGTAGCCCAATATATACAGCCCTCTCTTGAAGAGTAGTCATATCGGCGACTATGACTTCACTCAGGACATCGAGCCCACTTCCATCCAGGCCTTGTAGTACGCGTCCAACAATGACAATAGCCATGTTGTGCGCGACGTCAAAGACGATTGACCCAATACCAAAAAGCGTAAATTCTGCGTAAAGTGGAATCTTACGCCCAAAGATGTCGGAAAAACTAGTATAGATCGGCTGGATGATAATGACTGCTACGGTGAAGGAGATGTTGGCCCAAAACACGGTCAAAGTTGTCCCCGAAAGTTCATCAGTGATGACCTATTGAGGAGGGAAGATGATGAGCTAATGGTTTTGTGAAATATAGAGCTGTGTATAGACTTACCGAGATTGCAACGGCCAACGTGGTGGCATCCAGTGATACCAAGAAAACCATCAATAGCAGAGCTGTAAAAGCAAGAAAGAATGACAGAGGCTTTCGCTTGCGGTTTTGCTGTCCTGCTTTAGGATCATTCGGTGCTGACGCATTTGATACATCCATTTTCTTCGTACAGTCACATTCAGATTGTAATTCATATTCAGACCGAGATAGATCAAGATTAACTAGAGGTGGCTCGTCAAGACATGCTTCCGTATTCGGTGGTGCAGTCACTGTTGACAAAGGCATTTCGTGCGTATCCAAGGCGGATCATGTGGACACCCGAATATGATCCCTCGAGGAAAATAGCCACGCATATGTCCATATCGATGGCGCTCACTCTTGTCCGAACGAGGGATTTGTAATTGGGTGGATTGGTAATCGAGGACTTAAATACCATCATGTTGCATTAAATACTTTGGGACCTACAGTATACGGGATAGCGTGATATAATCCTTGTCATCCCGTTATCTCAGCCGCAAGTCAGGATGGAATCAAGAAACAAGAGGCTCCGCAGACTAAGTGGATTTGTGAAGCTTAACCACAACCCAAATGACTTGGAAGCTGCGAAACTCGGGAGATCGACCATCGCTCGCTTTCGTGGTGACTAGGTAGATTTTTGGATGGGTCAAGCACCATTCAGGGGATTGATAAAAGCGACCGTCAACCACCGGATCCCTCGGCCGGTCGACTCATAGAAATTGGCCCTATGGACTGAACAAATTTCGCAATAGCAGAAGGGCATTAGTGAGGTCAGCATTTTAGGCAGTGCAGGAGATTTCCTGGTTGGCGTTGGGTCGGTGTGGTGTCGGGGCGAAGGCGGAAATCGACTTCCTTTACTGACGCCGGCTCGCTCTGTCCCGTCAGCAGGTTCAGCTCTTCCCAAACGCAAGTTCCACCGGGGTGAGTCTGCCTATCCGGCGGTGGTTGGGGGATCATTTATCAGGACTTTCTTCCCCTCCTCAATATCGGCCGTGCCGACTACCCCCTGTGCGGAATCGTCTCCCGAACTCCAGTTTTCCTAACTCCCTTTGACCTCTCACCTTGAATTTTCGAGCGTCGTCACAGCCAAATCCATAGCAGATCCTTTATACAACAAGAGGCGCAAATACCTGATGCGATGGATCGGTATGAGCGTTTCCCGCTCTCACTGTTAGGCCTTTCACCCCCCGATTGACTGGTAGACCGTCCTGGCGGCTGCAGCAGGGTGAAGTAATTTCGTCCCAGTCGTAAACTCCCCGGGGAAGTGCTGTCTCTTTTGTCTCCAACGTTCTTCGGCATATTCCGTTGTCGCCCCCACCGTGCGCGGGATCCACTTCGCAAGGTTATGGGGATGTTTGGCGTGATTGGTGGAATCAGCTTCTATTGCGGGTCATTTTGGGGATAGCTCGGCAGATCGACCTATAAGACCTTTCACTGGCTCGCTGAGAGGCTTGCTCCTCTGGGGTTGAGACGAGATCTCGTGACTCGAGGGCCGAATCCTGATCATTGCTGTCTTCAGTCGCAAGCTTCTCTCACGCTTTCACTGTCCAACAGCTCAGGACCCAACCACTCTTTTTAACGCCAATTCCAACGCCGCCATCCAAAATGACATTTTTCAAGACACTTATCCTAGCGACAGCCCTATCCATCGTGTCAACCGCTGCGGAAGACGAATGCCCTGCAGGCTGGCGCCTAAGCATCTACAACGGCAACAAGTGCTGCCCCGGCAGCATGCTCATCGACAAAGAAGGCCCGTACTGCTGCGTCTACGACACGAGACCTTTCAAAGAAGCACTCGCTGACGCAGCAAAACTCTACGCTACCGCGACCACAACGGATGGTACTGACTGGTCCACCTTCAGGAATACTTGTTTGGTCGAGATCCGTCTCACGGCCACCGACTATTCGGCCCAGGTCTCGTCAGCGGCGAGCAGAGCTGAAGCTACCCCCATAGATAGTTCAACAAGTGAGGTCACCTCTACGAGCAAAGGCGCCTCTACCAGTCGGGCCACCTCCGAGCGTCAAGTCAGCTCCCCGAGTCAGGTCACCTCCACGGCTACCACGGATTCTTTGGCTAGCTCTGGTACAGGATCGCAAACGTCTTCTCCTCCTGCCACTTCGAACCCGGCTATACCACTTGCTACTGGCCAGGGTGTGCTTGGCGGTGCGGCACTTGCTGCTGCGCTTTTCATGCTGTGATGGAAGGGGTTCTTCTAGAACTGTCAGCCCCTATTTCGAGTTCGGGTTCGGGTTCGGATAGTCGGACATGCACTCTCGAAATGAACATAATCGCTCGGAACCTCGCTAAACTATTAAAGCCATATTTTTAATTCATGAACAGGGCGAACCCTGTAAAATTTTAGGAGAGGTCCAAAGAACTCTAAAGGAGAGGGAAAGGAGAGGGCAATCTTAAATTTTGCCCTGAAGTCCGGTGGCCAAGACTTTAACGCCTTGGCGAAGGTCTACCACGAGGAGCCAATGCCAAGTCCGGGGCTTTACACGTGCAACAACCTACTATATTAATTTTCCTGGTGACCATTGTCCTCCTATCGCCATTTCGACCTTGCTCTGGCCCTGGGGTAACCTATCTATGAGCATGTTCACGTTTAGAGCTCATTTCAGTTCTCCTTTCCTTAGAAAATTACCATTCTAGTGGGAAACTTTACGAAACCTCATGAGTGAGGCTTGGAGCTTCTAATCAACTATTCAAAATGCGGATTTATCTTTCGTTGTCCCAATTTCTCCAGTTATCCCTAATCGTGATTCCGCTTGGAGCATCCGAAAAAACTATTGTAAGTTTGCAATGACACACACTACCGTTGACATGCCTTCTAACTGAAAACCAGACATTTCCGTGGGTGGGATATGGTGATGACTACTTCCATGGCTACGAGGGCCGAGTCGTTGGTTCAGTATGTCCACAATTGTGTACCTCCAATCAATCAGTGAGCCCAGCTAAACGAGAACAGAGCGGCGACAAAACATCGTACACAATCAATTGCCCACCAACCGCCACATCCTGTTATAAGTTTTCTACCCCTATGACTTTTGTTCTCCAACCGAACGGTATGTTCACATGCTAAACCTCCACCATGAAGCCGGAAGCTAACGAAAAGACCAGCCTACCATATCGAATGGGATCAGGGGTACTCGTAAGGCTGACCAAGTCGGACATACATCATGGCATTTCACTAACAATTTCACAAAGTTACACGAGCTCTTGGTGCTCTTTCACTGGTAGTCCAACTCCAACGACTGCGGCTTGCTTCTACAGCCAGTCATATGAGTTGCGTTCAACCACTGTGACAAGAGAGTTATCATACAACGTTCCGGGCCCTTCGGTGTATTACGTTATTCATACTGCCTCCATGATAGTTGGAGGCAGTGACGCACCAACTAGTACTGGCACTCGGACTGCGACTACGAGTAGTTCTGCGAGTGAAGTTTCGGGAATTGGCACCTCGGACATGACATCCAAAGTTCCGAGTTCCAGTACCGATGCTGCGCCCACTACAACATCTGTTCCACTCACTACAACACCTGCTGCACCGACTACAACATCTGGAAATCTTGCTCCTCAGACACCCGCACCCTTGATACTGGTCGGTGGACTACTTGCGGGAGCTCTGCTGCTGTAAGACAAGCGAACTTCGCCAATGAGAGGACCTTCATACAATGTGCTTTGGGACGGACCTGAGTCGGTGGTTATTGCGGATGATATGATCTTTCCCACTGCTCCGGAGGACTACCCTATGTGGCGGGCTGTTATGGAACTAATATTTAAGGCTTCTGTTACAGACTTACATACACAACTCGGTTCGGATTGGGTTGCTGCTGGTGAGGTCCTTGGGAGCGAAATATTAAATTCTATAGAAATTCTATCCGAAAGCTAATTATGGTACATACTGTTAACCTTCCCTTTATCTTCCTAAACGTCTTACCTCCTATCTTAACCGAAAGTAATATCTCATTTCCATTTCCATTATCAATTTCCATTTGTTTTTCCGGCGTTGACCTGCAACGGGCAGCACTTTCGGCATTCAGCAAACCCCGATAACCCCACGCACCCTGATTTTACGAACACGCTGCCTCCTCTGTTACAGAACAAATACTAGTGGACCCCGGACCCCAGGGCGGCTAAAATACGATCCCCGCGTAACCGCTACAGTCCCGAAGTAAGGGACCTCCCATCTGCAAGTGTGATACTTGATTCCTTAGCCCTACCATCTAAGCTTGGTGTTCTCTGCGAATCATTTCCTCATATGGGTTGATCTGCATACAGCCTTGGGTAACACAGCGAGTAGTTGCCTTGGAGCTTACATCGTCACGTTGGGTATCACAAAAATCAATACATTCTCATGATTCCTACCCCAATCCCGAGGTCAGAATGATTGTCTCGATATTATACACAATTACCTTAAACCTGGAGGTCCTTCCCCATTGAAACACCTCCAACAAATGCAATGCAACCAAGTTCCTTGGCAAATATCACCCAGTCAGCATATAAGCATCTCACCCGTATTCTCTGCCGATCTGGGGCTTCTGGGCGTGTCATCACACCCTCCTCAGATCAACTATAAGCCCATCGATGTTGTCCCTAGCGGGTGTTGACTGTTGATCCTGTCATTTGGCATGCACTCAAGCCTGTTGGGAAATGATTAGCACTATGTACTTCCCAAAAGGCACCTCATGGGAAACAGTTAGTTCCTTAAACCCCGACAGATGAGACTATAACCGAAAGCCGACGACACACGATACATAGAAACGTACCAGCCAAGAAGCCGATTGCTCTCAGCTATGTGAGGCATTACTACCATTGGGTAAGTCATTCAATCCATAAGCATCCGGCCCAGGATGACTGCATTGAGGTTGGTCATTGCACTCACAACCTTTTATACAAATCTCGCAATTTCTTCTATAAAAGAGGGCTCCACGGCCCTCAATTTTGAGAACCATCAACGAGCCTTCCTTCTCAGACAACATAGTCTATATCTTCTATCACTTTAATCTTCTCTGCAAGATCCCCAATTCAGTTCCATCATCATGCAACTCACCACAGTTGCCCTTTTCCTCTTCGCTGCAATGGGCGCGGTAGCCAGCCCGATTGAGTCCGTTGAAAACGGCCTCGATGCCAGAGCTGAGGCCGCCGCCCAAGCCAAATACACTGGAGTGAGTAAAGCTAAACATTCTATGTCTTGAGTTCTGGGAATCTCAAATCTCAACTAACGACTCGCAACCGCACTCCAGACATGCACCAGATCGAAGAACGAATGCAGATACAAGAACGACCGCGGAAAGACCACTTTCATCAAGTGTCCTACGAAAATCGCTAACAAGAGGGTATGTTGCCACTAATTCCCAAGTAGACACCTGGTTTGCATCTGTGCTGATCTCCCTCTTTTTCTTTACAGTGCACCAGGGATGGTGCCAAGTGTACCGTCGACACCTACAATAACTCTGTAGATTGTGACTAAATGGTCTCTACGATGTGTCGAGGGGCTTTTGGTCTACTCTGTACTTCTTGTTGATGATATGTGAGATGCCATGTGATTCGAACATACTGTCATCCATCCACAAGGACATTATACATAGGCTGCTCTATGGGCGATACACATACATCCGGTATATACTCGGCTTTGATTATTAGTGGAATTTGACGATATTACAGATGATTACACTTGTTCATTATGTAGCTAAATATATGTGCTTATCAAGAGATGGTTGCTGGTTATCAACTTTTATCCAACCTCTCTTGGTTTTCGGTCCACGAAATTAGCCGTGAGTGTAACGAGATAATTATACACCGATCTGTATCGTTCTTCTTAAATCGTTTACTGTAATATTATAGAGTAAGCTACGTTATATTTATTAAGAGATTCTATAAAAATGAATTTGAAAGCTACCTGTTCCCTTTTGTACTTAGGATAGAAGCCTATATGTATTCACGTTTGATACCACTACTCTAGCCATAACCGGACCAAGGAAGTGTTATTTGGCTTTTGATTGATTTTAATACTAAGGCTAAGTGCGTGTTATCCAATCTTGTGAACATCAGGGTTAAAAGGGGATTTTAGTTGAGACGATAAAATAACATGAGAAAGTGAGGGAGGGAGAGAGAGATTCAGTTTTTCTTGTTGTTCTCCTCGGTGCTTTCCTCCTCCGCGGGGGTTTCCTTCTTCTCGCAGTTCTCCTTCTGTTCAGGAATTTCGGTCTTCTCGGTGCTTTCCTTCTCCTCGGTGGTCTCGTCCTCGTCGGGGGTTTCGCTCTCCTTGTTGTCTTTGTTCTCCACAAGCTCCTTCAGTCGGAACAAATGTTTATCGTTATACAAGACAACCCCACTGTCCTTGAAGACCCTCAGAATTTCGGAGTTTCGCTCTTCCGCCTCGTTAACCATGCGCTCAATGGCCTCGCTGGCACATTCCTCCACAATTTTCTCGCTGGCCTGTTTTGCAGCCTCCTGAATTTCATGGAGTCGCTTGAGCCAATACATCCATCTCCAGGGTGTAAATCCAGACGGGGTTCTCTTCCCAAAATCTGAGTCGATGAAGGTCGCGCCACCTCGGCCGATTTCGCTCGGACAATCATTCCACGAGAGCTCCGAGAGTAGCATGAGGTTATAACCTGCCTCCTGGATCCACGCGTTGGCAGCCGGCAATAAGTGCATACTCTCAAGGTCACAGAGACTCCGTCTTGGGTCTTCATTATCCAGATCACCGGTCGCGCGAAGCTCTTGTCTCGATTCAAACGTGAGACGAAAGAGGACAAGGGCGATCTGGCACATTTTGTCCTTGCAGATGCGGGTTGACGCTAGCTTAGCCAAGAAGGAGACAACATTAAGGCGTTGGGGACCCGACATCGGTGCCCAGCTGTTGATGAATAAGTCGGTCATGTCGGTGACCAAAAATGGTAGGTCATTCCATAACGTTCCTTCGACTGTTCGTGCGATATCGATCCCGTAAAGCCCCCTCACAGGCCTGGTTAACGGTCCCTTTCCCTGGATCCGGAGGATATCAAGAACGAGCCGATCGTGTTCGGGAGTCTCATGCGCCGTGAGGACGCTGAGCTGGAAGTACATGTACCATATCTCACGGAGGTAGTCTTCGAGAGAATCCACCCCATCCCCAACATTGCAGTATCGGTCGCTGATAATCCAAGTTCGATTAAAGAACGCTGCTCCCCGGACCTCATTGTATTCCCCCCGAGCGAGGCTTTGCCGCACATCTGCCCGACTTTCAGTGCGGCCGTCTAGATTGCTGAGGTCGGAGATGCTTTTTGGGGAGGGGCTCAGCAGAGAGTCACGGTAGCGATGCATCTTGAAATGGAAGTTTTGTTGCTTGGCTACTCAGTCAAGGTGTAGTAGTGGGTATGGGAGAGGGAATCAGGTGAGTTAGTTCCTTGTGTGATAGGACCCAACGTGGTTTTAAACCGCGGAGGGGTTCTATCACACAGATGGGTTCAGGGGGCGCCACCCCAGTTCAGACTCTAGGCAGCAGTATAGTAGTTGCAGGATTTTCACAGACTGACGAATAAGACGTCGATGACCGAACCTTTCTCCTGTATGGAGTATGGCGTTGTGTTGCAAGGTCGCTTTCTTTGTTGGGTTGTCGATCACCCGAGTCCCCGGACCCACCCCAATGGATAGGTCTACTCCGTAGCTTAAATACAGCACAAGGAATAACAATTCAATACTTTGGAGAGATATTTTACATTGTTATATTTCCCTCAGTCTAATCCTATCTTATATCTCATTATATTAGTCTGGCGATTATTGCTGAACATTACATTTAGAAAAGCACAAATAAGAAAAGGTTTCTAAAGGTGGTAAATAAGTCTTTGTTTTAATCAAAACTTGATAGGAGAAATAGAAAACAGTGCATCTGACTCTTCGCTAGACGTTGGGGAAGTAGTGGGCTCTACAAACGCCCCAGGGATGCACCGGGGCCGAGAGCTCAAAAATAATACCAGAAGTGTGCGCTAACGCAGAAAATGACGGATACTGATAAGAGTTGACTACTGAGTGCGAGGATTGCATACGGCACAATGCATGACGCTAATTGGAACTTCCGAGACATTACTCCGTGGACCGGTTCTGAATGCCATGTAAACAGTGAGGGTTATCAGCAAATCCATCAAAATACAATGGAAACATCAAGATACAAGGGAGATAAGCAGTTTAATTGATGCGAAATTCCAATAGTTGCCTGCCATAAATGGAGACAGGAGGCACGAGGTCTATGACAAGAGGGAGAATTATGTGGTAAGTGCGTGCATGAGAGATTGACAGGTGCTCGACCTGTGGCAACTATTTGCATTGGCTGTGTGCATTTGTTGGCCTAGATCTTCAGACCTCTCACCGTCTCCCCGTACATGTAGTGTAATGTGACTAAGTATTTGTGGGGTACGGACTAAACTTCGGCGACTTGGCGTCTATAATTTCTTTTGTTGCTTTTACAAGTTGGTGTACTTGTTTAGGCTAGTTTTGGGGGTTTTTACTGTATAGTAGCAATCATGTTACCTACTAGTTGATAAAATCATAGATATGGGTTGACGCCTTGACCCTCCAGCTACAGCAGGGTATACGTTGAATAACTAAGCAACTATGTAGATAATAGTGTTTTGAGACACTAAGAGTATGTCCTTGTTTCTCTTGTCATCAAGTTCATAGTGGCTATTCACATCATGTAGAACATAAGTATGACTGCCTTGCGTAGTTAAATTAAAGGCCATCACACCTTCGGCGCTATATTCGGGCTGAGCAATCTGATCAGCACATCTTTTCGATGCTCTCCATAAGTCCGGGATATGTATAGACCTGGTGAGAAAAATGCGATCACACTGATCTCCTGGGCTGAGGTTGAATGTACCACGCACCCACACTGTTATCTACCTGATCGCTTGTCCACAACAGTCGAGGAGCCAAACTTCCAAATCAGCTTCCGATCTCTACATTGTGCCCCAGCACCAGGAACCACACGCTGACTTAGGCCCAGCTATGGAAATAGGCAAAACACCGACATCTTACGAGTCCAAAAGGATGCACGAAATGGATTTCATCCGCGTCACTTAATATCATCGACGTGAGTTCGATGTAATAGTTGCCAAACCAAATCCCCGTGGACGTGACGATGACCAAGTACGAAGCTCGCTCCTTCGACCCATCCGTACTACTTCCTCAACTCTCGGAAATCTTCAGCTCATACCGCTTGAGATTGTCTATCAGATATGCTCCCTACTTGATATTCGGTCTTTATTCAAGTTTCGTCATGTCAATCGCAGTGCGCAACAAATAGTCAGAGCAAGCCGTAAGTACGAAGCCACAATTACCCATGCTCTCAATGCCTATTGTGTTATACTAAAAACCAATATTGCATCTTGGTTCACAATCTCTGACTTGTTTAAGGCGCTCTGTACGAGGGACTGTCATATCTGTGGGTCTTTTGGCGGCTTTGTTTTTCTCTCGTCACTTGCGAGATGTTGTTTCTCTTGCATTGAGAGGGATCAGATTCCCTGTACCCTACGAGCCTTTTTCACAAAAGAACGCTCTAAATCGAGCCCAATTGGCCTATACAGCTTGGTACCAACGGTGACGTCATTGCCTGGACATATTCAATGGTTGGGATTCAGATAAAGAAAAGAATCCAAATCGTGCCAGCAGAATTTGTTCACCGATTATCCTCACTCCAAAGAAACAAGAGGCTAAAAGTGGCCGCATCAAAGGGATCAGAGACACTACGTTATATGGCGACTGCAGCATTACCCTATTTTGATATTAAAGGCGATGTCGTTGAGAGTGGAAGATACGGCAGTGGTTGCCAGATTGCCGTGGAAAAGTTTGGAGGGGGATTGTCATCAAGCTTTTTATTGACGGATAATTGGACTCTGCGGGATAAAGTGTACTCCTATGAGGAATTGATGGACCACTTTCAGGAATGTCCGGAGGCTCAAAAGCTATGGGAATTGAGTAATCGAGGGGTTGATGTCTGTGACATGTCACAATTCGTCAAGCACGGAGGTGTCTTTGTCCATTTTGATTGGAATTGCAGTTAGAATGTGGCAGTCCGATAGCTTCAAATAAAAAGAAGAGAGTGTAAGTGGTTAGGTGGTCAATCATACATGCTGGGAGTCCCGAACCCAGGGTCACGTGACTTTGTTTGCGCTGGACTTCGGAGATTAGGTTCCTCTTCCTCTCTCTCCCTTTCTTTTTCCCAGTCGCATCAACTATTCAAAACACAATTGCTCTCTCTTCTTGCTTTGTGTTCTACACAACACCCTGCCCCCACATCTAGACCCCACTTTTGGGGCAACAATCTAGATCACGTGTCTGACGATCATTCAGCCCCACACTTTCTTTTACTTCACTTGTCTTTCGCATCTCACAAAGGCCAACTACGAATTGATTCCTTCCTGTCACGCCCACGAAAATCTTCAGACGCCCACGAGAAACCCGACCTGACCCGATAACTTTGGAGATCGGCGCGATCCTTGCGCCCCTAGTTATCTTTCCATGGGGACCGCTTGCAATGAACTACTTGGGTGTTCCTATTGTTCTAGGTGTAAGTTGAGTTATGACTGATTTGATATTGCAGCACCTGTTAATGAACTCTCCCAGACTGCTATGATTGCTGTCCATGATAAGGATTATCTGACAGCGTCCCAGAAGCTACAGGACTATGAGTTTCGCATAACAGTTACTGACCGCAGGCCTGCTCCCGAGTTGTTGGCAAGGCTCCCAAATCCGGATAAGGTCATGAAAAAAGTCAACAAAAAGTATGAACGTCTTGATAAATCAACAACGTTGTTCGACTATCCAATCAACCACCACCTAGCCGGGGGTCTGAAGTTGAATTTGGTTCCAAATTCCTTTGCAAATCTCCCAACACCAGGTGTTGCTGACGACTCGATGCCCGATACTGTCGCTACCAAGGATTACGACATCTATGGCAATATCTTTGATCCGCTTGAAGGCACGTTGATTGAGAGTTTTGCTAAGGGTGTCATCAGTGATGAGGGTCGAATACACGAGGAAGCGTTCGGCCCCTGGGACAGACGTGTCTCAAAGCGACTGGGTTCCAAGAAAGAAATGCCTGTGGATATGAGGGGTAATATGTTGCCTGAGTGAGCTTTGTGAACCTGCACCTTCTCTGTACAATACCCGGTGGCGAAATGGGAAGCATACCAAAGCACATATTTTCCGTTGTATGAATATCTATCGATACATCCCAAGAAACCTCCAAAGAATTGGGAAATGACCATCGCCAAAATGGCTTCTAGGGAGTTTCTGAAGGTGCTTGAAAAATTTTCCGAGCCCAGAAGAAAGTCCCCATCGCCGTGGGTGTGAATGTGGTGGAGTAGAAAGGGAGAAAAGCCTATGAATCGAGGGACCCTAGTCAGGGAGACGGACAGGAGGCAAAATTTGCTCTACAAGATGTGTCTTATCATGCTGAGACTGAAGACCCCGGTCAGCGATACCAATTGTCCCAAATTGGATGCGTACATCAAGAGAAAACAACCTAAAGAAGGTCCACCGTGTGAGCTATCGTGTACCTATTTTCAAGTTAACTCAAATTCTCTTTGTTACAAAACGCCTTGGCAGATTTCCCTGATCTGCCCTCGCCTCCTAGCTGGAATGGATCAATAATATTTAGGCCTAGATGCCTGACCCATGTGCTTCTCGATGGTAAATTTTGCCGACTGCCCACGTAGAGTTCCGCATACATATCACACCATGGAGGCCACCTCACGAGTGCTAAATGTGGATCTACAGTACCGCCAAAATGATGCGTCATTGTGCAGTCCTTCGAATTGGAGATCTAATATTGGGTCCTACTAAGTTAGTAAGTTATTCTATCTATCTACAAGTATCCGTAGAATAGTCAATGAAAATGAGCCTCTGAATTTCGCTATAAATATACGATAACGAAGCACTGTCCAATCACAAATTCCTTGCCACATCTCTCACCGCCACTTTTTGTGATGTATATGCAACTTTTAGTGTGGCTTATAACGTCGCACGAGCCTCCCAAATCCAAAATTTGGTCTGACCTATTATACTACATGCTGCGTCTGCTCGTGCCTATCACATCGTGGCGCATGCAGGGTGATAGAGAGAAAGTGGAGAAAACTTAATCGAATACCTTAAACGCCGTGTTTATATTGAGCCAAAAGAGGCGAACTGGACTGATCATGTATCTATTCTAGCTTTGCCTGGTATCTTTTAGACGACGCACACCATTTCAGATGGGTGTCTGCAAAGGCCAGAATTGCAGTCTCAAGAATCGGCTCGTGGGCATCCCCATTCCTTGAATCGTGGAGTCCGTCATACATCTCCACCGCAGCCGAGAGACAGATATTGTGGATACGACATACATCCTGAATCGTTTTCGGCAACAGCATATCCATGTGATCGACATCCATCCCTGTTTGTTCCTTCAAGGACACCAAGACTGCATTCATAGTCTCCCCATTCCGACGATCTTTCTCTAGGCCAACAAGATCGTTTTGTAGGCCCAGGACCAAACTAACCCGCTTCTGGAGATCTCGGAGGTTGGAGAGATATTCTGCATCGATTGGCTTGTGCAGTGTGCGGATCAGAGTGAAAAATGGATGGATTCCCATTGTCCTACCACGGAATTGCAGATAGGTTTCCAGGTTGTTAGGCAACAGTCCTCGCCGGAATAGGAGCTCATCAAGCAAGCCCTCACACATGTCGCATATATCATTGCTGAGCTCGTGGACGGTAGCTTCAGATAGATCAAGTTGCTGGATGCAATAATCCCGAAAGAAGCAAAGAATTGACGCGACCTTGTTTGTTGGAGAGACTATTCATAAATATAAGCTGAGAAACCTAAAATTATCTCGATCCACGTACCGTCTGCCTTCTTTCCCTGGAGCTTCAAAATCGTCTCCTTCAAAGCAAGTGCGGCGGCAGCTGGTGGCATAGCCTCAAGTATATCATCTGCCGCGCAGTTTGCAGCCAGCCACGCAGTCATGCATATGCGGATGCTCTCCGATCGTATGTCGGGGAAAAAGAGGTTAATTGCACCGGCTTCCGCAAAGCATCTGTCATAAAAGTCTTTGGTATCTCCAGCTTTCTCCGGCTGGATGGATGCCTTGAAATTAGCGTGTGAATAGATGACAGCTGACGGAGGAGCTGGGTTGATAGGGACTATGTCGTAATGAGGAATCTTGAGCTGCATTCAACATATTCAGTCAGCGATTCGCTAAGACACACATGTAGTTGGCTAACCTGGAGAGATACATCGCGGATTCCCAGGGCGATTTCACATAACTTGATCACAGGCTGGTCGTTGAGGCGCTTATAGTTGGATATATGGCCTGTTATATTGATTGGAAGATAAATTCGACCAGCAGGAGAGACGATCCCATCGTGGTGTGAAACGGTATACTCGCACGCAGCCATTTCAGCTCTAATCTTTCAAATAATCGGGAACAACTGACGATTCCTACGGTTTATATATGTTGTATCTACTCGAATATAGCTCGGCTAACACGGGAAAATGGATAACATGGAGAGTCTGTGAACCTTTCTAACAGCCAAGACGTTTTCTTTGTTCATGACGTTAATATGATTTTGAGTATGCACGTAGAAAATTCCCTCATCTATCTCTTACATTATGATAGGTCGTATTATCGACTAGTTCACTTTTATTAGGACTAAACGTTTCTCGGGAAAAGCTATAGACGCATAAATCCCCGTCCGCATCCTATGCGAAGAAAATCTTCCCCTCATCGGACGTAACTAGCTCCGCTAACTCCACCACGTGGAATTTAAATGTGCGGGGCGCTTTGTATGCGTATATGCATACATCCATACGTGGAAAGAGGAAGAGGTGATCGCGGGTTTGGTCGGATGCTTTCCCCCACTCGGTGTGGGCCAGGCTAGATGAAGCAAGAGACACATTGGATAGATATCCACGCTAGTATGTGGTGGCTTATGAGTTTGTGTCGGGGTTCTTCTAGAAGTCCAGGGATTAACACAGCAGCCTGTTCAAGCACTGGTCATGCGACGCCGATGTATCCGGATATGCTTATACAAGCCTACTGATCAATATAGACAAAATCCTCGAATAGGACCGGGACGGACAGGTGTGGATGCCCGGTCATCCACGGAAAGACGTGCCTTCCCAACCGGGAATACTCAAAATTGCTACTAATGGAAAAAGCAAGTTATCTATTACTAGTCTCAATAGATAGTTGTGAACTGTAGCCAATAGACGTTGAAACACAATAGTGCTCAATATCCGATATACGACGCAGATTACAAATTACAATCGGCCAGAGATGATTAACATGAAACATGTGGATGGGTCATCAATGAAATACTCATCGGAGCCGAGAGCAATGTCTCCTAGGAGATCAGGTTCGGTGATTATGAAGCATAATACTTCCATATTACTTCTACTTCTACACTAGTATAGTGTATCTTCGCCTTCCACTAACTAGTTACTGTTTATAACTGCTTTATTTCAGGGCAAACAAGCTTTCTTTCTAAAAATGGGTAAACTATCAATCATATTTTCTAGCCTTATCTTTCATTGACAACCTGATTCTTACGTGATGGGATACCTCTTGGCGTATCCTTTGGTAATATGATCTCCAGAGATATAGTCAGGATCTCGGGAGAGTTTGGGGGCGCCTTTTGTGCCTGAGATGATCAGTCACGTCCTTTTTTCCTTTCGACCTTGTTTTTGCAATGGCCACAATAGTCAGGAGTTGTGATAAAGCAGTAGATGCATGTTCAAACTATCCCGTCCAGGAGATCCTAAATTGTCGCATCTGAGTGACAAGTCCATCCATACCTAGTGGAAGGTCCAATACCAACTACTCTAGCAGCAGATCCGTAGTCGGTTCCAGGACGATCATATGGGATCAGACTTCAAGGGACTAAGGTATTCCTGAGGCATCAAAGAAAATGTGCCTCAGGTTGGAATATTGATCCTTTATACTTCTAGCCCTACATCGGGCGAGGGCAATCGAATATAGAGCTATCGACAGATATGAACACTCTAGGAAGGTATATCCATATTAGGTGACTACGGCATGTATAGAGGCACATTAAACAATCGGGACTGTGGCGACCTTTACGTGTTGACTTGGCGTGGTGTAGGGATTTGTTGTCCTGCATATGCATCAATTGATGGTGCTGCGAAGGGGAAAAAGACATCTGAACAGGTATCCAAAAATACATCGAAAAAGGACTCCAAAAAGGGACGTATTGTGTCGACGTATCTAAAAGTGCCAATGATGCACACAGGTCAATCAAACTACAATGGACCGGGCTCAAGGATTTTATATCGTAACAAGTAGTGGAGAGGCACCGGCAAAAGCACCCAAGTGGGATAATATTCAAAGTAAAATAATAAGCCCAAGTCCAACCTCAAAAGCCTCATGCCTATCAATCTCCTTGAAGTATCCGGTCCGAATTGGGGAGCAGGGGAAAGGCAAAATGCATCATCTACATAAAAGAATCGTATTTAACTAGCAAATTGGTTGACATGATAAGGAATGTTGAATGCTACCAATAATCAGTTCCCTAAGACAGCCTGGCATCGGATAACTGCGCTAAGATCGCCTCGCAATCTCGGTCTTCTCTTCAAGAAGGTTGCCAAGGCGTCTTGAAGCTCCTCGTCGTTGTCAAAGTTGAGCTCCGCTTTACTAGGCACGGCATAATCAAGTGGATTCTCCACATCTTAGAGGTCAACTGCTTGCTTGGCATCATGTCGTTGGTGCTGGGACAAGATCTTCTCCCGTATGATCCATTCAGCACTGAAAAGCTTGACAGGGTACCCGTTGATATCCTGTGTCACTCGCGTAGCTTCTTGAAGGTTGTATTGCGGCCGGTTTGGCCAGCTTTGGTAATCGAATACCTCGAGCTCGATAAGACGCACCTCGCCTCCATCAAATCGGACTTTGTATCCGGGAATAACGTGACCGAACTGTTTCACTGGGCCAAACTCAGATGGAAAGGAAGCCAAGACTTTGTTTGTAAGGAGATCGGCTGCGATGGCTCGGTCATCGACACGGATCACGAGATCGATATCTTCTGTGGCTCGCTGGGGATCGGGTGCCGTGAGGCATACAGCAGCACCACCCATGATAGCATAGTCGGTCTCTAACGAGTCCAGCCGCTCAGCGACGGTTGCAGCGACATGCTCCAACTGTACCTGTCGGAGCACAGGAGCATTGAGAGGTTTATGTAATACTCTGACCGTGAGTTTGGGGTGGTAGGGTGAGGAGGATGCGGCGCTTACTACCGTTGAATATGGGAAATCGGTGCAGTAAGTGCAGAAGCAAGACTGAGGGATGATGTGAGTACATGTCAGGCGTTGTGCGGAGAATAGAACTGAGAGTCAGAGTGAGAGAGAGAGAAAGAAAAAGAGAGAAGAGAAAGACCAACCTTGAGAAGGAGCTGAGGTATATTTAGGTAGGAAGGCTGATAGGTTTGGCTATATGTATCTACCTAATTTGGACCCCTGCATTACCTTAGAGCCTCACAGGGCTTTGCAGGTGATTATGTACTGCCTGAGGTGATCACCTGAATCTAGATACAGGTAACAGACCTCCAGGCTTCTCGGGTGTTATTATCTTAGCCAATGAGCTGTTACTTGAGGCGCTTACTTTTTAATCGGTTAAATTGTTAATCTCTCGATCTGGACCTCAGACTCAATATGCATGGCCTTTTATGCGGGCTCTAAAAGCAGGCCATGTATAACACTCAAAAGTCAAGGGATGAGATGAAATGTATTTAATGACTCTCCGACCGTGCTTATGTACTCTACTATTCTTTTTTCCTTTCTGTTGGTATACGCTACAATTTGATCGATTCGATCTAAGATGTTAGAGACGATATATTAAAGATTCGATTTTTCTTAACTCCCAATCTAGTCACATCAACCATACATTTCTACGTCTGTATCTGTGCCTAAGACCTTTCTAGTTGCGGGTATAGTGAGGTTTAGCCAGTAGCGAGTGCAAAAAAAAAAAGAACATGACGTGATCATCGCCAACGCAAACAGGCAACTATATTGCACCGAATCCCACAATCAATGCGGCCAGATAAGATCGTTTGGAATGGTCGACTTTAGATCCACTTTCTTGATAGCGGAGCTCAAGGCAGGAGTGTGGGCCACCAAGACAGACTAATAGCTTCGGGTCTTGGCGTGTCGTGTCATGGACAGAGTATCGGGAAAAGAGTTATGCTCAGATGATTGAGTCCCAAGGCAGCCCTTGCCTCAAGTCAGTTGTTCCAAAAGGCTGGTATTATTTATGACAGGATAAGCAATAATCTTTGCGCTGGTTCCAAGGTTTCTATCCACAGGCATATAATTGTGCCCGATGTCTAGGTCGTCGATATGATCTTGCTCTTGCCAGCGCTGGGGGTCCCAATGTCGTCTCTTGTGTTCTTTTGCAAGTGAATGCACTGGTGTCTTTCTGACTGCATTCTCTAGAATCATAACAGACTACAAAGTACCCCACCACAGACCCTGATTACATAGGTTGCATAAAGGTCCCGCACTTACCTATCATTCAGGTCTGGTTGCTACTAGTCCTTACTTTGATTATATTTAAATATATGTCTGGAATCACAGGTCGATAACTTCGAATATCGTGTTCCAGTTACTTGTCCGGTCGATCAGATATCCATTTCCTGTGTGCTCATAAGCAATGTACAGAAGTAATGCACTGCCTCGCGCTAGCCCCCTTATTGCGCCCAGGTAATATGCCCGTGCCACTGTCAGCTAGAAGCTCTTCACTTCATTTATTTAACCATCCCATGCTTCTAATTTCAATTACACCATTATTTGAGCCCCATTCTATCGCACGATGTCTGGTCTCGAGGTCGTTGGAATCGTCGCTAGCATAGTTCAAGTCGCAGACCTCGGAGCCAAAATATCAGTCAAGCTGTGCTCCTTCTACCGCACCGTGAAAACCGTGAACGACTCTATGCGAAGTCTATCTAGTGACGTGTCTCTCACCTGCAGTGTGCTCCACGAACTTGGGAAAGCCCTCAAGCAGGATTCCCAGACGAAACTGTGTTCCTCTGGAGCCTTCAGCACTACCGAGGATGTCTTGAAAGAATGCAGGGAAATCTTCGAGAAAATCGATGGTGAAATTGAGAAGCGTGACCAAGAAAAAGCAACGAATCCACTTCTTCGTGCGGCTCAAAAGATCACATTAGGGTTCCACGGCCCAGATCTGGACCTGTTGAAGTGTAATTTGGAGAGATTAAAATCTACCATGTTGCTAATGCTAAATGTCCTCATGTATGCAGGGCAAGTTCGCAGGTACGTTCAATTTGAGTGGGGATTACATATATATATATTGACAATAATTAGGAGAGACTTGAAAGTCACGCTTACCGATCAGCGAAATCTAATCCAACAACTTGTTGAGGAAAAGAAAGAGAACGATACTACATTTCACCAATTAAGTCAACCTGCACCTGCGGTTGCCCTGAGAGTAGAAGAGCCCCTTCAAGCGTCTACCAGAGCTTTGAGCATAGAGCCAAAGCCTTTATCTCCACATTCTACGCTTCCTTCTCCAACGGAAGTCAAAGAGTATGCATCTCTCGTTCGAAAGCTGCTTAGCGAGATCGACACGTGCCATTCTAGCCTAGAACAGAGCCGAGTCCTCCGAATCAGGAACGGTGTCGCAAATGTGCACTCGATGGAAGTTTCTCTTTTCCAGCACACCTACGGACACTCTGCAACTCGGGCTCTGCATGACCCTTTCTTCAAATTCAGGGACTCTTGCTTTCCTAGGCCTAGAAGCCATACCGGATGGCAACATCCTTTAGATTTGCCTGTTGTCGATGTTGCAGAACCAGACGTAGGCCATTCTTCAGCCAGCCGTCAAACCGACACGTCAACAATCCTCAATGAAGACGACGACAGCGCAGCTGATATCGCACCGATATGCCACCAAAATGACACCCAATTACCCTATTCCAGGAGGTACCTCGTAATCGAAACGGGCAGGCCCACGCAACACGAGAGAACGAATTACCCTATAATCTCTAGGAAGCAGTATAAGAGCCCAGACTTGTCTCAACTCGGCCTCTACGCGCGGGATGCAGCCGCAAAGAATGACGCACGCCTACGTGATGCTAAAACAGTGAATCGGGACGTAGAAGAATTGTTCCTACAATGGACAACACTGACGCGAGAAGAGATGGAGGTAGATGTGAAAAAGAAGGTGGATGAGAACAAATGATACATGGCAATGACTTGAGGAACTTTCTATTTATTATCAAGAATTCTTGTTTAACGGGTATAGATTCAATTGACTTCTAGATATGCATATATTGTACGCTGTAGTCGATCATATCCGAGATGGGTAACAGCCAACAGTGGCGAACATCACCAAGTCTTACTATATTATAATTACCGATCGATCTCGATCGGAAGTAAGTCTAGATTGATTTTGAGATTGAATGAGTAAATACTAGTATTGTTGTATATTTTGCAGGGTTCATCTGAAAATATATAAATTGGTAGGGTGCCAGGTTTGAAAAGGAACAGGTTATATCATGCAATATATATATCCAATTCCCCGGAATATATAATCCTAGGACAATATCATCATACAATATAGAGCCGATCGATCCAAAAAAAGCAAAATTGCCAAGACGTAGAGGCAAATCTTGATTTCGGAAGTTGATAACCGGAGAATTTCCACCTTGTAGCCGTTGCACGACTTACGATATCTCCAGATGTATGCATAGTAACTACAATTAGTCTATTAGTCTATAATACCCCGTACTATTTAGACAATAATATAAATTGACAAGGTATTAAGAATATTCCTTGAATTTTCACGATGATATCAGCCAATGACTTGTGTGGCTGAACTCTCCACCCAAATAGATTAAAATGATCTCATACGGCCTACGCTCTATGTCTGACAGGCACCCCGACCGTGGCCCTATTTTGCTTGTTGTACTTTCTAGCTTCTAAATATATTTACAAATAGTCACACAAATATCGTAGGTGGTTTGTGAAAATCGTCATCTGTTGAACAAGATGCTTCTTGCGTGGGGTAAATGGCTGTTTATGTAGATTAACTGTTCCCGTGGAGAAATATCAAGTTGGTGGATTGTTGCACTGTTCAAGAGTTTTCATATAAATTCTGATGTAATGATGATTCGGGGTGCATAGAGAGGGCGAACAGGAATTTTCTATTTTTTCTTTTTTTCCTTCAAACAGGGACAGTGACAGGCAAGTGACAAGTGACAGGAGGCAAATTCGACAGTGGACACCGTATTTGATAGATCTCTGATTTGTTTCCACGTTTACCATAGCGTGGCTTCGGGGATAATCCATGGCACTAGCCTGACATTCGACCAATCATGTTGCTTTTTGGGGTGAAATTGTCCGGAAAGCCTAGAACCTTGGGACAGTCAGGAACATGAGATGGGAGAATTCACTGAAGTTTCTGCCGGGAGAAGAGATTTTCGCTGATGCAACGAATGAAACATCTATATTTCGAGCCTAGGCGCATGTTATTACAAGATATTGGTGCCTCCGAGTTGTACAGACAGTCAAACTCCAGCGTTAAAGCAGCACAGAGCTCCACCTCCGCCCTCCTTCTACTCCCCGATTTAGCCACAGTCCCCTTATACCCCAGTCCCGGGCCTCTGATTCGTGCATCCAACTTGCAATACTGTATGGATCAACCATTTCCCAGACAAAATATCCAAGAAGTCATCTAATCGACCCCACTCCATGATGCCGATGATGCTACGCCCTACCATGCTCTAGCCCCTGCACAGTGCACACTTTGTATAGATTAACTTATGACGATCTTCCCCGAACAGGGATTTCAAGCAAAAAAATAATAATGGGCGAAACCGTTATGATATCAACGGTTGATGACGTAGTAAGCTCTGCAAGTATCGTGCCTGGTTACAGTCTGATAGTATACTTGGTTCGATGATATCAGAATCATTGAACTGTTTATATAAACCCCTGAACCGCGCTGGATGTTGATGTTATCATATTGATTATTCAAACCTATTCTATTTCTACCAATCTAGAAAACCACTATCATCCCGAACTATACCCTGTTCTCGGGACTTGTACATTATCATTACACTCTACGTTTTTACGAAGTATACCCCAAGCCTCTTTTAACGGAACACAACTGCATTTGCATATCCAATTTGCAATTCCCCTGAATTTTGATTCACAACAAACTCAACCATCCAACCCCAAACCAAACAAACAATGTCCTCTGTGAAGAACGCACCCCCAAGCTGGGCTCCAAGGCCGGAACCCCCGCCAAAACCCGCAAAGCCTCCGGCTCCAGCGCAGCAAGCAAGCCCAGCACCTCCTCCGGAACCCCCAAGCCCTTGAAGAAGACAACCACACCCCGGAAGCTCTCCCAGAAAGCCCCCGAACCACTCGACGACGACATCGAAGAGCAATCTATCCCCGAGACACCCTCGCCAAAGTCAAAGAAGCGCTCCGAACAGCGTCGCCCCATCTCCCCACCCGACGACGCCTCCCAGGCGCCTTCCGCCTCCGGCTCCGCAGCCCCACTCGGCCGCACCGCCTCCGGTCTAAGCGGCAAGGCTAAGAGCGTCGCCAGCAAGACAAAGGAGACAGCCCAGCAAAGTACCGAGACCGTCGAAAATGCCGCGGAAAATGCCACCGATAACCTGCCCGTGCCATTTGACCTTTCCGCATTGAAGGGTCTTCAGGTCGCCGAGGGTGGAGATATCCTTGGAAAACATGGAAACCCCATTGGCAAGGTTGTCGAGGGCGATGCGGAGGATCTTGTCGGACAGACTGTTGGAGATGACGGCGAGATTGTCGATGAGGATGGCGATCTGATTGGTCGCGTTGATATCCTCCACGAGGTCGCCGATCAGGCTAAACATGCCGCTGAAGACGCACAGGAGGAGGCTGGAGAGGTTGATCTGGGCAATGTTGTTACGGATCTTGCTCAGCTTGAAGGTCTTCCTGTTTCTGATGGTGGTGTTATCAAGAACGCTGCTGGTCAGATCGTCGGCCGTATTGTTGAGGGTGACCCAGAAGATCTTATTGGATATACCCTCAATGATGACGGCGAGATCGTCGATGAAGAAGGCGACGCCATTGGTCGTGTCGATCTGGTTCCTGTTGAGGAGCAGAAGAAGGCCATTGAAGGTGTTGCTGATGATGCCGCTTCGAAGGCTGGTGGCGCCAAGGACGATGTTGAGGATCAATACGAAGATGCTCAGGATGGTCTCTCCGCAACTCAGGCCAAGAGCACTGTTGACGGCGCGGCTGATGAGGTCGACGACGATGTTTCCGATGTCGAAGGAACTGCCGACAAGGCTAAGTCCACTGCCGAAGATGGCAAGAGCAAGATTGACCTCGAAGACAATGTCGAAGGCGCCAAGTCTACTGCTGATGATGCCGCCTCCGACGCTGCTTCCGACGCCGAAGATGCTACTGATGCCGTCGAGGGCACTGTCGACGATGCTAAGTCCACTGCCGAAGATGGCAAGAGCAAGATTGACCTCGAAGACAATGTCGAAGGCGCCAAGTCTACTGCTGATGATGCCGCCTCCGACGCTGCCTCCGATGCTGAGGACGCCACTGATGGTGTGGAAGGTGCTGTTGACGACGCCACAGCCACTGCCGGAGACACCGCCGAAGATGCGACTGAAGACGTCGATGAGACTGCCGAGGATGCTGCCGATATCGAGGCACGTACCCCCGACATCAAGACCCTCGAAGGCATGGTCTGCAACAAGCGCGGCTACATCATCGACCAAGAGACCGGCAAGCCCGTCGGCGAACTCACCGAAGGCGACCCAAAGAAACTGGCCAAGCTCGGCGTCACCCTTGACGACAAGGGCCAGTTCTGGGACAACCGCGGCAACGTCATCGGCCAAGCCAAGGCACTCCCAGTCGAGAAGGACGAGGACGCAGAAGGCCCCTTCTCCGGACTTGAGGGCCTAGTCGTCAACGAAGACGGCTTTGTCGAAGACGAGAACTCCACCCGCGTCGGCCGTCTGATCGAGGGCGACGCGAAGAAACTGAGCGGCCGTGGCGTCGACGAGGATGGCGATATCCTCGATCGCAATGGTAACGTCATTGGACGCGCTGAGCGTCTCGAGCCCGAGGAGGAAGAGCCCGAGGCGGAGGAAGAGGCTGCTCCTGATTTCTCTGCTGTCAATGGCCTCACCTGCAACAAGGCTGGCTATGTTATCGGACCCGAAGGATACCCTATCGCTCGTGTTGTGGAGGGTAACCCTAAGGAGCTTGCTGGCAAGAAGATCGAGGACGGCGAGATCTACGACGGAAAGAAGGTCGTTGGTCGCGTCGAACTCATTCCTGAGGATGAACTCGAGAGCAAGCCCGAGGGTGCCTTCGCTGGCATGGAGGGCCTGTTCGTGAACAAGGATGGATTCGTCGAGGACGATGAAGGATCCGTTGTTGGTCAGCTTGTTGAAGGTGACGCCAAGAAGCTTCGTGGTCGTGCTGTCGACGAGGATGGCGACATCACCGATAAGCACGGAAATGTCATTGGACGGGCCGAGCGCCTCGAACAAGAGGAAGAGGCTGGTCCAGATCTATCCGTTCTCAATGGCCTCACCTGCAACAAGGCCGGCTATGTCATCGGGCCCGATGCATACCCCATTGCCCGTGTTGTGGAGGGTAATCCTAAGGAGCTTGCCGGCAAGAAGATCGAAGACGGCGAGATCTACGACGGAAAGAAGGTCGTCGGCCGTGTTGAGCTTATCCCTGAAGATGAACTCGAGAGCAAGCCCGAGGGTCCCTTCGCCGGTATGGAGAGCCTGTTTGTGAACAAGGATGGATTCGTCGAAGATGATGAAGGGTCCATCGTTGGTAAGCTTGTTGAAGGCGACGCGAAGAAGCTTCGTGGTCGCGCTGTCGACGAGGACGGCGAAATCACCGACAAGTACGGCAATGTCAAGGGTCGTGCTGAGCCTTACGAGCCTCCTCAGGAGGAGGAGCCCGTCGAGGAGGACCTCTCTATCCTCGAGGGCAAGGTTGTCAACAAGGCCGGCAATGTCGTTGACCCCGCCACTGGAGCTGTCGTCGGACGCATCGTCGAAGGCGACAAGCGCCTCGCTGGATGCAAGGTCGACGGCAAGGGCCAGATCTGGGGTGACAACGGCAAGGTCGTTGGACGCGCCGAGCTCATTCCCGGCGCCGAGCAACACAAGGCCGAAGGACCATTCTTCGGTTTCGACAACGCTGTCGTCGGCAAGGACGGAGTCGTTCTTGACGGCGAGAAGATCATCGGACGTCTGATCGAAGGTGACGCCAAGCGCCTTCTCGGCCGCAAGGTCGACGAAGACGGTGATGTCTCCGACAAGAACGGAAACACCATCGGCAAGGCCGAGCGCTGGGAGCCCGAGGAGAAGAAGCGCGATGTCAACCCCATGTCTGGTCGCAAGGTCAACAAGGAGGGCGAAGTTCGCGATGCGGACGGCGAACTCATTGGCAAGCTTACTTCGGGTAATCTCGCCACTCTGGTCGGCAAGGTCATCGACGACAACGGCTATGTTGTTGACAACGAGGGCAACAAGATCGGCGAATGCACCTTGCTCGAACACATTCCCGAGCCCGAGCCTGAGCCTGAAGTCGAAGAGCCCGAAGAGGAGCCCGAGGAGGGTCCCACCCCCGAAGAGCAGGAGGCTGCGGCTAAGGCCGAGTCTGACCGCCAGCTCGCGCAGAAGATGATCTCCATCCTCAGCCAGACTCTTGATAAGGTCAAGCCTATTTGCAAGCAGATCACTGATGCCTGCGACAAGGCCGACCGCACGCCCAAGGAAGAGCTTGACGAGGAGAAACTTGTTCAAACCGTCAAGCCGCTTCTCGAAGAGGGTGGCCGCATTCTCCAAGAGTGCAATGGTGCCATCCGTGGACTTGATCCCGATGGACGCATTGCTGCCACAGCCAAGGCCCGCGCTGCTGCTCGCGATGCTACTCCCGAGGAGTACCAGCTTGCCGACATGATCAAGGAACTCACTGAGACAGTCATCAAGTGTATTGACAACGGCAAGAGACGCATCGCTGACATGCCTCATGCCAAGAAGAAGCTGAACCCCCTCTGGGGATTGCTCTCTGAGCCCCTGTTCCAGATCATTGCTGCCGTTGGCTTGTTGCTTACCGGTGTCCTTGGACTGGTTGGTCGTCTCCTCGATGGTCTTGGTCTTGGTGGATTGTTGAGTGGTCTGCTTGGCAGTCTTGGTTTGGACAAGTTGATTAACGGACTTGGTCTGGGCGGTTTGACTGATGCTCTTGGCCTTGGTGGAAAGAAGTGAAAAGCCTAACGAATTTGGTTGAACTTTGTGGCGGTTTTGTGATTTTATTTGTTTCTTTCTGCCAGCGTTGATGGCCTTGGTGTTTGTACTTTTCTAATTTCCTGTACTATGTATGATTTGACTTCTTCACGAAGATTAATGAACTTTGAACTTCATTTTGATTCATTTTGATCTATTCACAATTATTAATAGTCTCGTAAGTACAGATATGCAGCAGGGTACATTTTCCATGCTTGGTTTCATCAAAATCCCTCGTGGAGTTGTTATATCTTTTCATCAGATCAAGATAATAACACATATGTAGAAGGGATGGACATGTTCATAATTACAAGGTGTGAACATTTTAACAATGCACCACTCAGGGCAATTTTGTGGCAATGCCACCGGGGCAACGACCCAATTCATCTAGTGTCGATCGTTGATTCTTCCATAGAGATGGCGTGGCGAGTACTAAGTCAATGGGTCTTTGATTGGTCAGTCGAAGCGCGAGACTGAACTGTGTGGGACGATTCACCGAGGTTGCGATAAGCTCTATCTCTCGCGGCACCCTTATCCTTTCGGATGGTGAGGCAGTTGATTCCGAGGAAAGTGGTAATCCGGTTGATGACGAGGACCGCCCAGTGCATGTAGATCACCAGGGCGAAGAAGAAGTAGCACCAGAGGTACAGCAGTTCCAACCATGGGGCAATGGCCGGGAAGCCGATCATGGGCAGGTTAATGAGGACCGCACCGCCAACGAGGGGAGCCTGCATCACAGTCCAAAGGGGGAAGGGCTGTCTGAGAAGATGGGCCAAAATAATCATGGTGGTCATGCGTCCGAAGACGAATGCGATGACCCAGCAGAACAAAACGAGGTGGTTCCCGGAAAGAATAGTCGAGTAAGGCGAGAAAAGCCAGGCGATGTTGCAGAAGGTGAAGACGATCATAGGCACCCACTCCTTAAGCAACGGGGTGAAGGGCAGGCCCTGCTTCTTGCGGGATTCAGCCACATTCATAACACATCCGGGGAGATGGCCGAGGAAGAAGCCACCCAAGAGAATGGGGACCCAAAGGTCCTTCATCGAGCTGTTGCCGAAGATCTGGGGGAAGTTAAGGAACCCAACGATCGGCTGAGACCAAATTCCGGGGCCCCAAATTCCGGAAGCAACCATGATCGAAATGGCGATGAGGAGGCCCTCGGTCGGGCCATTGAAGTAGCCGAGGTAGAGGGTGTGGGTGTGGAAGGTCTCCCATGTCGAGAAATACATGGCCAGGCAAGGCACAATTGCGGTCCAAGCACCAAGGTGCGTGGATCCGTATCCCATGGCGGCAGTCGAAAGCAGACTGGCAAGAGTGCAGTTCAAAGAGTCGATACCGTGACTGTACCTGATTAGTGATCCATCCATGACTTTGCAGAGAGTGGTACAAACTCAAAAAGTTCTCCGAGTCCGCTGGACGTTCCAGTTCGACGTGCCTGTTTACCATCCACATTGTCGAGAGTAGAATACCTATTTGTTGTCAGTTGAGAATCATCTAGATGGAGGGGTAGCCGGTTACTCACATCCACATGCCAAGAGCAAAGCTGTAGTAAATCCATGCGGGGCCCTGGAATATCTGGTTAACTCGCCACTTCCGACAAAACTCCAAGGAACAAGGAACAGAAATACTCACGGGTCCCACCATATCTGGCACGAAAATCTGAATAACAAAGATATTGGCCACGATCCACATGAACCCAAGAAGGGTCACCATGTTCGGGGCCATCCACATAGGCACAACCTCGACGAAGGCATTCCACTAAACAGGGACAAGTCAATTCTTTGTTCTGATGTAAAGCAACCTGTGCAAGGTGCCATGATTGTCATACGTAGTGCTTCAAGATATACCGAGAAATGAACGACTTGTCGACAGCCGAGTATTTGTAGGACTTAAGGGGTAGGAGGGCCTCGTCGGAGAGGGAATCTTGGGTCTCTGTAGGGGTTAAACGGTCGAATTAGCAAATGAGTCGGAATGAATATGCCGATTACAGTCTTCATATCACTAACCCTGGACCATTCGATAGATTGCGCTCATTTTTGAGGATTGGGCTGTCACGCGCGGAGTTGTAGTATAGTCGGGGTAAACACCAGCACCTCAGTTCATAGCGAGGTCGGCAAACAAGTGGGTAAAATGGACAAATACACAGCAAATCAAATCATGCCTTTAACAACAAATGTTGTCTATCGAGAATACGGAGAGAAGGAGGAGTGGGAAATCCTTCAGGATGGATTTTCAGGTCGAAATCACGTGCCTTGCTCCGCATCGGGAACGCGAACAAGGGAAGCTTGACTTGACCAGGGATTTGCTGGTGCATTGTTCAGACTGAGTCGCATTGTCGCAGATTGTTGCCCTTGAACTTGTTATTTGCGCCTCACCTGAGACTTCGCTTATCCTCCGGTCTCCCTCAGCGCCTCGCGATACTCGACCGTGATCCTTAATCGCGTAACCGCCCATCTCGCATTTCACCGTCATCTGGAGCTCGAATCTGCGCCACGCGAACTGCTCTTCGATTTTTCTCCGTCCTCGTCACTACAATCATATATCGAGTCTGGTTGGACATGACGGTGGATGGTCTTCAAAGCGCTCCCCGCGCATCTCGTCACTGAGGAATCTTCACGATGCCGGGTGTTGTCGACCCCGTTGGTGCTGCGGCACGTCCGTTTGATCTGGGATTCAACGTTGGACATCAGAAAGTCGAACTTGAGATCGATCTCGCCTCCAAAAGTCTCAGAGGAAAGACGGAAATCACAATTCACCCTCGCCGCAGAGATCTAGGGACGATTTGGTTGAATTTTCGACAAGGCGAGATCAAACAACTGAGCGTTAACGGTAAACCTGCAACAACAAAATACACCGATCAATACGAGTCACTACAACTGTACGGCGTACAATATCACGAGCGATTGACACCAAAGATCCACAGCCTCTTACAAACTCCTCCGAGACCTACCCTGCCCATCACGATTCCAAAGGGCGTCCGCATCGATGAACTGGATCCCTCTTCAGCCGAAGCACAGGATCAAATCGCCCTCCAATCTACTGTCGACAATGTGGATGGTCCTTCGAGTGCCAGGGCGCCAGAGGCAAACCTTCCACGATTCACGTCTCTGACTGTGAACATCGAATTTGTTATTGATAATATTCGGGATGGCTTACAATTTGTCGGCGTCGAAAATGGAGACCGAAGGTATCCTCATGCCTACACCACCAACTCACTCGAATCTGGTATCGGCTGTCCCTTGTTTCCATGCGTGGATGATATGTCCTCGCGATGTACCTGGGAAGTTTCCATCACATGTCCTAGTTCTCTAGGTGATGTTTTCAACCGCAAGAGCCAAGACGCGTCCGGTGCAATAATCCCATCCCACCCCAAAGCGCCGAGCCGCCAGCTTTCTGCGGAAGATGAGGGCCTTGACATGTCCGTGGTGTGCTCCGGCGACTTGACTGATGACATTGTCGACCCCAAAGACCACACCCGCAAGACAGTTTCGTTTGCATCATATTCACCATTAGGAGCCTTGCAAATTGGGTTCGCCATCGGTCCCTTCGAGTATGTCAACCTGGCCGACTTTCGCGAAAGTGACCAGGATGAGCAACTTGGCCAAAATGCTATTCCTTTGCACGCATTCTGCCTTCCAGGCAGAGCCGACGAAGTGCAGAATAGCAGTTTTCCCATGGCTCAAGCGATTGACTTTTTCTCCTTGTCGTACGGCTCATATCCATTCGGAAGTTACAAGATTTGTTTCGTCGACGATCTCCCAACTGACAGCCTTCCCACTGCGTGCATGTCGGTCTGCAGCAGCCATCTTCTCTTCCCAGCGGAGATGATTGACCCCATGTATGACTCTACTCGGGCTCAGGTGCACGGTCTAGCATGCCAGTGGACTGGAATCAATATCATCCCTAGCGAGCCCTCAGATACATGGGTGACAGTTGGTGTGGCGTGGTACATCACAGATACGTTCATGAGAAAGCTTTGCGGAAATAATGAATACCGTTTTAGACTGAAGCAGGCGTCTGATCAAGTCTGCGACCTGGATTTTGAGCGCCCCTCGATATACGACATGGGTACCATTCTCAAGGTTGACCCCTCCGAATATCGCTTTGTTGCATTGAAAGCGCCTTTGGTCTTGTTCATTCTTGATCGTCGACTGACCAAGGCAAGTGGCAAAGCCACAATGTCGCGCATTATTTCTCGGCTTTTCCTGAACTCTCGCATGGGCGATATACCCAATGGAGCCGTCACCACGTCCCTGTTCCAAAAGACCTGTGAGCGACTTGGTCACGCGAAATTAGACGTCTTCTTCCAACAATGGGTATACGGCGCGGGATGCCCACGATTCCAAGCGACCCAACGATTCAACAAGAAGAAGCTCGTTGTTGAAATGATGATCAGACAGGTTCAATCTGAACCACAGCCTCCTCGTGATCTCGACAAGGATTCCTTCTTGCGTGATGTGAAGGAAGAGGTCCGGCACGTCTACGCGGGCGCAGTTCAGCCGGTCTTCACAGGGTCGATGACCCTTCGGATTCACGAAGCAGATGGAACTCCTTATGAACACATTGTTGAAATCAAAGAGGGGGTCACCAAGTTCGATATTCCATACAACACGAAGTACAAAAGGCTCAAACGGAACAAAAAGCAGAGAGAAAGAGCCGTCGCCTCGGGCGATACTGAAGTTCAAGAAGAGGTTCTACTTTACTGTCTGGGAGATGTGCTTCAGACCGAAGAAGAGACACAGGCTTGGCGTTTGGCTGACTGGACGAAAGAGGACGAAGAGCGAATGGGACAGGAATCCTATGAGTGGATCCGAATGGATGCAGACTTTGAATGGGTCTGTAAACTGTCTCTCGGTATGCCAGGCTACATGTATCTCTCGCAGCTTCAGCAAGATCGAGATGTTGTGGCTCAGCTCGAGGTGCGTAATGTTACTGTTTTCATTGATTGAACCATGATGCTAACCTTCTCAGTCATTGCAATACATGACTGCTCAGCGAGAGCATCCTCTCATTTCCACAATCTTTGTTCGCACACTCATGGATAGTCGATACTTCCATGGCATACGTACCACAGCCGCACGTGCCTTGGTAAAACATGCCAAGGATGAGATTGATTGGGTTGGACTGTATCACCTTGAGAAGGCGTTCCAGGAGCTTTTCTGTCTCCCGGGATCGCCCATGACTCGTTCGAATGACTTCTCCGATCGAGCGGCCTACATACTCCAGCAAGTCATCCCTGACGCAATCTCTAAAGTCCGTGACAACAGTGGCAAAACTCCATTAAGAGTGAAACGATTCCTCTTCGATAAACTCAAGTTCAATGACAATTCGAACAATGAGTACTCAGACAACTTCTATGTTGCCTCCTTGATGAAGTCACTATGCCACGCGATGCTTGGCAAGGGCGAGTCGCGGACAGATGAGGAATTAGACCATTTCGACATGGAACGTGTGCTTGAGGCTCAGGCCGAGGAGCAATTGGACAAGGATGCCATTGCCGAGTTCGACCGCTACCGACGAATGGACGAATGGTCTAGCTCTTTCCAGAACCTCTACTCCAGAGCTGCACTTCAATGCCAGGCTCAATTAATGCAAGCCAAGATGATGGACATGGATTTGATGCGTTTCATCCCATATACGCGAGCAGGAACCTATGATCTTCTCCGGATACAAGCCTTCCAATGCTTGGTCGACCTGGATATTTCCCAGAGCCCGGAGCTTCTTCGATGGCTCATGTTCACATTGTCGGCCGATTCATCGCCCTGGATACGCCACCAAGCTTTAAGTTTGCTCGGTCAGACCTTAGCACAGATTGCCTTTGGTCGTCCTCAACAAACCGAAGCCTCCCAAAACGATGGTTTGATCATCGAACAAGAATCCTCCACCCAAATCCGCCGAGACGACATCGCACGACGCCAGACCATCCCTGGCGCCATTGAAGCCCTCAAACGAGAACTTGCTAGCGACACATCTATGAAGGAAAGCATGTGGGCAGCATGCAACTCGCCGTGCATGGGCCTCCTAGAGCTATCCGAGCTCACTGATCTTTGCCGTACGCTGTACGACCCAATCACCTCTAAGCTCGTGCGAATGAAACTTCCTCGATACTGGAGTGTACAAAATCAAGGTCACGGCAAGTTACGGTTCTATCGATCTACCAAAGCCCGCATGGGTCCGTCTTCCAAGCGCAAGCGCGAGGATCAGGGCATGCACGCACCTTCATCAACCCGCATCACGTTCAAGCAGACCAAGACTGGCCTGGTCCCAGGAACTCCAACTCCTAATCATCTCCCCAAAATTCACATCCCCAGACCATCCCCTGCACCAAGCGCAACCTCCAAAACCCCTGCCACATCTACACCGAAGCTAAAGCTCAAGTTTGGTGGTCGACCAACATGAATATCCCACGTTGTTCCTTCGAATATCACATGTATTTTACCATTATCTCTTTATTATTCTGTCCTTTGCCATTAACTCAGGCAGGAGGATGAAACCCAAGCATGCTCCTAGGCGCCATATCGATTCAGCTTTATCTTCCGATTTCAATACCAGCTATGCCTTATGTTCATACTCCCTGGTAAATCTGTAGTGTAGGTGTAGCCAGTCAAAAAGTCATTGGGGGTAGCCATGGTAGTCTAACATGCGCCCTGGCAAACGAGCAGGAAAAAAATAGAACAGAAAAAAGGTTTTGATTGTTCCCATAAGAGAAACCGACCCAGAAACTCCCAGTAGCATTAGATCTTTTCCCAGCACTCGGTGATGGAGTGGTGCCTATGTGCGTGCCCCTTCAAAAGAAACGTCGTAGATGGTGTGCGTAGATGTGTGGCTTATTTATCGGTTATGCGCTCGAGGGCCTCGAGCATCACGACGGAGTTTCCGCGGATGACCTGATAGAACGAATATTCGTTAGCAGGGGTTCTTCTTGGTACCAGGCGATAGGGATTGAACGTACGATCATGCCAATGGAAACCTTCTCTCCACCCTCCTTCTCCTCGAATGCCTCATCCAGAACAATGTTCATGAAGACCTGCGCGAAAGCGTTAGTTATTCCGCGCTTGATCGGTACGGTCATCCTCCCGGCGCTCCGGGTGATGCAAGAGGTACCACGACATCACGAAAGCCGGACCAAGGGGTGTAGACATACATCGTAGCCTCGGAGGATACCAATGACTTTGCGGTTGCCGTTCAGTTGGCAGAAGACCCGCTTCTCCATGTACTGCAGAAAAGAGACGATGTCAGCTGGGATCCCGGGACAAAAAGAGCGCATATGGTGGGTAGAGCACTAACCTTCTTCAATTCAGGCTGAGCTTGAGGCATATTGGGCGAGTTGGTTGGGTATCTTGGGGTTTGGCAAGATTCAAGTCACCGCAGTGGCTTTGGGAGTTTGGTGCAAGCTGGACCGGAGAAATGATATTCCGGATATGAGATACGCGATAAGAGCTGCCCACTGTGTAGCTCACACGTTCACGCCACCAACTTGCATCACTTTGTTCTCGCCGTACCTCACTGCTGAGTACTTTCAAATATGAGCTCTAGATTTGCCAATCGCAGAAAGCCCCGCAAGGTTGGTGGGGATGACGAGGAGGAGGATGGAGGCGCTGCGCCAGGTATGTGGGCTAAGATTACTTTTTTTCTACCCTAGATATTCGCCTACCGAGCTCGAAGCTGACATGGAGATTTGCAGAGCCAGTTGTCAAGCGCCCAGCTGCCTTTAAGCCGAAGCAAAAATCTAAATTGCAGTTATCTTTTGGCCCCGAGACGTCAATGAAGGATGGTGACGAAGAAAGCGAAGTGGTCCTACCGAAACGCCTCGGTCTAGGGCGCAATGCAATTGAAAGGAGTGCTGTCCAAATCCCTCCAGTTGGCCAAGATCCAGACCGTCCTACCTATAGTCATGACTACTTGAAAGAACTTCGCGATTCCACGCCCTCAACACCGAAGACCAATACCGATGACGAAACCAGCAAGGCTGTGGATGTTGCAGCTAAATTCGGGGAGATTATGACTGTTCCGGGACAAGCGCACATCCCCAGCGAAGCTGAGATTCGGGAGAAGAAAGCCCGACGCGCACGCTTGGCTATGGAACACGGTGCGGAGGACGACGGTTTCATTTCATTGGACGCCAACGATGCAGCCCATGTTGATGACTGGGATGCGGTTGTACGAGGGGATAAAGATATCAAAGAAGCCGAAAATACAAGACTGATTCGGGATGATGAGGACTTTGCGGAAGGGTTTGAGGCCTTCACGGAGGATGGCAAGATGGCGCTCGGGCGGAAAGCAGAGCGCGCGAAGAAGCAGAAGGACCGTGAAGCAATGCGCGACCTCATCGAGGATGCCGAGGGTATATCTGATGAAGATGACTCTGACATGGAGGAAAAGGCTGCCTATGAAGCCGCTCAGGTTCATGCGGCCATGGGTCGTGGCAAGTCAGCCGGTATTGATCGTCCGAAGACTCCTCCCAAGGTGACATCTCTTCCACGACTGGCTAGCAGTTTTGAAAGATTGCGCATGTCTCTAGCGTCCATGGAAGTCGCAAAAACACAAATGATCAGCCGGATGGAGGATTTAAGAAAGGAGAAGGCAGATATCGCAATTCGTGAGGTGGAGATCCAGGCGATGATCAAAGAAGCTGGCGACAACTACGAGCGACTCAAGAAGGAAGCCGGTATTGATCCGACTGCAAAGCTCGATGCTTCCAGTGGAGCGCTGGAAAAGCCCCGAGGATTGGAAAGTATCGGTGCTCCTGTGCCCAGATCTATGCCGATAAGAGACTCGTCAATGGCGGATTCCTCGGATTCCAGTTTCGAGGATTCTTCGTAGCGCTTTCCTTGCACATGTACGTACCTGCCAGGCCTGGATTCTCAGCTTCACCGGTAACTCGATTCCCTTGCATTGTCTTCGTGGAGTCATTCTTGTTTCTTTTGATACCCAATGAACGAGTTCTGTATATTTATATTTTCATTTGCCTGCCCTTAGGTTCACTCCCTTCTTTCACTGGCAGCTACAAACTATATTCCTCGATCACTCTCAAGGCGCTAGGCAACCTGCACTTGCGAGATGACCCAGCTCTGTTTGGCAAATGGTTCACGCCTTATTAGCTGAAACGGACAAGTGTTGTGACTACAAATCGACTTGGTCGGAAATGCATTAGGATTGACAATATTGCTTCACTCCTAGAAAGCCAACTACGTTACACCAAAGTATCATTCATCGGACCGGAACTTCGAGCGAGCGATGTGATGCCGGACCTTTCCTTGTTTTTAGGCTGCGCCGCCATGCACAACTGCGCGCAGTCTCCTTTTCACAAGGCAGCACTCATCTGACGAACGAATGGGATACGAATGGGATACCACACATCGGAAAACAACTGTTACGTGCATGCCATGTGACACGGTTTGACTCTAGGAATAAGCTATTCCGCTGTCCACTGTCCACTGTCCACTGTCCACTGTCCACTGTCCACTGTCTGCGTAATATCATTACCACAGTCTCGCGATTCGAATGACCCACCACCAGGCAACTTTATATTGATAGGCTTCAACTTGTGCCTTGATCAGATGATTGAACTAAATCTACCTATCCAGAATTATGCCACAGCTATTAATCAGGCATTACCGATTCTGCATTGGTCCGCAAATGTTGATTGCTATGATGCTGAATTTATCGCTACGGGCCAGCACCAGAACAGACAAGGTTGGACTCAGCAAAGAAAAAATTCTGAAGACTCTCCCCCCAAAGATACAAACTTTGACGGCATGATACTTGTCAACTCTGAACATCGAACCACTCGTATCTAGGTTCTCGATTTCAATCTGTGCAGTATGCGGGAAGAACGAATGGCACTTGAACGGCTAGATGACTTGATAGCTCATCAACAAGACATCCCTACCTGAATTGGGGGGCAGGGCCATAATAAAACAGAGAGCAAACAGCGCGCTTTCAACTCCCGTTTCAACCTGATTTATTACCTCGTGCTTTCACCTCAAGTTCACTCTGTTCCCTACTTCACTCCACTTCATTTTATCCAATCCTCAATTCCTTTCCTTCAACTTGCTTCGCCCTAAAGCACAGCCTTCACTTCATTGCTTGCCAACCTGCACCGGCAAGCGTGTCCAGATGAGAATATCGCTTGTCGCGTTGAAGGGGGCTCACTCTATCATTATCTTGTCATGAATCTGTTCAATGTTGCTATAGCTAAATGAATTGAGCCATGCATTATTTTTATGAGCTGCGTACACTTGAACTTCAACTCCTAATACTAGACCTCACTATTAACGAACTCGTGCGGTCATCCTCGAACCAGTCACCTCCGGCAAGCTGGCGCGTTCATTCTGAAGTCGAGATGTGGACGGCTATGGGGGTTCTTACATTTCCCTAGGGATCAGATATTACAGCATCCATTTTAATGTCCGCGTGGACCTTATCCTGATCTTGGAGAATTGGTCAATTCGGTTACTTGAATTGTCAACAAGACGGTGCGGCCGGCCGGGACCATTTGGTCGTTTGCCTAAGATTTTCTCCTAATACGTACTCCGTGTCAGTCTCTCACTTTATTTTTCACATGTCTCGTAGACGCACATATTTTCTTTCTCACGGTGCTTACCTTTGTACATAGAAGAGGTTCTAATCGTATGGTAAATACCGGATAAACCAACAAGCCGGGATTTGTTTACAAGCCCTAGTCCTTCAAGAGTAGCTTTGCCCGAGTGCCCCTCCAATTCCTCTGGAAATCGTTTTCTCCCTTCAAACCCCATTGGCAATTGAAAGAGCATGGAAATTTTTGAGTTTTGTCTCCCCGATGGAGGGACAATCTCTGGACGGTTCAATTTCCCAAAACCTCAAACTTCCAGCCATTTACCGCTGATCGTCTGCATTCATGGCGGCAGCTATGACGCTGAGTATTTTGATGTCGATGAAGACCACTCCATTCTCAGCATCTCAGTATCGGCAAAAATACCCGTCATTTCCTTGACCAGACCGGGCTATGGATCCAGTTCCCCTGTCCCAACGGATGACAGGGATGAAGACACAACTTACGGCCAAGCCCAGGGAAAGTACCTCAATTCTATAGTATTACCCTTCCTATGGGAACAGTTCAAGGAACGTTCAGGAGCAACAGGCATTGTGATCATGTCTCATTCCATTGGCGCGATGATCTCCATCATCATAGCGGGGTCCCATACGGGAACCGAAGGCTATCCACTCTCGGGACTTATCACATCCGGGATAAGCACCGAACTGGGCCCGGGACCGCGAGGAGCCATGCTTCATCTATTAAACGAAACAACAGGCGTTGTGCAGTTCGATGAGACCCCAAAAGATGCCATAATGCTTCAAATCCCCATGAATCAATTCACGGATCCCCAAATGTGTCGCCACACAAAGCGTCTGAACTGGCCTCTGCCCCCTGGTGAACTCCACGATATCAATATGACTTGGCTGGACTATTGGCGCAAGTACTCGGACCGCGTCACTGTTCCGGTCATGCATGCCTTGGCTGAATTCGATGGCCTTTGGACTTATTCTCCAGAAGCATTGGAGGATTATAAGAATGCGTTCCCGAATAGTCCGCATGTTACCAGCGAGGTGGTTCCCATGGCTCCTCATTGTATCGAGTTGAGTCTCCAGAGCAAACCCTGGTACATGAAGTGCTGCTCTTTTGCCTTGCAGTGCGCTATTTGGGATGCTTTGCGGCCGACTTTGCCTCCTCCTACTGTGCCTGTGATTGTTCAAAAGACCGAAGAGGAAATCGACTCGGAGAATGAGATCGCTCCGCCTCAGGGTGGTATTACCACCCTTGTCTATACAACAACACGCTATGAGGCGAAGGGACCTTGAGACAACTGAGTGGCGCGTTGCGTACATGTACATAGAGTGTTCTGTCCATATGTGTGTATATATTATACCTTTGAAACATCTGTCCAGTAAGCACTTCTACCTTATAAATATGAGCGATTTGAAAGGATTAAGTCCATGTTGGCCACTCATAGCTGAGGTGTTTCTATCAAATTTGGTATATTGTACCCGTTAACGGTAAGACTTCAAATTTGTCATTCCTTAGCTTACCCATAAGCTAATTTCTTTAGCACTACTCCTTATTGACCGACTCTTTGACTGGCTGATATCCCGGCAGAACGCAGCTGGCCGACGGAAGCAGGAACGCGACAGGGACTTCAAACGTCTGGCCTTTGCGCCGGGGATGGCCGGTACTAACTCTTCTATGGCAAGTCCTATCAGTACATAATATAACTCTGGGCTTTATGGGGGTACTTGATCTAGCAGATATACATCACGTTCTTCCATGGCGTCAATATATTTATGTTTCCCCCTGCTTTGCGCTCTCTTAAGCCGATACCAGAATGAGTTTATATTGTGTGCTCCTTATCAAAGTCAATAGTAAAACAACCATTTACCAGATTAAAAGCGGGAAGCTAATACCTTGCCAACTGCTAAGTTCGATCCATGAGTAACATCTCCCCGGCACCCATGGAAGATTAGACGAATTATTCCCGGCTCTAGACGTCACAACTCAAAATCTCCATCTTTAAAAATGCCGCATATTTCCCGAAACCTTCGGTGGAAGGTAAAATCTTGTGAGACAAAAACCAACATTGCGTCACAATATGACTTTCTTACTGGGAGTTATTAGCGCACTAACCGCGACAGTGCATAGTTACATGCCAGCAAGCCACAACCTGGAATCTAGTAGACTGGATGGTCTTCCCACCTCTCAACAAGGTTCCATGTCTCATCTAGAAACCATATTCCTGGTCTGCGACAAGTAAAGTCTGTCTCTGTTAGGAAGGAGGCCGAGTCCCCATTTGTTGAAGAAGAATCTATCAGCTTCTATGTCTCAACGCCAAAACCGTTGGTTTTTTGTTTTTGTTTTTAGCCCAAGAGCCACTTCATTTTGCTGATCTACATATTTTAGTGCCAAAAATTAGAAATAAACTACACTAAAGCACACACTAAAGTACCTACCCACAACCCCGGTATCCGGGATCCGCGAGCCCTAATTCGCCCAATCAATAACCAACAGACAAACAACGGAAAATCCAACAGGCTGCCGGGAGACTCCTTTCAAATTAGACAACACCAACCTCTCCTTGCTTTTTCAACAGGTTTTTTCTAGCGTTGATTCTCCGCTGATCATCCTCAGGTCCACTGTATTAACACTATCCAGTCTGTTTCCATCCCGCCCCTTCCCCAGATTTGTTTCACATTTTATCTACGTCTTATGATGCCTGACATATAAGATAAATCACCGGGTAACGGTATTAATGTAATAATCAACAATAATAATATCCATAAATATGCTCCGCATATGCAGGAAATAAAGACTAGAGGTCGATCGAGCACCTGGAACCTGGGAAAGGCAAATCCCAAATTCACTAGGGCGGCAACTCCACAGATATGTAACACCAACAGAACATTGCTTCAAAGAAAATTCCTCGGGGCTCTCCCACAGAATCAGGATTTGAGATTCTCCCCCTAGCTAGGGGATCGGACGGAACCTTTGCGCGTTCGTGCTGCTGCAGGCTCGTTTTCGATCGGTTTCAACGCCACCTAGGCCACCCCAGCGGTCGTTAAGAAGCTTCTTTTGAATAGGTCCGTCTTTAGAACGGTGGCGATCCGGGGAGAAAGGGGCCCGGAGGTTTTTTTGTTAAGGTTCGTTATGTTTATTTGTATTTTTCTCGGCAGTTGTAAACGGTAGTGGCCCATTTTGTTTTGATCATTCTAGTAATCTGTTCTAACTATTAACCCCACAGACAACATCCTGGCTAAAGTCTTGTCGATCTTTGATCCTTAATTTCATAGGCCCTTTCATGAACTCATGTTGGCACGACGAACTCTTGTGTTGGACACTAGAGCCTCAAAAGACTAGATAGATCATGTTCGTCGGCAGAATCCTCTCCAGCCAGCCTCCAACCAGGGAATTATATCTACCGCTATCCTACTTACTTTGCTTCTTCTGAAGCAGGTTGGATTGGCCCCCTTGGTCTGATTCGCTCGGATGCCACTTAGCCTTCCCCAGAAGCTCTCTGCGGCTACCCGATCAGGATGGAACATTCCAAAACTGACGGAGCCACTGCCAAGTAATGGAGTTTTACCCATTTTGCCGATTAGGTAGACGGGCAGTGCAGACGGATGCATAGCCCTACTCAGGGTTGTACATGGTGGAGACCAGCGATGTCCGCAGCATACTATGCTGGGACCGTTGCCAACGCGGATGCAGTTCCGGGGCCAATTCAACCAGCACTGGACATAGAATAAATAATAGCTACAGAGAAAAGCAAAATAAATATTGAACGGAGATATATTGGCTTGGACTTAACGGCCGGGAGGGACGATCTTTTTCAGGAAGCCGTCGAGAATACAACCCGTCCACTATTGCCTCTCATTTCACGTCTCTCCTAGGCATACATTTGCCTCCTACACGATCGAGGTTTAGTCAAGACATGATGCTAGACAATAGAGAAAATATCTGAAACGCTCGGTAAGTGGATCGTGGGCATATGACCAGGGTCTAGGGTATGTCCAGACCTGGGATTTCTGACCTGGCTAGGGTTCAGATATCGTTGAGTACCAACCCATGTCTATATTTCTCTTTGTTTCTCCCTGTCGCTCTGGACGCCCAGAACAGGCCGAGATCCCTCTTCCTCATCTAGAAATGGCACGGTCCTCGATTGAGATTAAACGGGCCGTAGATTTGAAATGAGCTTGCGGAATGATAGACATGGTTCGTGTATCACTGGTTCGTTCAATTCATGTTGTCTATTAAAAGACCCGAATGATATCTCTTCCTAGCCTCGCTATGTCTCCCAGTACCTTGATATAAACTTGATAGGATTCCATCCCCCATCCTCGAATTCCAACTTCTATACTGTCTCTCAAACAATCTCTCCGTGCTGGCAACCTGCAACCTGGGATATCGACCATACAACAATCTAGAGCTTCACCTCCTTTTTCCTAACGGCTGAATTGCCGACAGGTCTGAGACCGCATTGCATTCAACGGCTCGACTTACAGCCCAATCCCCACCAAGATTAATCTCTCAAAGGCCGCACAGCCGTGCCATTTCGAAGCCTAGCTGCTACTTGAGAGTATATAGAGGCATTTGTCTTCTCATACGGTTATTCTGAGTGTCTTTTGCCGTACTCCTCACTCGTGGCATTACCATCTGGTGGTCAATTGCGTACTATCATTTCCATACGGTAAGTGATGCCCAATCAGTTCTGACCGATCTGGTGAAACCTCTCCATATATAACAAAGTTCTAACTTCTCATAACGGTCAGCCCTGCAGGTCCCCTCGGATTCTCCACACTATATCCCGTGTGTACTGGCCGACAAAGAAGAAACCTCCGGGATAGAGGTCGTGCACACACAGCGACAACCCGCGTACAACACTCGCCAGCAATTGCGGTGAAGCGTGGAAGACAATAACCGGCCTAGTCTTGCTCAATATACTTTTTGTAATATTCTATTTTTATTTTCTCCGTGGTCGATATGGCCATGTCTGGGGTGCCGAAGTCATGGATGGGCCATCCGAAGGAGTACACTGCGTTGACTGATATTCTTTCCGCTTACTCGTCGGCCTTTGGGAACTCGGATGATCTTGATAAACAACTCTTCTCTTCCCCAGATTGGTACTCTGTCTTCTACCCATCGACATCAGATTCTCATTTGGACTTTCACCTGCTACATCACCCTTCCCCAACAATCAACGCACAACACCCTCGAAAGCCTGCTACAGCCATGATGAACCAACATAGTTTTCCGGGAAATCACATCCCTCTTGTGGATGATAAACGCTACGGGCCCCTCCGAGTGGAAGATCATAGCGCGACTGCGTATTCACAGAGCGTGTCTCCCTTCGCAACACGGCACGACCTGAACAGCACTCTTTCAAGCAACGGAAGCACTTATTGTGAATCTGACCTTGAGTCGCTTGAGCAATATGATGAGCCTTCTGTCGCTCGCACTGTGGATACACACGCTGGGCTGGTTCATCCAACACCACGGAGCAGCATGTTCATGGTTGCTGGCAATTCCTTCCTCTTAGGCACTGAGGAAACCTCTTCTCTTTCATCCTTTGGAGTCTCAGATATCCCAAGGGACGAGCAAGCCTTCTCCAACTCTCAGTTCAATGTCCCAAACCCAAACAACGCGAACTGTCCCATGGGTACACCTTTCAATCCTCACCCACAACACGCACATCTCACGCCATCGATCACCCCTCCAGATGCAAAACCAGTGGATTATGATCAACATATCTCATGGCCTGTCTGTCAATCAGCCAACCCTGATATCTGGTATCCCACCCGTGACCCCAACGGCTCATCCGAAGACAGCGGATGGCACACCCACAACAGTTACAGTGCACCTTGGCCCGTCACCAATGCATACACCTGCCCAGCAGAATGTAATGAACCTGCAACTCATGCCTATGGAATGAGTAGTGGACTACCTATGCCATCTTTTGGATCTCCATTTGTCCCTTTGGGCTCATCCACACCCATAACCCACCAGTCATATATGCCAGCTTATGTGCCCACTGTTGAGGCTCCTGCTCGGTATCATCCTACACCGCAGCCAATGTATCTTCCAAGCACACATCCAGTTTCCCCCAACACAGAATTTGGATCCCCAGACCAGAAACCAGCGAACAGTCTCAGCCCATCCTTCTCCGTCTCAACCAACGAAGAGGAACAATCCCCACAAGAGAGTGGAGAAGAGCAAAGCGGCATTTACACTGGCCTGCACTACAGTGATGAGCGTAACACATTCCTCATCGACTGCAAGCGCCGTGGACTATCATACAAGGACATCAAGCGAGTTGGTCGGTTCAAGGAGGCGGAGTCTACACTACGAGGCCGATATCGCACCCTCACCAAGTCTAAAGATCAGCGAGTGCGAAAGCCTAAATGGCAGGATAAAGATGTGAGTTATGAAACTGTCTTTCGTTTACTTCTAAGATAACCCAGACTAACACGATCCCATTCTCTAGATCCGACTTCTTTGCGAAGCAGTCAGCATTCACGGTGAAACACATGACGCTTACAACTCGCTCACCAACATCAGCATGAACATGAGCGAGCCACCGAAGGTATCTTGGAAGAAGGTTGCTGAACACATTTGGCGTAATGGCGGATCTTACCATTTTGGTAATGCCACATGCAAGAAGAAGTGGTGCGAGATTCACAACATCACCATTTGATTTGATCTTTGGATAAGTCCTTTTGAAGCCGGGGGTGGGTTGGTTGCTTTTATCTCTCTTCTTTTGACCTGCAACACATTTTGTGTTTTATTTGTATTCAGCTGGTCTGAGTCTCTGTGTTATAGCGTTCTCTATGTATTATTTCTCTTTGGTTGTTTGTTTGGATATTGGAATTCAATGTTTTATTTACATATAATTAAGATTACTTTACCATGTACTAGCTGATATTGAACATGATAAATTCTTTGTTTCATTGGGGTCTGTCCTCGTGAAACCTTTCCTCTTCAACCTCTACTCCAGAGACGCAAGGTTGGCTTGACTTGAGATTCATCAATGTAGCAACAACCCTACAGGCAAAGCAAATAAAGCAAATAAAGCAAATCTTTTTGACCTTCAATTCCCCCTGGCAAGACGTGCGAGAAGTGGAGTAAGCATCCACGGTGCATATGTCGGTCCAAGATAGAGCAGGAAGGTCTCGAGGAGAACCTGTCTCGTGAGATCATCCTCGATGCGACAGAGATGTAACCCTAGTAGTACCTTGGCGTCTTCAATCCCTGACGCCAAGCTATCCCGCTCTTCGTAGCGGTTCTCATCCAGACCATTTTTGCGGTCTATCATCACCGCCAACTGGGCAATCCCACCCAGTATATCCTTTTCCGCGGTCTCCTATTGTAGAGGAGCTATGCTCTGGATGAATGATGTGACACCCTCGCTGGTGTGCATTATCATGGACTCATACGAGAATGAGTTCAAGATGGAATCGAAGGAGTCGGAGGTCCCGGATGAGACCAAGGTAGTGGAGGAAGGGTGGGAGGAGATGAAGGTAGGGGAGGAGGATAAAAGTGAGGATGATGAGGAAGATAAGGAGGTGGTATGGGAAGTTGTTGACAAAGTCATCGCGGTGGAATAGCACTGTATTGTGAGACCTCGATGGATGTCCTGTCTGAGGTTCATGATTGCATCCACGATTTGTTTGGCGTCGTAAATAATTGGATGTATTGGAGTAGTTGGGTCAGTCACAAAGATCTTGGTAGCCGGTCTTTGGAGTATTGGTGAGATCGATGAAATGTAGGAAGATGCAGGGAGTAGAAGGAATGTGTGGTATAAATAGTCCTCAAGGTAAGAACCATTTCCATAAGGCTAGTCTATATAATGACGGGGAAAGGTCACTAGACTTGCTATTTGATGTTCTCAAATCTGAGTAATATTGTATCGAGCATGAAGAATGTTATATATAAAATGTCAATAAGGATTTCACACCAGAGCCTTGTCAATCTAGCATTCAATATCTATCTATATTCATCTCTTACTGTTCTGAGTGAACTATAAGTTATAGATGTATACCTTATCCGACTAATAGAACCTGTGAGGCGTTCAATTTCATCTCACTTGCCTATCACTCATTGGCATCAAACTCCTCACTTGACATCCAATTCTTATGAGACTCCAACACCTTCGTTCTTTCGCCTCAGATCACTTTAACTGATTTGAAATTCCTAAAAAGTGCCTCATCGGCTTCCTAGCCTAAGCTATTTTTGAACATTCTTCTTTATCTCTCTATAACATATACGTACTTTTATACTCGGTATTCATTAACGTGTGGAGGCCTATTTTTCAGAACATTATATACCAACGTAGGTGTACCAGCGTTTATCATATCACTCACTTATTAGTGATCTGATCACCTTCTATAGTACCAAGGGCTCGTTTAGTTTAAAGGTATATACGCTACTTTTACTTCTATTTCACTTCAATTTGAGAGCAACTGAACCTAACGTTTAGAAATCTTTACCTTCGGTTTCGCCACACGATCGAATATACTTATCTCCTTCCTTCGCTGCCATTTAACAGACGCACAGTAAGATTCTATTGTTGTCATATCCAATTTCAGATCATTTGCTACCACCAACTGATCGTTGAAGTCTTGACCTCGCAGTGTATATATTTTCCTCTTTCGTTTGTTATCTTCTCACATCTCTCACCCTCTTATTCACATCCTCTCACTTACATCTCTCATTTACATTCTCTCATCTCTTACTTACATCACATTTGGCTTTTATCCTTCTTCCTCCTTCATCGATATCTCTACCTGCCATCTTTCTGCCTAACGTCAACTACTTTAACAACTCAAGAGAACTGTAAAGCCACCAACATGTCATCCAACAGGGTCAGAACTCCCCCAGCGCAGCCCCACACAAGCCAATTCGATGCTGAACATGTTGTGGCTGCGATTTTGAGACTCAGAGAGGCTACCCATCGCCGCCACCTCATGGCAAATGGTGGCTAACCGAACTCATGACAGTCCAAAGCGCTTTGTGCCTCAATCTAACAGGAAATGGATACAATTAGAAGACGGATTTGTGAGGAATCAGATGGGGCCCTTGGGCACGTGCTTGCTGTGCTTTTAGAGATCCTCATCGTGGATATCCCAGCCGAGGTTGCAACATTATGATGAAAGCTCACCTATTTCCACAGAGACACTAGACCACCACAAACACCGCACTGAGGCTTTCAATGGAAGATAAATTCACCCAGCAAGTGTGCCCCAGAACATATGCGGAAGTAGAGCAAATCGTGGAGAGAATAATCGAACTTTGAGACCAAGTAGATCGCCGTAATCGACTAGCAGAGACTGGTGAATCAAGCTCCGCAAAGCCCACAAAGCCCAAGGCCCAACCCGCCCCAATCCCCTATGGGCTTGGTTTTGGGCCCGGTCCTTAGGCCCACCGATGGGCCCAATAAGCACCAAACAATACAAACATCCCGAAAAACGTGACTTTTTTAATTACCCTATGTTTAGACCCCGTTTCTAGCCCCTAATATTTCATCATCCTAATCATTTATTAGTTAGCCCTATATATCACGTTTCAAAACGCGAGAAAACACATTTATTAGATATCGATTATAAGAACCCCTTAATAGGCTATGACGGGGGCCTTGTCGGCCCCCACGAATGGGCTGTGGGTTGGGTTGGGCTTTGGGCCCGGCGTCCGGATTAGCGGTAGTTTCAGGCGAAGCAAAGTCTTGCTGGCCGCAAAATATGCGAGAGAAACGCGCAACTCAGACGCACTGAGGTTACATCTACATTCTTCAGCCCCCGACTTCGCGGAGTAGTATGGGTGGTTATTGGCCGTTAGTGAGACCCTGCGGGCCCATTTATGGGCTTTGCGGAGGTATAGTTGAGGCTCTGCCTCAGGCAGAGAGCTCGCTTTCTCCCTCTTCACCCAGCTTAATTCATTACTTTTGTGCCTTCTGCATACTTTAGAAAGTTGTATTTCGAAATTCCTGCCAGCAGGGGGTTCGTCCTCCCCCGGTCATAATGCCTTGCATTTGCATCCCATGTTTTGATGCTGGGCGGTTAAGCAAACAAGATAGTTCCTATCTGGAGCTCGTCTTCTTTAAAGAATACAACTCTCTGCTCTCTCTCTCTGGCCTTTTATCTGGTAGTTGCAACATCTTCACAATTACCTCGGTGGTTGACATCTCGGATTTCATTAACCGGGACATCGATACCCGGTAGCTCAATAGCCGTGACGTAGAAAGTGCAATAGCCGCCCGCAACGAGCAGCCGTAAGAGAAGCGGAAAAAACATTTAACTAACTCTGCCTTGCCAGTTTATAAATTAAACTCTCTTAAAAAGTTCTGCAATATTTCTCGTACTAGTTGCCCGTTGGCCGTATACCCCCAAACCCTATTCCAACTACCAATCCGAACTATACAACCAAAGCCCAACATGACCAAACCAATTGTCCTCCATCTCGGCGATGACATTCGCTGGAATCATGATCAATACAGCAATTTCCAAGATGTCTTTGATGTCCGCCGGTCCTACAGCATGTCTCGGCCAGAGTTTATCCGAGCCCTGAAAGAGCGCCAATTCGGCGACTTCCTTGCCATCTACCGCCCATTTTGGAATACTGGTGGCGAGATGGGAAACTGGGATGAGGAGCTTGTCTCGCTTCTACCAGATTCTTGTAAGATCTATGCCAGTGCTGGTGCTGGATTTGATTGGGTTGATACTGCAGCTTTGGCGAAGAAGGGTATGTATACAATAGCACACAACGACCCATAAAGCAAGACCCAGGGAGAAATCAGCTAACAACTTTCCCATCCAGGAGTTACTTACTGCAATGCGGCAGCAGCTTGTACAGAGTCCGTCGCCGATGCCGCAATCTGGCTCATCATCTCAACATTCCGTCTGTTCTCTTGGTCCCACATCGCTGCACGTGCACTAGACGCAGATGCATTTGTTGACGCAAACCGCAATTTGGCAATGGTATCACACAATCCCAATGGACACACACTTGGGATCATTGGCTTCGGTCAGATCGGACGGCGCACGGCTGAGAAAGCCTTCCTAGCTATGAACATGAAGATCCACTATCATGACATTGTGCAGATGCCCGCTCATCTGGAAGCCGTCTCGAAGGCCACATACCACAAAAGCATGGACAGCCTCCTCGCTGTTTCAGACTGTGTTATGGTTGCCACGCCGTTTAGCGGAGAGACCCTTCTCAATGCGTCTTTGCTGGCTAAGATGAAGACTGGTTCGCGACTCATTAACATTGCTCGTGGTAAGCTGCTTGACGAGAGTGCTCTTGTTGATGCACTGCGGAGTGGAAAGCTTGCTGCTGCTGGATTAGATGTTCACTATGACGAGCCCAATGTTAGCTCAGAGCTTGCCAGCATGAAGAACGTTGAAATGATGGCACATAACGCTGGCGCTTCTGTGGACTCACACATCGGCTTCGAGAGACTGGGTATGGAGAATATCCTAACCTTCTATCAGACTGGAAAGGCCGTTACTCCAGTGAATGCCCATCTAGTGGCTAAAGCGACAGGCTCTAAGCTTTAGAAGTCATGTATTGAATGAACATTGTTCCATGCCATTGATAGCACTTGCCTCGTGGGCACACTCGACGCCCGCCTTTATATTGTATACAGCTTAAGTCGCCCGCGTCGCCCGCCTTGATATTGTATACAGCTTCAGTCGTTTCGCGTTGCCCGCCCTTCTAATTTCTGATCTTAAGCCGATGAAAAACTATTTAAGCGTTTGCAGCCCTCGAACCTTCTTCCTTTCTCGCATCCGTGTGCCATCCATCCTATCGTCCATCATCCTATCATGAGAGTCGCATCTTCCTCGTGAAAAGGTGTCTTCCGAGCTGCTTAGCTTCAACCGTATGCTATCCATACTGTCCTTTCCGTCATAACAATTGCTTCTTCCTCTTGCCAAGCTTCTGAGCTTCGCTCGCGTGTGATACTCCACGCCAACCATCATACCTCAAGACTCCTCGACTACCGCTGGTCCCACCGCAAAGTATGTAACACATCAATTGATATACCCTTCAACAGTTTCACTCCACCTTAACCCAGTTGATCATGCGCTAACCTTCTTTGGTACTTAGCATGAGTGGTGTCCAGCCCCTCGACTTCACCGCCGCTCGCCACCTCCTTGAGCAGGCTATCATCAATCTCCGGGACTGCATCGACATCCGGGAGGTCATGGCAGCCTCCGACTTCGTCGACCCCGAGAAGTTCGACGAGCTGAGCTCCCACATCTGGGACACCAAGGTGGAGATTGCCCACCAGATCCGCGAATTTGGCGAGCCCCGGGGCGCCGCCATGCTGACCAACTTCTTCCGCCGGTTGATCGGCAGCATGCCCAACGCCGATGGAGTCATCCCCTGAGGTAGAGGGGACATGTCCTTACGTTTTGAACCCTGGCCCATGCCATCTGGCTGGGCCAGGGTTCATAAGAATGAAATACAAGTTGCTTCGTTAAATTCAATATTCCATTAAGTAATAGCAGGATCAATAGATAATGACAGTAAGATAAGGTAGATCTTAGAGATAAACGAGAAGGTATTAAGCAAACCAGCACACCCGTTACATACCCATTACGCCTTTGACATTGTAGACCGCGTCCTAGTTCTTCATAACAGCCTGTGGAGGTTGAATGCGTCCCGGAGCTCGGATAATTGCACCGGGGGAATCAGGACCAAATTGCTGTACCGGACCTTCGTGGGGATGAATGGCTACTTGGACGCCACAGTTTGTACAAAAGTGGTGTGAATCGTGACACATTTCCATACAGAACGGCAAAAATGCACAGCAAATTCCGCCGAAGAGACAACAGCAGGCGGCCGCCATGCTATAAAGTGAGATATTAGCATCGTCAGAAGTGAGCCCGGGCGAACGGAAAAGTGAGAATATATCAATACTTACGTTGTTGAACTGGTACTCTCTTTGTTCACTCTAGTCTGAACCTCGTGGAAGCAAAAGGGACAAGATATGCGTCCGGGCTCTTCACCAAGTTGCGCCAGCGCGATGACTCTTTGAGCAACCGGGACTTGTACGCCGGGTGGAGTGCCTTTCTCGTTGATCTGTGATGATGTGACTGCCGGTGCAGGAGTCGTTATTGCATCTCGCTTGTGGCTGAATTTGTTAGCTTGTGCTGTTTTCTTTGGATCGGGATGCATACTCATCGTATTGTGGAGGAGGTCCAATCTCGGCGGGGATGATTGCCATTGGGTCGGATACCGGAAGTGACCTTTCTGTAGTTGGTTCTGGCGTCGGTGTCGCTTCAGGTAATGTAGGCGACACTGTCAACAATGCTGTGGGCGACGATGTGCTATCTTCCGGCGCTGTTTTGGTTACAGAAGCTAATTCTACTGCAGGATCCGTAACTGGCTCGGCGGCCATGGCCGTTGGAATGGGCAATGTTGACTCTTTGTTATGTTCCATGATGGGCAGTCCGTCCGTAGCTTGATACGTAACAAAAAGCAAAGACTGATGGGTGCAAGACCGTTCTTATTAAATATTTATGTAGTCAAATATGGGGGCCAAAATTAATACGAAAAAAATGAAGGATAAGGCAGTGTGAGGCTTAAATGCCACAAAACGGCACAATACGCGAGTCTACAAGTCTAATAAAGGAGGCGAAATTCAAGCCACGGGAATTGGTCCAAGAGCTGGCCAATCATGATGAAGTGCTATAGATCACATGGGTTGGCCCCCGGGTCTGCGCCTAGGACAGCGCCCGGCCATAGCCCACTAGAGAGCTCTAGTGAGCCTTGGCTTAGAGCGATGAATAAATTGGAGGTTCGTGGGTAATGAGTCATGTGAAGTTATCTATTATTGGAGGGCTATAAATCTTGGTAGCCAAGTGTTCTACTTTCGTCCCTAGGGAATTATCGGCTTCGTTTGGTTTTCTAGTATGGGGACAATCAAATATGAACATATCAAATTCCGGGATTTGTCAATACTTCTAGAACCAATAAGCTGTTGGATGATGATCAAAAGTAAACTTGGTAGTATGGGAGAGTCCATAGGGAACAAAGATCTATCATGTGAAAGCACAGCGTCTCATACTTTAGACCTAGTAAGTATCACACTTCTATAAGTAGATCCCGGACGATTGTCCGGGGTACCACCGCCGTCGCCATAATGGCGATTCACCACTAGGTTTCTAGCGCGACTGGCACTTCTCTTCTACGGAAAACCATGTTTACGAGACTTGTTTTTTACCAAGATTCCTTTTTCACGACGACGGAAGCCTCCAAACCATCATATCCACCATGTTTACGCCCCGATGGCCAATATGAACGGAACCGCCAATGAAACCATCTCCCCCTCCCACGATACACGCTAACAGCCCAACAACGAGCATAAATGCGGCCATCGAACTACAGAATGTGAGTGAAATCCTGAGCTTCCACGATAAAGTATACCTCCGTACCGTCAAATCAAAACGCCTGTCTCATGGCATTCAGCGGTATGATGGCCTTTCAATCTCGGGAAGACTCTCGGAGAAAGGCATACCTGCTAGGCTGAGAATTTGACTCTCCGGCCTACATACTGGGAGAAGTGCCCCATCCTGTTTCGAACTTGATTCCGCCGTTCTACATACAAATGAACATGGACAATTGGGGTTTCGGGAGTCACGTGCGACCATGCCAGCACCTTCCTATCTAGGCAGGGGTCTGTCCTTCGGTGTCTTTGTTTCCGCTCCGAACTTCTGCCCGTATTTGTTATTTCGCTTCTCGCTTCTCGCCTATCGGGTTCATGCACGCCAGTAACCAAAAGGACCGAGACTGAAATGAAAGACTCTCGCCGCTCCATTTTCCGTTTGGACCAGGGCTGTACATTCCTCATAATCCCATTCCTACTAATCCCATTCCTAATAATCCCATTCCTCATAATTCCATTCCTCATAATCCCATTCCTAATAATCCCATTCTTAATAATCCCATTCCTTTTATCTGGTACTTTTCTCTGCTGGTAGATCTGCAGTCATAAAGGAAACATGGTGGCTTGAGCTTTGGCTTCGGCTGGCTTCGGTTGGCTTTGGCTCTATTTGATTTTCCCGTCACAGCAGTCGATGTTACTAGGCCATCGACTGTCTTCTGAGTCCTGTGATAGATGGATAGGAGCAACACATTGACAGAGGGGGCTTCTCATCTCTATGGCTTCTACCCATTATTGGTGTCCCGAAGATTCAACAGTTTACCAGATGCTTCAGGTATTATGGGGGCAGTGACGTGGGATATTGTCTCTATCTTGTCCATGCTACTATGTATTCAGAATCTAAAATCCTATCTTCTAACTTCTGTCCATGTGGATGCAGCATATATGAACAACTCATACTTTGTGATTGGGGAATTATGATAAAATTCCTCCTAATATCTTATAGATGAGAAAGATACAAGTAGGTAGCTATTCAATTTGTACACCTCAATGCCATTACGGGTATTCGATCGACATGCAATGAGTCTACCATATCACCAGGTAGATATACAACAACCCCAAACTATTCACAGGGAAGGCCCCCGAGAATCCGTCCGAGGATATCCAATCGTTGTAAGAACATGCGTCAATTGCTCCGGATTCTCACGCAAAGTATCCCACTCGCCCTCAGCCTTAACCATCAGCGTCGCGGCGAGGATAGTGCCATTCAGCGAGAGCAGTCCGGGATCAACAATATCGCGCGCCGCTGCGCTGTCGACGGGAACAAGCGCCGTCTCCTGTTTACGCGGGCAGATCATCATCGTTGAGCGGGTCATGGCCAGGTTGTAGCTTATAGACGCCGGTCCTTGTGTGGGGAGAGGCTCGGTGTCCTGGCCTGGTGTTTCTCCGCGCGTTGCTGCGGCTGCGGCTTTGTAAAGGGTTATGTAGATTGCGTGCAGGGTTTCGGCGGAGGGGTTTAGCGGGATTGGCAGGGCGAAGTGGGCGAATGGGAGACCTGATAGGTGCTGGAACTTTGGTGTTGGGGAGGGGGAGGTTGGTTGGGAGGTGAGGAGGTCGATCAGCGGTTGCCAGGACTCCGAGCCCGGTTGGCGCATTGCCTCGACGGGGAGGAATTGGAGATGACGGTGTGGTTGGCTTGCGCCGCTGTCGTCGCCGGAGTTGAAGAAGGCGAAGAGGCTCTTTGGAGATGAGCCATTTGCCGATCGAGATCCATCGCTATCGGTGTTCCAGGCTTTTAGACACTCGTAGGTAGCTTCTAGGTCTGCCTTGTGGAGGATATCCGTCTGCGCTTGCCAGTCTCTTGTCACGAGGAGGAAGTGGTTCGGGATGACGGGGAATTTGTTGAGGATGAGGTTGTAAGCGGGGTTCTCGGGCGGGAACTGAGCGATCAGAAGATCTGGCGATGGATTCTCGAAGGGATCGGGCTTTGGTGTTTTCGGGTCATTGTCGGGTTTTATATGGGAGGGTTTCTTTGCGAGGGCTGGACAGTAGCGAAGTTGGTACTAGGTTTGTAGGTTAGAACCGCTGTGGTCGGAGTCGTAGCGTCACTCACTGATATCCCTGCGGCATTGATGATAGATAGATGGGTTGAAGAGAACACGAGATGGCCGGTATCTCGGGCAGCTGTAAATCGTCTTGCGACCAGCGTGGAAAGATTTTCTGTAAGTCCTAATTGCATCGTGGAGGTTGAATGGAGAAACACCGGGGGAGATGGCAGAACACGGGGGTGGAGATCGGCAGATGGTGTCTCTTGGTATTTTCTACTTTAAAACTATACAGATAGAAATTATAAAAATAAAATGTGTTTTTTATAATTTTAATTAGACACCCATTTTTGGTCTCCAATTAATAGTGTCCTGGTAGATCCCGACCAGCAGGATCAGCCCTGAAGGCAAGCCTGGAGAGAAAAAGTCATTCAAACGTATCAGTCCCAAAGGTATCATCCATCCGTATTCAGACAAATCGCTCAAGACGCTGCTGTACGGAAATATGAGACATGAAAAGAAGAAATAGACAAAGGTCTCCAAGGAGAAGGGGAATATAGAGTAGGGAGAAGAAGGAAAAGACAAAAGGAAGATCGTTAAGCCATTAATTCGTTGATCGAAAGCTCATCATCATGGGACTGGCACAGTTCTGGCAATAACATCGCCGGCTGACCCATAATGTGAGGCGAAGGACCATTCAACCAAGGACCACGCTCCTCATCGGTAGCATTGTGTACACCCTCAGCGCGCTTCAATGTCTCGACGTCCAGGTCGGTAACATAGGCATCGCGGTTGGTGCCATCGCCCGCGCCACCGGGGAGTCTCAGACGGACCTCGAACTCGTTATTGAGCATCATCTCGTCTTTCCACAGACGGCGCTGACCATCAAAGACACACAGCACACGCTTCTTGGTCTTCATGGTGCTGCTGGGGCAGCCCCAGGAGTTGGGATAGTTGCCGCGGTTATTGCGGCGACGGGTTGCAACAGCGCGAGGCTTCGAGGAATTCTTGGAGATGGCATTGCCAGAGCCGAGAATAGGGCGGGAAGAAGGGATGTTACCCTTTGAGGATCTGGGCTTAGTCTTCAGGCCGCGCCAGCTCGAAGGATCGTGGGTATCATCGTCGTCTTGGTCTTCGTAATCGTCGAATTGATCGACCGGGCCAGCCACGTCGAGCAGTTGATGCTTCTCCATTGTCTTCTTGACCTCGTCGTCTGAAGCGACCTCTGCCAGACGCTGCTGGTTGATCGCCTCCGAGGGCTCTTCTTGCTGCACGACGCGGAGAACGCAGTCATCCAGATGCTCGTAGAAGTCCTGCGCGTTGCTGAAGGTCGACGAGCAGGTTGAGCACTTTCCTGTCGCATCGGAGCTGTAGTTGGTGCCCTTCTTGGCTACTCCGGGGCTGCGTTTCCGGCAGTTTGGTGGGGTTTGTTCCACACCGTGGACGGAGGTCAGATGGCGCTTGAAGACGTCGGCGCGGTTGAAGCTCTTTTCCGCGGGGGAGCCGGAGCCCGGGCAAAAACCGCATACCATTGTTCCTTTGTAGTGGGTCAGGGTGTGGCGGTTCTTGTCGTACTTCCGGGCGAAGCCCTTGATGTGGTACTCGCAGTTCAGGATCGGGCACTTCTCTGGTCGCTCGGACTGGTGAGTCAACATGTGGGCTTTCAGATCTTTGAACACTCGGCCACAATCAGGGTGTGGGCAGCGGCCTTTTTCTTTGGTCTCTTCGTCCGGTTCAATGCTGCTCAGCGCTGGGCTGTGTTGCGAGCGTCGGGAATGAATCGAGGAAATTGACGATCGTCGATCATAGATCGAGAGTGGTCGCGAATGCGACCTGTGTGGGACCATGAGGGGAGATGGTCCAGTTTGTTGTATAGGGTGTGATCGGGGAGAGGTGTGGTGCTCTGCGATGTCATTATATGGGAGAGGTGATGGGGCGGGAGAGTGAGAGATGTAGTTGGGTGGCACATTTGAGTAGGACGAGGTAGGTTGATCGGGATATGAGATAGTCGGGGTAATTCCAGGACCTTGTTGCGCCGGTTGGATCAATGAAGGATCTGGTATGCATTGTTAGTATACCAGATAGCTTTTGCGATTGATATCAAAACATACCGACGAAAGGGTCCGGGAATTTTTCTTGGTAGGCCATTTCCATGTCCAATGTGCTCCCCACGTACTCCTGAGAGAAAATGTCGTTCATCACTGCGGCTTGTAGACCCAACCCGTGGTTCGTATTCACCCAGGTCTCCTGGAACGCATGGGCGGTCCCTGAGTATGGTGAACCCATGGCTGAAGAAGATGCGCTGGCAATAGATTGCCCGGAGGTAGCAGATCCGGTAGGGATATATGGCTCCGCGGAGTTATATGCAGAGATTGAAGGGGGCGTAGCTGGTATAGAAGAGAAATATGTAGGATTTTGTAGATCTGCAGACTCCAGCAACGGGTGGGTATCGTAGTAGGAATGAGAAGCATGGGACATATCATGGCCCTGTGTATAATGTGGGAAGCTCTCAACGGGAAAGAACATGGAAGGATCCATGGTCATGGGTTCGAAGTAGAGCTGTTTAGGCCTGGCAGCTTCAACAGTCATCATCTTGGATCGGGCGTGCAAAGGAAAGAGAGTGAAATCGGGGTTTGATTCGAAAGTAGTCATGTCTGTGATTGAGAAATGCAATGCGCGATGGCGATCCTAGACACAAAGGACCGGTCAGTATATGATACCTTATGGTCCCAAGTGACGCATGGACATACCGGTGATAAGGTTTCTGGGTAAGATCGCGGCCCGCTCGGCTAACCAAAGATGCCAACCACAAAAGAATGAGGCAACGTGCGCAATTGACAGAATAAGTTCTTATTCAATGAAGTAAGGAGGTGCGCTATGTCGCAAGGCAGGGAGGTCTTCAAATTGCAACTCCACGGACACGGGTAGCGAAGTAATATCGATCGACAGTGAAGAAAGAGTCGAGGGAGACAAGGTTAGTCAAGCGTATTCCCGAAATCGAAGCGCTAGATGATCATGAGTCGAATCAATGATTTACATTCATGACAGACTGGGGGGAGGAGAGGATATTATAGATGTCAAAGAGGAGGACGCATTGTTAAATGGTGACGATGGGCCCGCCCTACAGTAGTCAGTTATAGTCTTGTGTCTAGAATAATATTTTTCTTTTTTAAATAAAAAAAAAGGAAAAATCAGAAAAGGAAAAGGAAAATTGTAATAAACAAAAATAAAAATAAAAAGCTACTCAGTAAAAAGCAAATAAATAATAAAATAAAATATACCATTACATACGGTATTTTTCGCACGAACCAGTTGAACGTGTTGGGGCTGTGAACAGGGACAGGGAAACTTAGCGCCCATGCAGAATAGGACTCGGGCTATTATTACTATCTGCACATGGGAATTCTCGAACATGGGTCTTTATTATCGAGTTCGTGATTATTATCAATTACTAATATTTTTTTAACCTCGGAACGGTCATTTGAAATCACATACAACATAGTACTTTATACGCCGTATTCCATAGTGAGAAGACCTGTGTACACACTATTCTCTACTACAGTATGCAAGACACTTGTCTGGACTATCAGCTCAGCCTTCAGGCGCCCAGTGTCTACTATCCCGTCAATAGTCAATAGCCCACTATATAATAGTTATGGGTTCTGACAGCTCGCCTACGTTTATCCACTTTTGAGTCCTTCTGCCCTACGGGTACGATCCCCGAACATCTTGTCCCGGACTTATTTCCGGTGGAAGTAAATATTGATTCTCACAAAGTACCTGCATCGAGGTCGATCGTCCATCGTGCTCAAAGGAATCGAATCCGTCAAGGGCACATATTGAGGTGAAAAGCAATTATTGTGCAAAGTTGCCAGTTCTTTTGCTTCGAAGCCCCTGCACCACAAATTAGATTTTTGACGGGGATCAGGAGAAGCCTCCTGTCAGAAAGTCGACCGTTGCACGAGAATGATTACAGATGATTAATTGCTATTTTACTTGTCGTCATCGGCACCTCCGTTCTGCATAGCAGGGGCTCTCTGCCGTGGGCTTGGCGCCATGGCCCCTTTTCCCCCAGAACCTCCCTTCACCCTTGTCACCTCGGTAATGCAGTGAACTAGCTTAGATATACAATGCCGCTCAGCATAAGAGAAAATTTTCAAGTACTTATTTCTACAAAAATGGTCTATCCCATCAAGTCCGGACTACTCATCCAACTTTCTTTACAAATCATAGGAAAAGTGGACTAGGAAAAATATCGAGCATAAAGTTAGGCAGGGAGAAAGTATAATAGACCCAGCATTGGGGATGTACCCTTTTCCTGGGAGAACCAGGGTGCGAAAAAGGAAAAGGGCTGGTATAAGAATGTTTTAAAAGACCAAAGGGGATAACAGTACGCACCACGGAGTACTCCGCATATATAACACACAAATACAAAACACATCGAAATTCCATGAGTTCGGTCGATCCCTGACGGGACCCCATCCACTTAGGATCCCCTCCATAATTCGGCAGGCCAACCGCGTGCACGGAAGAGTGATTGGCCCATGTGTGACAGCCCAATGAAAAATGAAATGAGGGACTCGTAACTCCTCCCCAATCAGGTCCCTGAAAGGCCTTCCGAGCGCTCGATGAGGCTTCCTTAGGGGGGTCGGCTCGGTGGGTTCATGTCTGTTTCGCCCGCTATTCCCTCTTGGTAGTCACGACAGGCGATCATTACAGTGTGTTGTATCAAGGGTTTTTTTTTCCCCTTGTCTGATTGTCCTTTCCGGAGTTATGTTTGGCTACCGTACAAGAGCCGCATGCTTTTTGGTCTTATGATTCGGCCTGCTTCTCTTGGTTGCCTTTTGCGCTATTTCCTAGTTAGGAAATCGGGGAAGCAGTTCTTTCCTTAGATTTACAACTCATGAAATACTGTCTACATATATTGTATGTCTATACTCCGTAGATACATCGTATATCCCTTGATCACTCGGAGTTGCATCTCCGGAGAAGAAAACCAATAGTGGGTCTGCCCAAAATAGGACGAAAGAATGTCAATCAATTTTTTTCCGGGATGCACGATAAAGTAACATTTACCATATTTTAGGAGATTCAATCGCAGATTAATATGGATCACTATTATGCTTTATGTGCTTACATGGTATAGACGAAACAGCATCGTGGTGACCAAATATGATTAAATACCAGGAAATGAAACCAGATCCAATCTCGTTCCCCTAGACACTCCGCATTCCCCCTTGAGTACATTCATTTAGATCATTAGATTACATTATCTACACTAATTACGCCATATGGCCCTAGCCGGCACAGGGGTACATGGGAGAGCAGTGCGAGCTGTCATTCGGAGTGTCCGTGTTAAGAAGCACTGATGCACCAAAACATGACTAGCGCCACATCTGGCCTAAGCCACAGAGACCCACGTTTGTCTTTCCCAATCATAAGCGAAAGAAGGCGTTCTTGGAATTCGTCAGATAGCCAAACAACATAGGGAATTTATGGTCCACATCTCTGAAATCAAGGCGCAGCTGCATAAATTACACCGCTGACTGGGGAGTTCGTATTTATCGGCGATCCCGGTGCTAAACCCCCCGTAGGCTCAGTATGGACGTGGGACGGGTCTATCCTAATTCTAGTTAAAACTAATGTAAGCATGCACAGTCTAAATTCTAGGTTGTGCTAAACTGGGGGAATGAAGTCATTTCCGGTCCGTGTGCTGGGTTTGACCGATTCTTTGGCCCTGGTTTTGCGGGTGTAAAAGTCTTGGCCTAGTTAAACTGGCGGTCGGCATGCGGGTATTTGCCTTACGCCCAGGTTCTGACATATGTACCTACCCGGGCAATGGGTTAATAATTGCAGGTTCCGCTAACTTTTGTTAACCATAATTATTCTAATGCTGAATGGCTACAAAGATATGTCATATGTCTCATCTAACTGTCTGGACTGTTGATGCTCAACGTCCACGTCAAGAGATAAAACCCAAAGATAAACCCAAAACGTCTTCAAGCGCATTAGCCAGTCAGCACTGAGAAATGCTCGCTGATTGAGACTGTCAGTCCTTCACACGTGTGATGGAGGTATGCCGCAAGACCCAATCGCTCGCTGAATTTTCCCTCCGGGTTTTGGCCCCCATCGTGTTGGATATTTCACTGAAACACTGAAACACACATAATGAAGCCAAGCATTAAATCTGACATTCCAGGCTGTTCTTTTCGCTCGAGGATGATTAGGGTAGCCAAGATCTCTCCACTCCAGCCATCGCCATGGCATCGGGACAGTTGAGTGCCCAATTACCGACCTCGAATAGCATATTAACTCTACGGCCGGCATAACGTCTATGCTAAAAAGGAGGCTGACCCGGCGACCCCGATGACCTCCTCTTTTGGCCCGCTATATCGATATTAAAAATACGGCAATCAAGAGGCTCTTAATCAACCATGATGCCACCTCCCTAAATTGGTAAGGAAGAGATGCCCAATGCGTTGATATTCTCGTTTCCGAGGTTAGCAAATGAGGCCAATAATCAAAACAATAATATCTACGGAGTAGTCCGGATGCCACGGGTCCATGGTTGACTTGAACGGAACCATGGAACTCCCAACTTTGACAACTTTATTTTGTTCCAACTTCAAATATCTACTTTGATGCCATTTGTGCTCGGATCATCCTGGGGTCAGAGATACATGTCTCCAGAGTGGCAAATATTATCCCCAGACCTTGGTATCTCCCCAGTTTTGCAATTACCAAATAAAAAACATGTCCAAGAATAAACCAACCATAAAGGGAGCGGCAAGACATGCAAGATGCAGTAGAAAACCAAAAACGGTATCTAGATTCTAATTTAGTCTATCGTTGACGCTGGACCAACTTGAGCAACTGGCGATCCCAACAGTTGAGCCTCTGTTGCTATTCGTGACAGGACATACCAACAGCGGCCCTAAGCCCTACAGGAACAGAGCGCATGATGGGTGGTGGGGGGAGTACATAGGTATTACAAGGTTTAATCCCTGTCACTCGCGTGGTGTTTCTAAAAACAGATGTGAAACAATGCAGTGTGAAACAGCCGGAGGGGGAGAAGATCAACCGCAACAAGGCGATCCTATATGTTTACATACACAACTTACTCTAGTACGGAGTATAGGGATCCCGGATAGCACAAGTATTTTTTGTAGGAACACAGCGTGAAGTTACACGACTAAAAATGCGACTAATTAGATGTTTATTATTCTCGTCGCTGCAGTTGGTTACGTCTTTCGAGTTGGTAAACTGGTCGGCGAAGCCATGGTTCATGGTTCCGTTAGTCCCCGCTGATTGGGAGTCGTACAAACTTTGAACTTGCCATACCATGTTCACGCTTATTCCTATTCAGTCCTTGGTTTGGATTGTGTCGATGTAAACGTTTCGGACCCCAAATCTGGTCATGTGGGTGTGTTGGCGTATGAACACCAACTGGATTATGTGGACACTTTAGGGATTGGTAAGCCTTTAGGGATTGGTAAGCGCTTCACAAGCACTTGTATTGTTACTTCTTCCAAAAATTGTCTCCTAGCGACTTTTACAAAAGCCCTCCTCTAGCATTTAGCGCTGTTGTTTTACGGCGACCAAATACGGAAATCCCTGCCGATCATGAGAACTACCTCCAGTGCACGGTTAAC